TTGCATGAAAATTCGTGAATTATAGTCTTTTGCATAAAAACCGTGAACTATAGTCTTTTGCATGAAAATGCGTGATGTATAGTGTTTTGCATGAAAATGCGTGAACTATAGTCTTTTGCATTAAAATCGTGAAATATAGTCTTTTGCATGAAAAACCGTGAACTATTGTGTTTTGTATGAAAATTCGTGAATTATAGTCTTTCGCATGAAAATTCGTGAACTATAGTATTTGCATAAAAATTCGTGAATTATAGTCTTTGCATTAAAACCGTGAACTATAGTCTCTTGCATAAAAATTCGTGAATTATAGTGTTTTGCATGAAAATTCGTGAATTATAGTCTTTGCATAAAACCGTGAACTATAGTCTTTGCATGAAAATGCGTGATGTATAGTGTTTTGCATGAAAATGCGTGAACTATAGTCTTTTGCATTAAAATCGTGAAATATAGTCTTTTGCATGAAAAACCGTGAACTATAGTGTTTTGTATGAAAATTTGTGAATTATAGTCTTTCGCATGAAAATTCGTGAACTATAGTCTTTTTGAAAAAATTTGTGAATTATAGTCTTTTGCATGAAAAACCGTGAACTATAGTGTTTTGTATGAAAATTCGTGAATTATAGTCTTTCGCATGAAAATTCGTGAACTATAGTCTTTTGAATAAAAATTTGTGAATTATAGTCTTTGCATGAAAAACCGTGAACTATAGTCTTTTGCATGAAAATTCGTGAATTATAGTCTTTGCATGAAAAAGAGTGAACTATAGTCTTTTCATAAAATTCGTGAATTATATAGTCTTTGCATGAAAACCGTGAACTATAGTCTTTGCAAAATTCGTGAATTATAGTCTTTTGCATGAAAATTCGTGAATTATAGTCTTTTGCATGAAAACCGTGAACTATAGTCTTTTGCATGAAAAACCGTGAACTATAGTCTTTGCATGAAAATTCGTGAATAATAGTCTTTTGCATGAAAAAGAGTGAACTATAGTCTTTTGCATGAAAATTCGTCAATTATAGTCTTTTGCATGAAAAAGAGTGAACTATAGTCTTTTGCATGAAAAACCGTGAAATATAGTCATTTGCATGAAAATCGTGAATATAGTCTTTGCATGAAAAAGTGAACTATAGTCTTTGCATGAAAATTCGTGAAATATAGTCTTTGCATGAAAAACCGTGAACTATAGTCTTTTGCATAAAATTCGTGAACTATAGTCTTTTGCATGAAAACTGTGAACTATAGTCTTTGCATGAAGAACCGTGTATTATAGTCTTTTGCATGACAATGCTTAAACTATAGACTTTTGCATTAAAAACCCGTGAACTATAGTCTCTTGCATAAAAATTCGTGAATTATAGATTTTGCATGAAAATTCGTTAATTATAGTCTTTTGAATAAAAAAACGTGAACTATAGTCTCTTGCATAAAAATTCGTGAATTATAGATTTTGCATGAAAATTCGTGAATTATAGTCTTTTGCATAAAAAACCGTGAACTATAGTCTTTTGCATGAAAATGCGTGAACTATAGTCTTTTGCATATAAATCGTGAAATATAGTCTTTTGCATGAAAAACCGTGAACTATGGTGTTTTGTATGAAAATTCGTGAATTATAGTCTTTTGCATGAAAACCGTGAATTATAGTCTTTTGCATGAAAATGCGTGAACTATAGTCTTTTGCATTAAAACCGTGAACTATAGTCTCTTGCATAAAAATTCGTGAATTATAGATTTTGCATGAAAATTCGTGAATTATAGTCTTTTGCATAAAAAACCGTGAACTATAGTCTTTGGCATGAAAATGCGTGATGTATAGTGTTTTGCATGAAAATGCGTGAACTATAGTCTTTTGCATTAAAATCGTGAAATATAGTCTTTTGCATGAAAAACCGTGAACTATAGTCTTTTGAATAAAAATTTGTGAATTATAGTCTTTTGCATGAAAAACCGTGAACTATAGTCTTTTGTATGAAAATTCGTGAATTATAGTCTTTCGCATGAAAATTCGTGAACTATAGTCTTTTGAATAAAAATTTGTGAATTATAGTCTTTTGCATGAAAAACCGTGAACTATAGTCTTTTGCATGAAAATTCGTGAATTATAGTCTTTTGCATGAAAAAGAGTGAACTATAGTATTTTCATAAAAATTCGTGAATTATATAGTCTTTTGCATTAAAAACCGTGAACTATAGTCTCTTGCATAAAAATTCGTGAATTATAGTCTTTTGCATGAAAATTCGTGAATTATAGTCTTTTGCATGAAAAACCGTGAACTATAGTCTTTTGCATGAAAAACCGTGAACTATAGTCTTTTGCATGAAAATTCGTGAATAATAGTCTTTTGCATGAAAAAGAGTGAACTATAGTCTTTTGCATGAAAATTCGTCAATTATAGTCTTTTGCATGAAAAAGAGTGAACTATAGTCTTTTGCATGAAAAACCGTGAAATATAGTCATTTGCATGAAAAATCGTGAAATATAGTCTTTTGCATGAAAAAGAGTGAACTATAGTCTTTTGCATGAAAATTCGTGAAATATAGTCCTTTGCATGAAAAACCGTGAACTATAGTCTTTTGCATAAAAATTCGTGAACTATAATCTTTTGCATGGAAAACTGTGTACTATAGTCTATTGCATAAAAAACCGTGAACTATAGTCTTTTGCATATAAATCGTGAAATATAGTCTTTTGCATGAAAAACCGTGAACTATGGTGTTTTGTATGAAAATTCGTGAATTATAGTCTTTTGCATGAAGAACCGTGTATTATAGTCTTTTGCATGACTATGCTTAAACTATAGACTTTTGCATTAAAAACCGTGAACTATAGTCTCTTGCATAAAAATTCGTGAATTATAGATTTTGCATGAAAATTCGTGAATTATAGTCTTTTGCATAAAAAACCGTGAACTATAGTCTTTTGTATGAAAATCGTGAAATATAGTCTTTTGCATGAAAAACCGTGAACTATAGTTTTTGCATGGAAAACTGTATACTATAGTCTTTTGCATGAAGAACTGTGTATTATAGTCTTTTGCATGAAAAACCGTGAACTATAGTCTTTTGCATGAAAATCGTGAAATATAGTCTATTGCATGAAAAACCGTGAACTATAGTCTTTTGCATGAAAATTCGTGAATAATAGTCTTTTGCATGAAAAACCGTGAACTATAGTCTTGCATGAAAAACCGTGAATTATAGATTTTGCATGAAAATTCGTGAATTATAGTCTTTTGCATAAAAACCGTGAACTATAGTCTTTTGTATGAAAATCGTGAAATATAGTCTTTTGCATGAAAAACCGTGAACTATAGTTTTTGCATGGAAAACTGTATACTATAGTCTTTTGCATGAAGAACTGTGTATTATAGTCTTTTGCATGAAAAACCGTGAACTATAGTCTCTTGCATAAAAATTCGTGAATTATAGATTTTGCATGAAAATTCGTGAATTATAGTCTTTTGCATAAAAAACCGTGAACTATAGTCTTTTGCATGAAAAACCGTGAACTATAGTTTTTGCATGGAAAACTGTATACTATAGTCTTTTGCATGAAGAACCGTGTATTATAGTCTTTTGCATGAAAAACCGTGAACTATAGTCTTTTGCATGGAAAACAGTGAACTATAGTCTTTTGCATGAAAAACCGTGAATTATAGTATTTTGCATGAAAATGCGTGAATTATAGTCTTTTGCATGAAAAACCGTGAACTATAGTCTTTTGCATGAAAAACCGTGAAATACAGTCTTTTGTATAAAAAACCGTGAAGTATAGTCTTTTGCATGGAAAACTGTGTACTATAGTCTTTTGCATGAAGAACCTTGTATTATAGTCTTTTGCATAAAAATTCGTGAATTATAGTCTTTTGCATGAAGAACCTTGTATTATAGTCTCTTGGATAAAAATTCGTGAATTATAGTCTTTTGCATGAAAATGCGTGAATTATAGTCTTTTGCATGAAAAACCGTGAACTATAGTCTTTTGCATGAAGAACCGTGTGTTATAGTCTTTTGCATGAAAAACCGTGAACTATAAGTCTTTTGCATGAAAAACCCTGAACTATAGTCTTTTGCATGAAAAACCGTGAACTATAGTCTTTCCATTAAAATTCGTGAATTAGAGTCTTTTGCATGAAAATCGTGAAATATAGTCGACACACAAATAGTAGACAAGAATGTTGACGGGAAAACAACAACAAAGGTAGATAAAACGTTTTAAAGTAACAGCAAGAATAACAACGAAGGTAGACCCAACGATGGAAATTAAATTTCTTTTAAGGTAGACATCAAATAATTTTTAAGGTAACGACAAAAATAACAAAGAAGGTAGATACAACGGTGGAAATTGAATTGTTTTTAAGGTAGACATCAAATAATTTTCAAGGTAAACACAAATTAATGTCGACAGAAAAGTAGACAAAAAGGTGCACAAAATGGCAGACACAAATGTTAACCGAAAAAAGTTGACAAAGAGGTGGACAAAAAGTTAGAAACAAAAATAGACAAAAAGGAGGACAAAATGTATACACAAAACAAAACACAAATGTACATATTAAGGTACACACAAAGGTAGAAAAAGCCTTAAAAAAGGTGTAAAAAAGGAGAGAAAACGTTCGACACAAAGTTTGATCGAAAAAGAATAGAAAGGGTAGACAAAAATGTACACACAAAGCTAGACAAAAAAGTTTGACAGGTGATGAAGGTAAACAAAAAGGTGCACATGAATGTAAACACAAAGGTGGAAACAAAAGCTGAACAAAATAGTACACAAAAAGATAGACACAAAGCTAGACAAAAGCAGTGGCGTATCTAGCAAAAAATTTAGTCACGCTATTGTGCATAGGACCACGCCCTATGACGTCATGATTTTCGATGATTGTACATGCTAATTATTAATTCAGTTCACCCACCCACAGTAAATTTACGGCAACTCTTAGGTTTTTGAATTTGCACAAAATAGTGACTTCTTACATAGCCAAAAAGATAGTTTTACCCACAAATTTCAAAGAAAAACACAAAAAGATTAATTCAATATAATATTATCTTGAACTTATTCTATTTCTTTACAATAATATAAAATGTACACAATTTGTTTGCTGAAATAATGAAAGCAGAAAAATAATCTATATGGCTATTAAAGATACCAACTATCCTAGATATTGATATCATAATTTATGTGTATGAAAAATTGCTTGTTGTAACTATAAAACAGATACAATAAACATTTGCATGGTTACACTGTTTGAGACATCAGATGAAAGACCTTGCCTTTGTCAAACATTATATTACTTCAGAAAATTGTCGTTTACCTTCAACAATTTTCCACATCTGTCCTTCCTCACTTTCTTCATCAACATCCTCAACAAATAACATTCCATTCTTCTCTTGAAAAGAGCAATCTGCAGCTGAAGACATTGCCTTTTCAACATTCGACCAAAGTCTGTCTTCTCTTTCCAAATCTCCTACACCTGGCTCTTTTAAGCCAGAATGTTTTGTGGTTGTATTACTTAAATTATCTTCCAGTTTTTCCAATGTTTTATCCAGAGTTTCCCCATCAAATCCAGTCCTAATGTTGACGTCACTCACATTCTTTTTGTTTATATACACAGAATTCCTAACTGCCTCATCAAAATCCCTTGATTTATCTAAACAACTACCAATATTTGTCCGTATAATGTCCTCTTGAGTACCTCCAATGTCCCTCAGGATATGTTGAGATGATTGAGGTGTGTTCATTGAACATTCTATGCCATTCACTTTATTTCCATGTTCTCTTAAAACCAATGAACAAAAATCTTAATACATTAGTTTTATTTAACACTTGCTATCTGAAAACACTGCATAAGAGCCTGCTGAGGATCATAAAATTCACATTAGGACCTTGTAGGATCTTACAGGCCCTCGCAGGATCTTAAACAGGAATTTCACTAGGGATTAAATGAAATGTCTTATTTGAAACCAGTGAACCGTAAAATCAACTAGAAGGATAACTTCACATAAACACTTGTCAATTGATGCACGGTAAAGGATTGGTGCAACTGCAATTTCAATGGCAACTTTGCATGGTCATACATTACTTGAAAAAAAAACAATGACAAAAAAGGGTCGGTTGCCCACATGCTGGCTTCCCGCATGCATGGCTGCCCGCATGCTGGCTTCAAAAATGGTTGGCAAAGTCATTATTCCAGTTGAGATTACTTTTCTCTGGTTGAAACAGTGTGCGAATTAACGGTGTGCAATGTGCAATTTCAAAATCGTTTCAGCTACAATGAAAACAATTGCACATCACTTTTTCAAACGATCTAAAGAAACGCCTCTAAAGAAACACTTTTGTCAAAAAAATTGCACATCGTTTTTTCTGAACTAAGTCGCACACTGGATTGAAACCAAAATAATTTGCCAATAGCTACACCAATCATTGTACATTGATGTAGTTGTGAGGACAGGATGTGAACTACCTCATAAAATTCTTGAAATTGTTCATAAATCTCATAGTCACAGTCAAGAAAAATGATAAATATTAATTTACTAAGTAAATGTTTTTTGTATATTGATAACAAATGACAACATAGAAAGCCAGAGCATGATAAATTGTCAAATAAATCATATCATTGAACCCACGACAATAATCGCCAAATGAAAGAGGCGGAAAGCCTGTAGGGAGGGGAGGGAGCCAACATAGGGCACATTATATACAAACAAATAACATGATGACAAAGCATTTTATGTTGATAGAAAAAGTCATTTGTCAACAAATACAGTGTGCAATATAGTAACTCAAGAACAACAAATATCTTCACTTACTAGAATTATCAATGGCTTTAAGGACTTCATTTGCCAGATTATCCTCTCTTCCATCTGTTGAATCTTCTGATGGACGATTTTCTTTTTGCTCAACCCAGTCTCCACGTGACGAGCTACATGATTTTTCTTTTACTTTCTGTATGATCTCAGTGACAGCACTGGAGTGACACTCATCTGAAAGCTTCATTGAGAGATCCTAAAAAAGCATAGGCTCATACATATATCACATGATCAAACAGTAATTTTAAAATTAGAGCTGTTCTTCAATGCTTCACACCTCTAAAGATGAATATTCTTTGTCAGCTTTTAACATGTTATTGTTTACACCTGATGTCATTCTTGTTCGATTCATAATCATTTCAACTCTCTAAAATCATCAAATATCTACAATGAAGCATATAAAACTACCATAAACACAATACATATCCAATATGACCTTTTTTCTTTCCTGTCTTTCTATTTCCTCTTTTTTCCACCTCTCAATTTCTTCAAGTTCACGTTGTTCTTTCTCAGCTCTTTTCCTCTCCATTTCTTGTAGTTTCAACAACTCCATTTCCTGTTTCTTCTTCAACTCTGCCTCGTGTTTCTCTGCCTCAATGATGGCCTCCTTTTCTTTTTGCTCTTTAAGTTGTCTGGCTCTTTCTTCTTCTTGTAACTGAAGTTGTTTTGTAAGTTCAGCTTGTCGTGCCATCTCTCTTGCTACAACATTAAATAAAACCAATCAACATTGCTCATCTCTGAGAAATGTTATTAAAACATTGGGTATGCTAGGAATATCAAAATTTATCAATTACTTTGCTTACTCTAGATGTCACAAACCCTTCTTCCACCTTATCACAAAAATAAAAATCAAAGTTCAATAAACGTTGAACATATGCAACCGCCCACAAAACAACTCTATCAACTTCCTTCAATTCAACTACATAAAACAGTCCAGTTTCTAGAAAGGTGTATAAAAAACTGCTTATCTTTGAAGTCTTGCAAATTTTCAAATTTGCATATTTCACAAGTAATAAACATTGTAATAAACAAGACCCCATTCAGGCATAAACACAACTGAACTGAGAGAGGCAGCAACTGCAATACTTTTAAGTATTCAATTAAGCAAACGCTTCTTCAGGGATCAATTATAGGCATTTGTGAATTATGCAAATTATAAATGTTCCAACAAGGTGATTTCAAAGAGACGTATATTTAATCTTATTCAAAATGTCATCTTCGAATCATTCAATCCTTTATCAAAACTTACCATTTTCTTCTGCAAGTCGTTGCTCTTGTTCCTCACATTGACGTCGTAATTCCTCTTGCCTTTCTTTATCCAACAATGCTTTCCTCTCTACCTCCTCTCGTATACGTTTACGATGTTCCGCAAGAGCTCTAGTGGCTTCAGCCTCGTCATTCGTACCGGCATGATGCACTGGTTTAGCCTTTGGTTTTCCCTTCTTGCAAGGAGGACGTTGAGCTGATGTCTTGCCACCCACATGATGAATAGCATTCATAGAACGTGCTTTGGGTATTGTTGACGAAATATTCCTTCGTGGTACATCCTTATCCCCACATTTAGCCCTATTTTCATGAACAGTTAACCTGTTTTCACTTAAATTGTTAGTACTGACACTGTTCTTTTTTGATGTTTTCAAACCGGTCCCTGGTGCGGACAAATGTTGAATACTTCCATAACTACTTAAACTAGATGTTGAAGCAGATGATGGACCAGTAAGGTTTCTATGAGATGTTTTAGTCCTATGACCAGAACCAGGAGGGGTGTATCCTTCACTAGAGCTTGAACTCGAAGATAATCGTCGGTTGGTGTTTTGGGTACTATTACTAGGAAGGTTCGGTAAACGACGACCAGATGATTTTGTCTGAAGTTTGTTGCCTGTGTGATGTCTGTGAGTAGTTACCTTTTCCACATTTCTTTTCTTTCTTTCTTCTATTTCCTGTTCATGTTTAACTTTTTCTGCAAGCTCAGAACTCATGCCTACAGAACATCAACAATTATTGAGTTAAATCTATTTTTAAACTTTGTAATTACCATATAATTATGGACAGGAAAAGAAAATATGCTGCTCAAGCATAATAATAGACATGTTATAAGAATTCCTTCCCAATGAACTGTCTTATAAAGAAATTTTCATCAAAATTATTAGAAAGAAAAGACAAATATTGCCATTTTACAATCTCAAACTTCTCTCGCTTGGTTGCCGAAAGATCCAGATTAACTGGTGTGCCTTTCAAACAAAAACAAAGACTTTTTTCTATCACGTAGCTTCAACCCGCAATATAGGTCAGACACGATATAACTGATAAAATTCTTTGCATAAACATCAATCATAGATCTTTTCTCACTGAAAACTCTGCTAAAAACCCAACAATTTACAAATCAATGAAATCATTCGTAAATATTTCTATTTCATACCTGTCTTCAATTCCTGTCCAATAGGTTGTTAAAATTTTTCTTCAGACTTCTCCTAAGAGTGTTGCTTCACAACAGAAGCACCATAAAACATCGAAGTTGTACTAAATGTACATTTTTTGTGTAATTCTACCAAAACAATTGTAATTTATCACCTTTTAATTAAAATTATTTCAAGGTGTTTGTTATGACCAGTTATGACCAATTATTAAATTCTCTTCGGCGTATGTCGTATAAAACTCGGTAACTCGGAACACTGGGAAATAGTTTAAGTCATGTGACATCCTTTTGCCCATCACATCATGATAATATGAATAATTTAACAAAAACGGCAACTACAACTACATGACACTGACAGCAACTAACATTTGCGATTGAAATATATTCCTTCAGTACAATTCAAGTTAGGTAACTGTTAATTATTAAAAGCAATGAATTCATTATTGGTTATTGTTCACCATCCCAGTACTGTTCAGCTGAGCCACCAGCACCATAATATGATTCCATTTTCAGATAACGAAATCTTTTCCCAATATTGGCCAAGGCTTTCATGTCTTCTTCCTCCAGCTTAACATTATATGTATCCAAATTTTGCTTTATCCTCTCTTCCTTCACTGACTTAGGTAGAACAGGGCATCCATAAAGAACACCCCAGGCAAGTAACACCTAATTTTTTGGAATGATGATCCAAATTCATATTTTTCACAAATAATAAAAATTCATATTGTATAAAACAAAATGAAACAACAAACCTGGGCTGGGGAACAGTTACGCTTTTCTGCAATTTGTTTTATCAATGTGTCTTGCATAAGAATTGGATCATCTTTATCAAATATTGGTCGATCAGCAGAACCCAGGGATGAGTAAGCTGTGATAATAATGCCTACATAAAATAAAGTAATGTTAGAAGGGTGCTAAGCTCATTTGACAGGAAGTGCAAATCAGCAGTGCAGATTTTCCAAGGGAAGATAGGGTGCATTATAAATATGTTGGCAAAGGCACCTGAGGAATTTTATGTTTAATTTATAAGTAAACTACATTCTTAGTTGTTCAGTCTTGCTGTGCAATTTTCAAGAATATAATAATAAACAATATGGTATTGTCAATTAGACAAATTTTGATAAAAAGACAACAAACCTTGATGGAAAATTAAACTTGAAGATCACCAACCTTTTTCTTCACAAAACTTCTTCAACTCAGGTTGTGATAAGTAAGGATGAAGTTCAACTAAATTATTAAATCAAAAATATAAAAATAATTAAAAAAAGCAATATAATTCTCATTGTACTAACCTTGGTTTGTGGCTGGAACGATCTTTGCAGTTTCAAGAAGAGCCTTCACTTTTGTGGTGGAAAAATTAGAGATGCCAATAGCCTTACACAGACCTTTTTCAACCAAACTTTCCATACCCTATTTTAAACAATGTTAAAAGTGAATAAAAAACTGCACATCAACACATGTAGTTGACAGATAAAAATCTTTCATGATCAAACTAGAACTAAACTGTACTGTCGAAAACTTGAAATACAGCATCTATAATGTTACTTTTCTTGTTAATCATTGCATCCTAGAATTCTCATTCTTATACTCTATGTTTCTCAATTACTATTTCTCATGTCCTACCCATTTATCTGAAAGATGTAATGGGTTGGTATTTGGTAAGCATGTTTTTGTTGTTGCTTTGCCATGCTACATACTTAATGTGAATACTTCTGCCAATCCTATTTTTCAAAACAGTTATGGATAGATAGGAAACACTCTATAAACTTTGCTTGACAAGTGGCTATAAAGATATCCATTTTAGTTCAAAGCTATTATAATAGTAGATGTTTTTGCAGCAGCAACTCCCACAGATGTGTGAGAATCAATACTTTACAATAATCAAGGATACTTGTAAGTCATGATCAAAGATAAAGAAAATACCTTCCATGTTTCACTCATTTGTTCTTTATCATAACCAATGACTTTTTTCAGCTGTGCCGGTGGGATAGGGAAAGCCAAATCTTTGGGAAAAGTACATGGATTATGCACCTAAAAGTTAATTGAATATCCCGATGAGTTGAATCTGTTGGGTTATGTACTATAGTTAGAATCTAGCTTGAGCAATAAACATTTAGGTTTGAGGAGGAGGTGAATTGAACTAAATTTTATAGCATTTATTTCATTTTATAATTTACGGTAACAAGCTACCTTAATACTAATTATAATCTATATACCAAACAAAAGGACCAATTAATCCTTTAAATGTTATGCACAAGCAGAAGTTGGGTTCACCAAACTCTAACGGAAATCTAGCTTTCTCACTATTAATAACATAAACGTTATAAAAAGTGGTTAAATACCAAATAAAGATCTAAGTAATCAAGCTGTAAATTTTTTAAAGTGGTTTGACAAGCCGCCAGTACATCATCATGACTATTACACCTGAAAAAAGAAATCATGACTCCAGACTTCTCCCATCAACACTAATCCTCATCGAATAATTGGTGAAAGGTAAAATTCTTGACTAGCAATTCAGCCATGAATGTTGGTGGTATGATACAAATGAACATTTTAACAATGTTTTTGGTGGTACCAGCAGATGTGGGTGTGCAACAATGTTTGGTACATCTCAAGAAAATGGTTGAAAGTCAAGAATATCCATTCTTGTTGAAAAGTCAAAATTTGATACATACCATAACTTTGAGGTAACAAACATGTCTTCTCGTTTTATTCCCATTTCTTGCATCACATCCTTAAGTGCCTTACCAACCTCTCCTTCATTCTTGTAAATATGAGCACAATCGATGTGTTTGTAACCTGCCCTAGCAGCAGCCTTGACTGAAGCATCAACTTCACCAGGTTTAGACTTCCATGTTCTACAACAAACACAGTGGCTTAACTACTATGGGCTCAGAATGGGCCAACCCATGGACCCCCTGTCAGATTAGAAGATTATCATTGTACTGTGGATTAAAATAAGAAAAATTACACATCATGAACTTATGTTCAAAAAATTTAAATTTAAAGGCTACACAGCAAAATCATACTAGATGTGGTAGTTATTAGATTTCAATATGGTTATCGAAGGGGGGCCCCTTGTAATATTTTTCCATGCAAGTCCCCAGTTGTGCTGCTATGCCATTGAACAAACATTTTGTGTATATTCATATCAATTTATACATAAAACAAGATTCGTCGGCAATATATCCTGGCAGACATACCCTAAACCAATAGCAGGCATTAATGCTCCTGTGTTCAATTTGAATGAACGAACCTAGGAAAATAAAAAACGTCTATATATTAGACGACGCGTGTCACATAAAGCTACGTAACAGTTCATATTGTACTAAAGCGTTACTCCAAGAATGTACTCATTATTGCAAATACAAATTAAAGTACAGTAAAATACTAACCAAATTCATTGTCGAATGCAGACAAGATAATTTCCACGTAAACTGCACACAGATTACAGAGTTTCAGTTACACTGATGACATTGACAACGCTTACAGAACCACATTGAGATGGCATTATAAGATTGAATGACATGATATAATATAAGCACAGTTTAATGATTATACAGAAGAATCACTCAGGTGTACAACGTGTCCTCAAGTCGACCATTATTCTAGCCAGATGATTAGGATTTCTCATTTGTTTAAGCCATTAAAATTACATGACGTCAATACTTAATAATGTTCAAGTATACTTTGATTCAAGAAATGAGTACGGATCATTTTAAAGGTTGGGAAAAAGTCAAAAACCCTCATCATGTGGCTGTTAGCTGGGAATAATGGCGGCCATCATGCGCACCACGACATACGCGAGGACAAAAACATCAAAGTTTCCGACACGAGTGACTCACTGACATGAACACTGGGTAAAAAAATATAGTAAGTTAATTGAAGCCGGAAGTTGGCTCATCTGATTATGACCTTTGTGGGGGGTATCGGTTACACTTTACTATACTTTTGTAATAAAATATCACAGTTTTTGCGTTTTTATTCGTTCTACAAACTTTTGATTCGAGCAAAATTTTTGTGAAAGGGACAGAACAACCAGCAAAGATATTTAATCCTAAAAAGTTTGTCTTCCTGGCTTTATGATGGCAGGAAATTGAGATGGTGCAAGGTCGACCTGCATTGTTTTGAAACATACTGGAGATTATGTGATGCTGCTGCTTCTTAAATGTAAAAATATTACATAATCCTACTAATGCTACTAAAATTTCATCTGCAATGATGTTTATGGAAGATTGCTATAAATTTACTTATTTAACAACACTTTGTTATTCACATCGCTAATATCGTAATAATTTCAAATTACGTCTTTATTATATCAGTGAAGAAACAAAACAAATCGACAAAGAAAAATAATCAGAAAGACATTTTGATGAACAATAGTAAGTTGAAAACGGTATCATCAAACTCTGCGAGTTGTACATCATTAAGATATGCGAATTAAAGTACCTCTGTTGTCACTAAGCGAAGCAAAGTTTTCAACCAGTTCCTATGTGAACAACTTCAATATCGATGAATATGTTGAAGATATGAATACCTTACTTTGTTGTAAATTTGTAATTTAAGTATTCATCTTCTAAAAATGCCTCGCACGGCTGAAATTGTCCTCGTCACCTTCAACTTTCAAATTTCAATACAACTTGCCATCTTATTTTTCAGTCGTTAAAAGCCAAAAAAACAGAGCTTCAGGGTTAAAACTCTCTACCGGTTTTCCTCTACCTGCCATAAAAATTTTGCCTTAATCAGAAGTTTGTAAAAGGAACAAAAACGCGAATACTGTGATTTTGTAATACAAACGTATAGTAAAGTGGGACCGATACCCCCCATGAAGTCAGTAGCAAATGATCGATCTTCCGGCTTCAATTTTCGCAAGAGATGCGTTATCCAGTCTAATATACATATCAGTGCATGACACTGACAGCAACTAACATTTGCGATTGAAATATATTCCTTTAGTACAATTCAAGTTAGGTAATTGTTAATTATTAAAAGCAATGAATTCATTATTGGTTATTGTTCACCATCCCAGTACTGTTCAGCTGAGCCACCAGCACCATAGAATGGTTCCATTTTCAAATAACGAAATCTTTTCCCAATATTGGCCAAGGCTTTCATGTCTTCTTCCTCCAGCTTAACATTATATGTATCCAAATTTTGCTTTATCCTCTCTTCCTTCACTGACTTTGGTAGAACAGGGCATCCATAAAGAACACCCCAGGCAAGTAACACCTAATTTTTTGAATGATGATACAAATTCATATTTTTCACAAATAATAAAAATTAATATCGTATAAAACAAAATGAAACAACAAACCTGGGCCGGGGAACAGTTACGCTTTTCTGCAATTTGTTTTATCAATGTGTCTTGCATAAGAATTGGATCATCTTTATCAAACATTGGTCGATCAGCAGAACCCAGGGATGAGTAAGCTGTGATAATAATGCCTACATAAAATAAAGTAATGTTAGAAGGGTGCTAAGCTTATTTGACAGGAAGTGCAAATCAGCTGTGCAGATTTTCCAAGGGAAGATAGGGGGCATTATAAATATTATTAATATTTAATTTATAAGTAAACTACATTCTTAGTTGTTCAGTCTTGCTGTGCAATTTTCAAGAATATAATAATAAACAATATGGTATTGTCAATTAGACAAATTTTGATAAAAAGACAACAAACATTGATGGAAAATTAAACTTGAAGATCACCAACCTTTTTCTTCACAAAACTTCTTCAACTCAGGTTGTGATAAGTAAGGATGAAGTTCAACTAAATTATTAAATCGAAACTATAAAAATAATTATAAACAGCAATACAATTCTCATTGTACTAACCTTGGTTTGTGGCTGGAACAATCTTTGCAGTTTCAAGAAGAGCCTTCACTTTTGTGGTGGAAAAATTAGAGATGCCAATAGCCTTACACAGACCTTTTTCGACCAAACTTTCCATACCCTATTTTAAACAACAATGTTTAAAGTGAATAAAAAACTGTACATCAACACCAGTGTGCGAATTAACGGTGTGCAATGTGCAATTTGTACATTGTTTTAGCTAAAATGAAAACAATTGCACATCTCTTTTTCAAACAATGTGCAAAAATCAGCGGTTTTAATGAAAAACACTGTCATAAATCATATGAATTTGTTCAGGTTTGAAAATATTAATTTAGCAATTAGCGCTATATAATAATTAACATAATATTGATTTGATCAAGCCTATAAAGAAACACTTTTGTCAAAAAATTGAACATCGTTTTTTCTGAACTAATTTGCACACTGATCAACATGTGTAGTTGACGGATAAAAATCTTTCATGATCAAACTAGAACTAAACTGTATTGTCAAAAACTTGAAATACAGCATCTATGTTACTTTTCTTGTTAATCATTGTATCTCTATTAACTTTGCTTGACAAGTGGCTATAAAGATATCCATTTTAGTTCAAAGCTATTATAATAGTAGATGTTTTTGCAGCAGCAACTCCCACAGATGTGTGAGAATCAATACTTTACAATAATCAAGGAAACTCCTAAGTCATGATCAAAGATAAAGAAAATACCTTCCATGTTTCACTCATTCGTTCTTTATCATAACCAATGACTTTTTTCAGCTGTGCCGGCGACATAGGGAAAGCCATATCTTTGGGAAAAGTACATGGATTATGCACCTAAAAGTTAATTGAATATCCAGTTGAGTTGATTCTGTTGGGTTATGTACTATAGTTAGAATCTAGCTTGAGCAATAAACATTTAGGTTTGAGGAGGAGGTGAATTGAACTAAATTTTATAGCATTTATTTCATTTTATAATTTACGGTAACAAGCTACCTTTATACTAATTATAATCTATATACCAAACAAAAGGACCAATTAATCTTTTAAATGTCATGCACAAGCAGAAGTTGGATTCACCAAACTCTAATGGAAACCTAGCTTTTTCACTATTAATAACATAAATGTTATAACAAGTGGTTAAATACCAAATAAAGATCTAAGTAATCAAGCTGTAAATTTTTTAAAGTGGTTTGACAAGCCGCCAGGACATCATCATGACTATTACACCTGAAAAAAGAAATCATGACTTCAGCTTCTCCCATCAACACTAATCCTCATTGAATAATTGGTGAAAGGTAAAATTCTTGACTAGCAATTCAGCCATGCATGTTGGTGGTATGATACAAATGAACATTTTAACAATGTTTTTGGTGGTACCAGCAGATGTGGGTGTGCAACAATGTTTGGTACATCTCAAGAAAATGGTTGAAAGTCAAGAATTATCCATTCTTGTTGAAAAGTCAAAATTTGATACATACCATAACTTTGAGGTAACAAACATGTCTTCTCGTTTTATTCCCATTTCTTGCATCACATCCTTAAGTGCTTTACCAACCTCTCCTTCATTCATGTAAATATGAGCACAATCGATGTGTTTGTAACCTGCCCTAACAGCAGCCTTGACTGAAGCACCAACTTCACCAGGTTTAGACTTCCATGTTCTACAACACAGTGGCGTAACTACTATGGGCTCAGAATGAGAGAACCCACAGCCCCCCTGTCTGATTAGAAGATTATCGTTGTACTGTGGATTATAGTAAGAAAAATTGCACGTCATGAACTTATGTTCAAAAAATTTTAAATAAAGGCTAGACAGCGAAATCATACCAGATGTGGTAGTTATTAGATTTCAATATGGTTATTGTAGGGGGGGGGCCTTGTAATATTTTTCCACGCGGGTCCCCTAGTTGTGCTGCTATGCCATTGAACAAACATTTTGTGTATATTCATATAAATTTATACATAAAACAAGATTCGTCTGCAATATATCCTGGCAGACATACCCTAAACCAATAGCAGGCATTAATGCTCCTGTGTTCAATTTGAATGAACGAACCTAGGAAAATAAAAAAACGTTATATATTAGACGACGCGTGTCACATAAAGCTACGTAACAGTTCATATTGTACTAAAGCGTTACTCCAAGAATGTACTCATTATTGCAAATACACATTAAAGTACAGTAAAATACTAACCAAATTCATTGTCGAATGCAGACAACGTAAACGTTATAATTTCCACGTAAACTGCACACAGATACAGAGTTTCAGTTACACTGATGACATTGACAAGCGCTTACAGAACCACATTAATATGGCATAATAAGATTGAATGACATCATTTAATATAAGCACGTGCAGATTCTGCAGAATGTCAATGCTTTCGACACAATTACATCTGCCACGATCATACTCAAATTGCTCAATTTAGTAAAGCATACTATTTACAAATTTCTACTAAATATATTTCGCGTCCGATACGAAGCAGAATCAAACTTACACTATTTCAAATGACTTCGTCGCGAAGTTACCGATGACGATGACGAAAAACTCGAATTTACACTTATGAAATGAAACAATTTCAGGGTATTTGCAACCTTTTTTTTCATCCAAACATATATCTTCCAAAGAGTTCAAAGTGCAGAACAAAATGAATGTTTCAATCCCATTACATCAAGTCTGATGAGAACAAGACTTGTTACACAATTGAATTCGTTATCATAACCAATTTTGTTTTCAAAGTGACTTTTTAAGATATCAGAAATACAGACTAAGATAAGCTTCTTTATGTCTTAGTTTCTTCACATCTTTCTCTGTCATCAACTATACAGAAAATTCAACAATGTCAGAACATAAAACCAAACCAACCACATATATATAAATATTTCAGACATTGTGTACATACTTGGTACATTTCGATAATTAGTGATAAAAACATAGCTTATGTTTTGGCATTCATACTTGCAAGACAAACTTACTGTTAAGCCCCACCTATAAGCACTGGTCCCTAAGTATATACAAGTTGTTAAGCTCTTTTTCATTTACTTATACATGGAAGAGAATTGAATCGACAAATCATACTGCCATTTACTATTTACGCTGGTGGGCTTATTCAAGGGAGGGCTTATATATATGGGGGGGTGGTGGGGTGGGTTATAGGTGAAGGTTCATGGTATTAAATATGTATGATCATCAGTAGCATAGCCACTGTGCTTATCTAGTCTTGCAATGTTAATTTTTGGGTGATCACTTACTGTAAAATTAATAGATTTTTAAAGAAATTAATAATGAAAATGTTTTGAAATTTACATAGCACAACAAAAACTTGCACACTGGTTACACTGCTGATGATCATAAATCATTTACTCAAGTGCTAGACTCACCATCAGTATGGTGATAGCCGCATGACATATTGTATAATAATTTGTCATAAATACCCGGAGTTTTACATTAGTTCCTTCATGGTTACGAGTTCGTACAGGAAGGACCAAAGTTTGTGGACCACCAAACGATCCAAGATATTTTAATTTCCTATTCTTTACAACCATATGTTCATACGTCCCTGGACTAAGCAAATAAAATAAATTTATTTTTACTTATAATTGTTGAAAATGAATTTCCATAATTCTACCTTATTAAAAACTATTTACTGCCTTTGTCTTACTGCATTGTTGATGGATGAAAAATTTAATTGTCAATCAAGTCAATTTTTAGAAATTAACTTTGCTTCATATATAATACTGGAATTTTTTTAACTAAAATTTTTAACTAAAAAATAATTGATCTCTTCTATGGGTAGAATAAAAAAGCTTTTTTAATTATTCCTATTTCCGGCAAGCCCTCTAAGTTACAAATGCTGTTCTTTTCTAAAACATTTTACATCTATAATCTACCCAACTTAAATGATGCTTTAAATCCCTACAACATTCATACATAAAGTTAAGAAAATAAAAGTACCCTGGTTCTCCATTCTTCTGTTTCTAAAAAGAAAAAAAATTATCATGAAGTATTCTATTAATGCTAATTAAAGATCACAGATCCCAAACCTTTGAGTGTACAGGTGGAAAACGTGAAGAACCAGATTGAAATGGACGAAAAGCTGGAGAGATTTCTAATGGTTTACCATTGATCTCTTGGTATGCTTGAGGACCTGGAGTGTTAAGCTATAATAAATACCAAGACATTTCAATTAGATCAAGTCATGCCACATAATCTTCCAAAATAATTTGACATTAATTCAAACTCTATTTTGACACTTAAAATTGAGGATAAAAACAATGTGCTGAGCAAAAAAATGGTGGTAGAAATATATATTCCTCTTACCATGACATTGTCAAAGTAATGAAATAAAAATTAAACAATTAAATTGATATGCATTCAAATCTGAGAAGGAGAGAACACTCCACTTTCTGATCGCAACAATTTAATATCAAAGGTGCAACAAACAGAGTGAGGGGACTGCACTAGGAATTATTCTCAAAACTATTGTCTTTATTTGCACAATAAACTATAAGAATGTTTTGTAAGAGCCACTATTTTGAGTTGTCGCGAAAGAAAACTTTGCAAGGAAAAGTGAGGTAGCTAATATGCAAGTAAGGTATATGATGGCTATGAAAAGTACTTTGGTGTTTACTAGCTCAAGCTGTAAAAAGAATAGATTTAAAAAAATAAGCAATACTAATGATTTGAAATCTACAGGGAGACTTCTTTTGCCAAAGTGCAATATGTTTCAAAATGGTTTAGTATTAAGTTCGTCTGTTAATTTAAATCAACGAACATGAACTTACATGTAACGATTTACCAAATCTATGAGCAGTTCTAGCCCCAAGAGTATATCCTTTACTGCAACAAGGTCGATGATCCATTGCATAAGTAAACGTACTTACCTGAAGATAAACAAGAATAAAATAAAGTCCTAAAGATAACGTAGCAGAGAGCTATAGTATTTATTAAAGGTGTAAATGTTTATAGGTCTCACTTCGTCGTTGTCATATCGTCCAGGACCGAGGTTTGGCGCTCGAGGTATTCTTAACTTATTACCAAATCTTGTAGGAGGCACATTTAAAGGTAATAGTTTACGATTGAGCGTTGAACCAAATGCAATGGATGGATTGGATGCCTTTTGACCTGAATAAAAAAATTTGTCCAAATTGTCTTGAGTCAAAACAATCTTCAAGACTAAAATACCGCGTATAAAAGCGCATATTTCAAAATTTTAAGCAACTTACCACCACTAAAACGAGACATTTTTTCAAAATACTATTTTTTACAACTACAGAAAGCAACGTTTTGTTACGATAGCTATAAAAAAGAAGTATTTTTGAAAGTTGTCGTTCTGCTGTTGCTATAACCACCAACTATGAGCCCACAATCGTATCACCAGCGGCTGGCAAGTGCTTTTGGCAGAGGAACATGTAATAAAATAAGATTACATAATTAGTCTATAGAAGATATTTCATGATAAATTCACTTATTCAAAATAAAAATTAACTTGGGTTAGAGGTATTCAATGTAAAATACTTTCATGAAGTTGCTATTATCATTTATATGAAGCAAATGGCATCGCTTTATACATTATTGGTCTATTTTACTTGTAAAGGTTACAAGAGATGGGTTTAGCAAGATCAGCCCTAACCAGGGCTCTTCGTTTTCAAGTTCAAAACCAACATAAAATAGATAAAGCTCTTGAGGGTAAACCAACACCTGCACCAAAACATGAAACTACCAAACAATTGCTGGATATTGCAAAAATTGGTCAGTATTCTACAAATTAATAAATTGATAATTTTGAGTGACTGACAAGATTGAGTTCATTTAGAAAATCAGGAAAAATTCGAACAACATAACAGAAAAAACAATGATTATCTTGGCCTTTTGAAAAATATTCGAGTCAATTCATTGGATATACCTGATCAGGTGAGCACTAGGCTAAACTACAGTTAGCCTCAGATGGTTCAATATGTTAAGACATTTCTAATTCATGTTTAATTCCAGAATGTTATTCCCAACGAGAAAACACTTTCAGTAAGAAGTGGCTCCTTGACATCTGAGCAGTTGAAAGTATTGTTTGAACAAAGGATGGCAGACCCACAAACATGGGACAGTGAAAAAATTTCAAGCCATTACAACTTACCTCTGGACACTGTTGAAAACTTGTTGAAATATTTTAGTGACTTTCATATTCAAGAAGGACCCAAAATTCCCGAACCTCTGGCAGAAATAACGTATTAACTAGTCGCTAATTATGTTAAATAAGTGATAATAAATATAATTACATGTTTGTAGACGTAGATCGTCTGGATCGTCCAGTTTGTCCCCATTGAATAAAGTCCCCAATTCCCGTTTAATAAATATAATAATATGCGTGAATACAGCAATAATTACCTTGACGATATTTATTGTTTATATCACGTGGTTGAGTTAAATCCTTAAATATACGTTTCAAACATGGAGGGTTTGGACGTGAAATCCAACGATGTAGACATAACAATTACGGCGCCTTCCGATGGTGAAAGAGAGAACTCCGCTTCATCATCAGAGAACGAGGAAGCGTCGGATGTAAACGAGAATAGCTTTGATACTCCAACAGAAAATTCGATGAAGTTGAATGATGACGGTAATGATGACAGCGAAGAGCTCTGTGAACGCTTTGACAGCGGAGTAAGTTTAAACGACGAGAAATTTTCTCCGGAAAATAGGAAAAAGATCCAGAGGGAAGGGAAGAGTTTTGACACAGTCAGTGATCGCGTACTGATTGAAAAAGATGGCAAATTTGAACTAGTGGATGCAAATGAAATAAAGGCAGAATATTTCGAAATGTTAGGCATCAAACCAGCTGGGCAAAGGGGAAATAATGAAAGTAACAGGAACTTAGATCATAGAGATAGTTCAAATGATGTGCGCTCAGTTAAAAATAGACCAAAGACAACACCATCTCACGGCAAACGAAATAAGGAAATAGAGAGTAAGAATGCCAGTGGACGAATTCAAAGTTCTGGGGCTATAGAAATCCTGAGTACTCAAACATAAAATCACCATATGCTTTGAATGAAAAACAACTGGAAATCAAGCGAAAACGAGAAGAAGCAATTGCACGAAGGAAGAAAGAAGAGGCAGACCGACAACAGGAGGAAGAAAGAAAGAAACGGGAGAATGCAGAAAAAGCATTTCAGGTGTGTGCTAGATAGTATTGTGTATTTTGCAATGACTTTTTTATGTTATAACGAAATGTCACAAAAAATGCGTCTAGGCTTGGTTGAATTCAAAACGAGAAGAAGAAAGAGAAAGACGACAGCAAATGTCGAGAGATATGCAAAACAAAGATGATAGTCGTATCAAGGAATCAAAGAAAGCATATGATGCCTGGAAAATGGCAAAGAGGAGACAAGAAAACAAGGAACGTGAAGCAGAGTTGAGAAAAATGCAAGAGACTGCATCCATGTATGTTGTCCATGATCGTGGTGCTTGTGAAGAGGCTTTCAAAAGGTAGAATTTTTGAATAAACAGTATCATAATGCAGTTTAGGTGTTTAAAGATATCATGTTTTTTAAAGATGGTTGAAGAAGAAAAATGACGAGAGAAAGACAAAAGTGATGGAGAAGAAGAAACGTTTAAAGATGAGAAAAAAACAGAAACCAAAAGAGCCTTTACCGATTAACTCAGAGAAAATAAGGTAGATAACTTATGGGTAAAACATTCCTTATCTTATCAGTTGTTCATATTTTCTTATTTTTAAGGTTCACAGACAATTATGGCTACAGAAATACTGTTGTTTATTAGACATAATTTGATTAAAAATCAATAGCATGTATGTGCACTGTTACTTTCATAAGACTGTAAATAAGACATAGAGTAGAGAGTATTTTAGGTGATATTTAACAAAAGATTTTATGTTCATTCTATGGTAATGTTTGCAAGCTTTATGCCCATGTTCACCACAACTTAAAACTTTAAAAACACTGTGATGTACATACCACCTTAATCCACATAAATACATAATTTACAAAGTACTCCATACCTCCTTGACCATTTTAATGCTTGCATTGATGAAACCATAGCAGGCAAGTGTGTGATCTAAAAATGTGATTCAGTTAGCAACAAATGTAAATGAATGTTAGCCAATTTAGTAAATTTACAAGTTACCAAGATATCTGCGAATGCTGTAAAGTTTAACAAAATTTTCCTTATTTTTACTTACTTCTTCTTTCCTTATCAATGTTACCAGTTTCATGCTAGCTGATTGCATGATTGTTAGGTAATGCAATGAAATGATGAATAAACCTTGCTCTTCTCTGGCCTTGTTGTGATAACTGTTTTTCTGTCATTTCTTCTTCAACAGGAGATGGTCGAAGCATTATTGCACCAAATATTGTAGCTATGAGGATAGCACAATGATAGTATTGAGCATGATTAGGTCAAATCAAAGACAGACCTTTAAAATGATGTGTTGTTTTCAACCCTTATTGTTAGGCAAGAGTAAAATAGCTCAATGACATAATCTTTTTACCATTCATTCCAAACATCAAGTAGTTCATTACTCTCCCTCTACCCCACTGCAATCAAAAAATACTAAAATACCATCCCTCTACATTTATTCCAAACAAATAGTTCAACACCTTCCTTCTACCATTCATTTCCTGCAACAAATAGTTTAACACCTTCCTTCTACCATTCATTTCCAGCAACAAATAGTTCAACACCTTCCTTCCAACATTCATTTCCAGCAACAAATAGTTCAACACCTTCCTTCTAACATTTATTTCCAGCAACAAATAGTTCAACACCTTCCTTCTACCATTCATTTCCAGCAACAAATAGTTCAACACCTTCCTTCTAACATTTATTTCCAGCAACAAATAGTTCAACACCTTCCTTCTACCATTCATTTCCAGCAACAAATAGTTCAACACCTTCCTTCCAACATTCATTTCCAGCAACAAATAGTTCAACAACTTCCTTCCACCATTCATTTCCAGCAACAAATAGTTCAACACCTTCCTTCCAACATTCATTTCCAGCAACAAATAGTTCAACACCTTCCTTCTACCATTCATTTCCAGCAACAAATAGTTCAACACCTTCCTTCTAACATTCATTTCCAGCAACAAATAATTCAACACCTTCCTTCCACCATTCATTTCCAGCAACAAATAGTTCAACACCTTCCTTCTACCATTCATTCCCAAACAACAAATTCATAAAACGTCACACATAAGACAGTTGAAATCTTTAACAAGTGGACAACAACACTAAAGGCAACACAACTCATAATAACTTTTCAATTTAAACTCACCAAGTACTTTAGGCTCCAATTTATTCCATCTTGAATAGTGCAACAATTCTTTTAAAAATTCTGTTAGATAGGTAAAAACATTCTTGTGACTTTCGGGTAGTCTCGCCACCATCTACACATAACAGAGAAAATTATGTGTAAGACTGCTCAATAAAAGTTGCAAATACTTTATATTCCATGTTGCAAAAAGTTCCTTCAGTATAACACACAAAATTTAACCTTGCTAACCTGTTTACATAAAGTGTAATTGTTACTGCAATCCATACATTTTTGATACATTTCAAACGGGATGACTGGTTGCTCAAGACTTTCCAGAAACAGCAACAAAGCCTCGGCTATTGAATGAATGCTACCTGCTAAATGTTATGGTCAAGAAAAACACCATCATATTAGGTTAACTTTCAAGATTGATTGACTAATTACGAAAGTATATTCAACAGTTTGTCGTGTGTATTGACAAAAACTGAGAAGCTCCCTTGGGCTTGTTTGAAAAGCGGTGGTTAAGGAGAGAATGCAAACCATGCAAAGAAAACTGTAAAGATTAGTTTTGTCACTTCTCCAAGCTATTGAAATACAGCTGAAGTCTGAACAAATTGATATATAAACATGAAATAAGTTCAAAATACCCACAAACAAACGTATACTTGCAATCGAACGAATTTTTTTATCAATACACTAACTCGACGATTCTGACTCACTAACTCCCTTAAGACTACACCAAGGGATGTTGTAGCATCAGTTGACATCAACACCAACAGTCCTTCTCAGTACTCCACTACCCTGGACCGTATCTACATCTACAAACATGTAACGATACTCCCGTGTTCAAACCATTTACTTTAGCACAAACTTTCGTTATTCAAAAGATACGTAAATGGCCATCGGCTTTTGTGTCGAGATGTTCACGAATCTTTTGAAACTCTCCTTCAAAAGCTGACAATTTAAATAGATTTGGCTGAAAGAAAATCATTAAATACTATGAGTTAACATGTGTGCCATTAAATACATGGACCTGGGTCGTTAATACCTCGCAAATTCCATGTTTCTGTAAATGATCGACAAGCAGCCATAATTCCTTGGGTAGATCTAAAGCTTTCGAATGCTGGGGATTTCCATCGAGTTCGGAACATTCCTACAAAAACAAAAAAATTTGAGACCACTCAAAACGAGGATGAAAACAGCATGAAAGAAGAGTAAGGCTAGGAAGATGGACATAGTGGATTTTAAGAGGAAAAAGTCCAAGAGATTAAGTATAGTGAGAAAAACTATAATATATGAGAATAAGAACAATCAAAAGTTGTAAAAAACATTTAAAAGTATGAATAGCAAAGGAAAGAAAGAATTAAAAAAGCGTTACAATCACGTAAAAAACTTACAATATCAATGAGTTTAGCAACTGGAGCATCCTGCATTGGTCGATATAGGAACACTAAACTTTCAATACTGGAGCCAAAGACACTGGGTTTGTATGTACCAGATATGGGTAACTTTTTTAGTTAAAAAAAATCGCTAAATAATCTTCTTAAATTTAATAAAAAAAACAATAGCTCCAGTAAAATCATCATATAGTTTAGGAAAAAAGTTTGACTTTTTTAAAAATTGTCGGTTTATCAAGAGATGTTCAAACAAAAATCAATGAAGATCGTACTAAAACTACAAGTAAACATTCATTAAGAAAATTAACATGAAAACACGAAACAAAGGATACAAAGAAATCCTTTCCACCTTGTAGATGCAATACTAATATATCTTCAATCTTTTCTCTGCCTGCAGTCAAAGGTCCAGCGGTGTCAGCCTTGACAAATACGCTGACTTCAAGAGTCTTTGAATCGTCTAAACAACGAGTAGAAGTCAAATCTCAACATAACGTCACCGAGACCAAACTACAACAATAATACTTACGTTGTTTAACGAGTCCTGCAGACGGCTCTACGGTCAACCAAGGCCTACAAAACCATTTCTCTTCAAGTTTAGGGATGAAAGTATATTGCACTGCAACCTAAATATAGGTAAGGTTGTAATGAAATGGAGATAGTTTAGGGATAAACATATATTGCCAGTAGCGTAGTCAACCAGCAGATTTACTCCCGCTATGTAAATTTTAAATAATCACCATTATTCATTTCTTAGAAATCTATTGTTCTCACGCTCAGTACACACAAAAATATTTGCATAGCTGGAGTAAAAAGTCAGGCTGGCTACGCTACTGTATATTGCAGTGCAACCAAAATAAGGGGACGGTGGTAATGAAATGGAGATCATTTAGGGATAAACATAAACTGCAGTAGAATCAAAATAGGGGGACGGTGCTAATGAAATGGAAACACTTCAGGGATAAACACATATTGCATTGTAACCTGAATATAGGGGGGGAGAAGGTGGTAATGAAATGGAGATCATTTAGGGATAAACATAAACTGCAGTGGAATCAGAATAGGGGGACGGTGCTAATGAAATGGAGACACTTCAGGGATAACCACATATTGCATTGTAACCTGAATATAGAGGGGAGGTGGTAATAAAATGGAGATAATTTAGGGATAAACACATATTACACGATGGATATAATCACTCACCTGTCCAACATTTCTCAGTTGAAAGTTCAATGTTTTCTTTTCAAGGAATTGAACATCGCCGAAATTTAACTAAAATTTAAAATGTAAAAAGTCAGTGAGGTAATAGTGCAGAGCAATCATGTATACTAACTTATTGTATTGTGCTCTATTAAATTATATAAATAACACACATATAAGACTGTCTATTGGAGCTATAACTTTCACTCAAACTTTACTTTACACGAAATATGAAATACTAAAACACTTTCTTTATATATGTAAATAACACACATGTACGACTGTTATAGAGCTACGTATGACTTTTACTAAAGTTATGAATAAATTTGCTAAACGATAAAAACCTCTTTAACAGTAAGCTCAACTTGAGGAAGAAAATCATTTTCTCTTTTGTCCAGTTCACGAACAACTTCCTCCAAAACAACTTTCTCCCGCTTTTTGTCGACGACTTTCACCTACGATCAAAGAGATGAAGATTTACTTAGGGGTGAGACATGCGTGTATGAATATCGACAACAACGATGCTATATCAAGCTGGTGATGCCTCTGGCAACTAAATACTGTTGCGTTGTAAACGTAGATCACATTTATCACAGTTTTTTGAAAACTTGAACTAAAACCGTCAATATAGAAATTGGTGAAAGGTGATCATTGTGTTTTTCAGACTTTTGCAAACATTTTCAGAACTATTTATGATCAACACCAACGATAAATTCATTGATTCAAAACTCAGAGCTTGTTTGCTTACATTGACATTGAACAAAGCATGGACTGGCTTATGATCACTCAGTTTGAATTCAGGACAGCTAGCGTATGCCATCTGTTGTACTGTGTTGCTTTCTATTGTACACCAAAGTACTCGATCACACCACGCTGGAATTCGATCCTTTTCACTAAACACACATAGTACAATAATGACAAATAGACCCTAACTTACTACAAGATAGTTTACATGTTCCAAACTTACTACACGATAGTTTACATGTTCTCTAACTTACTACAAGATAGCTTACATGTTCTCTAACTTACTACAAGATAGTTTACATGTTCTCTAACTTACTACACGATAGCTTACATGTTCTCTAACTTACTACACGATAGCTTACATGTTCTATAACTTACTACAAGATAGTTTACATGTTCTCTAACTTACTACAAGATAGCTTACATGTTCTCTAACTTACTACACGATAGCATACATGTTCTCTAACTTACTACAAGATAGTTTACATGTTCTCTAACTTACTACAAGATAGCTTACATGTTCTCTAACTTACTACAAGATAGCTTACATGTTCTCTAACTTACTACAAGGTAGCTTACATGTTCTCTAACGTACTATAAGATAGCTTACATGTTCTCTAACTTACTACACGATAGCTACATGTTCTCTAACTTACTACAAGATAGCTTACATGTTCTCTAACTTACTACAAGATACTTACATGTTCACCTAATCTCTACTACAAGATAGCTTACATGTTCTCTAACTTACTACACGATAGCTTACATGTTCTCTAACTTACTACAAGATAGCTTACATGTTCTCTAACTTACTACAAGATAGCTTACATGTTCTCTAACTTACTACACGATAGCTTATATATGTTCTCTAACTTACTACAAGATAGCTTACATGTTCTCTAACTTACTATAAGATAGCTTACATGTTCTCTTAACTTTACTACAAGATAGCTTACATGTTCTCTAACTTACTACACGATAGCTTACATGTTCTCTCTAACTTACTACACGATAAGCTAATATGTCTCTAACTTACTACAAGATAGCTTACATGTTCTCTTAATTACTACACGATAGCTTACATGTTCCAAATTTTATGTACGATAGCACACATTTTCTAAAATTTACTACACGATATCCCTTTACTGCTACTTCTTGAATTAACCACATAACCCATGATCTAACTGTTTACGAGATTGCTTAGTATATTTCTGACTAACTAAAAAATGACATTTCACTAACTGGGCATAAGATTGCCGACAATCTCTGATCACTAACAATAGCCTAATATGTCTCCCAAGAGACGGTTGATATGCTTATTGTTATACATACCTATCCCAATCGTCAGTACCGGATTGTATTTATAAGTTGGTTTAAACGCTAGACAACCTTCTTTAAAATTTTGAAACATTTATCTTGGCGCATTTGTAGAATGAGCTAAACAAGCAAGAACAACTTGTTCAACAGAAATAAGAAAGGAGAATATAGTAAAACATTAGAGAAGCCAAACCTGATCATGTTCCCCTTAACTGCTTAAAAGCTCTCATCGTCAATATTTTCTCACGGTACGTGAGAAAGGTTAATACGATAGTTCAAATCACCGAACCAAAAGATACGCTTTAAAACAAACATTCATTCTCATGTAAAATATTAAAAATTACGAGCAACATGGGCCTGTTTGTAGGTGCCTTTCCTTTGGACTGTAACATCAGCGATAACGTTGACTAGTTTAACATTTAAGGAAATTCTTAATTTTGAGCACAAGAGATTAGTAAGAGACTAGGATTAGTGTTTTGTAAAGGAATGGCAAAAATGGTTAGCATTAGCTACATCATTCTCAAGATACCTACAATCTGAGCCTGCATTTTCATCAAGTCAGTTATGATTATGATAAAGTGCTGACCAGATAAAACGCAAGACGAAAGAAGGTCTAAGGAACGGTAAATGATAAATGAAGATCGAAAAAACTTCATCGTGATCCCAGAATGACAAGCTACAAGGCACGATGAAAGGAGGTAGAAGGGTCATTGAATGATAAAAATGAAAAACATACTCATGATCCATGATGGTCAGGTTACTTTCAGGAAATCCCAATCTTACCAAGATATCGCGATGATCCTGAAGAAGAATAAACTTACTTTCCATATGTATCCCACAACAATGATTTCAATAAATTTACTATTCATATGTATCCCACAACAAATGATTTCAATAAATTTACTATTCATATGTATATCCCACAACAATGATTTCAATAAATCTACCATCTATATGTATCCCACAACAATGATTTCAATAAATTTACTATTCATATGTATCCCACAACAATGATTTCAATAAATCTACCATCTATATGTATCCCACAACAATGATTTCAATAAATTTACTATCCATATGTATCCCACAACAATGATTTCAATAAATTTACTATTCATATCTGTCCCACAACAATGATTTCAATAAATTTACTATTCATATGTATCCCACAACAATGATTTCAATAAATTTATTATCCATATGTATCCTACAACAATGATTTAATAAATTTACTATTCATATGTATATCCACAACAATGATTTCAATAAATCACCATCTATATGTATCCACAACAATGATTTCAAGAAAATTTACTATTCATATCTGTCCCCCAACAATGATTTCAATAAATTTACTATTCATATGTATCCCACAACAATGATTTCAATAAATTTACTATTCATATGTGTCCCACAACAATGATTTCAATAAATTTACTATTCGTATGTATCCTACAACAATGATTTCAATAAATTTACTATTCATATGTGTCCCACAACAATGATTTCAATAAATTTACTATTCATATGTATCCCACAACAATGATTTCAATAAATTTACTATTCATATGTATCCCACAACAATGATTTCAATAAATTTACTATTCATATGTGTCCCACAACAATGATTTCAATAAATTTACTATTCTATGTATCCCACAACAATGATTTCAATAAATTTACTATTCGTAGTACAATGACTTCTATAATTATGATTTCAATAATGTTTCCCTAGTAAAACACAATGATGAACTTACGAGCTAAAATAATGAATTTTACCTGATTTCGTCTCTCTACTTCTTCCTGATGTGCAGCCAAATGAGAATTAACAAAACAAACGGTTGTATTAAACAGTTGAAACCTTACAGCAACGCGCCACCTTTGTTACCCTGAAAGAAAATACATTTCCGTTTGTTTTATCATATTATGTCAAATATAACAATTTAACTCAAAAGTCATGCAAAAAATGCTATTTTAGCCAACTGTATTTCAAAGATTTTAACATTATAAAACATACTTGGAAGTAAGAGTTCACAAAGTACCAGGAAATTAGACATGGAGTTCACGGATATTCTTATGGACTTAACATATGACTAGACTTTATACAACTATAAGACTTTTAGACTATACGACTTTATCTGTTGTCTAATCTCGGCACAGCTTGTTTCGCAGTTTTGAGCATTTACGGCTGCAAAAGCTATTTACAAAACCATTAAAATACTAAAATACTTTTGAAATACAAAAACACTAAAATACACATCAAAATACTACTATTGAAATGGATATGTGTATGAAGTTAAGTCTTTTAATTGTATTAAATATTCTTTTCTAGTGTACAAAATTCTTTACCTATCAATGTGAGCTGCATTTTTCCTTTGAAGGAAGAAATACAAAAACTTTTTCAGTTTATTAGAAAGTGGTTGTGAGTTCGCAAAGCCTACTTGCAATATTCCGTAGATTGTAGGTAGGTACTTGTTTCACCTTTACGAGTGAACAAGTTGAAATAACTTGAAAAAATGTTTTCTGTATTTCTTCCTTCAAAGGAAAAATTGCAGCTCACATTGATAGGCAATGAATTTTTTATATTAGAAAAGGAGTATTTCATACCATTAAAAGACGTAACTACATATGCACTATGTTATGTCCTATAGTAGTATTTTTGATATGAAATTGAGTGTTTTTGTAAACAGCTTTTGCAGCCGTAACTACTGAAAAACTGCGACAAGTTGTTCCTAAACTGTCTACTATTTGCAGAAACTGCGACAAATTGTATAGAACTGCCGACAAACTGCTCTGAAACTGCTCTGAAACCGCGTAACTGTCGATCAACACGTAAGAGTTTACACAAGCGAGTACTAAGGAAATAAACAGTTACCTATGGAGCTCAATGTAACTCACCATCATTCCCATGATTCCAGTACCAACGTATTTTGTATCAATATCATCGACATCATCATAAAGTTCCAATTTAATAAAAACAGCCAATAACATTCCCACAAGACGAACAGACCAACTCATATTGACCAACTTTTTCAACACTTTTATTCACTCTTTCCATCCATTCCGTCTCACGTTTCGAGTCACGACCCATGAGGGCTTCGGTACTAAGATCCAATTCCTGGAAACCAATAGCAATGACATCAGGAACACCTTCTTCCCTAGTAAACCACTGACGTAAGTCGCCTCCAGGCCCCTGACCGTTCACATTCCACGTACAAACAAGAAATCTGAATTGATAAATGAACTTAGATATTATGCGATCCTACGGTAAGATTGAAGAAAAAATACCTAATTTATCATATGCAACCGGTATTTTGTAAAAAGTATCCCTCATACATTAGGAAAAACAAACCTTAATTGTCGAATATCAACAAATTCATTCTGACGGTCGTTCAACACAAGTCTTACAAACGTTTCTCTCTCAGTTCTAAAGTTGATTGATGTATCGGAGGTGAATGAGGGTCTCTGTGGACGCGATTTTGACAAGACTTCATTAGAGGAAAGAACAGAAGAACCGACGTCCAACATAACTATAGAAAAATTTAGAAACACACATCTTATAAAAAGTCGGTTTGATGCATTTTAAGATTGTCAGCCGGGTTCAGTTGAAAATTCACATCTTCTCTTTTGTCAACACATGTAACATTGAAATGAACAACAAGAATAAAGAAGGTGTCTCGATAGCGTACGTAGTCATTTGATAATGACTAATGGTGCCGTAACCAAAAAGAATCATTTCGACGTAATATAAATTTTTTTGCAAAACTTTTCATTCGCTTCTTTGGTATGTCATTGTCCTATGCAGTATGTAATGGTGGATGATGAAATATTTGCATATCGCAACTAGCAGTCATAAATGGTAACATAAATGATATCAATAAAATAAATGATGTAAAAAAGGGAGTTTCACATGAAATCATTTATGATTCATAATGCAATTACTCTTTTGACAAAGATGGAAGAAAGCTCCCCACCTCCAAATGAAAGAAAACCACCTTCCATCAAAGTCAAGATAAAAGGGCACCCCTCCCCCATCTCTGTCAAATGTTATGACGAAGAACAAACTCTCGACAATAGATAGGTTAAGGTAATAATCTTACCTGAATCATTTTCTTGTTTATATTTAGATGAAGTTGGTTCCATTGATAGGTTATTTAACATAGGTATATGACTTTTAAAGGTAGTGCGTCCATCTATATAAATAATCATCAATGAATTAGGGATGAGCCGATAAAGATAATTGCCGATTACTGAGGCCGATTATCGCAGCTACTCGGCCGATTATTCGGCACTTGCCGATTATTTTAAAAAGTAATAGACAAACACAAGTTGACCAACAATAAATAAGGAAATGCGGTTTTATGTTTACAATACACACTATGTACAATTAAAATCAGCTTAACAGTTAACAATAAAGTCTTGCTTGTCTTGATAATCAACGTATAGTTTCGGTAAATTATGGTGCAAAACTGGATATTTTCAACTTTATGCGATGCTAGTCTGCAGCGTTTCTCAGCAGAAACCTTCTCCGCTTCACTGAACACACGCTCGGAATATACGCTTGAGCTTGGCGGGCTTAGATAGTTAAGCGCGATGTTGAAGATGTTAGGATAAATTTTCTTGTAGGAAAGCCACCAGGTATTTGCAAAATTTCTTTTCTCCCAAAAATTTGACTCATCGCACAAGAATGTTTTTGTGTTTTTAATGCCACTCACATTCGCATTTGACGTGCATTTGCAGAAAGATGTGAAAATCAACTCGCTTGTATTTGGAATTATAACATTTCTTGAAATGCACAGAAAATGTGTTATGGCCGATTACTTGCCGATTATCGGCCGATTACCGATTATTTTAAAACTGGCCGATGAATCGGTTTCGCCGATTATTTACCGATTAATCGGCTCATCCCTACTGAATAAATCAAAGATATGAAAGACAAAAAAAAGGGTCAAAGTTGCAGTTGCCACGAAAGTATAAAATGTTGAAAATCAACAGAGATGTGTTTACCAGTAGAGTCTTCAGATTTTGAGGAGATACTTGATGTATAATTCTCGAGCCATTTAAAAGTGGATTCACCAACAATACTGATGCGCTGCTTATAAGCTTGAAACACAAGAAATTTCATTTGTAGTGCAAATCAAGACATTAGCACGTAGAAAATTAAAGGTCAACTGCCTTGAGAAAAATCTAACCACTCATTGCTTTCTTCAATTCCATAATAAAGATGCCAACTTGATCTCCTGATGCAAGTTCAACGACAAGACGAACGCTGTTCTCTGCAGTAAGACGTACGGAAATATTCTTGCCTAAAGTGATAAAACAAAATATCTATACATAAAATACATAAAATAACATAAATGTTTAATGAAAATGATTGTGGTTTTGGCTGAGCTCACCTGTTAATGTTGCTCGTGAAACAAAAATTTTGCTTTTTAAAGTATGTTTCCATTGAACAGAACATTTAAAATGAGATGTACTTTCTAAAATAGTTTATGCATGTCTCTTTTGATTCTTGAGATATAGAAGTTTTTGTTATTTCCAATTTATCTAGCTTGTGACATCATCTTGCATAATATTCCACCGCAATGTTTCAAATACTCTTCACTTTCTGCAAAACTTTCGATTAAAACTACTAATAAGGCAGCATTTAAAACCATTTAACTCTTCACGATGAAGGGAACCTTTCCTTGTTGAAGTAATATATCAGCAAATATACTTAATAATTTTGGTTCACATTTTGGTGACGTCATAAGTTAGATAAATCAGACATAACAAAAATCTCAATATCTTGAGAATAAAAAGTGATGTGCAAAAACTGGTGTAGAAAGTCCATTGTCATTCAAAAGAATCTTTTCAATGAAAGTTAATAACTTAAATAGCAAAATTTTCCTTTCATAAGCACTTTAAAAATTGTTTAAGAAACTAAATCATTTTGTACATAAATAATAATAAAAAAGTACACGATTTCTTTGCTCTAATGGTAGACTTCTAATTAATTCTATTGTTTAGAAATGAGTTAAACTTACCATAAGCTTGGATGTTGTTTTATCTAGTTCTGAAAAAAGGAGTTTCATTTTATCAACACAAAAGTAACAATGGCCAATATTCATGGTAAATTTTGGGGACAAGTGAATTAATGAAAATATACTGTATACTGTATACTAAATTATATTAAATTACCTTACCTACTGAAACAGAAAATTTTTTATTTATTGGCAAAACAAACTCCAGTTTGAGATCATGAGCAACTACTGTGTCACCATCATATTTGTAAATAAGCACACTAAAAATAAAAAATCTTTAGGAGTTTGGTAAAACTCATTTTCTTATGCTGTTTATGAAATACATAATTTTAAAATGCATACATGAAGTATTTTGCTTCATGAAAACAATCATTTGCATGATATGCATTAAATGGTTACTAAAACTTACATTCTGCACAATTTCTTAAAAAAATTACCATGAAATTCAAAAATATTTTCTGCTGGTAATTTTATCAAAAATTTCTTGGCAGCAGCACTTTATGCATTGCATGAAAATGATATAAAGGAAAAGCTGACCACCATTATAGGGATTATAAACTTTGGTAGTAGCCACATTGTGATTTTTATCAACAATCATATAAAACTAATTTAGATATAAGCATGCTTTCATAAAATATGTAATACTATTAGATTTGAGTTTCAACTTACCCTGCAGTTGAACTACACTTAACAATAGCTAACAATACTTTATCTTTTTTCGTTTGGCTAACAATCTCCCCTCGAATACACTGGTGAGCATCATAAGTGAAGGCCAACAATGTTTTGATGATAAAAACAAAAATATCAGGGGGAGGGTCATTATTCATCAAACATTCTGACAATAATTTTTAAACAAAGTTAGAAGCAATTACTTGTCAATCATGTGGATATTATACATGCCAATCAAACAGAGAAGTTGCCTTTTTAAAAAGTCCAAAACAAGTTAATTTTACAGCAACTTACAAAGACAAAACAGTGGACATTCTGAATGGATTCAAAGCCTGTACAAGTCAAAAATTTTGACTTTTACAGAAAGTAACTGCATTTAAAAACATCTTCAGCAGTAGAATGTCTATTAAAACATTTGATTTGACAATGAGTATTTTTGAAATATCCGGCTAGATTATAGAATACTTATCCACTTACTATCCACTCTTATAATATGCCTTGTTCTTTACCCTTTGTCTTTTATATTGACCATAAAATGATACTTAATGGCGCTAAATTAATGATAACTGAGAACTAAATGATTTTTTAGTTCAACTTTACCATTACTTTTTACTATGTATGTGGTATCATTGAATTTGTAAGTGTGTCTTTAAAAATGAGCGGGTATTCTATAATTGCTCCGAAATATCCTTTATTTTGCATATTATGACAATATTAGCAACAAATGAAACAATGGAAAGTAGTGACTGAGATATTAAATCACATTATCATAAATAACAGTTGTCAGTTTGCCACCAGCTCATTTGTTTAAAAATTGTCAATACATATTATTTTTTCAAATATTTTACCTTTATCGACCTATATACTCATTATAAACAACATCCTCAGTTTTGAACCGTCAAAAACTTGAATAAGTCATCTCAAATTCATGAAGTTCTCAAAGCCGAAAGAGAAAACGGAATGATAAACAAGAAGACTAGGACAGTACTTTAAAGGATACATAATTGCACTTCTCGTTTGGTTTGATCAAGGATAGAACTTCCCCAAGATCATCCATTTTCTAAAAACATGAAAATCGATGTGAATCAGCTTATAAATCTTCGTTTTCTCTTCCATAACAGCACAAATCCTCCATGTTTACTTTTACAATTTATAGTAGCGAACATAATCCGTACGTTTCCGAGGTATGAACGAGATCCGAGGACAAACGATGATACTCCCTGAGGATGTCAAGAAATATGATGAATTTAGTCAATTCACAATGTGTCACTCAAATGTTACTACTAGTGTTGTATAAAACATCACAACTCTAAGTTAGAACACACATAAATCGGCAAGGCAAATTCTTCCATAACTGCATGCTCGACGTGCTACTGTAAATGATAAAATTTTGCGTGAAATTCTGCTGCCTCATTATGCTGAAAAATAATTCTCGTGTTAGAAAATCGCATTGCGTCCTGAGACCATCTGCCTTATTACAGCTGTAATGTATTCAAGCAATCGGATTCCAACTTTAGTCTGAGCACAAGGCATGCTGTACAAAACACCTGTCGATTAGAAAACAATATACACAAGCCAATTGAACGGTCATCTCTTCTTTAAAATAACATCAATCCCAACAAAACACTCGGAATAATTTCAACGAAATTCTTGGCAAATTTTTTAGAATTGCCGAAACAATTCCAAGGCAAATTAGAAGACGAAATTGATAACGAAACACGTTTTATGTCAGCCGAAATATCTCTGTATTCTTTTGTTTAGTAAGTCATTATAGGGTAATATATTAATAAAGTCGGACAACATCAAGTTCAATTCGAGGACACGGCAGAAAATAACCAAAGAGGACGCGAGGGTACGTTGACTGTTCCAGTTAAATTAATTTTTCAGTTTGATATTTTACAACACGTATTTTCATCTCGTGCTCAACTATGTCACAGATACATCGCATATAGACGATAAATATTGTAAACAATGAAGTCGATAGCAAAAGTAGGAAAGGACAATTAGTGGTGTTAACAATTTAAAACGATAGAGCTAAAAATGAATAATATTGGCTTATACAAAAAAAGAAAGGCTCAGTTGCAGCCAAGTACTGCTTATTAAATGTTATAAGAGTTACTGAAAGTACATGTCATGTCATATCACTCGAGTAAATACCGAATACTTCAAGTTTTAAAATATTATTTATCTGCTCGACAGCCACGATTTTCTATTTCCTGGTTCTAGTCTCATTTACGGCAACTTTTATATAGCTGAATTTCATTCTTTATTCTGTATTCTGGTGATGGAGGAGCAGTGATGAATCTTAACAACGTCGACAACTCGATATTCACAAGTTACGCAGTAGGTTTGGATGCAGGCAGTTTATTTCGGCAAACATCGACGACGTTACCAGCTTCGTCAAAGATAATCTGCACAAACGAGAGCATAAAAGTTCCAACAGAAACAACGAGAGAAGATGTTACGTTTAGCGGAAGGTAAACTATATATTTGGTCCTCTGACTTATCTAAACGTAAAATATAATCAAACACGTTCTTTCCAATTTTATAGATAGGCATATTTTGTTAATTACAGATAAAGCAAAATTTAGAACATGATAATAAAGTTTTAAATTTAGTTTATGATAAAATTAATGATTTTTGCGCAACAAAAACTTACAGAGCCGCGGCTGCATTCGAAAAAAAACCAAAAAAAACCGATCAAATTTCGGCAAAATTTGTTTCGCGCAATCAAATTAAAATTCCAATGAGTTCGAACAAAATCTTCAAAACTTAAATAATTGATTTATGATTGTTTACTGCTGTTATGAGCTATTCAATTTAACATGATGATCATTGAAATTTTAACTATTATTGAAATAAATTTTCAAAAAATAATTTCTAACTTTTCCACATAGTTTTTCTGTTATTTAGATAAAGCATAAGATCTGTTTTAACATGTTAGGAACATCTCGTGTGTTTTTTTTTTCGTAATTAAATAAAAACCAAGTAAAGAAATCGAATCCAGCATTCTCAATCTCTCCCTAACTCAAATCAACCGTGAAAAGATCACTCTGAAAATACTTTCAAAATCATCTAAAGCTAATAGTTATTCCGAATCCAGCAATATCTTTCCCTATATGTAATCCGAATGGGTGATTCATCGCAAATACTTCGAAACCTTTGTAATAGCATTACAGAAAGAAGAAACCAATATTATATTAATAACATTGCAGCTTCTTGACCAAACCACACACCGTTTGCAACTCCCAGTTCAAATTCCTCGACAACACCTTAAAAATCAATGCGATGACCTTTACCATAGTGCAAAATCCTAACCAACTCATGCATCCTCTGCTTTCAGTCTAGCTGATGTATACGAAAGAGCACTAAACAACGTTATGAGTATCAAACCGAGTTTCAAAATGGACGAGAACCAGAATGATACTATTTTGCAAGCGGATAAGAGATCCTTAGAAGAGACGTCAAGAATCGTTCCTACCAGTGGTAAGCATTCAGAGTCTTACAAATCTCGCCTACATCAAGGACTATACACCAAAAGCAAACTAACCACGGAAAATAAGTCCGCTTTTCATGTCCCAGAGAAACGACATATGGTCAATGGCAAATCACGTTATAGAAACTGGTCACGTGAGTACCAGTGGCCATATACATTCAACCATCCAGGGGATTATTACCCATTTCTTCAACCCTCGACACCAATATACTCGGGTTACCGCTCCGTACCCGTGGAAAGGTTTGGTTACATACCAGAACAGAGAAGACGAGAGTTGCCTGTTTACACACATTTGATGCCATGGTCACAGTTAGAAAGAGACAATCGGCCGATGAGATCAACCGAAGCAATGTTTACGACTTCATCAAGGTTTTGCGACGCAACTTCAAAATTTTACAATGGAAAGATCAAACTCTTGGAAACAAAGAAGATTCGATCTGAAGAGAATGTAGAGAATAGTGCTGACATATGGTTAGAAAGGCCCAATTTCCAACACAGTGCCGAAGCAAACAGCCACAAAAACGATGACTTCAACAACGTAAAGACTCGACGCATGCGCGCAGATGAAAAGAAACTTGATATCAGTCACGTGATGTCAAAGGTTGATTTTAAAAGTCCTAAAGAAGAGTTTTTCTATAGTTTGGGTCTCACTAAAATAGACAAGTGATAATTACGTTTTAAGAAGCACGTGGTACATAAGTTCATAAGACAGAAAATCGATTAAATAAGCAGGAAATAATGCATTATTATGGTTTATAATAGTTTAAGAAAATATCTTTGAAAGATTATGTCATCAATGTGAAAAACAAAACAGAAAGTTGATTATGTTTAAATTCGTCGAAATGTTATGGTTTATTTATTCCGTCATATCTCTATCTTTTACGCATTGTCAAAATTTTAAATTCTTCCCAAATAAAAAACATTGAAAATCATTTAAATCATTGCAACGGAAATTTGTTTTGGATTATAAACATGCAATGATAACAAGTTTTTTGTTGTATATTTCTTCTGTGTTAAAACCAAAAATTCATCGATCAGAAACAGACGAGGATTTAAAATCACGGTCATAATTTACCGAGCAGAAACAAGGCAGCAAAGTCGTACATTATGATATATGTTTAAGATCTGTATAAAACAACTGTCTTCATGTAACATTTATATTTTGTGTATTAGCTAAGTGTTTTTCGCAACGTTTGCATTTTGACATGTTGCAAGTCACGAGTTGTCCCAGTAACGTTGACATTTTACATGTTAAAACTGGCAGTCACACGTTATAACGTAGTCAAGGAGATAAAAGCGCCCTGGTGTTGGGAAAAACATACCTGTACTTTTATAGCAAACTATTCCCAGGCTCCTCGCTTGTTTTTGCCCTCTTTCCTCGCAGAGTGTAAAAATTCCAAACAATTATTTGAAGAAGAGCAATAATAGCGGGGAGATAACACATGATGTTAAACATCATCGTTCTTAGTTCTTCGTTAGCTGGAAATTATTCAATTAACACATCCTTTAGAATAAAAGAAAAAATATTTAAGTAGAAATATCTAAATCAATACCTTTAGCGGTAATGGTGACATTTTGACGTTCCTAACAAAACAAAGATAGGGAGATGTTACTGGATATGATTTCCTAAAGATATTTGAGATTTCCAACATTTTGCACCTGGTAGCCATAACTATTTAGGATGTGAACAATCAACATTGGAGCGAAGGACTGGGCCGGTTTTGTAAATAAGGCATTCGTACCAAAGACAAGTGAAGAAATTGGTGAACTATTAGGGAAAAAATGAATGATTTTTGTCAGTGATGTGGCCAAGCTCTTATTTAGTCTTATTACGCAAGCGTTTTTTATGTTGATACTTTATTTACTACAAAAATCTTAAGGAATGAATAATGATGTTCTTAAAGTTACATAGCAAGATTAAAACCTGCAGGATGGTTGCTGTCGACGAGGACATAACATGTAAATTATGTAATATGTAAACCACATAACATCGATACAAAAGGACAAAGCAACCACGTGACAAACTAATGAGGCTGTGATAGACACAAAGCTCAAGGGGACAAACAAGCGTCATGCAATTTAACCACACAAAATATGTTTAAAATACTTCTCCGACATAGAGCAATATCCATCTATTATAGTTCAGTGGCAATACCTTCTTTGATTGATGACCATGTCGTCGTCGATAATATCGGCCAGCGGCATGTTGAACTGTGAAAATGTCGCACTGGGAATACTTCTAAAATAGCACGAAAATTTAATATAAACGAGAGTTTTGTATGATGGATATTTTTACGCAACATTACAACACACTTACTTGTCAAGAACAAAAAACAAAGCAAGGAAGTATACGAATTTAGGTCCACTGATAAACAGAAAGACAGCAAGAGCTAGCTAAAAATATTATAGACGCTTAATATAGCATTTGCTTTGCAGCACAATTTTAAGTCAACTGACCTTTACGTAAAATGAAAAAAGAATAATATGGTAGGAGCCATAACGTACAATAAAAGGATTGGCTAAAATACCAAGGATCTAAAGGGATTGACAATGATCACCGATGTTAATACAGCATCCATAGGAATGATAAGCATAAACTAATGTTATCATTGCAAATTGTCGTTGAAAATGTTGCACGTTTCACAACAGTTTAAAACATTTTGAATAGTTTTGTTCTCAAGTTCATATAAATGAAGTTACGAATTGAATAGAAGATTCTACTAAACTTGTGAAAATAATCGCCAAACTTTAAAAATATGAGATTTTGCTTGTTTAACATTCAACCAAAGTCCGATTTCTCTTCAATTTCTACATGTTCTAAACATGAAATCATCAAATCTTTGTACCTGGGGAATCAAGTATGTTGATCCTGCTAAGACACTGCGCACAAACTGAAACAAAAATTGAAAATACTATTTTTACTTATTTCAAACAGATATACACCAGTCATTTCATCTGACTGACTTAAGTTTCTCATTGAGGAGGAGATACATTCTAATTTACATCTTTACAAGTCCCAAAAGATGAATGAAATAATGAAGTAATAAGATTTACTTACCGCAGGAAGCTGCGAGCCCATCAAAACTTCAGCAAAAATCAAAAAGAAATTACTGCTGTAAGTTATATGAAAAATCTATTCAAAGTAAAAACTAAAGTTAATAAAGTCAATACAACAGTTGCTTCCGTTTCATGGAAGATGATGAAAGCGCATCTGAAATGATAAGATGTTTAACTAACCTGAAGAAAGTTCATGATCACAAAACAAACTAAAGAGAAAGGAGAAAAAAAAATGTAAATTTCTTTATGGTTTGTAGTGGTAATAAATGCATATACTGTACCAAAGTTCCTCTGTCGACAAATTTGAAAGGTGAGTTTGAGCCAAGATGGTTGTGTTGAATTCGTTTGGACGTTTTCTACAAAAGAAAAATAAAAAGTCAACTTATATGTCAACAGAAAAATATAACAAGTTCACTTATATGTGTTGATCGTGTTAGTGCAGTCCTGTGAAGGACTGTTGATGTTTTCTTTGACTATCGTTTTGACATCCTCAACCGTAAACATCTTGACTCGAAAGATGCACAAACCTGGACGATCACCATCTCAAAACTAGTAACAATACACCCGAGCTAAAACCAGTCCCTTTAACTTTTACACATGAGTAAACTAGATCTCTCCCTCAAAGCTAAGTCCGGTTCAACTTATTGCAAATAATATAATCTGACAACACGGAAATAGAAACTATACGTGATGTATTCTACAATGTTTTTATTCGCCTCGTTGTCGTGTCAACTAATGTCGTGGATTTAAAAACAATAATGAAGATATATACTGTAAATGACATCCTTGAATTGACTTGAAGATCATTTCAACAGTAAAGACAAATGATGCTATCTCTCACAATCGCTGTTAAAACGTTAGAAATAAGTAGGAAAGGTTTGCGGTGATTGGAAGGCAATGTTTAACCATGTTCTATGGTCGTATCGTCTTAAGTGGTTTGGGGAAGGAGGAGGCCGGGTAGAGTCAATCTAATTTCAATGTTTAATCACCTTATTACAAACGAAATTTCTTTGAAAATTTTTTTGGAGGCATATACATACTGCTCTCCCAAACGACCATATTACGTCATAACATACTATCAAAATTTAAGGAGAGTAGAACCTGTGTTTTGATCCAAGAGTGGCTCATATTTCTTGGCAACTCTGACATTCTGACCAGAATAACACATTACACAGCAACTCAAGGCTGCAACGATTACACACAGAAACTGGAATGTGACGAAATTTTTTTGCTAAAAATTGGTGCAAAAAATTGGAAATTATTATCCAGCCGTAAAGTGAGGAAAGGCAATGAGGAATAGAGAATTACTAACAATATGATCATACTTACACTTTCTGATATGTAGTCAACTACAAAGACAGAAGATGATCCTAAGATTGAAGCAACCTGACTATAAATGTATAATATATCATCATTGTATTTAATGGACAGGTGACAATTAATTCATTCAAGTTCAAGCAGATTTGTGAAACAACTCATTCAAACACCTGTATTTCAGAAGCTGTGCTCGATCACTGGCTGATGGAGATATTTCAGCAAACAAAGCACATTGTGCAAGAAGAACTATATTAACAAAATTAAAAATGTAAGATTTAATTTCATACCAGTCATAAGTGGTGAAGAACATACATCTATATACATAGTATTAAAGTAAATGGTTTGAACCCGGTAGTATCGTTACATGTTTGTAAATGTTGATCGTCCAGGTTGGTATAGTCCTGAGAAGGACTGTTTTTGTTGTTGTTGACTGACGTTTCGACAACTATAGCGGTAGTCATCTTCAGAGTCAAAAAAAAAATTTTTTTCACAAAAACAGTCCTTCTCATGACTATACCAACCTGGACGATCAACATTTACAAACATGTATACATAGTATTATTATTAATTTCTATACACCTAAGTCTGTTCTTCTTGAGGTTTAAGTTTAGTGTTTTTGCAGTATATGTCTATTGTTCATGCAGTATAAATCTATTGTTTAGGCAGTATAAGTCTATTGTTCATGCAGTATAAGTCTATTGTTTAGGCAGTAAAAGTCTATTGTTTAGGCAGTATAAGTCTACTGTTTTTGCAGTATAAGTGTATTGTTTTTGAAATACAGGTGAACACAGAAAATTTTGTATAGCGGGGGCAAATTTGCAAGTTGGCTACACCATTTTCAATACATATTTAATTATTTAAAAGAAGTCAACCACCAAAAACATTTAATTTTCCTCTAGCAAGAGGCCATGAAATGTATCTATAACTACTGTATATCCTGGTAATAAACTTCGCTTCCATGACTCCATGGTGGCTGTAGCTTGTTCATACAGTAGTTTACCATAATCATTAAAAATGAAAACTTACCAAAAGTCAACAGTGAATCAAAAAAACAAAGAGAGATGATGAGATGAAGACCAACAAGCCAATCTGGGCGATTTGAAAACAATGGAAACCATGGTGTCAGAAAACTGAAAGATATCAAAATCTATTGACCACAATTTATAGAAATCGAAACTTTTCTCATTTTCATTTCACCTTAAAGAATATATTGGAGCACCAACCAAGACTGCAAGGGACCTCACTCGAAATATTTTGATGTTAGAGCTATCCTACAAGGAGCAGAGAAAAAAGTACTGCAAAAAATTTTCACTGCAACAAGAAAACACTAGTGGTTGACAAGAAATGTATTTTAAGGCAAAAATTCCTATAAAATATATGAATTCTGACCTGTAAATAACCAAACAGAGGATCATTGACAGCATTCCACACCATGTAAACAAACTGAGCAACATTAAACCATGAATTATTTATCCTGGGAAAAAATCGTTTTTACAAACAACTCAGCAATAAAATATACATAACACCGCTTACAAACCTTAAATATTCAATTCCTTAAAGGAAAAAACAACAGAAATTCAAAGACTTTACTTACTTGTAGATATGCAAAAACGTCCTGACGTAGTAAAAGTCGAAAATGGAATTGATCAAACTAGATCCAAAGGTAATTGAGGAGTAAGCTAAAATATTTCTATATTGCATGTTTTAGTACAATGAAAAAATAAAATATTGGTAATTTTCAAGGCAAATCTTTGAAACAACTTTTTAATTCATTTATTTACAAAATAAAGACATGTTGTGGACACGTGGCATTGTACATCCACTTAATATTTTGATATTTTACAACGAAAGAAGCAATTGTTGGGTGCGGATCTGGGTCAGCGGTATGTCAGTGTAATGCAATGGTAGAATGTGATTAGAGTAAATATATTTTTTGAAATTTCATAGAATTAAACTATGTAAAAATATGCTTTTTTTATTCATGTATAAAGCTCAAAATCTATTCTTTTTGAGTTGTAAAATTCGCCAGACTGAGTTGACTTCTGTACCCATACACCATCCCCAAAATATCCCTGATTAGCCCACTCTAACATCTGACTGCTAGCAAATGGTCCAAAAGTTTCAGCATCTCCCTCATTCTTCCATTTATAATACCAGGTTGTCTCATCATCTAAACTTTCTGGTTTGGATGCTTCCACTTGTGCAGTGGAAGTTTCTTCACTTCCTTGTTGAAATGCAGCTTCAAGGGCATCATCCTCAGTTTCTTCCTTTTCATCCTTTTCCATCTCCTTAACTTTATATTTTAGTTTCTCATAAGTGTCTTGGTATATAGAAAATACTCCAGCTTGTAAGAGATCGTCAGCCAATCCTGTCAACTTAAGAAGTAGTTCTTTATCCCCAGATGTTCCACCACATTCCCCCGAAACCTGTCCTTGATCAAGTTTCTTCCGCTTTGCATTCCATCTTCTTGAAGCTGAACTTCCACTTTGAGATTTTCCACCCAACCTCTTTATTGCTTTCAAAACAGTTTCCCCTGGTTGAAGAATATCAACAATTGATTTCATCGTAGTTATTTTATTGATATCATCGGGAGTGTCCTCAAACTGTTCTTGGTCTTTATCTTTAGCAATTTTCACAACTCTCTCATCAATTTTTTGCCAGTCAACACCCTCCAACCATGCATCTCTTATTTCCTTGTCCTTTTTTATAAAATAATTCCCTGCTGAGTCAAAATGTCCTTCTTCCATTTCTTCACGAAGGTTGAATGGTGTTATTTTTACTTCACCCTCGTGATCAATAGTTGCCTCCTCTTGTCCCTCAACATCATCTTCATGCAAGAGATTTTCATCCTCTACATGAGCAAACATATAATAAAAACTCTCCATTGATGTACATTACTAACATGTGATGTGATTGTATTCAAAATTATGAAACTGGGTCTGTAATAAGATTACTACTCACTGATCAAGGAAAGAGAGGTTGGAGTTGATAAAGATATTTTTAGCATTATCTCAGGAGATAACAAACATCAATAATAAAAATTTTAGTCTTTGAGAAATACATTCAAAATTAAAGAGGACAGAGGCAATGCAACTACTTCTCTCAAGAAGTTTTGGCAAACATCATCTTTAAGTAGACGGTGGTTAGATGACTACAATGACCTCGTTGAAATCAAAGCATACACAATTAGATGAGAAACTCTCGTTCATTGCTGAATTTTCAAAGTACTTTGATCTTGTGGCGCAATTGGCCACAGCGATACTTCATTTTATTTCGTATTCCTACACTTCATTACATATTCCCTAGTCCTTACCCTCTTGTTGTTCATCACTTTCCTCGTCACTGTCTAGAGAATGTTTACCTTCAAACCGTCCAATTTTCTCTTTCGGTTCATTAAAAGAAACTCGTTTTGTTGTAGACATTTTGTTGAATGTTTTATTGCACGTACGATTGATTATGTTTACTGACCACTGAGTGGTTTACCTAAGCCTCCGAAGGCTGAAGGTTTGTTACACGGGCGGGAAACTGAGAAAGTAGCCTGCGTAAAGGCTGTAGAGGGATGAATAAATTTTTTATTCATCTTGGGGAGGAGAGCACAGAGAAGAAAGAAGAGATGGAGAATAAAATAAGTCCATTTAAGGCAACGATTTAAGATATTGCATAGGATCATCAACATGTTATAAAATTAGACAGTCGAGACTCAAGGCAACATCAGGAACGATGATTTTATTGTTTGTTTATTCGAGACTGAAATGGTTCCACAAAATGATGTCTTTTAGCATAGCTCTTAGAATCAACTTTTGGGAAACCAGAAAAACAAAAGGAGCAATTTTAGATATATTTATTATTATTACTATTATTCATTATTATTATTATTATTTTTAGGTTTTGTGATGTAGCCATCTACCTTCTTTAGTATATATTGACTTACACCAACAAATAGAGATATTACAGATAACTGTTATGATCACATTTAATGTTCAACGTCAATGTCTGTTGTCTACGATCTATCTTACAATGGTTAAACTACTTCTATTTATACAAGATATTACGTATGGATATATTTGTTTCTTTACTAAATTGGTTAATTTACAATCAACGGAAAACTATTAGGAACTATAAAAAATATTGTGATTATTGCACATAAGTATCTCTTAAAATAATCATTTAGTTAGTTACACTAGACTTAATTATTTACTAATTACAGGAAGAATATGAGAGCATATCTTAACAATTATTATAAAAGTATTAACTGATTGCGCCAACATCGCAAAAGTGGTTTTCAGTAAGACCCTGTTAAATACAATTACTATATTGCATCCATAGTTTAAAAGAGTACCAAAATTTCAAATAAAACATTCATAACCTATATTTAAAAAGTTCTAGACTCTGATTCTCCCTAATATTCTTAAGTAACTTGTTCCATTCACATGCAAAACTGGTAAGCGAACTTTTGTTCACCTAAATTTGTTTTTACTTGTTGCTATATGTTATTCATAGATTTCGTACATTAGCTATTGTTAATGTCCATGACGAGATGAACAGGAAAATCACGATCGTTTTTAGACACTTAAAGATTGTATTAAGGTTTACTGTAAAAAATAACTTACCTTCATTCTTGTTTTCATCATCTAACAGGTACGATAACTAAAATTAGTAGTTGCGAAATAAAAATCTACAAAAAAAAACACTGAAAAACTTTGTATACCTTGTTCACTGACCAGTCATCATCTCGTGCATTGAATTCTAATATAACTAGAAGTCGATGAAGTTTGATCAAAGTTTAAAGCTTAAAACATCATTAAATATACCGAATACATTTCAGTTTCATCAAAGTCATCAAGTTTTGCATCGAGTAGGTGTTTTTAAGTTTTATTCTACTCTTTTTTAACAGTTATTGTGCCTTCTGACGCTTGAAACCACGGTTATCTATTCTCGGCTAAAAAAAGTAATGAAATAAAAAGGACTTGAGCTGATGATAAAGTTTCATATATGCTCTGCATTATTGAAATAGTTTATATAAAAGAGTTTTTATAGCTTCACAGCATGTGAACATTATATATTCTGTTGCAATATCAAACGACCTAAGTCCACTTACTGAAAACACAACATATTTTTCTAATCCACAAGAACTTAAATGACAAGATGTAAGCTATGTTCACCATCATGTTTCTTTAGGCTGCAACATAAGGCAGAACATTTTCTTGTTAGCCAAGAAGTACTTGTGAATTTTGAAGGTGTATTCTATAAATCAAATCTATATATAGGTAGTCTATTGTGGATGACAGATGAGCCGATAAGTTCATAGAAGCATTAAATGCATTAATTGATTTGGAAGACATACATTACCTAGCTTTCATTGCCAAGAGTTACTGAGACGAAGTCAACAGTTAAATTCAACATTTTTCTCCAAGGTTTTGGTCAAGTAAAAAGACCCCCAGTAAGAAGGTGTGTGTGAAATATGTTTTGAGTTGCACAGTGATTGAAAACAAACTTCATTACCACGAAATTTTATTTGCTTACATATTGAACACATCTCTAAACGAGAAATGTATCATACGAGAATGAAATAAAATCGTGTTTTTTTGATTACAGAAATGTGACAACCTTTAACGGACAGTGATTAATGCGACAATTCTATTACAAGAAAGATGAAATTGTGAAGAACGATAGAAATAAGAGTTGAATAACTTTGTGATAGAGAAAGGTATTTACTTCCGTATTCAATAACTTGAACTTGGGTGACACCAAGATAGACAAAAACAAGGAGAGAATTGACGTTTACAAAAAGAAAGAAAGGCATACTGAAGTATGTTTAACCTTGGCTGTTAAGAGAGGGTTTAAACTTAGGTATGAGAAGTCTTTTGTGGATCATTTACTCGTAAGTGTCAGAGAAAGAAAGAATATTGAGAAATCGCGAAAATCGGCGAAAGGCGATGTGGTGTTTATATAAGAACATATAGAGGAAAGTGATGGACAAAGGAAGGGTTTTCATAGAGATTCTCTGATACTCTGCGATTTTCCTGGGGTGTGATATAGGTCTTAAGATTAGGGAGGGGCGAGGACGTGGCTTGCACGAATAAAATGCCCTATATGTAATTTGCACGACAAAAAGGGGTGGTATGATTTTGTATATTATTACTCGGGCTACTAAGTTCAAAAATGCGATTCGATTTTCTTGTCATGTTTCCCAGATTACGCAAACCACGCATAACTTATATTATATGAGATTTAATTCAAGTTGTTCAGACATTATTATACGAGAATTATTTAATTGTTGGGGATCAAAATTTTTCCAAAAAACAGCGAAGAATTTTAAGCTTGAATACGACTGGCTTTGTCGCAAAGATACCCTCAAATAATTCTATCGAACTCCAATAATACTAAAAGTCAAAGTTTGATTGAGTTTAATTGCAACATGTCAGTTGCAGCGAGTGGATATTTTTAAGTTTCAACACGAATCACTTTGTCATCAGTCACTAACTGATAAAACCACAGGTGGAACATCCTTACTTTCCTTATATTTGAATATTTAAATGTACAGTCGATCGTAAAATTCGATAGGTTCTCTAAACTAAATGACATTTGTTTTCTCTCATCCACGGACTTGAACTGATGGATAAAATTTCATTTACGCTTTACCTTGTGAAAATAGTTAAGATGTGACTTAATTAGCAATGCACAAAAGGTCTTTAAATGATGTATCTTGTGCACATTTTATATTCTGTTGCGATGGCCAACAACTAAAATCCATGCACACATTAAAATACAAATGGCTTTTTCTGCTTTATAAAAATTAGCGTGACAAGTTGCGGTAACAATATTAAATGTCGTGTTGGAGAGATTCTTTAAAAATGCTGTCTAATCCTGTTTTTGTTAGGCAGGAAGAACTCGAACGTTTTGAAGGTGTGGCCTATAAATATATGCAATTCGTAGGCAATCTATTGTCGATGACAGTTAAACCAATAAATCCACAAAATCATTAAACACATAAAAAGTTTCTAATCAACTATATATTGACACCGTTGCCGAGAGCTTAACTTGAACTATAACAAAGTTCACAGTTTAGTTAAAGCGAAGTGCACCCCAAATACAATATATGTTCAAATGATAGGTCTTAGTTCCCTAAGGTTTGATGTGAAGTTATTTGTCTTTATTCTAAATATTTTACGAGATATTTAAAGTAAAAGATACGAAATATTGCTAATATGGCGGCTAAGTCTGGCGTCGCGCAAATTTGCAGCGGTTTACTTTATAAAGTAAATGATTTGAACCCGGGAGTATCGTTACATGTTTGTAAGTGTAGATCGTTACATGTTTGTAAGTGTAGATCGTCCAGGTTGGTATAGTCCTGAGAAGGACTGTTTTTGTTGTTGTTGACTGACGTTTCGACAACCTTAGCCGCAGGGGCGGATCTAGAGTATGTCAAATCCGTCGCGCGACTGATGTTTGAAATTCAAAAACTACCTATTCATATTAATTAAAAATTCATTAATTATTCTTACTTTATTATCGCATAAAATCCCGCATTATTTATTATTGAAAACTAATGACTAATCCTATGAATATCTCGTTGGTAACCAGATCAGTTGAATTTTAATTGACCTGGAATAACCGACTGATAAGCGGGGTGGCTTGACTGGTTCGGCGGATAAAGGAGTCTATGAACGTCAAAAACGCTTATTTTATTGGTCAATAGCCAGATCAGTGGACAGTCTGGAATGGTCTCGACTGATAATAAGGGTGGCCGGACGTATAAGGGAGTCCAATTGCTATCTTACAATTGGTTCATTTGAATTTTGCTTTATTGTGATTGGTTTGACGGATTTCGACTGATAGCCAACTGAACTAACATAGTCAAGCTCACTGTCTGAATTGAATGTTTGATCGTTTCATAGTAATTTTATAAGCATGATAGAAATTAAACTACAATCAGATGGAATTTATGGAAATCTTTTACAAATTCATATATTGACATGAATGCTGCTGTCCAAAATGTGAATTTTTTCAAGAGGGTGGAAATTTATGGATAAATTTTAAATGCTTGGCAAAGACGATCTCGCGAGCGACATTTCGGTCCTTGATGTTGAAAAGCAAGCCAACATTGTTTTGAGTTTTATCAGCAGAAATTTACATCCAAAATCGTAAGTAAAGGACAAGTGAAGTGTATGCATGAATGTAATATATCAAAGTCAATTATGCGAGTGTGTGATGCGATTTATGTCAATATGGCGTATGGTAAGCAGATCGATGCTTCTAAAATTGTTGTTGACGAAGGACTTTAGCTATGATTTCTTTAGTGCTTGGGGAATCGTGGCAGCGAAATCCTACATTCTGCAAATATATTTCAATGGACAAAAAATCTGTAGCCATAAGGCGCCATACTATTATTTACTTTATCATAAACAAATGTTTGGGGCTTTTCAGTTTATGATCATTGATCATTCAATCATTGGACAGTTATACTACATATTGTTTAAGATTTGAGAAAACTAACATTGATTACATGAGAAGCTGTTTACTATAACCTGTGATTTTGAGTCTTCTGATCCATGAAGCTTTTTATTTTGACAATTTGACTGGAATGGTATTAAACCTGAGTATTTCACATACATGGAATGTTGTCCCATGTCACATATTGTCCCCTTTTCTAACTGAACACCTCATGTAGAAATGTAAAGGTGTGTTAATCTACGGCTCATACCAGATTGTTTGCCATAAATTCCAAAGGGTTATTGATGTATGAAAAGCATTTTCTATAAAGTAAAAATGTCTTTCTATGTATGCAGATAAACCTTGAAATTTGGCAAAACAGCAAAGTATTTTTCTGATTATCATTATAATTTCTAAACTAAATTATTTCTGATTTACATTTAAACAAGCTTTGATCATATGAAAAGATATTTATCATAACCAGTAAGCATGACACATGAACCAATTTTAACATTCATGTAATTATATAATTAAAGACATGTTGGTTACATTCTGTTTGTATTTGCAAATACAATGCTACTAGTGATTGCTATATAGCACACCTTGCAGAAGATAATAGTTTAGTGAAATGCCTAATAAACATTTATGGCATTAAGCTGTCCTTAACTGCAAATTTTCACTCTGATAATTTTTGCTTAACCTTTGGCAGAAAAAAATTTTGAGTTTTTTCTCAAAAGGTGAATTTGCTGGCACTGATGTGGAGATGGGTAAAGGGTTACAATAAACTTGCATGGTTTGAAGTCTGAGCTTTTCTATATCTATGAACTGTCACTTGTAGTACCAAATTTCTAACTTAACTCATTACATAGAGGTTTGAATGGGGGTCTCTAGGGTTCTATGCCTGACAACTTGGTAGAAATTTTAAAGACTATATCTGTTTTGAATAGCATTATTGTAAAATAAATTTTACGTTCCTAGACATAATGAGCCATATATTTGGCATGATAATGAGCCTAAATATTTGGCAAAACATTCAAGTATTGTTCACTTCATTTTTTGAAAAACGTAAGCAAAATGTGTTGTTTTTACGCAAAAACGATGCCCACAAATACATTTTTTATTGCTCTAAAACGCTGAAAATGGCATTTTCAAGGCTCTGAAGTTCAAAATTTCTCAGGGGAGAATGCCTCAGACCCCCCCAGGTGCGGAGCGCCTTCGACGTTTTATGACTGATGTTTGAAAAATCCTAGATCCGCCCCTGTTGCATTGTTCGTGTTTTGCATCGCAAACAAAATCATTTTGCATTCAGCACATTATTTTTGTATCAAATATATTGTTTTTGAATTTAAGGCAATGTTTGTGCATTGACAAATTAAATTGTGAATTGCACATACGGGCCACCGTAACAACGCGCGACAACGCGACAACTTGTCTTCGACGTTACAAAATTTTTGAATGCACGCGACGCGACATCAAGCAAACGCGCCATCAAGATATACTTCCGTTTTAGTCGCAATGACGTAAGATCTACTGTGCGACACGTCGCGCGACGCTTGTCGCGCGCAGCATAAATCGGCCTTTATGGTCCTGAACATAAACGAAATCGACATGTTGCATACAGACAGTTAGCTCGTTGGTGCTGGGGAATTGTAGGCAAGGAAATAAGAGTACTTTTACCCTCTTGTGTTGTCAGATGTTTTAGAGGACATTTTCCACCTCCTGTGATGAAAAAGGACATTGAATTTGAAGGTTTTTCTTCCATTATGGCCGCATAGACTTTCAACAAGCAAAGTTACAAAGCAATCAGACGTAAAGAGCTCACTACAGACAAATGAATGTTTGGCATCGCGAGGGTTATCTCGTCGAATTTTTTGAAGCCAAACACATTTCATGTGGTTTGTGGGCAAGCGGTGATAGCTTATACATTCGGACCTCTAGTTTTACCCATCCATTAGTACAATTTGGAACCATGCAATGGGGCATTTTTCATGTAATTTAATCAAAAGCCGGATAGGTACAATATGACAGTGTAGTGTTTTTAAATGTCAAAAGCCTATTTACAAGATAAGTTTGCACTCCCGTGATGTCATAAAGTAAACCGCTGCAAATTTGCGCGCCGCTAGACTTCGCCGCCACATTAACAATATTTCGTATCTTTTACTTCAAATATCTCGTAAAATATTTAGAATAAAGACAAATGATTTCACATCAAACCTTAGGAAACTAAGACCTATCATTTGAACATAAATTAGATTTGGGGCGAACTTCCCGTTTAAAAAATTTTACGGTTTTGGTCGAGTAAAAAGACCCATATAGTAAGAATGAACGGATGAAGTATGTTTTAAGTTTTATATGACTGTCTGTGGAATGACAAAAATGTGTTTCATTGTAAAAATCTTTATTGAAAAGATAAAACAAACAGTAAACAAAACGATAATTTCCTTCCGTCTACAATAATTTGAGATTTTTTAGAGAAGAGCGGGATTATCGAACGTATAAATGCAATTACATTAACTGCTTGACCAGACTGAGTGATTTGTTGTGATCAATTTATTTTACAATTATATAAAGAGCAGGCATGACAAGAATCATTATAAAATTACTTAGTTTTAGATGTTTATTTGTATTTTGGTCATTCTACAATTTATTTTAAAAAGTTTCTTAATCAATACCATAAACTAAGGCTTCAAAGCCTTTTTAAAACTCGCTTTTAGCCTTTACTTTGAATTGAATGTACTAGATTTTGATCTGAAAGTTGCTAATAAAACATAACGAAATAATTATATTTTTGTGTGTGCTATTTTTCAACCTGACGCAAAGTATTTTAGTTTTTAGATGATGGAGAACTGGACGTTCATTGAAAAAAAAGCAGAAATAACAAAAACCAAGGAAGAGATGGCAGAAACCATGGAAGGGAAGACAAAGACGAGGTTAACAGGAACGTCAATCGTTGGAAAGGAAAAAGAGATGATCAAAATTAAGGAAGAAATGAAAGAGATAATGTTATCAGAAATGTCATCCAGGGAAAAGAGGGTAATGCTGAACAAATTATACCATGCAATAATGTACAGTTATTTACAAGAATATATGCAATATCTTATGTGCAAGCAAGATTATATAGACATCATGTTAGAAAAAGGAGAAGAAGTGATGTCACAAGAGGAAATCGATGCACGGAAGCAGATGATAATGAAGGAGAAAACTTTCCTTGATGAAGAGGAAAAGATGTTCAAAATTGAAAAAGAAATGTATGAAGAAATGACGACAAGTACAAGAGAGCCAGAAAATCTCGAAAAACTCGAATTGCTTAATATTTTCATAGACATGAACAGCTTCGAACAATGCTTGACAGACCTGGAGTTAAATGAAAAAAAAATCCAATCAGAGAAAGACGTGTCACATGAAGTACGAAAGAAATTGAAAGAAATGGTTAAATCGAGAAAATATGACTTACAAGGCGAGATGGAAGTACGGCCTAGGCGATATTTCCGATTGGAGACAGATATGGATGATTTCAGACATGACATGAAAAATTTACTTCAAGAAAAAAATGAAGGAAAATTTAAGTCATATGAATTGGAAAAGAAGATAAAACAGATGAAGATTGATCTTATTGATGAAGAAATGGAGATAAGTCGCGATATCTACTATAAAGAAATGAGGATAAGAGACGATATCTACTATGAAGAGCGCGAGTTTTACAAATTGAATGAGTTTGGTCTGAAACGCGATTTAAGGAGACTGGAGAAGGATATGATATGTGAGGAATTCAATATAAGGACATTAAGAATAAAACACAAAAAAGAAGACGACTTATCAACATGGGAATTTCGGATAGTCAAAGAAGATACAAATGTACGTTTGCAAAAATGTTACGTTGATGTCAATAATGTCATCATTGACATAGATGAAAATTTTAAATCGTTTCAACCAGAAAAAAAAGTAAAGCTGGAGTCAAAAGGTTTGATTGAGCAAGAAGCAACAATATTTGATAGAGATTCAAGAAAAAAATTACGACAAGAATGGAAATTATCAAAGGAACTTTATGATCAGGAATGGCGCATAAATAACCTAGAAAGCGACAACAAAGAAATGATAAAGGAAGGAATAAAAGAAGTGGACAAAACGAGAAAAATGCATTTTACTAACGTGTTGTTTGAAGGATATTCTAATCTCAAAGAAGTTGAATTAAAGATAACAAAAAGTATTCTTGAATCTCAACTGAATAAATTGAAACATGGGAAAGACGAACCAATGTCAAAAGATGAACAATTAAAATTACAACAAGACATAAACGAATTTAATTTAATTGAAAAATTAAGAGATCACAAGAAAGAAATGAAACATTTAGAACGTCGATCAAAATGGTCACCGTCAACGGAAAAAGAATGCAAATGCCGGGCAATTCACGAGGAAGGTTTAGCAATGAGAATATGCCAAGAAATCTTTCAATCAAAATACAGAGAATTGAAGGTGACGGAATCATTGTTACAAGATCAACAGTTTAAAGATGTCAGGAATAAGGAAACAGAACGTGAGATGAATGAATTGGAGTTGATGATTAATCAAAATGATTTAAAAAAAGAAATAAAAGATCTGGAGGTAAAACTTGAAAAGATAAAAGAACAAAGAGAAGAAGACATGGAGTCGAACGAGGAAGAGAAAGAGTTACAAAAAAAAGGTTATGATTTGAAAAAAATAAACATTGATATTATAGAATTTTGGCGAAAGAAAACAAGTTTGAAAGCTGAGAAAAAAGAAACGAATGCAGAAGATAAAAATACGCTGGAAAATGTGATGAAAATTTTCTTCACAGAAATGAAATTGAAAATGTACATGGAAGCACTGCGATCAAAACAAGAAGAAATAGAAATGAAACAAGAGAAAGATGAACAACTGTCAGAAGAGAAAATGAGAATACAACAAGAAATAAAAGAATTGGATGTGATGATCTTACTGAATAATTTAAACGAACATATAGCAGACGTAGAAATGAGTAAAGAATTGATGTTGAAAGCGGAGAAAACAGAAGACAGTTTAACTTCAGAAGAAAAGATGTTAAGAAAAATACAGAAAAATAAACTGAAGGAAATGAACATAAGAATGAAGAAACTCATCATCCAGTATGAAGAAAGACAGTTATTATGGAAAATAGAGAAAGGTGAAATGACGACAGATCACGTTGACAAGTTGAAGAAAACGTGTAAGACTAAGTTGCAGTGGTTGGAAGAGACAACGAAAGCTGATCAATATTCAATGATAACAAAATTACGACATGAATGGAATTTATTGAAGAAACTTTATATTCAGGAAAGAGGCATCGCTAACTATGACATAAACCAAGAAATATTTATAAAGAATTTGAATGACGAATTGTTTGAAAAATATTACGGCCTAAAACAAATCGAATTAAGGATGACTGAAAATATTCTTGAGTCTCAATTAAAGGAATTGAAACAAAAGACAGACGAAAAAATATCAAAAGATAAACAATCAAGACAACAACAAGAGATGAACGAGTTTAAGTTACTGAAAAAAATTAGAGCTCATGAAAAAGAAATAGCAAAGCTTGAACATATAGCAAACAGGGGAGGATACTTAGGAAAAATGTACAAATATAAAGCAACTCGGGAGGAAGGATTAGCTTTGAGAGTATGTCAAGAAATTTTCCGATTGAAATACAGTAAATCAAATTCATCAGAAGAAAAAGAAAAACCATCATTACAAGATGAAGAATTAATGATTGAAGGACTGACAAAAACGTCCATTTCAGTATCGGAGAAAATCTCAGAGGTTAGGAAACAGGAAACAGAGCAAGAGATAAAAGAATTAGACTTGATGGTAAAACAAAATGATTTGAAAGAAGACATGGAACAACTAGAGTGGAAACTTGAAGGAATAAAACAGAGACGAGAGAGAGAACAAAAGGTGCCGGATGATGAAGAGAAAAAATTAGAAAGAAATTTGCAAAAGAAGAGTTATGACGTAACGACTCTGAACATTGATAATCTTGAATTTTGGCGTGAGAAAACAAGTTTAAAGGATCGCCAAGGAAAAGAAGGAAAAATTGCAGACGAAAATATCCTGGAAAATAATACAAATTTTTTTTTGAAAAAAATGAAATTGAAAATGTACATGGAAGCACTTCGATCAAAACAAGAACAATTGGAATCAAAACAAGAGAAAGATGGACAGCAGTCAGATGAGAAAACGAGAATACAACAAGAAATAAAAGAACTGGGTGCGATGATCTTACTGAATAATTTAAACGAACATATAGCAGACATAGAAATGAGTGAAAAATCGATGATGAAACGGGAGAAAGAAGATTTCAGTTTAACATCGGGAGAAAAGATGTTACGAAGAAAACAGGAAAAAGAACTGAAGAAAATGAACATAACAATGAATAAACTCATCATTCGATATCGAGAAAAACAGTTGTTACGGATAACAGAGAAAGGTGAAATGACAACAGATCAAGTGGAAAGATTGAAGGAAACGTTAACAATACTAAAACGCAAGTCCGATTGGTTTCAACAAGAAACGATTAAATATGATGAAGTTTTAAAGGGGAAAAGACTGCAACATGAATCATTGAAACATATCAAAACACAGCCAAAGAGTATCAAACTTAAGGAAGGAATAAAAGAGACGATGTTATCAGAAATGTCATCCAGGGAAAAGAGGGTAATGCTGAACAAATTTTACCATGCAATAATGCGCAGTTATTTACAAGAATATATGAAATACCTTATGTGCAAGCAAGATTATATAGACATCATGTTAGAAAAAGGAGAAGAAGTGATGTCACAAGAGGAAATCGCTGCACGGAAGCAAATGATAATGAAGGAGAAAACTTTCTTGGATGAGGAGGAAAAGATGTTCAAAATTGAAAAAGAAATGTATGAAGAAATGACGACAAGTACAAGAGAGCCAGAAAATCTCGAAAACTCGAATTGCTTAATATTTTCATAGACATGAACAGCTTCGAACAATGCTTGACAGACCTGGAGTTAAATGAAAAAAATCCAAACAGAGAAAGACGTGTCACAAGAAGAACGCAAGAAATGGAAAGAAATGGTTAAATCGAGAAAATATGACTTACAAGGCGAGATGGAAGAACAGCCTAGGCGATATTACCTATTTGTGACAGATATACATAATTTCAGACATGACATGGCAAATTTACTTCAAGAAAAAAATGAAGGAAAACTTAAGTCATATGAATTGGAAAAGAAGATAAAACAGATGAAGATTGATCTTATTGATAAAGAAATGAGGATAAGTGACGATATCTACTATGAAGAGCGCGATTTTTACAAATTGAATAAGTTTGGTCTGAAACGCGATTTAAGGAGATTGGAGCAGGATATGATATGTGACGAATTCAATATAAAGACGTTGAGAATAAAACACGAAAAAGAAGACGACATGTTAATATGGAAATTTTGGACTGTCGAAGAAGATACAAATGTACGTTTACAACAATGCTACAATGACTTCAATAATGTCATCATTGACATAGATGAAAATTTTAAATCATTTCGACCAGAAATAAAAGTAAAACTGGAGTCGGAAGATTTGATTGAACAAAAAGAAACAATATTTGATAAAGATTCAAGAACAAAATTACAACACGATCGGAAATTATTAAAGGAACTTTATCATCAGGAAAGAAACATAAGTTGCCTTGAAAGAGCAAACGAAGAAATGATGAAGAAAAGAATAGAAGAAGTGAAGGAAAACAAAGAAATGCATTTTACTGATGAGTTGTTTGAACGAAATTTTAATCTCAAAGACGTTGAATTAAAGATTACAAAAAATATTCTTGAATCTCAACTGAATAAATTGAAACATGGGAAAGACGAACCAATGTCAAAACATGAACAATTAAGATTACAACAAGACATAAACGAATTTAATTTAATTGAAAAATTAAGAGATCACGAAAATAAAACCAAAAGATTAGAACGTCGATCAAAATTGTTACCGTTAACGGAAAAAGAATGCAAATCGCTGGCAACTCACGAGGAAGGTTTAGCAATGAGAATATGCAAAGAAATCTTTCAATCAAAATACAAAGAATTGAAGTTGACGGAATCATTGTTACAAGATCAACAAATGAAAGATGTCAGGAATCAGAAAACAGAACATGAGATGAATGAATTGGAGTTGATGATTAATCAAAATGATTTGAAAAAAGAAATAAAAGATCTGGAGAAAAAACTTGAAAAGATAAAAGAACGAAGAGAAGGAGACATGGAGTCGAACGAGGAAGCGAAAGAGTTACAAAATATTGTTCAAAAAAAAGGTTATGCCTTGAAGAAAATGAACATTGATATCATAGAATTTTGGCAAAAGAAAACAAGTTTGAAATATGAGAAAAAAGAAACGACCACAGAAGATGAAAACATGCTGGAAAATGTGATGAAAATTTTCTTCACAGAAATGAAATTGAAAATGTACATGGAAGCACTGCGATCAAAACAAGAAGAAATGGAAATAAAACAAGAGAAAGATGAACAACAGTCAGAAGAGAAAATGAGAATACAACAAGAAATAAAAGAATTAGATGTGATGATCTTACTGAATAATTTAAACAAACATACAGCAGACGTAGAAATAAGTGAAGAATTGATGTTGAAACAGGAGAACACAGAAGACAGTTTAACTTCAGAAGAAAAGATGTTAAGAAAAATACAGAAAAATAAACTGAAGGAAATGAACATAAGAATGAAGAAACTCATCATTCAGTACGAAGAAAGACAGTTATTATGGAAAATAGAGAAAGGTGAAATGACGACAGATCACGTTGACAAATTGAAGAAAACGTTATCGACATGTAAGACAAAGTTGCAGTGGCTGGAAGAGACAACGAAAGCTGATCAATATTCAATGATAACAAAATTGCAACATGAATGGAATTTATTGAAGAAACTTTATATTCAGGAACGAGGCAGCACTAAGTATGACGTAAACCAAAAAACAAAAACAATAAATTTAATTAATTTGAATGAAGACATCTTTGAAAAATATTATGGCCTAAAAGAAACTGAATTAAGGATGACTGAAAATATTCTTGAATCTCAATTAAAGGAATTGAAACAAAAGACAGACGAAAAAATGTCAAAAGATAAACAATCAAGACAACAAGAAGAGATGAACGAATTTAAGTTACTGAAAAAATTTAGAGCTCATGAAAAACAAATAGCAGGCTTTGAACATAAAGTAAACTGGAGAGGAAAAGAGTACAAATATAAAGCAACTCGGGAGGAAGGATTAGCTTTGAGAGTATGTCAAGAAATTTTCCGATTGAAATACAGTAAATCAAATTCATCAGAAGAGAAAACCATCATTACAAGAGAATTTGAATGAAACGACCAAAGCAACGTCAACGGAGAAACGGAAAAGTTGAAACAGAAACAGATTAGAAGAATTAGTTAGACTTGACAAAACAAAAAGAAAGAAATATGGAACAACGAGTGGAAACTTGAAGGAATAAAACAGAAACGAGAGAGAGAACAAAAGGTGCCGGATGATGAAGAGAAAAAATTAGAAAGAAATTTGCAAAAGAAGAGTTATGACGTAACGATTCTGAACATTGATAATCTTGAATTTTGGCGTGAGAAAACAAGTTTAAAAGATGGCAAAGGAAAAGAAGGAAAAATTGCAGACGAAAATATGCTGGAAAATAATACAAATTTTTTTTTGAAAAAAATGAAATTGAAAATGTACATGGAAGCACTTCGATCAAAACAAGAACAATTGGAATCAAAACAAGAACAATTGGAATCAAAACAAGAGAAAGATGGACAGCAGTCAGATGAGAAAACGAGAATACAACAAGAAATAAAAGAATTGGATGTGATGATCTTACTGAATAATTTAAACGAACATATAGCAGACGTAGAAATGAGTGAAAAATTGATGTTGAAACGGGAGAAAGAAGATTTCAGTTTAACATCGGGAGAAAAGATGTTACGAAAAGAACAGGAAAAAGAACTGAAGAAACTGAACATAAAAATGAACAAACTCATCATTCAGCATCGAGAAAAACAGTTGTTGCAGATAATAGAGAAAGGTGAAACGACAACACATCAAGTGGAAAGATTGAAGGAAACGTTAACAATACTAAAACGCAAGTTCGATTGGTTTGAACAAGAAACGATGAAATATGATGAAGATTCGAGGAGAAAAATATTGCGAAAGGAAACGTTAACAATACTAAAACGCAAGTTCGATTGGCTTGAACAACAACCGATGAATAATGATGAAGATTCAAGGAGAAAAAAATCGCGACAAGAACCAACGGAAAGTAAACCCCAATCAGCGACAACCGCACGGCAAATGTCTGAACTTGGTGAAAAGGACGAAGTGTCATCTCAAGTGATAATTGTCACAGGAGGAAGTTATGTGGAACAAGATCCTGAAAACCCAGAAAGCCTTGCACGAAGTAGTAACTCTGTGGAAATGTATAACCCAAATATTAACAGCTGGGCTGAGTTACCATCAATGAACATTGGACGAGCTTTTCATTCCTCTGTTGTTTTGGACAACACCATTTATGTCAGTGGTGGTGATGTAGGTAATGACTACACGGACACTATTGAATATCTTAATGTAAATGATATTCCTTTGATTTGGCGAATATCTAAAGCAACATTACCTTGTAAACTTTCCGGCCATCAAACCCTAATTTACAATAGGAACTTAGTAGTCATAGGTGGACAAGATGGCTCAATTCAAGCTACAAATCAAATCTACGAAGTTTCCTTGTCACCACCGTATACCGGCCGGCCATTGTGTACAATGCCAAACCCAAGGTAGGACATGGCGCTGTGTTGGTTCATGAGAAAATTTTTATTTTTGGTGGAGCTATAAGTGCAACGAAGCCCTGTACAAATGACGTCTATGTATACAACACTTCTACAGAGGAATGCCATGAAATAACAAATTTGTCAGTACAAATTCCAATTCGTCATATTGACAGAGAACCTTATAAAGTTCAAATGATGGCAACTGTCTTCGTTAAAGATCACGTGATTTTGTTAGGAGGTGTTAACGATAAGAAGAAGAGTTGAATAAAGTTGTAAAATTTAATCCTGAAACAAATGCAACGGAATTGTTACAAGAACTTGCTATGAGAGAGAGACGAGGAACTTGTTTGGCTGTTAATACCCCAAACGATTTCTTGGTTGCTCTGGGAAGTTTACGACATGAAATAAAATCAGTTGAAAACTTCAATTTCCATCAAAACACCTGGCAGATCTACCATCAACGATAAAAGGAAGAGTTGCCTCGTCAGCGGTCATTGCTTGCGTGACCGAAGATTGTTTGAACGCGTATAGTTCACATCAAGGATGTCCTTAAACACTTTGAAGTTTTAAAATGCACAAATGTTGTAGACAATAGATATTTTGCATCCTCCTCACAATCATAGACATAAGAAACAAACATTAGTGATGGCAAGTTGTAAAGAAGTTTGCTTTGATTGACCATTAACATTTTTGCCGGTCCAATATTTTCCCGATATATATTAAGTTGAGGTCGATATTAAATTTTAATGCACATCCTGAACAATTATAGTGAGGAACTGGAGATTATTATCATAAAATCCAGATGATCCTGTTTAAAGACAATTGATAGAAGTCTTGTTGTATTAAAATGTCTTTACAAATGATAAAAATCGGGACAATTCAATGGACTTTTAAAAACACATTTTGCTAAACTGATTATACTCAACAATTGATGAAAAATTGTCTTAAATTATTCATAAATAATCTCAAAAGAGATTGCAAATCTTCATTATTACATAAATTACCAATCTACAATAATAAAATTTTTCTCAACTAAACTAAACATCTATAAGTAATAATGGCGACGTTCATCTTTGTTAAAATCAATAAATACCTTTTACACCCTCCCAAGTAAAACCGACACAATGACATCATCAATGCCATCATGATGTGACATCATAAACCTCATTTGACCGTGATCTTGATAAAACTGGAATGTGATTTCTTACCTAAAGATTGAGGAAATATTTCTCATATAATATCCGCAAAAAACTGCATGAAGTTTCATATTTCAGTAAAACAAAGGAAGAATGACCAACAAGAAATCTCTATCCCTACCTAAATAACAAGCATAATACTAACATACGTTCAAAAAGATTTCTCGCAATTAACACTTACAATATTTAGAACGGGATTAAGCATTGTGGTAGTGGATCAAAAATCATTCATAAGAAAAACTGGTCACTGTAGATCACTAGATTTTAAAGTAAAACAGCCATCACCTCTTTCACATTTTCAGCTTCACAAATCACATTTAAGTTCGATGGTGGAGAATAAAGATCTACATAAGAATGAAAATATGTTGAAACCTGGACCGAAAAAAAAACAATGTCTGACTACTGATGACCATAGACTATAGCATGGAACGCTACCTAAAGCAAATAATTGAAGCCAAATCTTACACCCAGACACGCAAGATTACACCAACACACGCGTATGTAGTGTTTCGAGATTCTCTCGCGGAGTGAAAATTGATTGAGTACACACGCGTGTCTGCGTGTAAATTCGGTTTAAAAATTATTAGGCTTTTCTACTACAGGTAGTGTTCCATGTATTTTAGTTCAATGCTGATGACTTACTCTTGTGAAGGGGAGCTCTGATTGGTTCCAACTTTCTTCCATTGCTATGGTTACCATTTAAAGAGGAAGGAGGTGTTCTCCAAGCAATAGGTTTTAAAATAACTCTCGCATCATTATTTTCACTTTCTTCCATAGGTGCAGTTTGATTTCTCTTTGCTTTCCTCTTCCTCTTTTTCTTTTTTGTTCGTTTTTACTGTCGACATTAGTTGTTTGTTCTGAATTTTCTGACAATGTCTCTACAACATGAGCCTCCTGTAACATATGAATACGTATTTCAATTTTATATAATTTAAGAAAATGACACATTGAAAGTAAAAAATTTTCCACAACAAATTGTTTGTTAAAATAACTTACGTCGATGTTTTTGGCATGTTGCTCAACATCGATATTTTTTGCATGTTGCTCAACAACATGGCTACAAATGTTTTCATTGCTTTTTTTAACATTTCCAAACATAACATTGTCTTCGCTGGAACAATTTTCATTTTGACTTTTTTCTGTTTCTCGCTCACGTTCAGCTCTCTCTCTTTAAATACGAACAATTCATGTGACATAAACTACTTTCATAATCAAAACAACCTTATTTAAAACACACATGATTTAATGTCTTCAAATTAAAAATAATTTAATAACACTGTCTATAATTAACCTTTTTATAATTTGCACCTATAAACGTGTTAAAATGTTTCCTTGCTTTACACGCAGACTGTTGGAGTCCAACAGTCACAACTGAAGGTTTATCGTACGAAGTCTAACCAAAGATCACGATTGAAGGTTTATCTTATCAAGTCTTACAAAAGATCACGACTGAAGGTTTATCTTATCAAGTTTTACCAAAGATCACGACTGAAGGTTTATCTTATCAAGTCTTACCAAAGATCACGACTGAAGATTTATCTTATCAAGTTTTACCAAAGATCACAACTGAAGGTTTATCTTATCAAGTCTTAAAAAGATCACGACTGAAGATTTATCTTATCAAGTCTTACCAAAGATTACGACTGAAATTTATCTTACAAGTTTTAAAAATATCACGACTGAAGGTTTATCTTACGAAGTTTTGAAAAAGATGACGACTGAAGGTTTATCTTATCAAGTCTTACCAAAGATCATGGCTGAAAGTTTGGAAAGTACTTCAAATTAAGGACCTTAAATCAAGAACCACTTTAAGATAACTTCACAGCCGTTATTAAATGTTTTCTTAATAATGCTGTCATCATGTTTATTAAAACATTTTTTATTAAAGACTTTTTGTTTTTAATTAATTAAGTCGTGGGAAGAACAACAACGACTTTATCTTATTTGACAATCGTTAATAACAGAGTCAAAGGAAATTAATTTTCTATTACTTGATTACGTCTCCAAATTTCTAAATGATTTGTTGTCAAGATTTGATTTGTTTTCATTTTATTTCTTCTGACAAAACAGGATGAAAAATGTTTTCCTATAATTCTTGAGCCTCAAGAAATACACAAAAGGATTTAAAGCAAAGTTAAGACAAAGAATAGTGGAGAGAAAACAAAATAATACATTTTCTCTCATATCTTTATCCAAATCAAGACGCTTTACTGCACCATAAACAGTAGCTGGAGTGACACACAGTACGGCAACAACGCCGATGACAATGATCGTGTTTAAAAATTTTTTCTCGTTGATAATTCTTGTTTGACATGACTGTCCTTTGCCATTCGATGATAAATATTTCGCGTCACGTTTAAGTGAGATAAACGTCAGAACATACGCAAAGGAGGTGAGGATGACAACAACAGCCATTAAAAAATACTTGAAATAACTGAGTTCATCAACCGTGTCCGTTAAAATATGATAAACTGGATCACAAAAGGAAAAAATCCAAATAAACGCGATCCAAATGGCAGTTTTCATACCGCTCATGTACGAGCGATGTTTAAAAGGATGAACAACTATGAAATAACGGTCCACAGCGATTGATAAAAGTGACAAAAACGAGGCAAAATAAGGAACATGAGATAAAGCTTGAACGTAAGATTTACCAGAATTCATTGTTCCCATTAACATCAGTACATCAACAATAAGATCACAAATGGCAAGATTTGCTACTAAGTAGCTCGCTGAGTTACGAAAACATCGTAAAGGATCTTTTAGCAAACAGATAAGTAGAATTATCTGTAGTATTGCTCCAGTTATACACACGGTGTATAGAGACCAGTACATTGTCGTATAACCCATGAAAATATTAGGAATGGACATTATTAAGAGCGACAAATTTTTTTCGCGCCGTTAGAACTACTGCTCGCGATGAAGCGTGTCGTTGTTTAAATGTCAGATATTTCACTACACTAAATTATTGTATTAAACAATAAATAATGTATATTTATAACTTTCATCATCCCATAAACAGACGACGCAAGGAACAGATGCAATAAATTGCGGATGAGCAAAAATAGAAATGACTGCACAAACCTCTCTTCTCGATTTTTTCTAACTCGTTCCAGTCTCTCTGCTCTTTCTTTCCTGTCAGCTTCTTTCTGTAAACAAAGCAACATACAAAATATTCAATGAAAATTAACTTTTTAACAAAATAAAGTTTGTAGAACATACCTGTATTTCAGTGTCTTTCAAAACCCTTTCTTTTAACGAAGTAAAATCTTCATTGATAGTGTGAAGAAGCCAGGAGAAACCTTAAAAAATGAGAATAATACAGCATCTTTAACATATATTTTATAAGCAGCTTTACTATCCATGAGCCATGACCAACCTTTCTTAATTTGACCATCAACCTTTCTTCCTTCATTCAATAAAGCTGTACATTGAAACTGAAATAAAAAAATTTTACAAAATTAAGAGACGAAAAACTTAAAGAAAAATCTACATCATAAACGAAATGGCAGAAAAGCTAATAATCCGGTCCATAAAAAATTGAAAATTGCGCACAAGGGGAACAAAAAATACAAGTTGTCAAGGAGAGGAGTGTGTAACGATAAAGCAGTTGAAGTGTGTGAATCAACATGTGTTTTTTACATGTTTTACATGTACATATGCCATTTAGGTGATCATGTGAAAAGCATGTGATCATTCACAGGTATCAGTACGATGCAACTTTCATACCATAGCTGAGATTGGGGGGTTTCATATACTGACGAATGGAGATCAAACAAATACAATTACGCTACGTAACTCCACTAAGCAAATTACTGTTAACAATAATTACGAAGGAGTACAAGCAATCAGATATTATACACAAATTCTTTAATGTCATTCCTACTGAAGTGTAGGGATAACTGATAACAAATGGCATCATTTGAAATGCCAAAATTGTGTTTATTTTGGTTGTGACAAAAAACAATTTTGTTGAAAACTACTTTTAACTTTGAGTCTTCCAGTCCAACATACTTACTTAAAATTAACAATGAGACATTAACAGTAGATAAGAGACATATTTCTCTTGACTATGAAAACTTTACACTGACTAAATTCATAATTCTATGTTCTAAATCAGCAACTTAGATGAAAGCCTTTGATAAATTTCATCTTTTAAAAATTACAGCTGTTCCAAACATTCAGAAATGTTGCTTAGCAACCTGAGTTGCTAAGTCAGCATTACTAATATACAATATTAACTATCATCAAAATCAGCAATACCTATACATAATAGAAACTATGATCATATTTTAAACAGAGAATAGTTGATTGAATATAAAATCGTAACAGGGCTCAAACAAATGGAAAATCACAGTCAATTGAACATTTTGCTATAACACTTACAATTTTGTAACAGCAATTACATTTGTTTGCCAATTCCTCCAAGCCAAACTGACTTTCTAAATTCTTTTCTGATAAAGCATCTGTAATGTCTTGTTTGTTGGCAAACCTAAAAGAAACAACAGGATCAGACTTGTCACCAGTCTACCACAAGAGTAATTTGTCACCAGTCTACCACAAGAGTAATTTGTCACCAGTCTACCACAAGAGTAATGATTAACACATTCAGGCAGTGACAAAAAAAGTCAAAATATCCTACATCTATAGCCACTTCAAAACATGGCTGACATGTGATTTCTTTTGGCTGTAACTGCCAACTGACAATGAAAATCATTAAACTTACAACAATAAAGGTTTCCCAGCTAATCTTGGGTCATATAATGCCTCATGCAAAACCTCTCTTGACTCAGATATCCTTTGATGATCACTAGCATCCACGACATACACCATGCCATATATCTGAGAGAAATACATGTACATAGTATAACAAAGACAAAACAATAGCCACACACTTCCATGAACTCAACATTTTATTCTAAGTATTTCAATAAGTAGAACAGAAGAATATTCAATAAAGATGACATTATTATCAGTGGCTTGAATTTGAATGAGGCTGCCCATGGTCCTTCCAAAATGGTAGTGCCCCTCCAAAAATCTTTTTTTTATTTATACACAGAAAAATACCAAATAATGCTTTGAATCAGAACTATCCACTGCATTCACTTGCCGAAATATAAACCTACTTTTTTGTCTTTATTCTTATAAGTAGCACTGTTCACAGTGCCATCTTGCAAGGTGATTGCTTGGGTGCCTATGGCTCTGCCCACCCGGAGCTCATAACACTTACACCACTGATTATTATTTATTGAAGTAGACATATAGAATGAAGTGTTGACCATTAAGAGACTGTGTTGACCATTAAGAGACCGTGTTGTAGATAACTGAGTTCTTGAGAAGTTGCTTGCTTAGATGTGTTCATATTTTAAATTTTAAAATATTCTGCATAAAATGTTCAAATTCTAATGTAGAGCTGCTCACATTCCAGTATGGTAAGTACATAATGGTACACATGGTGTATATAATAAAATTATTGGTAAGATGGTGCATTTAATTTATTAAATTTTAAAGTTCACAAGGAAATACTCATTCTATGGCAATTCTCCAAAATAGAGCCAGCATAACCAACATCCATTTTTTAGGTCACACAAATGCATGTAATGCAGCACATTTGCCTGTAACTTTGACAAGAATAGCAATACTTTATAACAGCATATGTTCTTAGATAAAGCAACCTTATGACACAAGAAACTTGATGATTGCCTATGATTGCATGAAGCCAGAAATAACAACAGAATTACAGAGTAAATGTCACACATGATATAGGAGAATTTTCCATCAAGATATCAAGCCACACACACAAAACAAAGTCTCTGCCATGCATGAGCCATATATTCTGGACTCTAGGGAATAGCCAAAATCGATGGGCATATCAAAGATAGGACAGACAAAATCAGAAATAATTGTGCTTTTTCTTATAGTCGGCAAGTCATTAACATACTACCTGCTTGGTCTTATGGGGGGGATTTCAATTAAACATGGCAGAGACAAACTTTCTGTTTGACATAAAGGATACAACTGATATAAAAGACCAACCTCAGCATAATAATCCTTCCATATCCCTCGGATACGAGGTCCACCACCAACATCATACACGATTGCTTTGAAATTGGCCAACTTGAATTCCGCACTCGAAAATCCTATTGTTGGAATAGTCAATTCTCTTGCTTCTAAATAAAAATATGACAAATTCCGTCTTTTATTGATCAGAATTTAAGGTAATGACACAGTGTTTTGTAGGAAAAGGACATAATACGTACAAAAAGAAAATAAGAACTATAAAAAAAGCAATGTAAACTTTTGCTATACCTCCTTTTAAATTGTTTATTATCGTAGATTTTCCAGCATTGTCAATGCCCAACATAAGTAGTCTTACATCTCTAGAAAATATGATAACATATTAACACATTAACGCAATATAAGTGGAGAAAATTTTCAACACTCACCTACATCCCCGCTTTCTCAAACGGGAAAAACATCTCGAAATAAAATCTAGCATGCTTCAAATACTAGATAAGTCCACTTTATATCCTTAAAAACGTCATTTTAATTTCGGTAGTTCCAAAAGTAAACTAAACGTGAGATGTTTGAGGTGTTAAAACGTTTTTCAAGCGTCTAATAATTTCCAAAATTTACATTAGAAGTTGCGATGGAAACAACTGAATAAAATTGCCCTGTTCTCAATATTTCTCTACAATTATAATCACCTATAAAACACTCCATCTTCGATTGTCGTGATGGCCGAGTGGTTAAGGCGTTGGACTCGAAATCCAATGGGATCTTCCCGCGCAGGTTCGAATCCTGCTCACGACGAACTTTTTGAAAAGATTTCTTTTACGATTTATTTAAGTCAAAATCTAACCTATTGTTTGTATACCCAATATTTATACTAATGTATAAAGAAATAAACAAAAAATGTATTTACAATGCAAAAAAGGTTCATAACTCATAACAGCATGTCATATAACCAAAAGTTATCAAACTATTCTTCCCAGTCCCCACGTTTCACCCCAACTTTTATAGTCTCTCTAATCACAAATAAGAGAATAAACAATGTGATTAATTTTGTAATTCAAATGAAAGAGGATATTAACTAATTTCGCCGTAGCTTTCTGCATCAAAAGCTTTCCTTGCTTTCTTCAGTTCTTCATTCATTGTTAATAAATCCTACAATTAACACCAAAGCATGTAAAATTGGTTGCAATCAAAAATATTGAAAAAAATAGTTTAAACTTCATACCTTTACTCTAGCATATTTCTTGGGATCCTTGCGAATCAAAAACACAACATCTTCCACATGGACTCGGCCTTTCTTTCCAATGGCCATGGCTTTCAATGTCTATCATAAATTAGAAGCCCTATCATTACTTTGGCACAAGAAAGAGAATATCTTAACAAAACCATAATACCATTTCTGAAATGTATTCAACCACCAAATCTTCAAGCAAGTCAACAGATTCTGTAAATGGGGCTTGGTCATCACCAAAACCATACATCATACATCGTACTGCAAGAACAAAGAATATGATTTGATGAATACTTGTCCTAACATGAAAAAAGTACGTCATTTTGAGACATCTATCCGATCAATAATCTATGCTGCTATACATGCATATAATTACATTCTTTGTGAAAAAGACGCTTCCTCTTTCCTGAAGTATCCTCCTAAAAGACAATTGCACACTTAAAAACAAAAATGGGTTAATAAAATAGGAATTTAAAATAAAAATAATCAGTTTACTTCTTTGCCACTACTGTCTGGCTGCTCTTCTTGTTCCGCCATATTGATTACAATTTACAAATTAAGAAATACGTCATGTTAACGAATGGTAAAGGTGCAGTCATTTATGGTTGCAGTGCAGGCTCCTTGTCCCAAACGCATTTTCAAACGGCTTCGAAATGATTTTTACACTTACAATCACATTTTATTTATTGTAGAAAAATAATACAAATATGCACTGCAACTAGTTACATAAGCAAGCACTTCTGCTAACGATCAGTTACAATCCAAAACATGTTGGAAAATAGTTTGCGAAAAGCTGTGCCTACGTGCCGTCTTCCGTTAAATCGACTTTCTTTCGCTAACGGACTCTGCTTTTACGAAGTCCTGCATTTTAGCGCCCTGTTATCTTAAAATTTATTTTGCTGTAGAGTTGGTGAGCATGTGTAGATAATTTTAGGGATTAATGAAACAGTGATTGTGAATACTTGAAATAACAAGTTTCACCTACCATTGAATGACTTTTCTTATTCCAAATGTAACGAATTCGAGTAACAAATGCCTGAAAAATACGTTTCTCAATATCCATTGAAGGAAATGATTAAAAAATTATCGACTTCTTCCAATCATGACGAATATATTTAACTTTCCAAAATCGCTGTTGACAATTAGTTATTACTAATTTTAATTCATCCATAGTCACGATTCCATTACCGTTTAACTGTGTTTAACTCACTTACCACTCTTCTTCAAGAGAAAATTCTGTGGAAATTAATGGGATAAAAACTTCGAACCACTCTCTTTCTCTCTTATGAAGGACTTTCAAAACTTAGATTAACGTTATGCAATGCAATTTATTGATGTTTGTGTTGCAGTTAGTAAAATAATTTAGAGTTACAAAAAACTAGTTGGCAGTTATTTGCATTGTTTAAAAATGTTTTTTATGCGTATTGGCACATGATCATAAAACATTGCCTGTGACAAAACGTTCCAGCGCGTAAGGCACAGCTTTTTCGCAAGTGAATTCCTAAAATTTGCTTAAAAACGCTATCGACATCGTTTTCGGAGTGACTGTTACCACGAATGATTGACACATATGTATGAAATTTTGGAGTGACGACTAGGTGCTAGACAAAGCTTCACTCTCATCTCTGGCATCAGTCAGTTCAAACTCAGATTGCATTTCCCCGGTTTGTGGGGGAAAGTCTAGTGGTAAAACAGTTCCTGATGCATCCTTAGTGGATTGGACAGACGATACGACATTATCGTTTAAACTGCCTTCCTTTTGTTCTGAGACAGTTTTCTCATTCATATTGTTATTGACAGTGGCACACAGAACTATCTCCTCGGGTTGTTCAGAATTAACGTCGCAGTCGAAAGTATTTGCTGTTTCCTTCACGAAGAGGTTCTATTTTGGATTCAACTTCAACAGGTGCAGCAAGTTGAACAGGTGCAGCAGATTCAATCATCTCCTCGTTACACTGAAATGAACCTCCATTCGCATCTGAGGCAGTTACATTTATAGTACTTACCGGTGGCGATTGTATTGCATCTATGTCAGGGAGAATTCCAGTTGACTCCGTTTTTATATCGTTTGACTGCAGTTTTATTTCACTTGACATCGAATGGGAAGTCTCCTCGGATATTGCCATCAAATGGCTGTCACTCGATTCAACATGAATAGTTTCCTGGTTATCACTATCAATTTTATTCGTGACTTCAGTCGGCAGCTGTTCTGCACCAGCGTCCCCGACATCATCCCTCAGTGGTTTTTGTATGTCACATTGTTTTGCATTGTCCAAACTATCACCTAATGAACGCCCATCATTTTCAGGTAAAATCTTAGCACCTACCAGTTCCTCAGGAACAATATTGTCATTTTTATTTTCATGATCAGTTTCACTTGAGGACTGACAAGAAGGGCATCAGTTGATGTCTCTCTACCCTCCGAAAATGCTTCTGATCCAACGTTTTCTTTACCAATAATCAGTTTGTTTGCATCGCCATTGTCAGTCTCACTTGCCGACTGTTGAACAAGGGTATGAGTCGATGTCTCCGTATTGACTTCAAAAGCTTCTGGTCCAACATTTTCTTTATCAGTAATCATTACGTTGGGGTTGTCATTATCAGTTTTACTTGATGACAGTTGAACAGGGACATCAGTTGATGTCTGTGTATTGCCTTCAAAAGATTTAGATCCAACGTTTTCTTCATCACTAATCATTTTGTTAGAATCGCCATTATCAGCTCTCTCGTCAGACGAATGTTGCTTTTCATTGGTTGGTTTCATTGTTTGTTGTTGTACATCGACTATAGCCGTCATATCACCAGTACTCTCGTTTTGTTCATGAACAGTTTGTTCCTCAATGATCATTTTCTCGACATTGCTGCTATTTGGCGGCTGGTTGTGTTCACTTACCGTTTGCATTCCACCTTCAACAGCCATAGACTGGACATCGTCAGCTGACCCTGCAGAATTAAAAGGATTATTTGTGAAGCTATCCTGTTTTGTATTAATATCAGTGGGTGCTTCTTGCTCAATAGAAACGCCAACAGGTGGTGTTTCATTTGATCCTCCAGGAACTTGAAGTTCTGAAAGATTTGGTTTTTCTTCGCCAACTTCCCCTTCTCCAGGCGCGAGCGTTGCGGTTTCAGTACTTTCATTGATCTTGTTATTAGTAATCTTTTCTTTAAGTGCTTTGATTTCAGCCCAGCCTTTAGCAATTTCATCATTATTTGGATCAGCACCGCCATGATGAATGTTGTTTTCTTGTTGTTCTCCGCCTTGCTGATACTGATCAATAGGATTCCCTTTGGATGCTTCATCTTGTTCACCCCATCGACTTCTTTGCTCATCATGCTTCCAAGAGGACCCAAAACCAGGAGCACCAAGTCTTGGTCCTTGGTGTCTATCGTGAGGAGGTCCTTGGTGTCTGTCGTGAGGGGGTCCTTGGTGTCTATCGTAAGGAGGTCCTTGGTGTCTATCATAAGGAGGTCCTTTGTGCCTATCATGCGGAGGAGCTTGGTGTCTATCGTGAGGATGCCCTTGGTGTCTATCGTGAGGAGGTCCTTGGTGTCTATCGTAAGGAGGACCTGGATGCCTATCATGAGAAGGTCCTTGGTGTCTATCGTGCGGAGGTCCTTGGTGCCTATCATGAGGGGGTCCTTGATGTCTGTCAAATGGAGGTCCCCAGTGATGTCTGTCGTGTGGTGGTGGTCCCCAATCATTGTCAAAACGTCCACGCTTCTGACGTTCGAATGGTTCTTCCCAGTCACGTCCACGACGTCCTCTACGTTCATTATGACCCCACCTATCTCGTCCTCCATCATGTCTCCATGGCTCATTCTCTGGACCCCATTTATCATTCTCATGACCCCAATGCTCACGCTCATTACGCCAATTCTCGTTTGGTCGTCCTCCTTCGGGTCGCCATTGTTGGTTTTCTGGTCTCCACTGATTACGTGAATCACCTTGCGGTCTCCATAGCTGTCCTTGAGGTCCATTTGGGGGAGGACCTTGAAATCGCGTGTTACCTTGAGGTGCAAATGGTGGACCAAATGGTGACTGAAATGGAGGACGAGGTCCTCCATCACCACTTGGCCGTTCACTTTCAAATGGAGGTGCCTCACTCGATGTGTTAAATTGTTCCACTCCAGTATTCGTTGTGCTCTCTGCAGTTTGACCATACGACATCTGTTGTTCTGACTGTAGGTTGGGTTCATGTGCACCCTGATATTGTGGTACATCTTCTTGACCTGGAGGAACAATGTTTTCTGTCGATTCTGTGTCATCAACTGTCTTGCCTTGACCTACTGCCTCATCTTGGCCACTCTCAACAGTCTGCCCACTGTCAACATTAGTTTGTGCTCCACCTGCAACAGGTTGCTGCCCACTAAACATCGGGGGCATTCCAGGCATCGGTGGAGTTTGTTGTTGCATGCCTGGCATAAACCTAGGAGGCATCATATAAGGATTCATTCCAGGCATAAATGGTGGTCGAGGGAAGGGCATGTTGCCTGGTTGAAACTGCATACCAGGAAAGTTCATACCAGGTGGAGGCACCATCCCGGGGGGAGGAATGCCAAAAGGTGGAAATCTTGGCATGCCAGGAGGAATGACTTGGCCTGGTGGCATAGCTGGAAAACCAGGTGGTGGAAATGGCATTCCTACTACAGTTGTTGTTTGTCCAGTTGTACCATCAGAACTTGTAACAGTTGCTGATTCTTCTTCTTCTTCATGAAAATATAAAAAATCAACTTAAGTTTCTCTGACGTTGGTTGATATCAAAGATTCACTACAAGCACGATAAAGAGTACACGAAACAACTTACTTTTCTTTAAACTTTCTGTGATTGTTCTTGGATCAATCCAACCACCTTCAGACAATGTTGTTATTGTGTCCGAAGACTTCTCCAGTTTTGCTATAGGAATGTATGTGACACCAAGTTCTTTATTAAAATGGTCTTTGTATTCCTTTGCTCCCTTAGCTGGTGCCCAAGCAAGCTGAGAATATACACAATGACATAAACTAAATCTTCTGTCATGACTGCACACTAAGCACGTGTTAATAACGGGAATTTCACATTAATGTTAACAATATTCAAAGATGAAAGACGAGATGTTTTATTTCAGAAAACTTTATATCTTCAGGCCATTTTGATACGGTAGTAAAGACGGAAAAGATATCAAACAAGGGCATTTTTGAGAAAGAAGCAAAAGGTTTCTTTATTTATAATTTGCTGTTATTTCAGATAAACATAACACATAAAAACACCATGAAGATGTTATTACACAGTTTAAATAGAATTCCTCAGAGGAGTGAACAAAGATAAAAGAATGATCTCATAATTTACAAATTTTTACGCACACACACAATTATATTTATTTACTGTTATTTAACGGATATATCAAAACATAAACTTCCTTTATATGTATGCATATGTATTCATACAGATATATAGGTATCTGTACGCATGTCTATATAGATATAAAAAATGTACACTTCAAATATACAGCAGTTGCAATACCTTGTAATTATTTCTGAGTATTTGCCTACTAGACAAAGAATGATACGCTGCTTCTCTTTCAGCCATCTGTATATAGGCACAACCACGTGGTATTATCATCTTAACACAATAATACAATTAGACATTACAACAACCTTCACGTAATCAGGCATAGAATTAGTGGTGCGGAAAATATGCGCACTGCACACAACTTCTGCTGTTGTACGGGATAAATGTGGAGTGGTGAATTTTCTTAAACTATTGTGTTGTCTGCAATCATGCAATACAACAACTGATACCAAAAAACGTACACAATAGTCTCATTGACTTTCACCCCAAATTATACGTAGCACCCTTTCCCGACAGAGCAACATGTTACATGCTTGGACGTCACAAACACGATAACTTACATCTATAAGTTGAACTTCACCATATTCTTTGAACATTTCTTGTAAGCTCTCCTTCGTTGTGCTACGATTCATTTTTCCAAGCCAGACTGTGCGACTACAAACTAAAAACAAATAACATACAGTTCCCAAAGCTCCATGAAAGGAAATTACAAATATAGATGTCGTTGATTGAATGATCAATGATGTTCAGATAAGACATTATCATCCAGTGCCCGCAAAGGACTCAGACCCGTCTTGGTTATCATCATAAAACATCATTGCGAAAAAAAAACACATGCAGTCATTGGTTAACGTCGACTGTTATCTTGCTTGTTTTCTCATTGATGCAAAGATAGTTAGGAAATCAATTACAATAATGGTTTTAAAAAATAAAATTAACACGTAGGTTTTAAAAATTTTAGTGTGACTAATGACAGAGCTATCACACAGTTTCCAACAAACAGAAAACGAAGTTGAGTGAGTGGGGACAATGGTAAGGGCAAAAACAAAATATACTTTATACTTTCAGAACTGAAAATCCGGCCAACAGAAAAAAAAGAATAAAAAATCCGGCCAACAGAAAAAAAGAATAAAAAATCCGGCCAATAGAAAAAAAGAATAAAAAATCCGGCCAACAGAAAAAAAGAATAAAAAATCCGGCCAACAGAAAAAAGAATAAAAATCCGGCCAACAGAAAAAAGAATAAAAAATCCGTCCAACAGAAAAAAGAATAAAAAATCCGGCCAACAGAAAAAAAGAATAAAAAATCCGGCTAACAGAATAGCGCAAAAGCCAATAAAACCTTCATTTGTTTTTTGTGTTCTTCAGCCTGGAGTAAATTGAATTTTTTTTACGAAAGCTTAACAATTTACTAACCGCTGACGTGATCTTCTTTAACAGGAGGAATCCATTTCTCTTCTTTAACTTCTTTTGTCTCTACTGCTTTTTCTTCCTCTTTTTCACGTTCTTTCTCGCGTGCTCGTGGTTCTCGTTCCTCACGTGACCGACGCCTTTCTTCACGTGGTCGTTCACGCTCATTTCGTGATCGTTCACGTTCTTCACGAGGCCGATCACGATCTTCTCGAGTCCTTTCACGTTCTTCGCGAGCACGATCACGCTCTTCACGATGTCCATCCCTTTCATCACGCTCAGGACGTTGTTTATCGCGAATTTCCCGTGGTCGCTCGCGTTCATTGCGTTTTCGATCACGATCTTCACGTGCTCTATCCCTATCTTCACGAGATCTGTCTTGATCGTCACGTGGTCTATCACGTAACCGGTTTCGGTCGTCAGGTAGTCTTTCACGACCTCTTTCTCGTTCACTATAAGGAAATACCATCATTTTTTAAATATTATCGGTAAATGATAACTGACTCCGTAAAGATAAAATAAATTAAATTGCATCAAGTACATTGTCTGGCCAGCACGCAGAAAATAACCATTATTTATTTCCTTACAAAACTATCGCATTCCAGTGAGTGAATAGAGGAAAGTTTTCATAGTTATAATGAAAACGCCCACCGTTATGATATAAGTTAAATACAAAGCAAATAAAATTGTTGTTCACAAGGAATTTGTTTTTTTTAAAAATCATGGTAAAAAGATGTGATTGGAAAATTTCTTTCTCGTCTTAAATATTTCGAATGAGAATTGCAAATGCTTCTTGAAAAAAATGTGTCGATGTGGCCTGAGAGATTATGCTTTTTATACACGTGGAATAAATAAATATTAATCATACCTGGCTACTTCACGATGCCGTCGTTCGCGTGGGGACCTGGAACGATTGCGGGGAGGAGATTGCGCGTGTGGAGTAAATGTAGGTTGAAATGTCGGTTGAAATGTCGGTTGAAATGCTGGTATGGCTGTTTCATTTAATGGCTGGAGTGTCTCTGAGAAAGAAAAAATACTTGAGAATACGTTGGTAATTTTGGGGAAAACTAAGTACGATTTGGAATGTCCAGAAAATGAAATTTTATCAATCAGAAAATAGAGACAATCGTCACATACCCATGATACATAGGTGTCAGTCCGCCCGTCTCGTTATTCATCATTTTATGTAGGGCATCACACAATAACGTATGAGAAACCAGTTACAAACCTGGAACTTTCATCGCTGGACTACTTTCTGGGACTTTTTGTGGGGGGATACTGCTGACCACTTTTTGTTGCTGGCGAAATTGCTCTTCCATGCGTTGACGAGCATTAACCACTTCCACTTGTTCGAACGAACTTTACAAATAATATATACATTAGCGTTTGAACTTCCATTTGCCCAGAGAAAATTCACAAATAATATATAGAGTGGATTATTAGAGTTTAAAATTCCACATGCTAATAGGAACTTCACCAATAATATATACATCAGAATATAAGAAACATAACAAATAATACAAACATTTTATTTAGTATGAGTATTAGGGTTTGAACTTTCACTTGTTTAAAGAAACTTCACAAACAATATATATATTGGGTCATTAGAGTTTGAACTTTCACATGCTCAAAGAAACTTTACGAATAATGTATACATCAAAATACAAGATTTGAACTTTCACTTACTCAAAGGAACATAACAATTATTATACATATATTGAGTTAAAGAGTGTGAATATCTCCTTGCTCAAAGGAACATAAGAAATAATATACATATTTATACAAAGAAACCTTAAATTGTTGAGTCGACTGGCTTCCTGCTCAAGCTGTCTTTTCTTTTCTGCAATACGCTGTTGGTCGTCTTGATCATCACCATAATCAAAGTCATCCACATAACTTTGCTGAAGTAGAAAGAAAAAGTCATGAGATGAATTATAACTATTTGATCTAAAACATAATTGTTACATATCTTTGGTGTGTGTTCAGAAACAGAGACAGTCAATCAAACATGACATCAGTCCGCCCGTCTCAAAAAGTCATCATAACACAACACAGCAACAATAGCCAGCTTCAGCAAATGGATCACACTTTAATTGATACTCAATTTCATCTATGAGCCAACTAACCTGTTGCGAGTTGGAATAAAATGTGTTTCCTTGGTTGGCATCAGGATAATTGTAACCCTGATGGTGACCTTGGTTTTGTTGTGCTGGTAATTGAACATCATGTTGATACTTTTGCTTGTTCAACTGTCTATCACCCTCTCCTGTGTATTGCTGTGTTTGGTAATGTCCAGGGGGGTCACTACCTTGTTGATTAACCATTCCAGTAAGAGCTTGAATCTGCTGAAATACTTCTGTAGGTAGTTGAAATTTTGGTTCGCTTTCCAAAGATTCAGGTTGGTTTCCCAGTTTAGTCTGTTGTTGTTGTTGGAGACGTTCCTCCATTTCCCTAATACGGCGAACCTGTTCCTCTTGCTGCTTCTGAAGCATGGCAATGTACATTTGTTCTTGAGGTATTTCCCCGGCAGCCACTTCCCCTGAAGCATGCTGGGTAGTATCTGTAGCATAAAACATTGGTAGATATAATAAGACATTCTGAAACAAAATTCAACTACCTAAGTGTTATAGTTAAAAACAAACCCAGTTGTTGAGTTGTTGGTTTTGCTTGTGCTAAATTCAAGAGAGGTTGAATGACATCTGGTGGATAAACTTTGTTCTTCTGCCATAAATTCAACACCTTTATGAGTTTGCTCTAAACATAAAAACCACATGACAATCATCAGATTTATATAATTCTATTCTGAATGCATACAAATGTTGTACGATAGCAATAACAGGATGACCATTTAGATTGCATTCTCATACCTTCTCCTCGGGAAGGCATTTATAAAAGTTCTCAAAAGAATTCATGATGTTCTTTCCAAATCTTGGACCAAACACATCTTTCTCAGCACCAAACTATAAATAATGATATCAATAATTATACATTTCAAGATTAGATATGATTCACTTCTGCCTACCTGATGACGAGACTGTCGAATGATGGAATCTATGACGTATAATGCTGGAATCTTATATTCAGGTCGACACTAAAATTGAGAGATAACTAGATTAGTATTCTACGTAATATGCAGTACTGACATAAAATCATAACGACCAAGACTACCTTTTGTACAAACTTTTCCAAACTTTGCACAACGTGCTTGTAATACTGGAAAAAAATAAATGATATTTAAATAGGAAAAACATTAAAAGATAAGATATTGTAAGTTCGCTTCCATTATCTGAATAATTGTAGGCAATTTCGTGCTCTTCAATCTTCAATTAATGTCCCGTTGAATTGACCCTTGCCCTATTAAACATACTCCGAAAATTCCCCAAAACAAGCATTGTATTCATAATGTAAGACAACCCAAAGTAAACGGTTGAAAGATGTACAGTAACATGTGTTAACTGTTCCTGAACTCCCAACACCGAGGACTAGCTCTAGCTGTAGTAGATGAAAACATTTCCTTCGAACGACCACTGCACTTCATACCTTTACTGCTTTCAAAGCTAATCGGGTAATTGATGTCACTTTCGCTTTTGAAATTGGCGGCTTTGTCGCGTACAGCGTTGATAACTAAAAAAGGAAGACGAAGTGTGACAACAAGCTGCAAACAAGGCAACGATAAACTACTCAGTTTTTCACTATTTGCGGAGCGTTCTGAATGAAAAGAGTTGCACATACCTCGCTGTTAAACTGCCGGACAATCTCCATATCAGCCATGTTTAAATAGAAGTAGAAAAGCTACAAAATAGATGATCTTAGTGCATTATTTCGTCTATTTCCATGTGCTTTCAAAGTCTCACCGCTCAACGAAACAATATGGCTGCCCACGTATCACGGTAGCTCCACGCGCGAAACAATAAAAACACGCGGGGTACAAAAAAAACATACAACCGTATCACTTAGCGTAACATGACGTTGTTTGTAATTACTACATCATATAGCAGGCTCAACATTACATGGCAACATTATGAACAAAATTGACCGTTTCATAAACTTTTGAAAGATAAAAAAGCAAATTTCATTGAAAAATTTCCATTGTTTTCCTAATTTTCCTGGAATATGAATCAGACGCAGTACAAGGTAATTTATTTCAATGCCATTTTTTGCTGATTGATCACATGCATTATCACAGTTCACTGTAATGTTCCTTGAAATGTATTTCTTAATGTTCTTTAAAATCTTTCGTTTATGAAGGTTGCAGACTCCAAACGCGAAGAATTCAGAAAATATTTGGAGAAGGCTGGAGTACTAGATGCTCTGACTAAAGGTGTAAATCGCAGATTCACTGCTTTATTGTCTTTGTGTAATGTTCGTATAAGTTATTTTGCTTTTTATAGTTCTTGTGTCTCTTTATGAAGAACCAGAGAAACCATCTAATGCTTTAGAGTATCCTTTACATCAGTATTACGCGTAGAAATATGTATAAGTACTGGCAATAAAAACTAACTTTGAGAGCCTTAACCAAAGATATTTTAAAGTTATTTGGGAGCCTTTCTTCATGGCGGACCTCCACAAACAGCAGATGTACAGGACCTCAAGTTAAATGTCGAGCAGTTACAACAAATGAATGCACAGTTAACCAAAGAGAATGAAGAACTTCGTCTTAAAGTAAGGAAATTTGTCAAAGTCCCAAACTTGTAAGAGTTTGCTACGAATGTTCTTTTAGTGCATCTTCTAAACTAAAGTCCAATTAAATTTCATTTAGCTTCAACAATATGAACCAACAGGAGATGACCAAGGAGTAATTATATAATTTCATCTGTTTAATAATATTTTCCATTATTTTGCAATCCCACATGTTTTGGAGTTTAATGCATGTTTTTTTTCTTTAGGCCTCAGAGACTTGATGGATTCAAGAGTTTAATACACTGTAACATATTGAAATAGTTTAAGCAATTTCAATTTGGACTTTTTTGCTTATTTTTTTCTTGCTTACTACAAGAAAAGTGCATTTATTCGTATATCTAAATATTGCAATGTTTGACCTTGTGTAATGTCAATAAGCATTAATATAATGCACAGATTTCATAACCATAATCTTAAAAAAGCATTTTGCCAAAATTTGTTGAAAAAGTCTTCATTATTATTCTGGACACTTTTTGTCACCAAAAACTGGCAAACTATGAAACATCAGTTTGCAAATTTTCCAACATTTTGATTTCATGCTGGTCATTTTAAATGTTTACAATAAGGTAATTTTATTGGACATTTGTTTGCCAGTAAAATTGTGTTATTTTCCATAAGATAAGTTAAACAAACATACCAAACATATTCAGCAAAATTTTTTTATTAAAAGCGGAGATTAATTGAAAGCACACATAGCAATTTAGCAATTTAAACAGAACATTGAATATAAATTGAAATGCTAGAAACGAAGAAGGGCCAATGTTCTTCGTTGTGGCAAAGCATAGTAAGCAAAGTGCATAAGCTATAAGTCATTTTGAAATTCCAATAACGCCACAGCCAAGGCGACCACCTGCATGGCCAGTCTTCAAACTATCGTCATGTCCACCCTTACCTAAATCATCTGTACCTGCGTGGACCTGAAAAAATAACAAAATACAAATCATTTTAAGGAAATAGCTTGAAACACCAAAATATTTACCAAAAATAGTTGAATACTGACCACAATTGAGCGTCCTATGACCGAATGTTCACCACATAATGTAACAAGTCTATCTTTAATATCTATTTTTGCCAAACCATTTCCGTCAGCATCAATATTGCCAAGATCACCAACATGTCTACACAAAATTGCCCACAATTAATATGCTAAGATAGTGATATACAAAAATTCATAATCACAAGACATTGATTAAAATACCTTTCACTATCAGCAGGACCTCCGTGGTTCTTTTGGAAAGGATTGAAATGACCCCCTGCACTTGTGCATCCTTTTTTTGAAAAAGATTAAAAGAGTTGAATGCGGCAACATAAATTTTTTTGCAATGCATTTCAAGATTTCTAACCATTGGTGTAATCACCAAATTGATGAATATGAAAGCCATGTAGTCCTTCCGATAAGCCATCAACAGATCCTGTGATCATACATTCACTTTCAGGACTCTGGGAGGAAACATATCCTATGAAAACCTGCTATGATCTGCTCAAGTAATATGTAATCCTCAATACAAATGCTCTTTGTAATTCACCATCAGGACTATGAGAGAAAATATATTCAAGGAAATCTGCTAAAATCCACTGAAATTACATTCGATCCTCACTAGCGGAAACTGTCATAAGCCTCTTGACAATGAAATCACAACTTTACATAATTTTTAAATACGTTTTTTTAAATACATAATATCAACTTGTACTGTACTGAATTGTACAATTTTCACTGAGTTCTAATATTTAAAGTAAAACTACCCTGCAATGATTTAATGTTACTGTGACCTTACCACGATGTACGAGCCACCGGCAAGCCTAATAGTTTTTGGACTGAGAGTGTTCGTACAAGGTACAAAACATTACGACACAAATCAAGTATAATATCTTTTAAAACAGTCAAAACCCTCCTTAGATCTTCCTTATTACAAACCCTAACAACAAGATTAGCAAAACAACACAAGTTTTAATTTCAATTCGAATAATCTACAATTACAGCATCTACATTATAGCAATGACAATCAAGGGCGAGGCATTACGATGTATCATTTGTAGATACGTCTTATCAATAACTCATATCACTCGCATCAGAAGCAACATACCTCCTGAAGAAAATTGATAGTTCCTTTAATAGTTTCGCCCCTAAGCACGCAGACAGCTTTTACAGGCATTTTAGAAACGTTTCCTTCGCTAATTCACGGTGATTTGTTTACTACACCTCTCGTGACAGTTTACAACTTCTGACTTGATCATGAGGCACGCGAACTATATAGTGCAGAGGTTGTGGGCGGGTCACGGGGGGGGAGGGGAGAAGAAAGCATTTAGATCAAAGGGGTGCGGCACATGCAACACGATGAGGGTAAGCGGGTAAGCGTTACTAAACGTCATTAAAACGCAGCAAATAGATAAATTATATAAAGGAGGTATCAAAAAATAAGACCTCTAGAAATGAAGATCTTGTGAAATTACGATAAGTAAGTTCAATGCCTATCACTATACTAAGCCACCGTTCAATACAATACTGTAATCTAAATGCATGTGTTCTATGTCTTTGTTACAGGCACAAAAGCTTTTCTGCTCCTGGTGATATAACATAACTTCTAACTGCAAAATGTGAAAAGCAATGAAACAGTGAAATTAGCATAGTGATTACGCATTGAAATTTCACAGTAGGTTAATTTCACAGTAGGTTAATTTCATAACATTTCATGACTCTCTTTAAAGTCCTCTTCTTTTTATACACCTTGTAGTATAGCAAAACAAAATGAGCATAACTTTGAATGAAAAAGAACGAAACAACTCAAAATATTTCATGTCCATTAAAATATGTGTGGAAGAATGTGTGAGTATTGAATTGGATCATAAAATACATGAACTTTGTTTGATGAAGTCATTTAACCGTAGATATACCAAACTTTGTCTTCAAATCTGATATATGATTGAGTAATTTTAGAGCAGGTCCAAGTTTGAAGTTCATACACGACATAATGGTCTCTCGATTTAACAGCAATAATGCACCTCCATCAATTTCCTGCAAAAAATACATCATAAAATTGAGTGACAAAAATAAGTTGACAGAAAAGGAGCAAAAAAGAGTAGGTTTATAGGAAGAGAAGTGGAGACAGCAGGTTAATGGGAAGAGAAGTGGAGAGAGTTGGTTAATGGGAAGAGAAGTGGAGAGAGTTGGTTAATGGGAAGAGAAGTGGAGAGAGTTGGTTAATGGGAAGAGAAGTGGAGAGAGTTGGTTAATGGGAAGAGAAGTGGAGAGAGTTGGTTGATGGGAAGAGAAGTGGAGAGAGTTGGTTGATGGAGAGAGTTGGTTGATGGGAAGATGTGGAGAGAGAATGGAAGAGAAGAGAGAATGGAAGAGATGGAGAGAAAGAAAGAGAGAATGGAAGAGAAGTGGAGAGAGTAATGGAAGAGAACTGGAGAGAGTTGGTTAATGGGAAGAGAACTGGAGAGAGTTGGTTAATGGGAAGAGAAGTGGAGAGAGTTGGTTAATGGGAAGAGAACTGGAGAGAGTTGGTTAATGAGAAGAGAGAGAAGACAGTAGGTTGATGGCACAAAGGGTGAATAGAGTCGGTTGATAGGAAGAGGAATGAAGATAGTAAGTTGATGGGAAGAGAAGAGAATAGAACAGGATAATGGGAAGAAGGGAGAAGAGAGTTGGTTGACGGGAAGAGGAATGAACAAAGTACATGGATGACTAGGTCAACAAAATATGGAGCACCATAAAATAGATGGTATCTTTCTAAATGCGAAGATATATACGTACATGTTCCCTAAACTGTTCGGCATATTTCGTTATGTCTGACTTCTGAAAATATCCAACCACCTCATCAACACTCCACGTAAGCGGGGATGACGTTGACTCAACATCTGAAGTCACTAAATGAACGAAACCCGTGTGTTAATTTGTTGTGTGCGTCAAAACGCTCTACATCTCACGTACCTTCTGGTATCTTTTCTATTGGAGAAATTCGTCTTCTTTTAGTTTCCAACTCTTTAGTTTGATCTTGTTGACGTTTTTTCACTTGTTGTTGAAGCAGAAACTCTTGCTCCTTCACTTGCTTGAGTTGTTTCTGTTCTAATGTTTTAGCTTCATTACGTAGTTCCTCCATTCTCAATTCTTTTTGTACCCTCTCTTGCTCTGCTAGTCGAGCCACTTCTCTTTCTCTTAATTTCTTCCCTGGAATAGAAAAATGCTATAGACTATATGTAGCACCGTGCGTAGGGGTAGATGGCTGGTTGAGTATAGCACGTTATCCCCTCTATAGCAAAGCAAAGAAAACATCCATCACACCTTGGTCGTTGCATTTCGGGCAGGTACCGTGAAGCATGTTGGCCGAGAAAAGGTTCTTACAACAACGAAGATTATCAATGAATCGACCAATCACGTTCCACATCACCCACACATGATCTATGCTTTGCAGACAGCAAGTATAAGTTTCCTTGTCATGCTTCGCCTTGATGATGATCTGCAAGCAAAAGTGTTAAATACTCATCATCATAAAAACTTTAACGAGTATTAATTACCTTTCCTCGTCCAGGTCGAAGAAAACCAATCACTACACTGGGGTCGTAGGCTGCATTAACAATAGCCTGAATACTGGCTTGGAGTACATCACGGACATTACCGCGATAAACAGGATGAAGCGTGGATAATTTTATCGGGTCAAGATACGAGCCAAACTCACAGTTGTAATTTACATGAAGTTCAACTAGAACAAACAAGTCAGCAACATCAATAAGGTCATTAGCTACACACCAGTATCCCTTGGAGTACCTCATACCTTCCCCGGGGATGATATATGACGAATGATGATCATCAGAAACCGAGTCTGCCTTTTCTGTGGAATGTTGAACTGTTTCATGTGCTGGGTTTATGCCTTCTGCCAAATCTGTCTTTTTACTTTGCGGCCTAAATCCATGATGTACCTGCCTCTCTTTCAACATAACTAATGGCAATTTTCTATAAACAAGTGTTCAAATATAATAATTAGTAATGCATTAGAAACACTATCAATTAGGGTCAGTTCTTGTTGTCAAAAAAAAGCCCACATCACGGGGAGGGGTCTTACTTGAAACCTTGAGGTGAATGCAATGGATGACCACTGAAATAGCTCCATCCTGGTGGAAATATGTCACGAGAGTGGAATGAATATTTATAAACTCTGCCAGGTCTGCCATCAAACTCTATATATATATCATCTGCTATGACATTTTTTACACTTGCAACACAGACATGCGCTGGATGACTCGGATCAACTGCTTCAAGTTTAAATGTGGGGCAAAAAAGATTCACTTTTGGTGAGCTTGGCTCCTATATAATGTATCAAACTTTAGCAATATGTACTAATGTAATCTGAGCTTTGTTTTTCCATATCCAAACACCTTTTTAAAAAGTCTTAATGGTGCTAGTTCACCATCTGCCAAAGCTTTTTGAAGAAAACTCTTGAAACTACTACCCTGCATCTTGAAACCTAAAAATACAATTTGATAACCAAAATGGAATTCCTCAGTAGAATCGTTAGGATCAAGAAAATGCAGTAAGATCCTACAGGATCTTGGATTAGACAAATGTAAAGATTGCAGGATCCTAGGTAAGATCCTGTTTATATCTAAAGAAAAATCCTTTAGGATTTTCACTAAACATGAATAGAATAACCTGTGTAAGAATGGTATTATGACGTACCTACAGGAGGTTTAAGAACACCTCCATTCCCTTCACACCAACCAATAGGATGAATATTGCCTGAGTCAATGACCGTCCATATATCATAGGCACTACTACATCCATCAAATCTGAGACGAATACGAGATCCTATCACTCCCACAACTGTTGCAACACATATCGCCCCATCTTCACTCCTTGGGTCCAACACTTCCAATTTCATACCACATTGGAAACCATTGAAAGGTGGAGTGGAAGACTGGAATGACAAAAAAAGTTTAGTTTGAATTTAGTTTGAGGAGCAATATTTTAGGTTAGATTAGTAACCACCTGTTTGAAACAAGTCCAAGGTGCAAGAATGCCACCTTTTTCTGCAATGTATTCATCCCATGAGAAGGAGGAAAGCCCTGACTCAGGACATGGAACCTCTAGAGTAAAATATATTATTTTGATCATAACTGCCTTTTGTGAGATAAAAAACATTCAAAGTCATGGGGTTTAGCCAGAGGCAAAGCTAGCACTTTTTGGGTTTTTGTTCTCATGTAAAATAATGAATAAAATTAAATTTCTCATACAAATAACTTGTGCTTACACATTTTTTGTATTTAACAAAAAATTGGGCTGACTTGTGTACAATCATAATGTTGAAGATGAAGCCAGCCCAAACTTTTATTCCTACAATGGAAATTCTCAAGCAAATTATTAGTAATTAATTCTGTTAAAAAATATTTTTATTAATTCTTTTTTACAGGGAACAATTGCATTGTAGGAATAATAAACAGGCTTGCTACACTGCTATGTGAAATATGAATTTTACCATGCAAGTCAACACACACAAATCTCTGGTTCTGACCTTTTGAGGGAAACACTTCTGACATTGTGTCTTCCTCAGTTTCAACCTGTGAAAACATGACGACACACTTACAAAGTGTGAAACACAATCAAAAATTTAGCAAAAACAGCAATTAACATCAAAAAAGCTCATATTATTGTGGTTGTTTTTAAAACACTTTTTTGGAGATAAAATATTTAATTCATATGCACCATTTTGCAATACTATTTTACAAACTATTTCACAATAACAAAGAAGTTACAAAATATACAAGATCATTATTCTGAACAAGTTATGGGTGTAACACGTGTCACATTTAGTGTTTCATTGCACTCAGGCTTCAGCAAAGTATTTGTTGCCATAGGAACACTGACGGCTTGATAAAGTGGAGGCTTGGTTGAATGCATGAATCCTGCACTAGCACAATTACATTGATCATGTAAATGAGCATTGCAAATGACTAAAGGAAATGACGAGTTACTTGACACATAAGGGTGAAATGTTCCCAATGCATGTGGGACTGATGTTACAACTGGACTGCTATTGGGATGAACATCTTTGTGAATGTTTTGTTCCCCATTTACAAGATAGGAATAATTCACTGGGGATAAAATTCCTGGTGATGGAACATAAATCCCCCTGTCTGAAGACATGTAGCCATATTGTGGTGTCTCATTGATGGCATATATAGTGATTTTTGGCGATTGATTTAGCAAGGTCTTTTGACAACTACAACAGATGCCCGCATGAGATAACCACTCAGGTTGATGGGTAAATAGGTGAGGATGATGGATTCTTTGAATGATCTCAGGCTTGTTGCCAATGAATGCCGTAGAACACATGATACAGTTCCAAAATCGTAATGTGATGAAACCATCTTTTGAAGTAGCTCCAGGTCGAGGTATACTCATTGTTATGCAGAATCGAGTCATGTTTGCAGGACCCTGTAACATAAATATGAGACTTTCAATCCAGCAGTCACCACTATAAACGTGATGGCATGGAAGGGAGGGGTGGCATACATTGAAAAAGAGCAACCTCGAACTGAAGCCATTTCAAATTCATAAAATTTCCCACCATATCTTTTAAATGAAATACAAACAAAAGAATGACTTACATTAGTTGTTGAACTTGAAATTCTTACTGATGAAACAGGATGTTCTTTATCTTTGCATGATTCATATTCAGATTCACTGGTTACCATTGTAGGTGCTGTAATGAAAGAATATCTTAGTCAATGTTCAAATGGTACGATTTGAAAACATCTCTCCAAAAGATAACCAATATATGAGAGTCAATCAAAGACAATTTCTACCAGATGGGCTATTTGATGTCTCTTGATGTTTGTCGACATCTGTGTCAGAATTTGTTTGTGTTACATGGCTTCTTGAGGATTCTGACTCATCCACATTCATGTCCTCTTCTTCTTCTTCATAACCATAGATACCAAGAAATTCTTTCACTGTTGCTTTGGCATAATCCTATAACATAAACGTGCTCAGTTACGTTGAACATTTTAAAAACCTGGGGGAGGGGATGGTGGTGTTTATAAACGTGTGTTTAATTTACTTGCCTACCTTCATTTCTTTGTCAAAATTCTTCGCCCTTCCAATTTTCTCCTCTAACGACATTGCGTCTTCATTTGACGATTCCCCTTCATATGATCCAGCAGCAGTTCCTTTTTCGTCCGACATGATCTTTTTAAAAACGCGCGCTTTTCAATAATCTATATACCATCGCCACAAAATTACAGTTAAATTGGAGTTGACTAACAAAGTCACCTTAAAGTTGAAACATTAAAAAAAACCGGTATTAACGACGAAAACGTACCTAGTTTATGGAAACTTAATGACACGACAAATCATCTCTTTGCTCTTCGCAGTAGATGCTGATATAAAGTCGGTTCTGTGATGTAAACTTTCTACATCTGTGTTTATCCTCCCGACATCTTATCACTAATCGCAAGTGATCTTTTTTCATGTAAGGAGAGTTTGGTGTACGATCAACTTCAGTATTTAATTACTTTGTTTCGCTTTGTTATTTCTACGAACCAATATACAATAGGATTGAACCTCATGCCAGATCTGTTGGCTGATGAAATAGGAAATGCCATTTATCATTGTTGCATTAATATTTTGGGTTACAAGTCATTCCTGATAAGCATCAAAACTTAATTTCTCCCAATATGTTGAAAGAGATAAGCGACAGGTGGTGCATGATGGGACACGATCGGAGCGCAAAACGAATGATAATTTCAGGCATAGTTCGCACTGGAGGTCGATTTCCTCATAAAAAAGAATCAGTATTATCTATTCTTACAGACATGGTATTTTCTAAAATAAACATAAACAAATGCATGTAATATTTTAGAGATAACACGGATAGCGATAGAAGTACAGTGGTATAATTTCTTGCGACACAAAGTCGCACATTGCACAAAAAAAAGATAAGGAAAGATCAAATTTTGAGATTAACTCTGATCTACTTCCAATACGACCAAAAATTGAAATGCTAAAATAGCATATAAAGTAAAGTTTCTGATGTAATTACATATTTAACAACACAAAGTTTTTTCGCCAGTAGCTGAATTTGGTATTTGAGCTTTGGACTGTATTGTCTTTGATTACAGTATTACAAAGTGATACAACAAATCGTAAAAATATTATCAGAAACGTCAGACCCGAAAACGTCATAAGGGCGATAAGTAAAGATAACTTCAAATGAAAAATTTAGCTCTTCATTGGTCAAAGTTGCACCTGAAAGATACGATAAAGTCGTATTTAAATTGATTCCTTATCACAGGGAATTAAAGCGCTTAAGTTTATGAGTTTGCAACAGCACTGCCCCAGAAACATTTATTGAATATGTGAGAAAAATATCGAAGGGGTCTTTTTTCATAGAAATGGAAGTTTCATTCTAAGGCAGCCACTGTTCCCGAATCAAGTCTTTTGTATGTCGCCCATGCCACAATACTGATGATATAAACGATAACAACATGTGGTTGAAAACACGATTTCATCTTTAAATATCTTTCTACGTGCGCGTATTATCTCGCTTACGAAATATTTTAAATAACCAAAGTATCAGACGAGAATGGCGACCACAAAACGGTGTTTTTAATTTGTCACAGATTTTCATAATGGACGATGGCATATCTAGAAAGTTAAGAGCTAATTACAAAATTTCCTATCCCCAAATGCATTGTTTACTTTAGCTTTGACTCAACGCCTTTAGCGTTTAAAGGTTCAATTTTAAGATTTGGCAAGAAATCTGTGGCTAGAGCTTTCTCAAGGCAATCGGTCAGCGATTGAAGATCACCTGATATCAATCCAACATTTGATAAAATTTCCTGGTTATTAAAAAAGAATAGTCGGTGAAGTTATTTAAATATTACAACCCTTGAATGCAGATCATGGCTTTTGTTTTCAGATGTCTTCAAACCTGAGTAGAAACTTGAGATCTATTCAAATAGAAAACAGCTGATTTCATTTTGCTGTTGGCGTCGTCATACATTCTTGTTCGACATTCTATGACATCTGATCGAAGTTCGAGATTACTCACTCCTTTCAAAACGACAAGAAATGCATTCACAATGACCGAAATCATTGCCACAATATCAAAACAGCTGCTAATTGCTTTAACAACTTACTTAATTTTCGGTGAAAGGAGCTGGAAAGTAAAAAAAAAGATGTTATCAAAACAAGTCATTTTATCATATAAATAGTAGACGACTTGAAGGATATCAAATTTTATAGGATCGATGATAAACTTACGAATCATAATGAAACTTTAATTTTCGTTTTGTATGTTCACGAGAAGTCGTTTCACTTTGAATATTATCAAATCTTTCGTCTAGTATATCTTTACCGTCACTTTGTACGTTTCCATCGTCACTTTCATCGCTCTCTGACGCTTCACCCTCGACAACAACGCTCTGCCGTGGACTTCTTACCTCTTTCTTTGTGACCATGGCATTTTTTGTGAAAAAAGATTGATCTATTTCATACTCTTCGTCCGACTCTGAAGCTTCTCCTTGTATAAAATTACCCCCTTGCTCCGCCATATTGATTTTTTAGGAGTTACATGACGTCATTCATAATAGATTGACCAATCAAATCACATACAACTATCTCTTACTTGAAGAAAAATAATGGTCTATTATCTGTCTTACATAATCATACAATCTTTATTTTCTTTGTAATAGAGTTTGAACACAACGATCAATTTCATTTATTTCCTTTATTTATCTAGCGTTAGCTCGGCTGAACTTCCCTGTTTACTAGCGTTTCAATGCTTGCCTCAATAACATCAAGACAAATGTCAAACTGCTGATCCAAACCAATGTAGGAGTCACTCATTAAGTACAATGTGTATATCTTTGAGCCTATATTTTCAGGAGTAAAGAAAGTAAGTGAAACATTGGAGCGAGACTTGATGCAGCCAATACGCTTCAATGCAACGAGTTCGCCATCATCAATATTCCCCAAGACCAACAACCAGCCGGCATCTTTTGCTTTAGGAAAGCGAGGGGCGAAAGCTTTACAATCAAACGTCTAAATACGTAAAAACGATTGAAAAGATGAACTAAATGTAAACATGTACACAGTGTAAAGTTTTTTCACCAGCCATGCAGGTGCGGATTACTACGTACGGGGCCTGTAGGCTAAGACAAAGTTGTTGGACTTTAAGTCGGATATCTATTCCCCTCACTAAGTTCAGTTTCTTGATGACATTTGCGTTCCTTACGCTCCTTTGCCTTTGCATTTCCCATCTTGTTTTTGTAACTCGTAGTATCAACAATAAGGAATACATTTAAAGTTTAAACTGGGAAAACCTAGTACTTCATGAGTTCTGAGTATCGTGTCTTTGAACAGTAGTTCGTATGGTTTCTAACAGTGTAAATTGTCTGAATTAAGAACATTTAGCTAGTCCGGAATGGCAAAAACTAAAAACATATTATGCCTAGATACAACGGGCTTCTCAAAAGCCCGGGCCTGTAGTCTTCAGCCTACTTAGCCAACTTAGCAATCCGCTAGTGCGCCCACCATGTTTGTAAAAAAATCCATGAAGAGAAAAGAATTTATGTCGATTTAACACTCTGTTGAGACTTGAGCATTGGCATTTTGAAGTAACTTACTAACTACCTTTTTATCATCCAATACACGCTCCAGTTCAATTTTCAGTGTGTACTCTTGATCAGCGTGAACTTGTACCCAATTCTCCTGACCGACACGGCCAGATGTGACAACAACACTTTTCTCTTGTTGAATGGGTTCTTCTTCCCAATTTCCCCGGATGAAGAGTCTAGTTGACACTTTAGGAAGATGCGAAAGAACTTCACCAATCTTAAAACGGAAGAAATCACAGTGTAATAATTTTAAAAACTTGAACATAAAAACAGGATTTTTATGTCACCTGATCTATGTTCTTGGGCGAAATATTTCCATTCAGCATTTTATGCAAATACATTTCATCGCGTCGAACAATTTCTGAAAGTTCCGGAAGACTGTCGACACATCTCCGTGAGCCATCGGTTGTGCGAAATAAACTTAGGTGAACTTTATGGATACCAGGTAAGCAAAGCAGGGGACTATCTGTTATCCAAAGTCCCTGAACGACCATTTGAACAATCAAAATGATTCGTAACACCGTCGTTAACCATCCTTCATCTGCTGCTGCGTCAGCCATTGCCTGAAAATGTTATTGAAGAGCGGTTATTGAAGAGCTGTTATTGAAGAGCTGTTATTGAAGACCTGTTATTGAAGAGATGTTATTGAAGAGCTGTTATTGACGAGATGTTATTGAAGAGCTGTTATTGAAGAGCTGTTATTGAAGAGCTGTTATTGAAGAGCTGTTATTGAAGAGCTGTTATTGAAGTGCTGTTATTGAAAAGCAGTTATTGAAGAGATGTTATAGAAGAGCTGTTATTGAAGAGCTGTTATTGAAGAGCTGTTATTGACGAGATGTTATCGAGGAGTTGCTATTGATGAAATGTTATTGAGGGTTTCTGGAGAGTCTTTCTGCCGTATAGGAATATTGATTTTTACGATTTAATATTATACCACTGCTCGAAAAAGTTACCTGTAAAATTCTGATAGCTTGATCAAGAACAGACTTAGTATCAGTGTAATAATCACTACAGGGAAGAGTAAACCTGGAGAAATGAGCTTGAAATAGAATGAACGCCTTCGTATGGGGACTGTCGTATGAATAGGGGTCAACTTCCAGAGGTAATTGTTTTGCCAAATCACTAAAGATTAGATAGGTAAAGTAGATTAGATTACAGTATTTGATTTATGAAATTAAAGTTAAACGCTTACAAACCTATTAATAGCGTCTTCATTATGACGAACAGGCAGTTGATCATACTCTTCGACATTCTGAAAATAGAAAGTCGGCAAAATGAGGCGCTTCATTGACGTAAAAAAAACTCAACACATACAAAAAAAGTGATCTCCCGTACACTTAAAATCTTTAGTAACTCGGTTGATGACGCAGTTTCGTAAAGTTCTTCTCGAAATAGACGCATTGTACGATGACTGAGGTAGTAGTAAGACGAAAGACGACCAAGAATTGTCGGATAAACAGACTGATCATTCTGAAAGATGGAAAAATCCAAAAGAAAGCCATTAAGCTATTGTCGAAAAAAGCTATCGTGGTCACGGCATAGTCATTACACTTGGTCAATAAACATTCTTGAAATAAATTCTTGAGTATGGGTTGTGTGTTCTCTATTGTTTGCCTGCTTTGCTTTCTGAAAGATGGTATCATGTTTCAATTACTGCATTGTGTTGTGCAAGCAGTGATCATTTAACGAATGGATGAGGCTGAAGCGAGGGGAATAAGGACAAAAGGCATTTTCTCACCTCGTCAACTTCCACACAATATGATCCTTCCAAATCAGTGACGCACGTTTGAACAACAGTCGATAAATATTTATTCACTTCCTCGTGTTCAGTATTCTCCAAATCATAATAACTGGGATTCATTAACAAGCGTCGAAAAAAGTAAGTCCAGGTTATATAGTCCATCGCTTCCTGCTTTGATGTAATAGTTCCAGACACAATCTCGGCATTCATATGATCGGAGAGCACCTCAGGTAGACTAGAAACGAGCATTAATGACTAGAGTACTTCTATACTATATGAAAGGGTGTCATTTCATGAGTGTCACCAGAAAGTGTAATTCTAGGGATGTTCTCATGTATCTAGTAGCAAAGCCAGCACGTTTTTTACTCTACAGTGCATAAATTTTGCTGTTCAATCACTGGAAAAACAATGAACGGAATTAATTTTCTACAGATATGAATAATTTTACTGAAAATATTATTTCATTCTAGGAATAAAAGATCGCGCATGCCTCGCAACTGCAAGTATGTTCTATCAAAGGGTGTTATCAATGTGTCATTTCTGTTATAATTATCAGCCACATTTCTTGTCACTAACCTTGACTCGACCGGGAATGGATCGTACAAAAACTTTTTGTAAAACTGTTTCTTGATGTCATGCACCAAAATGACAGCTACACCTTGATCATCAAACTGAGGACGTCCTGCTCGTCCCATCATTTGTAACACATCCGTCACAGGAAAGTCTACGTAACGTCTCGTTTTACCATCGAAATATTCCGTGCCTTTGACGACGACCAAATGAGCGGGAAAATTGACACCCCACGCTAAAGTACTGGTAGCAATTAAAACCTGAACTTTCTGATTCACGAACAGCTCTTCAACTATTTTTCTGTCGCGCTCGTGGAGTCCCGCGTGATGCATTGCTATTCCGAAGGGGAGAATAAATCGTAGGTTGTCATCTCGTATACCGGATACGATATTCGCAATCTGCAAAAGAACATAAAATATTGGGGTTTTCTTCGTAAGAGTTGGATAAGCTTTGACCAATCATGGGCTAGTTCAACGTTCATGTTTATAATTTGTTTAGTAATACCACGTCACAGATTACAAATTGAAATACTAATTCGTTTAAGTAAATAGTAATCAGAAAAAGTAAACACATTTTTGTGTACATTTTCAGAGAAAAAAAAGCAAAAAATACACTGATTTATAAATACTGAGCTTTATAAGTGACAAGCATAGCGAGGTAAATTGACAATAAATTTCAGCTGTAAACCTCTTCCTCTGCCATATGTAACCATTGTTTCGGATCGTCTTCAGCAGCAAGGTAAGCTATGAGATCCAGTGCAGTCAAACGGGTTTGACGACGTGACGAGACGAATATCAAGACGGGTTTATCAGGAGAATGGGTACGAATTGCCACAAACGTGGGTTTATTCATAGTTGCCATGCGCGGACAGTAATGCTTTCCGGGAAAGCCGTTAATGTGGACTTGCAGAGGAACCGGGCGAACAGATGGACGGAAATTGAATAAACCGGACTAAACGATATAAGAGTTAAAGAAGTGACACAAAATTATGACTTTTTATGACAGATGTATCTGATGAGAGGCCATCAATGACATTGACAACACATTAGTGACCTTTATATTAGTGATTCATCAATATATACTTCATGACTAATAATTCGCTTTCAAGATTTATCTTTTCTTTTGCTTATTGTGCTTGATCCCTAGGTAGCCTAACAATAAGGACAAATACCAACTTATTGTGCTACCTTTAATATCGGTTTCCCTGCATTTCAACCACAAAACAGATATACAGAAAAAGTGGTTAAGTTATTACCTGTTTAATACCTAGCCAATCAGCTAGATCTTTAGCGTTTGCAAGAGCAGTTGAAAGACCGACAACTCTAACGGGATGTTCTGTATGTGACGATATATAATTTGTTCGTGATACAATAACTTCAAGAACAGGACCTCTTTCATCACCCAGTAAGTGAATCTCATCTATCACCAGTAACGCCACATCTTGAACGTAGTTTCTGGTCTGCCAACTCCGACTCACGCCGTCCCATTTCTCGGGTGTCGTCACTATGACGTCAGCTTTCGAGATGGCACCCATATCCGGTGTGACGTCACCAGTAAGTTCTACTACTCTAAAAGAAAAATGACAGTTGCTAAAAACAGGAGTGCAAAAGCACGTAAATACAAAGTTAATTGAACAATGACGCAATATCTGTTCTTCTGATAGTGCTTTGTCTATTCTTTCCAATTTACCTATACAAAATACACCTATATAAACCTCACGAACTAGTTCATTGACAATGATATACAATAGTATAACAACTGCCATTGTTTTGGGTTAACACAAGTACATTGGAGAAGTCCTTTCATTTAAATATGTTGAATATCACCTACTTCTTTTTCAATTTCTGCTCAAAACGAATTTTCCAGTCTTCAATTCGCTCGCGAACGAGAGCTTTCAAAGGCGCTATATAAACAGCCTAAAATTATGACAACAAAATGAGAAACGTCAGTCAGTGAACAGAGGATAATGAGGGATGGGGAGAAGTTGGTGATGACGAGTCTGTGAAAACGAGTGCACAAGACAACAAAATGAGAAACGTCAGTCAGTGAACAGAGGATAATGAGGGATGGGGTGAAGTTGGTAATGACGAGTCTGTGAAAACGAGTGTACAAGATACACACCTTTTTCTTGGGATATATGTTGAACACACGAAATATTGCCATCTCAGCAACAATGGTTTTACCACTACCAGTCGGGGCACCGAGGAGTACGTTATTGTCAGTGTGGTACAATGTGTGAAAGACCTGTGTCTGTACGGGATTGAAGTGGCTAAACTTAAATAATCTTTCATACACATGGTTCTTAAATGCCGTCAAAGGTAACGGTTGTAGATCTAGGAGGTCCGTGTTAGGAGGGTGTTTCTCCGGTAGGATAAGATGTTTGAATGAGATAGCACATACGCACTCGGCCCCAAGCCAGCGATCTGACATTGCACGAACCAAGTACTGAGCGGGAAGGGGCTCAAATATGGGAATGGTAAACACTAGGGATTGTGGTTCTTTGGTTTTCACCTGAAAATTAATTCTTGGTAAGTTCAAATGAGACTTGAAATTTATAGTTTTCATCACATCCATTAAACTACCTACAAGTGCATGTCATCAACAGAGATAAAAACTCACTTGCTTTCTGAGGAGCAGGAAGTACTCAGAATGATAAATATGATCATTATCGGGATCTTCAACCCATATCCACCAAGGTTCTGATGTTGCACCGTGCACCTTTTCCGACCATTCAAATTCAGACGTAATAGTTAACCTAACACGAAGTACATTCCGTGTCACAGGTTGAATCGTCGCAACAATCGATAAAGAGGGAAACTGTCGAACACATTGCTTCACTATTCGTCCCATTCTCACGTGATGTATAAGATGACCTGGATACATAGAATTATTACTTAAAGGGTGTTATAGGATTGACATGAGGATACGAAGGAACAATTTTAATGGTCAGTCATCAACAAGACAAAGTCAGTGAAATTTTTACTCCTGTTATGAAAGTATTTCAGCAAAATATTCCAAACAATGCTTTAGATATTGTTTTATAAGTGAATGAACACGAAAATATTTGCAAAAGAAAAGGTTGGCAAAGCTTTGCGACTGGTAACTAAACCCCTTCACTCACCATTACAATACAATGACATATTCCAGTAATTTAAGAGAGAAAGAGATGCGAGACGGCGTACCTATCTCGTCAGCGGTCATATCACGTAAGCGTTCGATATGAGCTTCACGGTCTTCCAACTTCTTCGTTGTTTCATACGTGAGAATTGAGAACTGTTTAAGTGGATGTTCATCAGGCCACAGTCGTTTATCTATTGATTTACTGAAAGTAAGCAATCTAGCTGACATTCCTGGCCAACCTTTTTTTAATGCCAATTCAAATAATCCACGCACTATACGAGCTGAATTCTACAGAGTAAAAAATACTGGTGAAAGAAAGTCATAATGCTTTCAAGTACGACAACATTGCACAATTCACAAAGACAATAAAAACAGTAGACATAAATGCTATTAATAAATATTTAAAGACAATTTAATCAACAGACTAAACCCCATGATTAACTGATCAAACCCCATGATTAGCTGACCAAACTGATATACTAAACCCCATGATTAGCTGATCAAAGTGATATACTAAGCCCCATGATTAGCTAATGAAACTGTTATACAAGATGTATAAAAAACCTTGAGTAGTTTGGAAAACATCGCTAAAGTCATTAGCGCGCAAGATTTGCAAAATTCTTTGGTGAAAATAGGAAGTTGGACTTTCAATGGTTTATCTGTCAGTTAAATTTTTGTACATAATAAAAAATTTTATAATGAGAATTGTGTTACCGAGAAGCACTTTTGAAATAACTTGCACACGAAAATGATACAGCTAAAACGCAATTGGAACACATATGGCTAAAATAAGGCACATGTTGTTTAAGCTAACAAAGTTTTAGGAAATTTGGCTGATGCTTACGTATGCGAACGTTTAACTTTCAAATTGCGGATTATTTTGAATTTTTCGTGTTGTAATCCTCATCTTGTAGTAATCCTCATGTTGATGACAATTATGCGCATATTTGAGCTTAAATTAATCCAAGTATGAATAGCTGATGAGATTTCAAGAAAATGGGATTTAAATTTTAAAGGAAAACGCAAAATAATCCGAAATTCGGATACCTAGCTTTCGTACACGGTTCGGTCAAATTTCCCAGAAGTTTGTAAGCTTGAACGACATGTTCCATACTTTACCCTATTTGTTCTAATTGCTTTCTCGCTTTGTCATTTTCGTGCGCAAGCCATCTAAAAGTGCTTCTCGGTAACACAATTCTCACTCTAAAAATGGTTATTATTTGCGAAACTTGTAAAGTCAGATGATCCACTGGAAGTTCAACTACCTTTCCCATTAAAGGTTTTCGCAAATCTTGCGCGCTGATAACTTAAGCGGCATTTTCCTATCTGTTCAGTTTTTTTTATACACCCTGTAAGATTTAATCTGTTCGATCAGCTCATACCTGGGCAATATACGAAAAGTCAGAAGCAAGAGAAAAGCACTCGACATAACCACGGGAAATGTACGTCTGTAGTAAGATGTTGGTTTTGCCGTGAGAATTTTCCGCGCCACCTTTCGCCGTGTACATACAATCCTGTTGGGAATGCTGCTTCAGTTCATTTTGCTCTTCTTCGCGGACCTGGAGGTATTATAAGGAGCAACGATATACACCTGAGTATAATAACTCGTCGTTAACTATACGAAGAATGAAGGATATTTACCTTAATTTGCTCAAACTCTTGAGACAATGAGATCATGTAAAGAATATTTTCATCCGTCATTTGAGGTTTGAAATGATCATTGATGGTCTGGGTGGAAAATATTGAGTAGCATAAAACACCAAAGAAAAAAAAATGAGGGGGAGGGGGTATTTGTACTCAACACAACTCTATAACAACGGGAGGAAGACTCCAATTTACATAAAAGAATCATGCCAAAGGGATAAGAATCTATAATAGACACAACACCAGTACAGGGGGGTAGACTCTATTTACAATACAGAATCATAATCACGCCAAAAGATAGAAGGAAGAATCTAGTTTATGTTACGTTAATGCTCCACCATTCACATCCATCATACAGTCGCCCATTATATTCTGTGTTCACTAAAGTGGATATAAATTATGTCTATACGTGCCTCGATTGTATCATACTTGATATAAAAATTACTGGCAATCCGACCGACGTCAATGGATGTAAGATACTTTGTTCGTTCATCAAATCGAATCATTTTCGCTTTATCTAAAGCACGAGATGCGTTTACAATCAACTCTCGACGATGATTGTCTAAACGTGGATCTGTCTAAATAAACATAGGAGATTTCGACTTCGTCATTGGTTAAAATTTATCTACAAATTTCTTAATGTCATAAAAAAACAATAACAATATTCCTCGGTTGTAAAAGATCAAATAAATCAAAATCGTTGAGCTTTACATGAAGTAAACATGATAAAGTAAATACCTCTTTAGCAACATATGAAATACCATAAACCATAGGATTTGCCATCATACGGATATAAAGATAAGTATAACTCAGCCATTCAACTGCCTCATCAACGTTCGCTATTGTACCAAGGGAGATCTGAAACAGAGAATTTTTGATATCATCCGACAGTCACATTGATCAAAGCAAAAAAACATTCATCTTTAAAATTCTCTTACGGAACTTACTTCGGCGTTCAAACTATCAGAAAGACTTTGTTGGAACTGAGATTCTATGGGTGATTGACGGGTCATCAATGTTAAATAATGGCTTAATTTCTCATGTTTCGTGATAATGAAAGCACTACCAAATCGGTCGAACTGAGGGCGACCTGCACGCCCGAAAATTTGAAGGACATCCAATATTCCCAAGTCGACAAATGATCCTTTCTTTGCATCATATATTTCTGTACCCTGAAGCGTCAACATGATTGATGAACATTGACATAATAATTTCACAGCAGAAATAATGATCAAACTATCAAGAGACTCTAACCAATCAACAGGCATTAGCTCAAATCCTTAGCCAACTAAAAATCACCACACTAACCTTGATGACGACAGCATGTGCGGGTAAGTTGACACCCCAGGCCAAGGTAGCTGTACATACCAATACTTTGATCAAACCTTTGGAGAATAAATCTTCTACCATCGAGCGATCACTGCGAAGCATGCCGGCATGATGAATGGAAAACCCATCGGAGAAAAGTTCTCGGAGTTCTTTATTACGGGACTTTCGTACCTAGGAATACATTGCACATTGGAACGAAACTGGTTAGAACTCGTCACCATCGCATTACAAGACATTTTAGCTATCAGTTCACAGAGAATGTGATGTGACGTGATAAACGTGCCCTCGTACCTGTTTCTCAGCGGTTCCATAGTTTGAGGACTGTTTCGATTGAAAAAGACCAATACTTCCATTATTCTTGGCTTTCTCACGCAATGTCATCGCCGTCCTCACGGTTGCATTGCGTGCATGAACAAACACCATGACCTAGACAAGTCAAATAGTGGATAGTAAGGGAGAGTAAGGGAATGACTAGGGATGACTAAGGATACGCAGTGTAGAGGACAATGGACATAAAAACAAACCTGGTGGCCGTCTTCAACGTTTTCGAGAACTTTTTCAAAACAGACCACGTCCATGTCTTGCAGCTGACCCATAACACTACGGGCTTTAATGCCGATGAAAGTCTGTCCGAGAGGGACTGGACGAAAGCGAGCGTCAAAAAAGAACAATCCCAAATTCGGATTGACACGAAGAAATCTTGCGACGTCGTGATAGTTAGGAAGGGTTGCAGATAAACCAACAATACGAATCATACTTTGGGTTGACTCCACCTAAAAATAAAATATTTAATGACTTTAGTAGCGCGAGTAGAAGCCTGCTAATCACCTGTCGTAATGTACACGCAACTAGACACTCTATGACAGATCATGAACGAGGAGCCTGGTGCCGACCTGTCTCAATGTCCGTGCAACCAGACACTCTATAACGGATCCTCTGTCATCATGAAGTAAATGAACCTCGTCAATGATCAAAAGTTTAACGATCTGTGCAAGGGCAACATCCCCCGTAGACTTTCGTGTCACCACGTCCCATTTTTCCGGTGTTGTCACCAACATCTACAAACAATACAAGTCATGTGATTAACCTCTGCCTGAGCTTTAGTAAAACAAATAGTTTCGACCCCTGACCTGGGTAGTGAGAATTTCACTTTTGGTCAATTGCATGTCTCCAGTCAATTCGCGTACGATGATGCCCATAGGCGATAAACGTTTTCCAAAGGTACGAACCATTTCCGCAGCAAGCGCTTTCATTGGAGCAACATAAACAATCTACAGACGTACAAGAATGCTCTTTTTCATGCTAACCAAAAAATACAGGATTTACGACAACACGCGACTCACCTTAAATTTATCCTTCATCACAACACCTTGCTTTATATTTTGCTTCACTTCACGCAAAATCGTCGCCATGGCAACATTCGTCTTACCGGCGCCCGTTGGTGCACATATCAGTAGATTTTCGTTGGTATTGTAGGCCGTGTCGAAAACAACAGACTGGACACGATTCAGTTTCTTAACACCTTTGAAACCGATTTGTGCAATCTAAAACAAGAAAACTCTTTCCCTAACAGACACTACAATAAGTTTAACAAACCTGAACTTTGAGTTTTTAAAACAAGATTAGATTTGTGTTAACTTTGCTTCTTAAATCGAAATCTACATGTAAGCATTGTGTGAAGATTACTACACTCCTTATCTAACATACATTCTACATGTAAGCATTGTGTGAAGATTACTACACTCCTTATCTAACATACATTCTACATGTAAGCATTGTGTGAAGATTACTACTCTCCTTATCAAACAAACATTCCACATGAGAGCATTGTGGGAAGATTACTACACTCCTTATCTAACATACATTCTACATGTAAGCATTGTGTAAAGATTATTACACTCCTTATCTAACATACATTCTACATGTAAGCATTGTGGAAGATCCAAACTCCACCCCAACATACAATCCTCAGTTTATGTTATGTTGCACAGTACCTCATCCAGGGAAGAAACATTGATAAAGTTGTCTGTCTCCTTCGGAGGTTTAGTCTGCGTTGGTGGAAGATGAAATTGTTCATACATCTTACAATCATATCGCGTCGTATCTTGAGGTAATTTTAGCTACAGAGAAAAAGTTTACTCTTAAAAGTGATGCTCCTTTAAGCAACGCTCTTCAGCAACATTTAGAATCAATAAGGAAGCCAGCTCAACAAATTTCATTCGGGTAAATTTTCACCATTCTTCGATACCATCGAAATTTGTAGTGTTCACACAAGAAAAACTGTAGGGGCTGGTTGCGCTATTAGTTCGTATAATACCTTACATCCACCGACATAAGCCCCAGACTGTTGGGCAGTGAGCAACAAATCGAACACAAAAGGATATTTTGCAACATTTCGTGAGGATCTTGATGGTTTACTGAACAAAGGTTTGTTCGCAGCTTCAATAAAAGCTTGCTCTCTACAAATATCAGAAGATTTACGAATGCTTTGAAGAATAATGAAGTATAAGGTCAACATCAAAAACTTGTTAAAAAATGCACAGCGTGACAGTAAAGTGAACAGGTCAAATAGAAAATGTAGTAAAGTGTAAAATTTTACCTCATATACTTCATCATTTCAGGATCATATCCAACACTTTTGAGGTATTCTTCGTGATTCATATCATCATTCTCCTTTGTTTTATTGCGTTGAGACAATTTTTGTTCATCTTTTCGAACTTGTTTCAGCAATTTCTTCTCTTGCTCAGACTACAAAAAATTAAAAAAAAAGTTCCACTCCTGATTATGTATATTAAGACTGACTTCCAGGAGAGTGCCCCCCCCCCTCTTTTGTCATAACTAATATATCCTTACAACAAACCTGTATGGTCACTTGACAACCATATGCTGCTTTGAGTGGTTGAGTTTTGGTCACAGTAGGTTTGGCATGGTCTACAAAGGAAAGAGATGCGACAATATAAGAAATAAAAAATTACCAGTAACCTTTGAATATGACAAACCAATTGTATAAATTACCTGAAAGTCCATTAACTTTTCCCAAGCCATTAATGTGGTTAATAGTCAAATCCTTGGTGTTAGTATTCAAAAATACTTTACGTTTAGCTAGAAGTTCCTGAATAAAGTCAAAACGTTCAAATCCTAGAAGCTCAAACAACTCATTTTGCATTTCCTCGTCACGGCGCTGAGAGCACAAAAGTTCATAAATAGCTGAACACATGTCTTCACTGGAAGCTTCTCCCCCTGAATTTCCAAAATAGATATGACATTTATTCCTTAACCATTCAATTCCTGAATCATCAGGATTTCTTGGTTGTACCCAGTCCTCTCGATCCTCCTGGGGTACTTTAGCTGACTCGGCATTATTTGAATCAAACATTAACTTCATGGAAAAACTTGGTTTCTCCTCTTCATAATCATCTTCAAATATACTAAGATCAGGTTCAACTCCATTGCACTCAGGAAATGAGAATTTGATTCCTTTACCAAAACTGGTCTGATTTTTAATTCTAGACGATTTCTCAAGTGTTGTTTTAAGCCCATCCTCAGGAATGTTTGAAATCAAGAGTTGTGTACACTTATAAGCTTCATCAATTAACAACCTATCACATGGTCCAAATGTTTCTGCAACCTTAGCAAGTTCTTTCTGGCTAACAAAATTGGCTTCTCTCAAAAGTCTGAACAAGAACACAGCAGTACTATTGGTGACATCGGAAGAAGCATCAATACCAGCTACAGGAAAATTTTGAAAGATTATCAAAACAGTAATTTTAATCACAATAGAAATATATTCGGAAATGAAAGTTTCAAAAGACCTACCAATTTCATAAGCTATGTTTAACAAGTCTCTCAAAGAATTCTTCACCTTAAAATATGTAGAAACACGTCATATGACGTAATATGTTAACACAGAAACATTAATTAAGAAACACTAATTGCTGTAAAAATGCTTTTTGAAGCAATTAGAGACTCCATTTGACAAAATCTAGCCTTCTTTATTATGTTGGTAAAGAAACTGGGGAATAACAGTGTCAGCAAACTTTGCTGATTCGTGATTTATGACAAAAAATTTTGTTAAATAAACAAAACAACATCTAAGGCAGGCCATGCCACATGAGAAAATGAGAGGCAAATCAACCTACCTCTTGTTCGTCACTCTTGGGAATATTCCTCTTCACTAAACGGTTCAAATCTTCCCATGTAAATTCTTCATCTTTACTTTGTCGTTGATGCCATTCACGTTTCTTTAAAATTTCGTCAACATTACCGTACACTTGCTCTCGTAAACACGGCGATGTCAGACCGGAGAAAGCGCGCAAAGAACTTGTCAAACGTGGTAGTTCCACGTTACCGTTCTTTGTGCTCATGACAATTTCCAAACCTCACATTTTGAGAAGTTTACAACCATTAAGTTGTACTTAAGTTTCACTTTCATGACAAAGCATTAAAGAAAGTCGTATACAACTAGTGTAACATGAAGTTAAACTACAAACAGAATGTCAAGCCCTCTGGTCAAACAGCTGTCATACTGTAGGCACATAAAATAAAAACACACTGAACTCAATAAGTACTCTAGGTAATTCTTTTCTTATTTACATAACGTAACAGCGAGGATTTTTTATGAATACAGATTACGTATGTTTTCCAAGGCGAGGGGAATGCACCCAGACAAAGTAAGGGAATTTTCATTCTCATTAAGCTACTCAATACACACTGAAAATTATTTATTGGCCTCTAACACCTGTTTGAGCAAATCATCAATTCCTTCGTCATGGCCTTCGGACTCGACGTCGATTTCCGGCACTAAAACCTGCAACAACTTGCACACGTTATCTCGCAATACTTTCAATTGTTTCGTTCTCTTGCTCAAAATATTCTCCATTACTTTCAATGCAGTTTTCTTTTCGACTATTTCTTTATCCTTGTGTTGAATTTGTACTGATTTTGCCTCGAGCAAAAAGTTTAAGTTCTTAGTTTTCATAGCGGCGTCCTTGTTGCATTTCGCCAGCTCTGTTTGAAGTTCGGAGACCTTTTTTTCCAGTTCCTGAACACGGACGTCCGCAGAAACCGAAACCTTCAGCGGTTTCTGCTGCATCGAGTCACTCGACTGCACAGGAGTTGGATCGATGATTATGACACCTGGACTTGAGTTTTTACGTTGTATTTTAGCCGAAATAGCACTGAGCAAATTTTCCGAGGGCCCACGTTTTATTCCTGGCAATACAACACTGAAAGAAGAGAAAGCAGTGCAATGAAAAAGAGATCAAATCCACTGATCACCTTTAATTAGATATGATCTTTCCTAATCCCAGGTTATTCGTAATCCCGGATCTTTTCTAATCCCATATCACACGTCACCTTTAATGATTATTAAAAATCATCCAATAATATAAAACAGCCAAGCAGCTTACTTTCTAACATCTTCAGGTGTGGTTGATTTGTTACCAGTTATACCAGAGTAAGCAACAGCAGCCAATCTTAATGGTGACGGTTTTACATCTTTATTCTAAAGAAACACAAAGAGAGAGGGAGAAGTTTATTTACCGTGGTTATACAATCAACCTTCATACAAAACCACCATTCTATCAATGTGTAAATAACTCATACTTCAATATTGAAAACAAACAATTTGTAAAAACCAAACTCCTTAAAATGTAAACTCACTAATATTGGGGCTGAGACGGTGTTTGGAGTCGTCATTGTAGCGTTTGCTGTTGTTGGTTGTTTTGTCTGAAGAGATAGAAAGAGAGAAAAACAAAAAGTTTATTTCTGAGTCTACAAATGACATTCATAAAACTCCAGGGACCCTGGAACGTCGTTAATCGGGGGGGGGGGTGAGGGAGAAACATTGATATATTTGTGGTCACAGCTCGTAAAAAACAATTAATTTCAAAATTAAGTAATTAAACAAAACACGAATAAATGAATAAATATGCCCCCCCCCTTCAATTATCGACGTTCCGGCGTCCCTGAATAACAGCAATGAAAGGTAAAGCATTCAAAAGTTTTCAAGTCGATGGAGAGAATTTCTGAAATTCATTTAATATTATTCAAGTTACAGCGGATTACGCTAAACTAACTTTTTTGATACACACAAGAGCAATTTAAAAACAAATTCCTTCTAAAATACACTCACTAATACACTAGGAATTGTGACAGTTCTGACTGTGTTTGGAGTCGTCATCGTAGCGTTTGCTGTTGTCCCATTTTTGGGCAAAATCTTTACGGGAGCTGTGAACACAGAGGCTGTTGTTGATGGTTTTACATCATTTACTGAAGACGTCGTGACCCCAAGCTAAAAACAATTGTTCAACACGATTTAGTTCAGCAACAATGATAGATGTTGTGACCAGAAGCTAATCATAATCATACAAAACGACTTAGTTTAACAACAATGAAAATATCGTGACCCAACTTCATAATAATCGTATAACATGATTTTTTCAGACTTTTATTCAGACATACGGTTGTACGATCTTACCTTTAACGAACCACCAATTGATTGGGTACCCTGTAAGATAAATGTTTCACCATTCGTCTTAATGATTCGACATGGAAGTTTGGCGGAATTCATTTTCGTCACACCAGTATTTGTCTTTAATAAAGTCACCTTTTGTGTAGGAGATGAGCTGGCCACCCCAAGTCTATTCGAGGTCGATGACTTGAGGGCAGATACAACGAAACCCGATGATTGGCTCGCAGGAGTTAGTTGGTTTGTTGCCAATCTTGGTCGCGTCAATGGAGTTAAATTGGCAAATGACGTAGGTTGGACTTTAGCAGGAGTACGTGGAGATGATTGGCTATTTGTAGGGGTACGCAAAGCTGAATGGCCATTCAGCAACTTCGAATTTGATGCAACCGAGCTTGAAGATTTCTGAAAATAAATACAATATTGTCTTAGAGTTGCTTTAAGATCATTGCCTGCCTGCCTATCCAGTATCCAGTAATGTCAATAGGGTAGAATGACAGTTACACTTATGTACACAACTGAACATGGGAGAATACCTGAGAGGTAACTAGTGTAGAGTTTGCCGAACCCTCGATCTTTATCTTCTATGAAAAAAATATTAGAAAAACGTCGGTCAAGCGGACACACATGAACACGCAAAACGGATATATAAAAAACAACACGTAAAACATCGCATATGTCGATGCAGTCACTTGCTTTAATATTGGGAGGGGGAGAGGGAGGTATTCAAATGATGCACGTTTCGCACTATTAACTTCAATTTGAAATAAATTGTTTTTAAAGATTGTAATATGCATACATGAATACTAGCCCGACCACTCCAGATATCAAGCTGTGAATACCACTGTTTAGATGCATGCTTGAATAAAGAGCAATTACAAAACTTGTGGAAAATCTGGTTGTTTTATCATCGATATTTGTGCATTTGAACAACTCCGGCATTGTATACGATATTTTATAATTGTTTAAGGTTAGAATCTGTTGGAAGTTACAATGGCACCGTTCATTGAACACTCAAATAAACAACACATAAATATCTTACTGGTGATGGGATGTTTCCTGACTCCCGTCTGGAAGGAAACGAATGATTAAATACAATTAATAAAGAATAATAATATGCAATTAACGAAAAACGATTAGAAGCAATTGATATGTACACGCAATATAAATGAGTGAATCTTACAAAGTTAACTGTTCTTCTCTCTTCTTCAACATTTCCTCTTTCGCCAATATATTTCGTATCTAAAAATGGATAGTGTAAAACAAGATATTCTTGCAATTTCTATAGAAATCATAGCCGTCGAACCTTTTCATCTTGCTCTTTTTTCGTGGCCTGAAATAGAAACAAAACCTGTAAATCACTAGCATAAAGATTTTGAATTATTATTATAACTTTTCCGCCAGTTACCTGTTCCCTTTTCTGTTTTGCTTCCATTTCTTTTATTCTGAAAAAGAGAAACATTTCATGTTTAAGCAACTAGATAAATGTAAGTACCATGGCTTAACATAAAGAATGCTTAAATAATGTGAACGTTAATCAAAGCGACTTTAATATGAAATTTCACGCATGTTAAGTTATGAGAAAAAGCGACCATATAAAATTTGAAGTTTAATTTTTTGATAGGGTGCCGATTTAAGAATAGAACTTGCTCTATTTTCATCCGACAACATCAAAGGAAGCCGACTAGGCTAAAGCTTTTTACTCTCTATACTTCTCAAATTTGAGCTAAGGGAGAAATTAGATTTGAAAAAGACTTGAAAACAAGTACAAAAATACGCAAATATATCGTTAAATGTACTTGATAACACAAATGGCTGCTTTCAAGACTATAAATATCTAAACGAATATGAATGTCAACAAACTATCGAGCCGTCTGAACAAGCAACCAAAAGTCGGAACCGAAGTCGGATCTTGTGAACAGGCCTGCGCATAACACGTGATGGATGTACAACTTCAATAATGCACGGGTCAACATAGTTACTTTAAGGAAGTTTGTAATATGCAGTCCTTCATTCAGAAATACGTACAGCCGTTTTTTCTGTTTCTTTTCATACGGTACAACATTTTCCTCTTCTTTTTCTTCAGGTGCATCACAAGACTTGAAGTTTGGGTCGGGATTCATATGACAATACCACTTGTCTGGCAAGGTTTTAGGATCTATCCCATCGGGAAGCTTACGCCATTTAAGACACGATGGCTTGTCGCATTGTACCCATGTCTGGTCTGGGAGTGCTCTAAAGAACAAAGTAATGGCAAGACCGCTATGATAAAAATAATTGCTTTGAGGTCCGTGGAATGAATACAAACAAAGTCTAAGAAATAACCAATAAACACTGACATACTTCACTTCCTGTGGTTCAGGAAAACTTGGTTCAACAAAGTTTGTTTTTACTGGACCTTTCTTTTCGTTCCTAGAAATATGATATTTACACGAGTGAGAAAAACATCGTGTAAAACTTCCATGGTGTGATTCAAAATAATGATGTAAACATTACCAGTACTCATTTAACTTTTGCCCAAGCGCATTAATGCACGCCCTTTAATGGAAAAAAATGTACATAAATAAACAGGAATAAAGTTGAACAAAGCAGTAAAATGCTTTGCAAAACGTGTCGAATGAAAGTCTGTTTCACACATGGCAAAAGGGATTCACACATGACAAAAGGGATTCACACATGGCAAAAGAGATTCACTAAGGGAAAAAGGATTCACACATGGCAAAAGGGATTCACTAAGGGAAAAAGGGATTCACACATGGCAAAAGGGATTCACTTATGGAAAAAGGGATACACACATGGCAAAAGGGATTTATAAAGAGCGTGGGATTCCCAAGGAGCAAAGGGGATTTACAAGAAACAAAAGACATCTACACAAAGCGAAGGGAATCACGCAAAGCAAAATCGATTCACCAAGCACAGATCTTTTCTTTCATTGATTTTAAGTAAAATGGGCGATTCTACTGTCATTTGCGTGACATTTACTTTGCAATTGTTGTTATTCCTGGCTTTAAGAGGTACACAAAAATAAAGACCTTACAAAGTATGGGAATACATTGTGTCTTAGGGTGATTTTATCTAAAAACATACGCTGCTACAGTTTCCGCTATCCTCCTCAGAGATACAAAATCAAATGTGCGACGTCACGTGTCACGTGAAATTAATGAAACATACATGAAATAGTAGAAACTCTACAGCAAATCATCCTAATTTAAACTTAAATAGACAAAATAACATATGAGATATAATATAACATAAAACAACATACATGCAGTTTTAAACTTTAACCATGCAACCTCTACTGCAGAGAATCACCCAAATATATGTTACAAAATCTTTTACACACAAGATCCTAACCTGTATGCTTTGGTGTAATCAAAGTCTTGCTTGTTGTGGGTTGGCTGTAGAAAGTCACACTGAACAACACCAACAACACCAACACCCAAATTATTCGCCTTCAAATAAAAATCTTTTCATTTGGATAAAACGCTTAAGACATATATTGTAAAGACTGGTGTTCAGTACCTTGAGCTGATAGCCAACTCTCTCATATGGTTTGATCAGCCTGTTGCGATGATACATCATGATTCCATAATGATTTTTGTTTTGGCTGTTGAAGCCAAACACAACTTTAACAGGATCGGAAGCTGCACACTGAAAATGAATGTTAAGGAATAGGATAGAACATTCATGTGTTATGACTGTATGATTGTGACAAACAACACAGTAAAACAAGGGATACAGTAGGACGATAGCGATCCACTTCTGTGTTGCTTAAACTCCTCTCCACAACCAGTGTCTTTACTTTCTTCTGTCGTACAAAGATCTGCATTTTGGTTTAAGATAAAGGATGGCACAATACGCCTGTAATATAATAAATAAACTGTTCTAAGATCAAGATGCATACAAATCATGAAGAGCACATTGACTTCCTTTTAGAAACTGAATTTGTGATCACACAATTACTACAAACAAGCAGAAAGACTGTCAACTAATCACAAGTCTCTTTCCACAGTTTGATCTTCGTGGCTTAAACAAGATTTTAATTCCAACAATTGCGATACTAGTCTGAGGCATGACCTGTTAAGCCACCAAGCAGTAGAACTACCAAGCCATAGAACTAACACAGATAGAAAGACTAGTATACTGAAGATATGATTTTTATCTTTTAAAGTTACATGGTTTTCATAAAACCATGAAAGAATTGTAGTTTTCAATCTAAGATGATGGCCTAACATAAATCCTATATCCTGAGGATTTATATTATGTATAATCTCTGATGATGGCTTTGGAATAAAGATGATGGCCTTGGAATAAAGATGATGGCCTTGGAATAAAGATGATGGCCTTGGAATGCAATAATACGTACTTACCCTGAGAGAGTAATCACACTCAGGAACATGATTTTGTCGATTTGTTTTACGATATTTCTCTCCCTCTGGACTTGTGTCATCTGGGATACGAATATCATACTGATCTGTCACAAAGTCAAATTCTGGTTGATTGTCTGCAGTTGTACGAATATTACTGATGATGATTCTTGTTCCATGTTCTCCATCAATCTGATCAAACTCATAATTTAGTTCTTTCTCTGTTTTGATCAATGAATGCTCATATATAGTTCTTAAAGCTTCAACACTGTTGGCATGAAGGTTATAATGTAGCAAAAGTTAAGAAAAACATATCAAGAGTGGATAATGAAACTTCGTTAGTTTCCTTCAACATTTCCATCTTCATGTTAACATTTAAAGAAAAATTACATATTTATCTAAAAATTCAACATTGCTTCATTGTATCTCCTTGGTTTGAAAGATACCTTGACTTACATTAATCCAAGTCTCAATATATGCATTAGAGCTGATCTTAATCCTTGGATCATGTCATACTCCAATTTATCTCAATCCTTGGATTATAAAATTGCTTATGAATCTGCATGTGGAAAATTTACCTGAAAATAGCCCACATTATCCTCTACCATCCAGAGTATAAAAATTCCCCATCCATCATCAACTACCACAAGCAATAATTTAAAAGGATATCATCTAAGTCTGTATGATCCCATGTTGCTATGGGAACAACAACAGTCTCAGCTTTGATGGCTTCCAAGTATGTTTGAGACAGATAGCCAATACTCCTTGTATATCTTTGTTTTGTCAGAACCAGAGCATCCTTCCCAAGCCGCATTGAACCAGATTTAAAGCCATTGCCATAGTGACCAACAGGCATGTGGGTTCCATCTGCAACCTGTATTGATGGTGAAATTATGTGAAAACTTATAAGTATATTGCCAGAGTAAAATAACATATCTATTGCTGACTATAAAGATTAAACTTGTTTGTTTTATATCATATGCATAACAATAAAAGCAAAAAAACTGGGAGAATTTATGCAACTTCAATCTACAAACACAAAATGAAAGAGGTACAAATATATGTTATGCTGCTATTTTGGTATGCAAGAATGAAACTGGTACACATTCTAGGACAAAGAGCTGAAGAGCTTTGAAAATGACACCAATGCAGACAACCTATGCAATACCCAATAAAATTTGCTCAAAGGAGATTCTAACCTTAGTTTCATATGGTCATAAGCATAAGACAATGGAGTCAAAAAAGTTGTACAGATAAAATCAAGAAACATTCACATGCATATGAACACCTGACTCTACCAAATACGCCACGTGTGTGTCGCGCGTGACAATGCATAATTTCATACCTTCTCGCAAAATCCGAAGCTGAAATTAAAATGGTGGAAAGTGTCAATAGTACCGAATAATCTAAATGCTTTTATTTGTAAGAAATAATCAAGATAGTCTTACCTTAACATTTTGTACAACTTGTCACGCTGCATACCATTGCCATTATCCGTGAACGTCAAACAGATTTTGCTATTTATTCGAGCCTCGCCGATCCAAAGTTGACTAGCTTTCACATCAGGATCATATGAATTATCTGTCAAATATGTAGAATATTTTAAACAATTCGCTAAAAATTAGCAACAGTCCATTATATTTTAAACGTTCCTTCCAGAAATGATCATTACAAAATAAACATTCAATAGAAATAGTACTTTCGCGTACCTATTAGTTCTGCAATGGCGCTAAATGGCCATGTGTGACTAGTGGAGTTTGTATGCAGGTATTTTGGGCTCAGCTACAAAACAGAGGCAAACACGCAAACTAAAATAACACACAGATGTCAAGGAAGGCATTACCCTGTACAGAACACATAATCTTACCGAACTCTGATGTATTCCGGTCGTGGAGAATTTGAAATCCGAGGAAGAAACCGCCATTTTTTCTTAGGAATTTTCCGGTTTTTCGCCCTAAAACAACAAGAAGCTCCAAAATCGCTGGGAAGAATGTATACATTTCTTCTTTAAAACGTCATCCAAAATTCCACCAATAAACTGAGAGAAAAAACAGACTGCCAAGATCTGATTGGTGCATGCTAATCACGATTTCCAACAAGCAGTCGGTCTAACATATCCCATCACACCTTTCGGTCACAAACTGCTGTACGTTTGTACTGTCGGCGCATATTCAAAAATGTAAATGCTATGTAAATCGTTTAGTGATTTGAAAACAAGAGTCTGGAAACGTGAATTTCTTTCTAAGAATTAAAGCAATTCATTTGCTCGTATTTATCGGTTGAATTACGGAATATCTTTATTATTTGACGAAAATCTGAGCAAAAACACCTAACTTTTTGTTTCGAATCGACAAATATCATGCTGTATGTATTTATTAATTAAATTAACCAATCGCGTCAAAGCTTTGTGAACTGCTACATGCTCGAATCACAGTATAGGAATATACAGTATGGTCACTTCGCTATGAGACTGGCAGATGTATATTTAATTAGTTTACTGGCTGCCGTTTGCCATCTCGTCAATCTATTGGTCAAACAATGCAATTTACCGGCTGCCAATATGATAATCACATGCGTAATAAGATATCCGTGGCACGAAAAAATTCAATGAAGTGGCCCTACTGTATGATCTCTATATTGTGCTCGAATAAGAAAAAAGTTAAAATTTCCAAAGTGAAAAAGGTTTTGACGAAATTGTAAAGTTGCAATCACCAGAAGCAGAGGTGAACATGCGGTGATTGTAGTTGCTTCAATGAACACTAACATTTATCTTATGAAGGGGACTTTTGATTTTGAAGACTGTCATTAGCGAAAGAAGTTTTCCGTAAACAGTTGAGTTTTAATGCATTCTTTTATTCATTACATGATCACATACGTTTGTCGGGCGAACGTGAAAACGAACTTGTCCGCAACTACATTATGAAGTACGAACACACCACTAGTGTAAAAAAATCATAACATTCCGATACGAAGTTAGTAAATAGGAATCGAAAGCCAAATTCAGCTACCATGTCAAACAAATATTATGACGGTTGTAAACTTATAATGATTTCGCCAACGTTAATCGTCATCGCTGTAAATGTTATTATTGCGGAGCGATTTCAACCAGATCCAATCCTCAATGACGGATTTGATACATGTTAGCATTTCAAATGCACTAAAACATTCTTCACGAATAAGTTGAACTGACCAAACAAATAAAGGAAAAACTATATAGAGAAGAAAATAGCCAAACCAAAAGTTCAGAAGGCATCGAATTGACACATAATACCAGACATATTTACTTCGATGTCACCTTTAATCATTGATTATTTGATTTGTGTGTTATGATTCTCCATGGGTGTTGTTAATTGTTTGAACACTTCAGTATCAAGGAGTACCTAACTATTAATTGACAGAGTTCCAAACCACAACACTTCTTTAAAAAAACGTAGATTTAATTGTCTGGACCGTCGATCATACAGCAAAAATAAGTTTTTAAAGTTACTCCCAATCGAATAGAATTTGTAAACATCTTTCACTTTATATTTTCATTTTACGTATTAAAGATAAAGGATTGTGGTGTTACGGTGATTCACATCTGCCATTGGATGATCATAATCTACACACGAGAAAAACAATGACAAGTGTTTCTCAGGGAAGGAGGAGGGGGAGATATACAATGGCCACGATCAACAGGGAATCTTTGAAAATTTCGCGAAGAGGATTCTACTTAGTCGAACACTTATTATACATATATTCATCGAAATTATGATTATAATTCAACGGCTCAGGCGCATAAACAATTCAAATCGTGTGCGTACATTATGTTAATGTTGTGACGTAACAAACGGATAATTTTCTCAATATTCTTTTACAAACAATGCTTTTGTAATTGGAGAAACTGCTTCTAATCTCCATAATCTTTAATGGTGTTGCCTGAAATAACAGGGAAAAAATGGATTTCAGAATTACAAGTTCGAGAGTTCGAAATAACTTCCACTTTTAAAACGCCAAATGTGAGACATCCTCGTCCACGGAATGGATTATCAAACACGGAAATGAAGATGACAAGCTGCTCTTCTTTTCCCAACAAATGGCAGAAAGTAGTTCCTACCACGGAAAATAAACTATCGACACAAAATAATCGGCATATAAAATTTCAAGATGTATCAACGAACAGCCTAAACGACCACGAAGAGTTCTGTAAAATAATGAAAATCCATCCAACTGAAACAGATTTAATGAAAACTTTGAAATGCAAAAAAGGTAAAGCTGTATGAACTACAGCCTCAACATTTGTAAAATTTACTGAAAAGAGATTTTCTTAGACACCTCCGTGAAAGAATTGTTGATAAAAAAAGGAACAATGGCAAACAACGGTAAAGGACAATATACAGCGTACAACAGCTTCACCACAATAGCAGTGCGTTGGTGTGGCCGCGATTCACGCGCGTATTACACGAAACAAGATTTAATAGATATATTCACGGCGTTTGGACCAATAAAAAATGTGCACTTTCACTCGCCACGTTTTGTCGAGATAGAGTTCGTGTGGATAGGAAGTGCATGCCTCGCATTGCGTGCCTCAAAGATACAGCTACCGGGGAAAGTGCCCCTACGTCGACAATGGGCGAGAATCTCTAGCGAAAGACAATTTTGGATGGCAAATAAATCACGCACAAGACAAGATATGTAATCCTTTCTTTGTTTTATTAAGTATGTCAGCGTGTTGTGTTGTGTGCGTTTAAATATGTTTTTCTTAAATAAAAAATTGTTCCTTGTTATGTTGGCATGTATATACTAGTATTAAAACAACTAAACGTACGTTTCTTCTGCCATCTTCATCCGTTGATAATCGCTTATTTCTACATTTACGTCCTGAGACACGTGACCCCAAGCATCATCGGTCTTCGTTATCTGGTCAGAAGGACTTAAAAGACTCGTGTAGCCAGGAATGTCCCGGAAGTTCCGTATATGGCGAAGTCTCGTCAGTTGAAGTTTGTTGGTGTCAACCACATCAATACTGTCGTCACAGCTTGACAGTGACGACATAGAGGTCTCACTTCCGGTGCTCTTCTTTGGAATGAGCCGCATTCCACCAGAAGCGTTAGACGACGGCCCCAAAGGATCCGGTGAAAGGTCTTGTGAAGACCTGAAGCCATCTTGAGAATTAAAATCACAGTTTAGTTCAAGTCCAACTTTTGTAGCTGTACCATGTCTACCATCTCCTGATTCATATCCCTTGTGGTTATTTCTCAGCTGTGACCTTAAGGTACCGTTGGGTGTTCCAACGTTATGTCCCCTGCGGATGCTGGTCCGTTGCATATGTTCCTGGTATGATGGAGCAGCAGGCTGTCTGCGCCTATCATGAATGGAATGCACACGTTCGGCATAGTTCGGAGGCGCATTATAAATACTCTGACTGGATGCCAGCATTACTCTGTCACGTTTTGGTGCATAACTACGCCTTATTTGAGCAGGTTCAGGTACAGTAGGGGATAATCTTGAGCTTGATGATAAAGTTGTCTTTGAATAAGCATTTTGCTCGATTGTTTCTGTATTTGAAGCTTTTTTCGTGAGTTTGACAGCTTTTTCACGTCTTAGTGAATCCTTTCCAGAGAGTTCTAAATCCCGATGATTTTTAGAATTAGACCTCGTCACTTTCCTCAAACTCCGTCGCAAAGACCTCGGTGAGAATTTTGGATGATAAAATGCCGAATGAATTTTCTTGGAAGTATCTTTAGAGTCAACAGCATTGTTTGGTTTACGTTGTAATACTGGGGAATTCGGGTTACTTTTACTTAAATTACCACTGTTATCCTTCACAGTCAATAACATCCAATCAGAATTTTTTTGTTCCTCCGTAATAACACTTTTATATAAACTTGAATCACTATGACGTAATGATTTGGATCCACCTGAAATTTCCGAAACTTTAGTATCTCCATTACCGAGTGAATCAGCAGTGTCAACAATAATCTCAGAAACATCTCCCAAAATTGTCATGGCGGCTTCACCGAAAATTACCGGAAAGTTATCAATAATAAATTCCACAAGTTGAGGCGCACTGCTCTTGGCTTGTTCAGCGTACTCTATCCTCGTGGAGTTCGCTGGTTTAAGGATACTCTGGGCCACACAGACGCCAAGATTGAAAGGGGTCATGTTATTTTGTTCACAGTTACGAGAAATATGATACAAAACACAAAAGAACCTTTTCGTCAATTCGAAGTTCGGTGTTGGTAGCTTCTTCACGAGACTAAAATTAGAAAGCGGATCATCAGTTATCATAAATCTTTAACAGACAAGAATGCTATAACTTAATGTTACCTTATTATTTTGTCGATTCTGGCGGATTCCTCTGTTACATCATTCGTGGAAAGCAATTCCTCGTAATGCTCAGAACAATACAAGGCATTAGGTATATTACGAAGAAAATCCTTAAAAAAAAAACAAAACAAATTTTCACTTCTGGAATAAAGATCAAAAACACTACCACCATATTCAAATGATCAGTCACTAACCTTCAATAAGGCAGCCAAGACGTGAATACTGGTATCGTCAAACGAAATTTCTTTTCCTAAACAGTTCAAATATTAGCCATGATTTAGAGTTACGGATAAAAAAATCATAAAACAAAAAACACACATATAAATGCTTCACTATTGCTTGCAATAACTATATCACGCATAATCACGCGTACCTTCGTCCATTTCTTCTCGTAATTCTTTAACTTCGCGTTGATTTGCCGTCTTTCGAAAAACTCCAATTGTCGATGGCCCAAAGCGGAACAAACGTACGAGAAGATCGTTTATGGTTTTTGGGATTGGTTGTTCCTCGCTGCTCAGTTGATCCAGAGGTTTACCAAACACTCTGCAAGGTAGATCAATCGTCCATAATTAAAAAAAAAGCAACAATATGGACTACATCAAACATGTCATTAAAGGCATATTAAAATCTATATATGATAGGTTGAAAATGGTTTCTTTTCGTTTGATACGAACAAAACAACAACAAATGCTCACATACTTTCCAGTAGATGAGGTCTCATCTTGTGTCGATGAAAATTTTCTCCATCTCTTGCTTCCTTTTTTCTTTTTCCCCAGTTGAACTAGACGATTAAGGCTGACTGTATAGAAATAAAACATTAATTAAAAACACGGTCGGGCAAAGCTGAACAAAAATTAAGCGCAACAATGCTTTCTTACCTTTTTGATGCACTTTACGACCTTTCTGCAAAATAAACTGCAGTTGGTTTTCAGGTGTGATTTCTATGGATGGCGTGTTGTGAACGGGTGGGGAGTCTGGTGAAGACGGTACATAATTGTCATCATCAACGATTGACACCTCACGATACTGACTCATTTGAATCGCAAACGGAAACTCGTGCCCTAAATGAAGCAATGATGATAAATTAATTTTGTAACTTTGTAAAACAATGATGCAGGTAAAGACTATCAATATGAAAACAATATGGAAGATCACTACGCCATCGGGTTGATATGGATTCACAGAGGGTGTTTCAAATGATACAGAAGACAGATAAAGGAACAAAAGAGAACATAAGAACAGAGTCAAGCATGTTACCGGGGAAGGCGTGTACAGATAATACTTAAAGGTAAAAAGAACAAAATAGAAAGGACGTTAAACATGGTGCCGGGGGTAAACAGATGATACTACGGTAAATAAAGGTAAAAAGCAGAAGAGAGGAAGAAAGTCGAGCATGGTGCACGGGGATAATTGAAATGATACACATGAAGGTACAAAGATAAACATAGAATGGAAGTCAAGCATAGTGCCAGAGGTGTTAACATGATATTGCTCAAGGGAAATCAAGAATTAGTGGATTACAGCCATGCACATGGTCTTTGCATGACGGATAAAAAATGTTCAAAAACTGTACTGGTTAATAATTCGTAGTGGCAAACTAAAATTGCAAGAAAAAGCAACTTACAGTCTGCATTATCAACATTTTATGCAGTCAACAACAAAACGAAGTTCTAAATGAAATCCTCCTAATCTCGCTTTACCAACTTGATGTTGTTAATTAAATAACACATCAGAATAAAGATCATCGCGAGAAAAATATGCGTCTTAGCTGAATAATCCGGATTATTACATTTCAAACAACCGCCGTAAATCCCGTAGTCATTGAAACATCTCGTGCGAATATATATCTTTGATAACAAATCGGGCTCTCCAATAAAAACAATAAACAAGCACATATCCACAATCCTTAAAATAAAAATGGACTAAACAACTTGTAAAGAGAGTTGTATGAAACACTTACCGATCAGAGGATAGGAACCATCTTTATTCATCACCCACAATTGATAGTCACACGCATTCTCTTTGTTCTGCAAACGTTTCAAATATCAAAATTAACAACATAAATGAAAGTTCCCACACTGAGGTGAAACTATAGTGAGACGGAACAGCGGTGCAGTGCACGCCGTCAAATCAAAAAGCAAATACACCCACACATGGTGTGCACAGCGCAGTGAAGCTTGTAATAAAAGTCATGAGATTCACGAGTCTCCCAGGAGAAATTCTAAACTGTGCGAAGAGCTTTGCATTCCTCAAACGTGTTAATAACGCATAGCTATGACAAGTAAAGCAGGTGGCGTAAGCTCGTAAAGACGAAAAACAGTGATATCAATAGACGGTTGGCTTCATCGATTGAAGAGTTTTAAATGTCAATATCAACGCATGTCATATGCTTCATCATTTAAAAGCATATATGACATTCCCTAGGGTGGGAAAATGAAGCAACATGTGGAGTAAAACCTACCACAGCCAACTTAAACACATAGGTCAAAGTATTTTCGACATTAAACATTACGAAAAAAACATATTCATAAAGTCAGCAATGTTGTAGATATAATATACGAGAAAGAATATTAGATGCATCAGAGCGCAATAAATCATACATGCACGGTTGTGTCTATTAAACAGCACATTTATTTGAACTTTTATGCTACAAACAGTCGCAATATGTTAAGCTTTAACTCACCAAGATATTAAACAGATCCATACTCATTTGCACAACCTTGTTGGCGTCGTCAGTCTTTCCAACTGATATGGATTTGCTCTGAAAACGGAAGAAAGGCTAATCAATTTCGTATCGAAATAAGGAAATGAACTGTCCTGAGTCAATATTGATTAACTGAGCGGGAATATACAGTGATTATTTGATAAACTATATACACAAGGAAATATATATTCGCATATTTGTTGACCAAAGTCAATCAACGCATTTTCCCAACAATTTTGTCATATAAAAATAGCAAGAATTGGTGAACACATCATGTTCCTTTAACGCTAGAAGCTACAAAGATCTCACGGCCGACATTTACAATATACATGGTATTTGTATTGAAGTTGAACTCGAGAAGATAATGTACCTCATTTGTTTGCGCATATTTGCAACTTTAAATGACTAAGTTGAGACACTTTTAAGTATGGAACTTTTGTTGGAGAGCTGATTAAGTGGGCTATATTAAAAGAGATTACTGTCTGCATTTCGTTGAGAAACTTTATATGCCTTTTTCAAGGTGTTGCAGCGTCGTGCCATGGCAACTTTCGGAGAACATTTGCATAAATATATTTCATTGAGATTGTGTGTCTTTGCGTGTCCATGACATAAAATAGAGCGTGCAAAGCGATCCACGTAGTATTAATTAGTCGTAGTAATTCACGAGAATAAATATTTTCAGGGACGGAAGCAATCATTAAATACCTGTCACGAAGACCGAGCTATAAAGTCAAGGGACATTATAATTGAACTAATAAACGCAAATCCAATTTTTTACGCCAAGGAAACTTCACAAAAGCAGTGAGAATAATGATCGAGATATCGACATGTAGCTTTTTTTATAGATAAAACCCAAGGCAAAAGATATCTTAGATTAACAATTTTCCACGTGCAACAAGTCTTGTAAGGTGAACAGATTATCAAAATAGTGCAACGTTTCAAGAGAATGAAAAGCCCCTTGCTCCCGAAATAAATGTGAGCATATTTCCTGTCCTTAATATGACCCCGGAAAGTCCCTGTGATCCAACATGAAATTGTTGTCGTGAAGTAAAAGCTGGCTACAGTTCAAACAGCCTGGGGAGTTTGCAAACACAAGGAAATATGACGTATCCAGTTTGTTAACAACACACACACACACAGATTTTGTGTATTATGAATATTGTAACCAAAACAGCGTCGCTAGGGGGTCATCTTCTCATACACTCTCGACTCTTCCCTGAAGAAATTCATCAGAAGAGAAAAGATAGGAGAGACACAAAGACTATTTCATTAAACTAATAATTTCATGATTAATATTTAACTTCATGCACGTCTGCTTGTACATATCAAAGGAAAACTTTTATCATTTCATCTTTCATTTAAAACAACAACAGGAAAACGTGATCTAACATACGCCGGGATTGCAATAATGGTTTGTTTTAAGAGGATAAATATGGCAAATTCTAAAATACACTTGTCCTCAAATGTCGTTCAATAAGGATTTCTTTAATCAATAGAATCGATACTTTCGAAACAAAAGCTGCTGTTTCCAATTCCAAACAAAAAATTACGTCTAAATATTCATCTTGTCCATCAGTCAGATTTACGAAAAAAAAATGAGACGTCATGTTGTGCGCCCCGAATAATTCTAGAGATGTATAAACAACTTTATCGTCAAGATGACTCGAGTTGAAGTAGAAAAAGAAGTTTCTTAATGGCGGACAATACATAACACTGCTTATCAAGAGCAAAAGCATTTCTATAGTTGAAATGTATGAATCCATACGTTAACAAGACTTATCCTATGCATTTTGTCCTTAGTAATCATATTTATCCCAATATAAACGTATGAATCCACAGGGAATAATACAGGATGTTTCTAGAGTTTTATTTTCATAATTGTTTTCCTAATATTTAGAAATCACAACAATTGAAAGAGACGACAGCCACCACCAAATATAAGGTGCAAAAACAATCCTCGCTTTATAAGGATATTTTACAGGCAGTTATGAAGTCAATTAACACAGTCCAATGAATTGTGGCCGCTGACAAGCATGTGACATGAAAGATTCTTTATAAATTTTTAACGTTATAAAAATAAAACGTTCACCTATAACATCTACGCTATACAAATAGTAAAATTTCTATTTGAAAATTAATAAAATCAAGGATTTATGAAAACATCGGTTTTAAGACGATGATGAAAATTATCTTTGAGGAATATTGCAACATTCTAGAATCGAAAGACTTCATATTTCGCAATTGCTCTCTCATAATAATCAAACATTTAAGATAATTGAAATAACTGAACGCAAATAAGAGAATTTTCAAAATGTGTAACTGAATGTCAATGCAATATAAATATTTTACTTGTTTAGTTGTACATATGATATAGTGTATACTAAACGAACATAAAATATTTTCTCCTCATAATCTACGTCAAGATCTTTCAAAACAAACATAAACCACAAACGTAGACGTAAGATCACATTTAAAGACAAAACTTACTTCTTGCTTGGATTTCATAGATTTATAAGTTTTCCTTGTTAAAGCAAGTAAACACATTCCGTCCTTATAGTCACCACATATTAAAAGACACCGTTATACCCTCTTCCTTAAAGGACGTCATTTCAAGATCGAAGATTGCATTTAATGAAAACGCACCAATCATAAAATACTATAAATCACTGCCAACCATATCAAAAGTTGTGACGTTGTATTATTTTGACGTAAATATTTCCGACGTCACTATCGCAATTATTGTCTCTAAGTACTAAAGGAACACGCTAGAGGAGTCTTGCTTCGCGTAGGAAATCGCAAAATCGATGATTACATATTTTACTTAGATATATTTCCTGAAGCAATATGTCTCTTATATAAGATTTATAGCGCAATGTTTTAAAACATATAATGTGGCGTTTATCGCCATATTATTTAACACCCGCGAAAAATCGGACATTTTTAAAATTACTTGACAATAGGAAGACGAAAATAGTCAGATGTTTACGAACAAAGGAGTTTTGTATAAGAAACTATAAATACATCAAAAAACGTATTGAAAAGGCAAAATGAACACGAACCTTTGTTTGATTGATTTCCATAGCCATTAAAACACTCCATGCAATTTACGTAAAGCCTCGACAAGCCCATGAGAATTAAGAAGCACGTAGCTTTAATTCTTATCTCAATCGTTAAAATCAAGTAGCGTTCATATGCTTCGTGCGCAGTCGAACTTCGCGTTAAATGTTTAAAATTTCCACCCACAAAAATAAAATAATCAAATGCCGACACGAATAACCGATAAAGCGTTTGATGAATTCCGGAGTAAAAAAGAAGACAAAAATAAAATAGTGTAACTGTAATTAAATACAAAATATCGTGTTTAACTTACAACTGTTTGAGCGGTGTCGTTGTCTTTGTAATGGATTTTTATTAACGTCGTTTGGAAGTCCAGTGACGCCTTTTGTAACGCAATATTGCTGGAAGACAAAAACTTTTAATAAAAAACAATATAATTAGACATTCGTTTACATATCTAATGGCAAGGAATAAAGAGATTTTCTATCAATGTTTTGCATTTGTCGAGACATTTTGGCAACTAAGTATACTCTAACCCTGATATTTACTCTAAGCCTTAATGACACGAAAATGAAAACTCAGCAAAAATCATTTTGAGTTTATATAAAGAGGCGAAATGTTACAGTCAAACAAAAAGTTATAATTAATAGAAGTAGCAATCGCTTGTACGCATGATATTCATTAGAACATACGATATGACCAGCTGAAGAATTATAGCTGCAGTATACAATTTCCAATAACCTGGAAATACTTGACGCAGTGCCCTTAAGATAACTGCACCTTACTCAAAATCATCATAGTTCAATGAATTTCTTAGCAGGGACACGTATAATGTACGTGACGATGACCAGTAAGCCCTTTATCGTCTTTATAAAATCACATTAAACATTTCCATAGCGGAATAAACACAATTTCGTGCAGGCAAAATGCTGAATACGTAGCTATCATCTATGTTATTGACGTGTAACTATTTGCGTAACTATTGCTGCGATATGATAACACATAAAACATTTATACCTCGCCAAATCTTCTTTCCATTTGGTCTTCTCCTCCATCGAACTAAATTGAAGTAGGATTCAAACGTCGTTTGATTTTCATAATAAATATTTAACATGCCGTGAGACAATTATCATTTTGCATCCAGAAGAATTCGTCACGAACTTTGCATATTACATGAGCGTTTTATGAAATCCTGCGAGGAAAAACAGTGAGTCACAGCAGGGGGTGCCAAAGCGGAGGTGGGGGACTCACCTGAAAGTTGCAACAACGTTTTCTATGGGCCAACCAATAACAAAAGATTTATCGCGGGATTTCACGTTGTCTGCAACATCATCGACGCAATCTGCGATCCACATTTCACAAAGTTTAACACGATCTTTCAACTTGAAATGAGATGTTGATCTGGAAGATATGCGAAGAATGTGACAAAGGACTATGTCAACGGTGCCCGAGGCTTTGCTGCATTTACTGGTGTATCTTGGTAATTAAAAAAGTATGCTTATTATTTTAGTATTTTTTATTTATAAAAGAGTTCATCCGTAAATGAAAAAAATCATGATCACGACGAGATAGAAAGCTCATACGGCGAACATTCGTGCGAAGACCATATACTCAATATGGATTAGGTTGCAACTCGTGGATTTATTTCACTGACCATTTTGTAAAATATATTTTCTAATTTTAATTGAAATATTTACCCAAAATTTCAAGGTTAAAAATTTCAATGTTCCTACGATATTCATGTTTTATTATAACTCTAGTCAATGGATGCGAAAGCCACGATTTTCCTAAAATTTCCAGCTTTAGCTAACAAGCGACGAGTAAAGCAACACCCTGATACTCGTTCTTTAGAGAGCTTTCTAGTTTTCCACTTTTCCATAAATCAATTCTCATATATGACTACTTATACCATACCCATTACTAACATCACTTACCCCATATTTGACTATACGTACACATTAGTACCCTAAGCTACCCTCATATATCTACAAAAACTCTACAATATCATTAATTCCAACTTACTTGCATTTGGCGACAAGGAGAAAATCATTGAACAAAAACAAATAACGATCATGAGAGAGGGTTCCCTGTGGAAAAAACAGTTTTTTTTAATCTATTTTGGAAATTATAATACTGCTTCAGCTATGAACAATAGGTACCCACTTCCTACACTGAAAAATTTGAGGAAGAAAAATTTAGGGTTCTTTATCTACAACTTATATGATAAGGGTTTGTGATTAGTTAATAATACGCAGTACAAATGATAATGCAATCTAAAGAGCAAATCTCATTGCTATTATCCGATTCATCCAACGGAAAACCTATATTACATAGATACTACATTTTAGCTAATGTATCCGGCCACGGTAACACCCAAAACAAACATTCTTAAAAGAAACCATGCGGTAACATGTCACTACCTACCGCTGTCAGCTGGACCATTCCTTCATTTATTAAAATGTATTTACGTTGAGACGTCTCTTGAGTACGTTCCGAGTGGATCGCGAGGGATACATCAATGGAAGGAACACTGTAGTAAGAACAATTAGGGATAGAAGGCAAGTTGACAAATCGTTCCGCTTAGTTAATGAATGAATGAATGAATGCAGTAGAAAACAAAAATGTTTTTGATCGATTTGTCTCATAAACTCAACCTTTTATTCACTTTTCCAAAGGCAGCTTTGAGGGCAGCCGCAGGAGCAGATTTTCTTCGAGAATTTAGTAAAGTTTTTAACCTCTGTTAAAAAGAGCAACAATGTATTTTTTTAAAATGCATATAACTTTAAGTGAAAAGTAAATATGAAATTTCTCTTTCTCTTTAGGAATAGATAAGTTGGTACCTGAATATTGGATAATCCTTCATCTAAACCCAGATCATCGTAAGGAAAGCGATCTTGGACTTCGATTAATCTAAACTATAAAAGTAATAAATATGAATAACATAATATTGACTGAATTCTTCTGGAATTTTTTTTCTTCAGTTTCAAAAATAGTTAAATAACGAAAGAACAACCAATGCCTAGCGTGGATAGAATGAAACGATGAATTATTGAGTAAAGGTTGAAACACAAAAAATCTTTTTCTCGCTCAGCAAAACCTTTATAAGCGAGTGATTAACAGAGTAAAGAAAACAACCCATTTTTCTGGTCGAAAGTAAAAATACTGCATGTAACTTTACAATTTACAAGGTGGAAATAGAAATGCTCTAAAATTTGAGGATGAGTTAACAAGTGTGATATTTAGCAGTAAAAAGATGAGAATTGAAAAGATCTGCTCTCTTTCTCCGATGTTTTGAGCATCGCTTTTCGTGTCATAATGACGACAACGTGCCTCTTGGATAAATATCATACCAAATAATCATCTGAAGCAGCAATCCGTTTTGGCAGCAGCTTCAGTGGACTACGCGACCGACGTCGAAGAAATGGACTGGAACGAGGTGAAACAAACGTTGGTATGTCAAGATGTCGACGTCTACTTGAGTAATAAGGAAGTGTAGCCATGTTTTGAAGTTGTCTTCCTTTTGAAAATATCACAAACGTACTTTTTTGAGATGAAAATGATATTTAAATAGTTTGTTTCTCGCGGAATAGAACAGAAATTAGTTTCTGTCCAACTCGACTTCCTGGCAACAAAACTTCAATGTTCTTGTGAAGTCCGAAATATCTGTCGTCCAATGAAGACAATGCACAACAATTTATACGGACCGTTGAATTATTCAAGTGCAATTCTTAAATGTCGTTGAGCTCCGGACATAGATATATTTTACTTTATGAAGCAACCTTCAAAGAATGACTATACGACCGAAGAACTTCTTTAGACGTTAGATGATCACAGCTAGCAAGAATATGGAAGCAATCCTGGTTGTCTCAAACGTCGACAAGCTTACGGTACATTCTATATAAGTTCCAGGGTTATGGGTTGTATGTTTAGGGTTGTGTCTCTCAGTTCCTTAATGGATTGTATTGAAAAAATGAAGCTTCGAAATTCGATGTTAATCCCGGTGAATATTTCCGTTTCCACCCAAATGCTGACAGGTCTCTTGCGTTACGCGGGCGCTCCTCTTTAACTTCACCAAAAACTCGAAGAGAGTCACACCTTTTTTCTTTAAATTCGTCTTTGCGAAGTTCTCAAAACACGTTGAATGTTTTATGAAGCAGATTGTAAAATCTAGAAGGCAGCCCCTAACTCCTAACACAACATTGCACTTGACGTATATGCCAATAACATTCTTCAAATATCTATTATCTGAGTAAATGTACGAACTCACTACACACAAAGTCAACAAATCCAATTTAACGCCGCCCGACGCTCAATAACGGGTCCAAAACAAGCAAAACTTACTAAGCGTACAGTTCTTGCGTGGAAAAGACCAAACCTCGAAGGAAGAAGCTAGACAACGCGAGACAAGTTTTATACTGAGCGCCGGTGTCACAAGAAGCGATGACATTGTTTTAAACTGTTTGCTAATGGTTAAAGTAAGGATAGAATAACACGATCGATGAATACCACATGCATTAAATGGGATATCGTGTCTTTGATAATACAGATATGATCTTAAATAAATCGTTTTAACCTGTCATGACAGCTGTAGGAACGAGGCGTGTTGACGCACGAGAGTTAGTAATTAAGTTTTAGAAACTAGAAGCTGTCTATACCACATCAACTGATGATAAGAAATGAGCAGTATTTCCTATCGTTTTTTCTTACACAAACAAATAAAGACATCAATTTTCTAAGCTTTGATATTTTCAGAGTCATAGATCCCCCCAGTTAGTTGTTAAAGGCAAAATTAAACACAATAGTTCTGTGTACACAAGACGACAACAGGAATGTTTTTCTTATTCATTAAACGAGAGTCGTGTGTTTTCACCGACATAACAAAAGCAAAAACAACAGCAAAGGCTTTTTTTACAGCCCCAAAGTCTTTTACGTTTTAAGTAAAAAATTTACACGCACAATTAAATTGTATTTTTTTTGTCCATTTGACGACATTGAAAATTCAAATTGCAATAATTTGCTTCTGATTCGAAGATCGGTCATATTCTTTGTCGTGACATAAGCATGCTGGAATTCCAGTTCGTTTTCAAATCCCGCATGTTTTAAAGACAAATGAGAGATTTGTCTGCATCTTCAACTTTTTATCGCGTACAAAAATCAATAACATGCTTAATCTCTCTTCAATACGTAGGTAAACAGACTTGCTGTTGTTAGGTTTACGTGTCTAATGAATTTTTCAAAATAAATAAGGTGAAATGGGAAATCGTGCGGCATCATATAATAAACAAACTCGTGATGCACAACTACATGCACAACATACATCTAACGTCTACCAGCTGATGGTAAAGACGAAAATTGGTAGAGATATCAAGAAGATATTCTTACCTCGTTCTCGACTTTCTCAATTTCCTCTTTTCTATTACTCAGGATTTGTTGAAGTTTTTCCTTAAGTACTTTGAGCCGTCGGTGATCGTCGTGATCATCCGGAGTGCTGTCGAGAAGTGCCATTATAAATATGTGGTACATAGAAAGACGTCGTGCCTACGGTAAAGACAAAATAAAGAAGAGCATCTTCAATGTAAGATATAGTCGTCAAGTGGTTATCTTGCCATTTTGAAGCTTGCAAATATAGGTTAGTTCACATTTTTAACGTCAAGTAAGGATTTTGAAAGAACGAGACACACAACGGACATCTTTGGAGAAAATGATTACTTAGCTAAGGCACAGAGTTTGTATAATCCAATACTAGTTATACTCCAGTCATACGTTATGATCATACAGCCCAGTGTTTCTGTTAACAAATTTTTAATTTTAAATCACAGGGGGTAGAAGGTTTATAAGCCCATTGGTTAAACACGCGTTTCAAATGTTTTGATATAATAATCAAATAAGCAAACAATTCTCACTTACAGGAAGTAAAATGAGAAGACCAAGGGAATGTTTAGCCGTTAACTTTACTTCGTTTACCATAGTTAAAAAATCGCTGTCGTATTTATATTTTTGCCTCAGGATTCTGAAGAGTAAAAATCATCATTAGCTCGAATCCTTCATTTCTTTGCAAAACTAAAAGTCAGTGTTATAAAGAGAGTAACGAAACAATTGAATGAATATTTTAACCTTTTTGACATTGTTAGACCCGCGAAATAATCATCGTATCTCCACAGTAGAGCAGGCAACTCGTCGAAAGCTGTGGCTAAACTCATTAAATGAAATAAATTATTAAATTAGTGAATAAATTCCCTCGCGTGGGGGTAACGGGCAACCAGATGGCGATTTCTTATATATATACGTCACATTTTGTAGATATGACAGTTTATAGTTACGAAAATGAAAAAGACAAATGAACTGTTTTCTAAAACAATAAAATGTACCAATGCATAGAGAGGGTATCCAGTTTTCATAAAGATCTTTCAACTAAAAACAGAAGGATTTCAAGGATAGGTGGCTACATCAAAGTACACGGAGGTATTTTCATTTTGTCTACCTTGACGACTAGAGATGACGTTGCCTCTTGAATAGGTTTTACCCTTTCAAAGATTATCCCGTGATCAAGATGGTTTAGACCATTCCTACATGGGTGTATGAGGATGTATGAGGATGAATGAGGATATTTCATGTCAATAAAATTGTTATCAAATTTCAGCGCAGGGTTCCACTAAACATCATCAGATCATCACCGTTCCATTCTTTCAGATAAGGCACAGAATGAAAAATTCTTTTAAAGAAGACAGAATATGAATTATGATCTTCAGTATTTTCATGAAAAAAGATCGTTACGTGGCACTGACTGTGTGTCGGTAAGGACTTACTTTGAAACTTAGTTCATCACTAAATACACAAAATTTATCACCTTAAATTTTTACCATAGACATCAACAAGAATTCTTAATGACTCGAGATATTTCTCTTCTTCATCGAGGATCATTTTCAGCAGAGCAAGACGATCATCCTCTTAAAATAAAAGCACGGAAGTGATCCCCCAATTACAAACATACAAATGTCAACTTTCTCAATTATTACGATTAAACGAGTGGTCATCATTCCCATTACATTAAAAATAGAACTTCATATTTTCAAATTATCCTAAATTTAGGTTACTCCAACCAACATCATGAAGTTTCGCAAGCAAACAAACTCACCATATTTCATATTCTTGGACCCTTGAAAGTCTCTTCAATGATAATCTCTTGATTGTCAAGAAGCGTTGCATCAGCGTCCATGCTCAAGATAGAATTGTTTGAACACAACTTGACTTGAGGGCGTTCTAACTTGTACTCCTCGCAGACTTCGCGTATAACATCTTTGATGGTCAAAAATCTATTCACTTCCAACTTGAAATATAAAAATAAATTCTGTTTGAACGAACGAATGCACAAGTATGGGATAGGTTTGTCAAAACAAGACCCGGCCCAACTACAATATCCGGTAATTTTAAATCCCCCTTACCCTTAGACTTAAGCCGGGTTTTCACGCAAATTCAAACAACTATTCAAATAACTAGTTTCTTTACAACGAAAGAACGTCAAACTATATGTGAAATAAATATTCATCATGTTAAGTTTCTCAAGGTTGACGATTTAATAACTTCGGCTGAATCAGGTTATATAAACATACGTAATATATCATGTAATATGTTTCTTGTCTTTCGCGATGTTCTCCAATTTTTTCGAGTGATTAGTTTCAATTTTTCAACGACAACATAGGGAATAATATATTTTTTACTTCATACAAAATTTTCATGCGTGTTTACTTGACATCTCACAAGTTGTTATTAAGATACTAATAAAATCTACTACAGCATAACGACGCGAACCACGAGGAAAATAATGGGAAGAGCCGTGTCTTCCTATACTTCAAGATAACGATCTTTATATAAATATGAATATAAAGGTCTGAATTATATCAGAGATGATTGAAAAGCTGTTTCAAGACTGCATTCTAATTTCAAATTTTAAGAAAAGATTGCATCTGAAATTTTCTAAATAAAAAGAGAACTCAATAAAATTTGGTGTTACGAAGTGACTTATGCCTCGTTATAGAAGCACAATTTGACGTTCGCCTAAATTAGACGACATCTTGACGTAAAAAACATGAAAATGCATATGTTTGTATAAAATACAAGCTGGACAATTAGCGCACAATTAACAGGATCGTAACGTATGCAAGGAACGAATATCAAGACTTATAAGGCACACTTTGAAGCAAATGCAATTCAACCATTATAACACAACCATTTAAGACACCCCGGGTACCAGACAAAGACAATTAGTTCTCCATTTAGAATGATTTGTAGAGAATAGTTTTTAACTTCAGCTTGTGAAAAACATTTTAAAAGCAAATGACGTGAGCTCAACATTTAATTGACATCATATTGCACATCTGACGGAGTTAAAAGCGATTCGAATTTCAGTATTGGAACAACAGTTTTGGAGCAGAAAGCTCCGGACATGAAAGACAATAAAACAGTTGAAGATTTTGAATAAATATGAACAGCATTACATCGATAATTGTACACGAAGACAAACATAAACGTCTAAAAGCTTTAGACGCCAACAAAGAATTCAAACCATGTTCATTTGTTTACATAATAAAATGTTCAACAAACCTCTCGTTTAGAGTTATCGGGTAATACGGCAAGACACGTCAATGACCGCAGACAAATATCATCAAGATGAACAATCTTTACTAGACCAAACAACAAGCTGTCAGTAGTTGGCAATGTTCTTGAACAATCTAGTTGTTCTGTCAAGCTGAAACTTCTGTTTTTACGCAGCTTAGTAAGTTTAGGTAGGCTAGCCATATCTCCGCCTGATTAACGTCGATAAACCTTGATAGGCACACGTTTGTACATAAACTGTGCAGTTTCAAGATACCAGTGGAATCGAAATTTGAACAAAGCTACTTAGCGTACAGCAAGTCCGCAGTGAGAATTTCCACGTGACAATTACGCCAATACAATGTTTTGGTTGAAGTGAGCAAAACGTAATATGCAAAGGAAGCAGTTTTCTGTTCGTTGACAATATGGTCTTGTTCAATTGGCTGACTGCAACTTGACGTGCAATGTTTTCATGCGTCTTTCAAAGGTAATTCATTCATGCCATATTTGGTACAATAAACACAAACAATAAAATTGCTCTGTGGACGTAAATACGAGAAACAACTGAGCTTCGTTAGGAATAAAATCCTTTCTCCTATATTCTTCATCAATTTCACGAAACAGGCAATTTTAGTTCGTATTAGCATGATAAGAAAGCAGCAAACGAATAACGTTGGATTATTATAAACACAATTTAATAATGTTGCAATTAACAACATCACATTATAGTAATTAATGCAACATGTCTTTTGCAAACCTAACGTAATTTATTCAGAAGTGTTTGGTGTGCAAAAATGTTAAACACGCATGCGCAGGGGCTATCAATGAAAATATTATACGCTGAGAGGTGCAAGTGCAACCTCTAAATTTAAATGCACTGTAAAATAATTCAACTGAGAACTATTTGTCTAAAGTGGTGACTACATCCAAATATTTTTTCCACCAGTTTCACCGAACATATGACAACAACTTTGTGGACGTGACCATTATCTTGAACACATGAATGACGATAAAGGTAATGAACGGAAATGGCCCAGGCATAGATAGTTGATTGACAAAAAATGCAAAATTTTTGATCTAAGGATAACTTAGAGCCAAAACATGAACGACATTGTCTTCCTTTTACACCGGAGTATCATTAGGATACATAAATATACAAAGATATTCATCTATATGTTCAATTTCCCTGACGTCCAAAAAAGACGATATATTTGATTTAATTATGGATTAACCTGTCACCGACATAATTCGTAAATCTTTATAAAATATGTCAAACTTGGTAATAGAGGCCAAGGCTTGATTAGAAGGCTTATGAAAGTCTTGGGGTCAGAGAAAGGCGGAAGGCTTCACTCTCAAAGATTTTCCACGCTAGATTTTCCTAAAACCGGCATTTATTGTTGTTATCTTGTTATAGAGAAAACAACCTTGCGTGGGCAATCCAAAATTCTGTGTAATAACCATATTCAATGCTTTATGTGATTAAAAGTTCATTGGAGTCATCTTGAGCTAACATTATCCAATGAAAAATCCTGTGTGCTATACACACAGAAAGCATCTGTGGCAGAAACAAAGTGAAAATAATGCATGCAACACAGTATCAGTAGAAAAAATCAGCGTACTGTTTTTTTGTCATTTTAGATTGAGAATTAATTAATGTTGAACGATTATATCTCGATTCTTTAAACGAAAGTAATGGAATGAAGACCAAACAAAGGTCTTCATTCACAGTAAAATGAAATAAATTGCAAGAATTTTTAACCAGAATACGATCATTAAAAACAACAACAACAAAATTTGCTTCGTTCGACAAAGATTTGGATCATTATTTTGAAAAATGTTCTGATTGGAGATATTAGACATGGTCGCCAACCATACCTTATAACTCCTTACAGTTATGTAGGCTGCAGAATTTAGTGTCTACTTAAGTGAATAATGCGTTTGCTCATTTTCGTGTGTTAGATGTTGGGATTCTACGTAGCCACGCCACATGTAAGTGCCTAACGCTAACTACATAGTCATGCACTCTTTAAATTCCTCCCATTGAAATATTCACCAATTAATTAGGTATGAATGAATTAGAATGAACAATTAGAACAGGTAGCTCGCGCTACGACTTTTGACACGTTACGAATAGTGATAGGGATGTATTGCTTAGCTCTGTCCCTTAACCTTGCAATTATATCTAATATGTTTTTAAACCTATCCTCTACACTAAACAAGCTGTAATGATGTGGCAAGTTCGTCGAAAATACGGAATCTCCGGGGGGTGTTTCGATGAACAGCTTGTGTGCATTATGCAAATTTACGGCAAAACCTAAATTAAGAACAATAGCATTTAAATTTTCCAATGTCGCAAGTTATTTGCCAAGAACACGAGACCTCCGAAAGGGAGCAAACTATGCAGTTTTTAAGCATGCGCGCGTGCGTGTCCTATCACAACTTTGCGCGGATTATGCAAATGCACGGCAAAATGCTCATAAACAACATAGCAGAAATAGCAGCGGTGGTCTTATTTCCGTTTGCAAAGAAGGCACGCTTAAACACGCGACAGATTTATTTTGATAATCGTTTGAATCATACTCGTTACATCCAGTGTGTTGGTGAGGTCGTGTTTGACCAATCAGAAATGTCTGGTCTCACGACCTTTTCATCAGGGATTACAGCTCGACGTAATTATTGATACTACTGGCCAATGGGTGAAGAGCAATCTCACGCTCAGTTACTTTTTATCTTTTAGAAATTCGCTTGGATCTTGTTTATTGTCCCTGCTAAACACACGTCTTTTTCAACATGATTACCATTGAGGTGTTAACATCTTCTTTATCTTCATCATCATCTTATTCCTTATGATTGAAAATACTCATAGCAAGGATTGTTTGAATTGAACTTATTGCATTCAACTTGCAGTTTTCGAGTTTCAGCTATCCACCATGACGTATTAGTCACAAGTGTGCCAAAGTACTTGTTTGTCAAGCAACGCACGAGAGCGATATATCAAGGTACAGTAGATAACACAACATTTCAGAGAAGCTAAAATCTTGATCGGGCGCAGATTATGCAAATTTACACTGTTAATGAATTTTAAAATTTGGCAAAGTTCATGGCAAAGGTTATTGGAAACCAGCTTATGTGAATGAAACGAGACCAACTGACAGCTGTGAAAAGCTCTTTTTTTAACTCCGCGAGAGAATACTTTATATATTTGCTGTGGATATTTTTAACTTCACATTATATATCTTTCAGCAACGTCAACACATCATGCTTTGCCAATTATTTAAAACAACCTCAAAGACTCTGGAGTCAGCCTGTATGTTAATAAGCTATATCATTCACCATGCAAAATTAACGCCTGCCAGTAGATTGCTTAACTTTACCAACCAGAGTTCGAGATTGATGTCTGCCAATAGATTCATTAACTTTACCACACACCATGCAAGATAACGTCTGCCAATAAATACATTAACGTTACCATACAACATGCAAGATTAACGTCTGCCAATAGATTCATTAACTTTACTATCCACAGTTCAAGATTAACGTCTGCCAATAAATTCATTAACTTTACTATCCAAAGTTCAAGATTAACGTCTGCCAATAGATTCATGAACTTTACTATCCAAAGTTCAAGATTAACGTCTGCCAATAGATTCATTAACTTTACAATCCACAATGCAAGATTAACATCGGCCAGCAGATTCACAAACTTTTACCATCCGCAGGCAAGATTAACATCTGCCAGTAGATTTATTAACTTTACTATCCACAGTTCAAGATTAACGTCTGCCAATAGATTTATTAACTTTACGATCCACAGTTCAAGATTGATGTATGCCAATAGATTCATTAACTTTACTATCCACAATTCAAGATTAACATCGGCCAGCAGATTCACAAACTTTTACCATCCGCATGCAAGATTGATGTCTGCCAGTAGATTCATTAACTTTACCATCCATCCACATGTTCTTTCTCGAAATCACTGATGACAATTTGATACATGTGTTTTTCTAACGGGTCACCACAGCATAACAGCAAATCAATTATTTCCGCTTATAACAGACTTCTGAATCCTCATCATTGTCCCCTAAGTAATTTTTAATGACTTGACAATTCCCTTTTTTTCTCTTGCCAGTTAATGATCCACGAAAGCCTTCTCTTATCCAAGCTCAAACACTTTATCAACACCCAGAGCAGCTTCATCCCACTTAACCTACATTAAGTCTTTTTTTCTTTTCTATAAGTCATATCTCTCCTAAATTCAGCCTATCGTTAACATTTCCTTCTTCCTCTTGTAATGAAGTCGATATATTTAGGACCAAACATCATCAATAAAAAATCTTTATACCATATATTATTTTTCCAATGGCTCTATGAAAATTATATGCCCGGCTATAATATTCATGTTAAAAATTATATTTTTTGCAGAATGTTCTAACCACAGCATCTTTCTTCTAATAAACTCACTATCTTTGCTTTGTACACGTCCAAATAACCTTTCATTGGCTTCTTTGACTTTATCTCCAGATCACCTATAATATGACCAGATAACATGTGCTGTGTATATCATAGTATATCAGACATGTGCATATATAGATCAGATAACATGTGCTGTGTCTCTGACGTACCCATTCCTCACACTTGATGAAAAATAAATTGAAAAGTGTAGAAGGTGGAGTTGATGCTTGTGACATATTGTAATGAATGACAGTTGAAATATGCTCTGCGTTAATTCACATCTGAGCACGCTCAACACTACCGAAAGGAATTTCGGTAACAGAAAACAATGACTACGAAACAATATACCTTCATGCCATTAAAAAAAGTATTAATTTACGACAACGAAGAATAAAAACAATCTAAAAATAGCGTGATGTTATGCATTCCGAACAGGTCATTGGGTATTGTTGGTATAACCACAGATGACTCAGAAAAAAGCGAGCACTCGGGAATGGATGATAAAAATTCAAGCTCCGTTTCGTTTTATGTCGGTTTTTCCCCGTTGGAGATATTGTTTTGGCGAATGGTTGAATAAATTAGAAAACACGCTCTAAATGTAAAGCTGGGACTTAAGTTTATGACATAGGCATTAGTTGGTGAAAGAAAGCTTAAACAAATATGCCTTACATGGCCTACCGTTACATATAGAGTCAACGAGAGGATGCTTTTTGCCTTTTTCACAAGACAAAATTTAGTATGCGGTAAAAGCCTGTAAAACGTTTGATTGGTTGGCGATGTCGTCATTACTTGTCAAAGACCAATCATGCTACACGTTTAATTTTACGTGCAGTGCTTTGTACATAGTAGACGGTCGCCGAATCCAGAAGTAGAGTTCAGTTTGAATTCCAAATGATTCAAAAATAACCGTATTTACACTATCAACGATCAGCCATGTCAAACTGACACACTTATGACACGCGACCTTTCGATTGTGTTAATCGTTTATAATGCGCTCAACACGTCACGCGTTCATTAAGTCTACGTCTCATCCAATCACCGTTCCCGGGTCTCACGCTCTTGTCAACAGTTCAACGACTACGGGAGAGCGTTGTGTATCTCAGCCAATCAACGCGCGCCGCTCCCACGCTCACAATTCGTTTATCTTTAAAGCATAGAGGAGCGATTGGAATGGATTCAAACTCTCAAAGAATTTTCCCACGGTTAGCGACGCACCGTACGCACATATATCATGCGCGCGCCAGGAGTTGCGTCTCACAAGGAAGGGCGACGCACGCCAGCACACAACCTGTAAATCATTAGCATAAAGTGCACGGCGACAATTTGTCGTGAGAATCAAAGTGTATTGGAAAAGAACATTCAAGCAAGACAAAGACTGCAAGCAGGCGCGTATGGCAGCAGAGAGAATGAAGACTGTCGAGGATAGAAAGGTTAGAGCTTAAACGTAAAGTACCGCATCTAATTTGCATTTGCCGCGCTCGTTTCGCATAATATGCTAATGTTGCGAGCGGGCCACGAGATATTTTAAGATTTTTAAATATGTCAAGACTTTCTAAATCAACTTTATCGTGCTGCGAGTGCGCAAAAAAATTTTACAGAACGCTTAATACTAATGACTTACGTTAAATATCACGGTTCAAATAAATTTCCTGTTAAAATTCACACGTTAAATTCAATTGAAACACTGAAGGAAGTCACGTCTTCATTTAAAGTCAGGAATAAGTCGAAGTTGTGCGATGAAAAACTCTTTTCGAGCTAATTTCTTTCACATGATTTTGTCATCGTCGTGCCTTATGACTACAAGATTGTTTTTGACCTTGCAGGCGAGAAAGCCACTACTTGAACGCAAGAGAAGAGCAAGAATCAATGGCAGTTTATCAGAGCTGAAAGACATTGTTCTTAGATCACTCAATAAAGATGTAAGTACCATATCGAAAGTTAGCTTCTCCTTTCAGGTCTTTTAGGAGCATTTTATACCATGCTGAGGAAAAAAGGAGTTTTTGCACGAAAAAGATGTGTCGTAACACATCCTTTTGCTTTTAATTAGAGCTCACGGTACACAAAGATGGAAAAGGCTGATATTTTAGAAATGGCTGTAAAGCATTTGAAAGCCTTGAAAGAGACAGTGAATGGTGAGTTTGATGAAGAGAGCTTGTTCCCTGACTTTATACAAATGAAAAAGAAATGAATGAAGCCTCAAGGTTTTATCATCACCATAACCAGAAAGTGTTTTTCTTCTTCAGAATACTCAAGACAACATCCTTCAGCCCATTATCGTAATGGTTTCACTCAATGTGCAACAGAAATGACTCGGCATGTAATGACAATGGATACTATTGATGAGAGTTCACGCTCTGATATTTTATCTCACCTCAATTCAACTTGTCAGACAATGCTCTTGACTGTACCACAAGCTTCACCATCATTGTCTCCATTGGTATCAAAAGCCTTTGCTCATAGCAAGCCTCATGAAAACCCTTGTTACCATTGTCAACCCCTTTTATACCCTCCACCAAACTTTCTAAATGGCTCAACAGAGTTGCCACCAAGATTTGTTCCATTGAGTCCGCAGCCTTTTAACTCACTTGTCACACCCAATAATCACATTACAAGCTCCCAAAAATACAGTTTCGATAAATACAAAACTAAGAGTCTCTCGGACAGTTCCCTGGAAAAACTCTCACAAAACAATTCCCCATCTTCCATTTCGGCTACATTTTCCCATTGTTCAATATCCAAATCGATCTCACCAAAAACTACAGAATCTACTTCTATCCCTACACCACCATCAGTAACATGTTCCGAACCAGTTTGGCGACCATGGTAAACAAGTTTAATTTTAACCTGTCAGGTTATTTAGATGACAACTTCACATAATGCTTGTAAATCACAAAACTTAAAATTTTTGTCAAGAAAATTGACCTGTAAATAATTGTGCTTTAATAGATTTAAGTTATTGTATTGTCTGTTAAACAGTTAACTAAATTAGGTCATGTGCTTAGCAATATGTTCATTCGAAGAGTTTATTAAACATATACAAAGCTTTCTTTGTTTACATAGTTAATTTAAGCTATTTTTGGCAAGCGCGTGTTTTTGCAGAGCGGCAGTTGGTCACGAAACAAACGTTTGTTGTGTCAATTACATATTAAAATTCGCCAAAATAAACAAAGAAAAAATATTTCATTTACTCGGAGCTTTGACGCTATCTTACCTTAGAGAGTCCCTTTTTCTCTTGTATCGGCAGAACAGAAAAACGTTCGCTTTAATGTGCAGCAATACTTATTTCTACTATCTCAATTGTGATATATTTTAAATTCAAGACTTCAACCATTAACTTCATCCCGTTCTTTTACCATACACTTCGACACTTTGAAGAAATAAGTAGTGAAATTTTTTTCAAATTCAAACACACGTCATAGACATACGTTACCAGTATGCCTCTACTTCATTTCAAATTGTTACAGTAGACTGAGAGGCTGCCCAATTGTGCCCAATGGCCCAAACATGCCCCCACCAAAAGTTAAAATCGAATATGTTTTAGAGTGACTAGGCCCATCGAGAGCTGGTGGGGGCATGCTGCACCACCTAAATAATTAACAGCAAAAACTGTTGTAAACTGTCTGCTCCCTGAAGTGTATGTTAAAAACCGATGTTAGAATCTTTTTTTTTGTATTCAAATGAAGTCGAAGAGTCGAACCGAATGTATATAGTACAGATACAGTAAGGTCCAAAGTCTTGTGGCTTGGCTGCCAGTTTTTTCTCGTCCCACTCTTCTGACGACCGAAAATGTTGCGCGGATAGCGGCAAGACATCAACTTGTTTATGTCATTCATAATATAAACTTTATTTTTTTATCGTATAGATGATTTCATCCAATATAGATGAAACTGGTAGGTGCATATAATGTTGTTGTTTTTGTGGTATGCCGCATTTCAATAAACGTCCTCCAAAATTCGTGTATAGAATATATTTGTTATTTTCTGATATTGTGTTGCTAAGCATTAAATTTGAGGGCATTGATGAGCGTGTGTTTTAACTTTTTTTTGTAGATGTCCCACCTTTGGACGATTTTTCTGACGTCTTAAAGAAAGTACAGTCATTACAATTAACAGAAAGAAGCAGAGTCGACAAAACAGTATCAACTAAAGAGATAGAAGTAGCGGCTATTATTTCTTAGAGTAATTGGAAAAGTAGATTAATAGAGTGATCTAATCATTATAGGATTAAATTTCGCCATGAGATCGCACTCTACTATGTTACTTTAAATTGCATTTCTTTTTTTGATGATGTAATAAAGAAAGGACTGAAAGGTTTTCAACATACTAGGTTTCAAAGAAACCCCCATCAAAAACTGAAAAGAGCAGTAAGGCCTTTGGTGGCTTTCAAAAGGATTTCTTGTGACTAAGAAATGCAGTGAGAAAAAGCAAACAAAATCTAGAAAAGATGACCAAATACCAGTGATCCTTCATAAACCAGAGAAAACATCCAGCCTTTCTTTACCAGAAGTGCAGAAAGCCATGGAAACAACATCATTTTTACAAAATAGAGGTAGGTAGTAAAAAGTATATATAAATATCTCTTAGTAAAAGTTTATGTGTTAACATTTCCCAATTGACATCAGATTGGGTAACAGATGAACTGCTGAAGAAATTAGAAGAAAGACCAGATATGCTGAAAAAACTAGCAGACCCTAGATATTCACAGGCTTTGAACATGTTCAGAAACAATCCTGAAGAAGGAATGAAATTATTACAAGACAAAGAAGAACTACAAAACTTTATAAAGGAATTTTGTGGCATTTTAGGTGAACACTTTACATCAATGGCTGATCAAAAGGTAGATTAAGATAGAGAGTAGATTAAGCTCACAGTAGATTGAGAGTTTGAATTGACAGTGCTCAAAAGCAATTTGCTTGTTGTATTGTTGAATTTTTCCTCAACAAATTCAAACCCTAAGGACAATTGAAAAGTAAACATTAAAACTGTGACAAATTTTCCGTAAAGTTATGACATTTTAGGATATATGTGAAAAGGAATCAATAGCAAAAACTTCATCAGCCACAAAACAAGATCAAGAACAAATGAACAAGATCTTATCAGATCCAACCACCCTAGAGGTTCTTAAAGATCCATGGGTTTCCAAACTAATCATGAATTTAAAGGAGAATCCTGTTGAGGCCAGGAGGTATGAAAATATTTGCTCAATGAATTGCATAAATATGTCCTCTAAATCATAGACTTGATAAGTGTTTCTTTTAGAATGCTTGCGACATCAAAACCAGAAGTACTATCAAAAATAAAAATATTAATAGATGCAGGAATACTTGGCTATGAATGACAGAACTTGTAAAATAGGATTGTATTTGTACTATTATAATGATTAAAAATATGTGATGTTAATTCATTAGCAAACTATCAATGTTATGACAGTTTGATGTTTTTCTTTCAATACAAATAAACCTTTTAAAACTCTTCCCTTACTTTGGCAAAGATAATTGTTTATATATTGGGAAAAATGTAAAGCATCAGTAAAGCATCACCATTAATCAAATAATATACACTGTAAGATATAGTTATATGCAATTATTTTGGTTTACTTTGATTAGATAGTTTGATCAGTTACTTATATAACAAGTTAGATTATGTGGTTTAGGCTTTGACAATTGAGTTATTGACAATGGCAAGGGGATAGTTATGCTGCTTTGCCAGGATAAAACAAGTGTCCCTTAAATTCATACAACAAACCTTTACCAACATATTTATACACAACCAATCAAAAATATCCTTCATAGATTCTTCAAAGATCAGTTTTGTTTTGCAACTTTGGGTGTTGACTCTTCTTTTTTGATTCTGTAGTCATTAAGGGCAGCTTTGATGGCATCTTCAGCCAACACTACAGCAAAATGAATACAATTTAAATGAAAAAAAATCTGACTTGCAGAGAAGCTGCAAAAACACGTTTTTAAGGGGGTAGTCCCTTAAGCCTGCATTGAAGGGTCACATCTCGCATTCCCCCCCCCCAATCTGGATACCCTGGCAACGCCATTAGCACATGGAATGGCAAAAACATTCGACGATTCTTAGTACATAAATATATTAAGTTCTCTAAGTTCTTTGGCACAACTGGCACTGAAATTTGGTGTGAAATTCCCAAATGCAAAAAAAAACAAATTTTAAGGATCTCCCTTTTGCCAGCAAATTGCTTAGAATTTCGATACCTTGTGCAACACAGTCCACATTTTGACACATGGTGATTAAATTGTAAATAGAACTTTTTCCAAGGGTAAATTTTTTTGATACACCCTATACAATAAACACCTACTAGAACAGTGTAGTTTAACAGGTGGTAATGAAAGTTCCTTTGCAATATCTGTGTTCTTGATCTTTAAGGCATCTTCTACCTGAATAAATGAGGAAGTGCATGAATTACGACAATCTCCATGCAGATGGTACAAATTGTAAGGTATTAAACAATGACTCACATTCTTTCCTTTAACCCACTCTGTAGCAAGAGAGCTAGATGCAATAGCTGAACCACAACCAAATGTTTTAAATTTTGCATCAACAATGTTACCATTGTCATCAACTCGAACCTAATGACATAAACATCAATTATACTGAACATTTACATTCACTTTATCGTAAGTTTCTAAATTCCTAACCTGTAACTTCATGACATCACCACAAGCAGGTGCACCGACTAAGCCTGTTCCCACATTTTCATCATCTTTGTCCATTGATCCAACATTTCTGGGGTTCTCATAATGGTCGATCACCTGAAGGATGGGAAATAGTCATCCTTTACTACGACTTACATAATAAATTTTGCGCAACATTAGATGGTAAAATTAATAAACTTTATAAATGCAGAATTTAATGGAGGGAATGACAGAATAGGTAGCCAGTTTTAAACTCGATAAATATTCGATTTACGACACATATCATGTAATGTCTACGATTAAGAGTGATCAGTGGACGAGTATATTTTGCAATGGACGGCAACTTTCTCGCAATCATCCATTACCTTGGCGTGATATCCCGTAGAAAGAACCTGACGGCATACAGGAATATTCTGAAGTATCCTCGAACTTCTTCTGCCAACATTTGACATCATACTTTTACAGAATTTAGCAGAGAATTCAGTCAACAGCTAATCTACTAATCCTCGCTGTACGTGTATTGTCAAAGCACGATTACCCAACAGTCTTTGCAGAATCAAACAAACATGACGTCATAAGAAAAACTTGAGTAGTGACGTCATACGAAAAGCCACTGAAAAACAATTTACTCAAAAGGAGGCAAAACAAGCCGATGTAAATACGTCTTTAATAGAAAAAGAAGGAAACAATTATAGAAAAAAGAAATAGCAGATTTCAAAGATATTTATTGATCATTTGCATTAGAAATTATGCAAAGGTAGCAATGACATCATCATGCTGTTTGATCTCGTTTTCTTTGTTTTTTGCTGCTTGTGCTTTAAGTTTCTGTAATTAGAGGAAAATTCATTCATTATACAACATTCAATATGAAATTTCTTAAAGTATTTCAATTCATTCCATATGGCACACCATCGCAAACTTGCAACAATTAGAAATTAAAATGAAACTCAATAGAACAAAGAAAAGGGTGACTTTGATATAACACAACAACATATGCGCTGCACATGCCCATCAAGCATTTTGAAATAGTTAGAAAACAAGTAACGATCCATTATAGGGCAAAAAATTCCTAGGTAACATAATCTGGCAAAACATGAATAAATGAATTATACACTCCCATGAAGAAGCTGTCTCTGGCAGTGAGGGAAATATTTTGTACTTACCAATAAATTTTTCTTGTGTTGGTAGTAAACAGCAGATTTTGCCTTGCGCTTTTCTTCAAGAGTCTTCACAACATCCTAAAAAGAAATGAAGACAAATGAAAATGGAGTGATTTAAGAAATCATAAGGCATGATGTATAAAAAATCAGCAACACATTAACAAAACAGGTAAGAAGTTTATTTCAGATATGGGCAAAGGTTATGTTAGTTATGGGTGAAGATAGCTACCTGATACTTCCATCCTACTTCATGAGAAAGTCGTCCTAACACACAATACTATAAAAACAAAAATAGAAAATCCTCTCAAATATTTACTTAACCTAAATGACTACAACAGAAACTATACCCTTCTTCCAGGTTTAAGTCGGATAACCCTGAGAGCTGATGGAACGACCATTCTTTTCATCTATGTGATTCATAAATAAAGGATTTTTAAGGCAAGTGACTTCATATGAACTTTAAAAAAAAGACTCAAATTTTAACCAACAAACTTCAAATAGCATTGTTTTCACAAAAACAACTCCTGATTCAACCATAAAAACAAAAACTCTTCTATAAGTCATTATATGAAGTATAAAGAAGTAATCATGTACTTACTTTATCATATGGAGGTGGTACTCCTTCAAAAACTTTCATTCGATTCAAAGCTTCCATACCACGTTTTGTTTTGTGGGGAATCATTCCTAGAAAACATGTCTGCCTTTATATGAAGTACTAAATTATTTCCACAATGAGATAATGACAGAATTTCATTTCTCGTGACATAAAAAGTACATCAAATGTAAATTAAGTATTTGTCAACAACATATTAAACAAACCTCGGACAGTACGCCAGAATATCTTGCTTGGAGCTCGAAAATGGAAAGGACCTCTTGATGGTTTTGTATTCATTCTTTTGCGCAAGAAATCCAAATACTTTACTGTAAAAACAATGGAAATAGGCCGATATAGATTAATATAATGGACACATAAGAATAATATAAAAAATATTCAATTTAACACAGCTATATTTTCCTTACATTTATTCCTATAGAAATTACCACTGATATTAATGTCTTCACATCTCACAACAACAATTCTTTGCCCTGCAGATATAATGAGAAAAAAATCTCTATCAGTAAATGTAATCAAAGCTGATGATTTGAGCAACAATACACAAGGAATTTAAATTGACAATGTGTACTTCTAAAACTGTTGGAATGCAGTTTAGTGGATGCCAGAAGGCATTCTGTGATGATCATGTAAACTGTGGGCACATATTGGAGTAAATAGCAGGAATAAACAAATCAACAACAACACTTACAGCAACACACAGTTTCACTCGATAACAAGCAAAAGCAACTTTATGGATATTAACTTTAAGGTTATGGCTTGAATTTGGCTTAGGTTTAGGATCAGGGTTAGGCTTTCTAAATTTGAAATTAAATCGAAGCTATCAACTTTTGTAAAGTTGAGCTTTCTCTTTTGCTTTTCTGAGCCTGCCACACTTTGCTACTGATCACTGATCAGCAACATAAGGCATCCGCTAAACTGCACGTCAACCCTAAGCTCTACAGTTCATTGAATACAGGTTCAAATATGCCTTGCTGTTCATCTTCACCTGCTAAGATTGACTTGGCAACAGTCGAAGCAAGTCGTCCCAACAGATGACCAGAGCCATCGATGATAATTTGCTGTCAGGGTAAAACACACGATCGAAATTACTAATCACGTAACATACTAACATAGAAAGGAAAACATTATTAAAAGAAATGTTTATTTCTTAAACCAATACCCGAATTATTAAAATGAAAGGAATAAATTTGTCGATTGTTTAATACGAAAATTGTGAAAAAAGTAATATCAATGGGGAATCTTGTACAGAAATCCTCACAGACTGTCATTTTATAATTTCATTTAACTTGTATTAAAAATGAAGCGCTAAAATGCAAGTAAATTCAAAATATTTTTGGCTTTCTACTGAACACGTTACCTTCTCAAAACCCATGGCGAAAAAGAACGATCGTAAGACACGCGCACTAGTACCAGTCCTCCATGGAAATGATGCAGACGATTTGTGTGACGTATTAGTAGACGTATTCACGCAAAAATTGATATTTTTATTTTTCTACACACTACTCCACGAAAGTATTTTGCTCAAGGATTTCGCTTCGGGAAATTTAACATGCAAACAGTAACAGAGACAATTTTTTTGGAATTTATACAGATTGGAAAGGTTGCTGCGCGCATTTAGAAACCAATGAGTTCACTGCTCGCGCATAATTAAATAACTCTTTTTAACAAATATGATGTTTTCCTGCACAAAGAGATAACACAAAATTTAACTTGCCCGCGCGATTTGCAAACTTTACATTCTGTGAACTTATGGTCAAATACTAAGGAACAACGCATCTATCATATGATTACATTATTTCTGCTTTTGGCAGTTTTGCTAAATTATATTAAAAATAAAAGCCAAGAGTCCAAAGCTAAAATTGCTTTTATGAAACCAAATCTAAATTTTCAAGGATGTAGACAGCTTCAGCATCTGTGCCACAAACTAAATTTTGTCCACTTATATCTATTGAGTTCACAGAAGAGCGATTGTAGGGAAGAAGGGAAAATGTCTCAATTTTGTGCTTGCTTGCATCTGCCGAGAGCCAGGGAGTTGGAACATGATTTGATACTGTTGTAATTTCTGCTGCCTGGTTGCCATCAGGATTTAATATTTTATTTATGTCAATACTTGATGCCTTCATGGATGAGCCATTCCATTGCCAGACAGAACCATCTTGAGAGCAAGTAAATAAATGATCAGGATTTGGTTGGTAGAACAACACTTGCCAAACTACAAGAAACACATTGAGTAATTCATAAAAAAAATACTTCTTTTGCAATTTGTCCCCAGAATGTAGATATACATTCATAGACAGAAACACAATATAACTTAGTTTTAGTTACAAAGAAGGAAATCATGTCTTGACTGACTTTCAGCTGAATGAGCTTCAAGAAGTGTAACTGGATATCGTTCTTGTCTCATGTCCCATACACCAAGAACTCCATCCTGACCACCTGTCACAATGAGGTGTGGTTGTGTTGGATGTTTGTCAACACACAACAATGGCACTCTATCTCCACTTCTAATAAATACACAATTCATGGTAAGAGGTCGAATTTGAAAAAAGCATGTTGAATTGCTTTCATGAGCAACATGCACAACACTCTATTCATTCTCAAGATATTAAGTTCTAAAGTAAATGGTTTGAGCCCGGGAGTATTGTTACATGTTTGTAAATGTAGATCGTCCAGGTTGGTATAGTCCTGAGAGAGACTGTTTTTGTTGTTGTTGACTGACGTTTCGACAACCTTAGCGGTAGTCATCTTCAGAGTCAAATGGCTCTGGTAGGAAGTCATCTCTCGCAGTAGTCATCTCTTAGCGGTAGTCACTTGACTCTGAAGATGACTACTGCTAAGGTTGTTGAAACGTCAATCAACAACAACAAAAACAGTCCTTCTCAGGACTATACCAACCTAGACGATCTACATTTACAAACATATATTGAGTTCTATTTGTTGTAAAGAATTTGCATGACAGTGAAGAGCAAAATTTTTAAACATCATTCAATTTCTTGATAAGTTTTTTAAGAAATGCTTCAGGATAGTTTTATATCAAATGTAAAATCACATGTTGACTTAGTTTGATACTAAACAAACTTAATATCTTGTAAATGAAAACAGCTTGGTAGAACTGTATTGAAGGCTTCATATGGAAATGTCTTCAATATTTGAAATTATGTGGAATAAAATATAAAAGGAACTGTAGCTGAATAAATACATAATAATGATATTGAAACTCACAGAAACATAGCAGAGACAGGTTTGTCACCATTCTGCCGTAGATCCCACACCTTGAGCTGGCCAATAAAATTAACAGTTGCAATTTCATAGGATTTCACAAAAGTTACTCCAGATATTGTTGTGGATTCGGCTGATGCTAAATATACCAAAATGATGTGAATGTTGAGATATTTTCTAATATTCAAAACAAATTATGTCTTTCCTACCAAGGGTTCTCAATGGCTTGGTATGTTCAATTCTTAGCATGACAATTTTGCCATCCTCTCCAGCACTTACAAAGTCTGGAAGATTTGGATTGGTCGCCAGAGATGTACATGAGCAATGAGTGATGTTATTAAAATAATGCATACCAGACCAGCTTTGAGATATTCTTAATTCCTGATAAAATAAAAAAAGAGAAAAGTTAAAAACGCTTAAAATATACATAATCATGCGTATATGTTTATAAAAAAGTCATTTTTATTTTGTCTCTCCTGTTGCCAGTAGCAGGACATTTGTTCCTATTCAATAGTATTTCCTTAAAATCTCATTCCGAAGATCTGAGCAAAATGTACAAAAAAGTACAAATGTACAATATGGTGCAGTACCTACTAATTCGTATGTATCAAACTTCACCTTATTGTGACTATTAAACTTATGTAATGTGATGTTACCACAGGATGATGATGTTAGAATTTTATCTTTATCCAAGATCTAAAAAAGCAAAATATTAGAGGCTTAAATTACATTATCTCAACAATCCTTGACTTGCAACCGTTCTCTTGAGATTTGCCTAACAATGTTGCTCGCCCACGTGGCTGGTGCCAACAATAACTCTGATAAAATATACTTTTGTAACAGACCACCAACATGGCTGAATTGCAAGTCAAGAATTGCAAATTGTAACAGAAAAGCCGAAACCTTTAGGTCCGTCACACTGCCTGTATGGTTTATAGCTGCCAATAACTGTGGCTCATCTGGAATATTACTGCTACTTATATTTGTAGTGTCCTCTATATCCGCTACACTCCACAAACATAGCTGATTCACCTATATTTAATGTCAAAATATTACAATATATAACATTATTAGATTAAGAGATATTTTATATTAATTGAAATTGAAGTGAACTCAGTTTAACCACAAAAAAGGGTCGTCAAAAACTTACATCATTATCCCAACCACCAGTTGCAAACACCGTAGACCGCCTTAGATGCGTACAAGGTTCCCATTTCACCTTAGATACTTTTTGGCCAGTATAGTGAACTGTGGCGCTAGTAGCCATTTTGATCTTTACTACAGTTCTACTCAATCGTATTGAGATCAGTTGTCCAATACCAAACTTTACTCTGATACTTTACGACCAGTTTCTACTGTGCCAGTGGTATCAGATAACGGTTGTATACCACTCATAGACTAGAGCTGTAACTTACGTAAACTAGAGGTGTATCGTTCATAGAGACAACTGTACTACACATAATCTAGAGCTGTACCATTTATAGGCTAGAGCTGTACTATACAAAGACTTGAGCTTACCATATATAAACTAGAGCTGTGCCCATTGACTGTGCCATGCATGGAATACTGCTGTATCATGCATAGACAATATCTGTACGATACATAAACTAGAGCAGTACCAAACATACAAAATAGCTGTACCATACATAAACCACTATTTTCATAATTTTTCTTGTCGTTTAACAGATTTATTTGTAAAGTTAATAAAACTTTCAGCACCACATTCGACTACGGAAGACAAGATGATCAAATTAAAATAAAAACACAACATGAGTCGACCACTAAATTACATCTGTTACTGCTCACTGCAAAAGAATGATAAAGGCTGTTGCAGATTTTCAGCCTGCTCTGCAGGTTGTTTGTTCGAAACATAATGGCCGACTCTAATTTTGCTAGTGACCGAACTGTATCAGAAAATGGTCAAGAATTTAAAGCAAAGATGGCATTTTTATTCGGCATAACATCTGCATCAGTTTTTTTGGGTTTGGTTTAGCAGTTGGTGCTACAAAAAAACGTTCGCCTACCTCCTTCACAGGACAAGTTCACGACGAAGGAGTGAAATTAGCTATGAGGGCTTTAGGTTGGGGGACGCTCCTATCCGTGAGTGGTGTGACCGTTATTGGTGTTGTGGGAAAATCTATATACGATTTCACAAAGGTATTCTTTTAATAACGTACTTAAAATAATATTTTTACAAATTAATTTTTTGAACATTTTTAGGTGATTCTTAGATAGAACTACCATTATCATGGACCATCGGAATAAAAGTTCAAATTTTACTGATGAGTGAAATGACTGGTGTGATCTCAATACAGTGGAAGGCCATAGTATATTTAAGAAAAGCAGGTTTTGAAACAAAATATCACTTACACTTTGGTGAAATGTTTTGCGTTTAAAGGTCATTTTAATGAATATTTATATAAGTTTTAGTAGAAATCAGTGAGAACAATCAACATGTAAATAAATTGTCACATCAACAGTATTAAAATGCATAAAATACATTGTTTTATCGAAGGTAGCGTGGCCGAGTGGTCTAAGGCGCTGGTTTTAGGCACCAGTCATTTCGATGGCGTGGGTTCGAATCCCACCGCTGCCATTTATTTTTTTCTTGCTGTTTCAATGCTTGAATTTCGAATTTTGCGTCATGAACACCTTCAAAGTGGACGCAAATACAATTGCAAGAAAATCATTCCTCAAACAAATCTGCTAAAGCCATTTTTGAAGCAACCAAACATAAAGTACAAATAAAGCCTGCAAGAAGGTTGACACCTGCCTATGCTGATTTGCTAATATTCTCAAATACCATATAAGATACATAAGACATAACAATATCATCTTCCTTGTTGCATTTATTTATTCTTTAAACACTGTATAATGATATCGACAATGTTTAGTGCTTGACTTTCTCAGCCAGACGTCTATCTCTTTCTTCAGCAATTGTGAGACGAACACCTTTGCCTCTAGGCAATGATACCCATTCCTTGTTGCCTTTACCAATTACAAAAACATTGGACATTCTTGTGGCAAACTGATGACCCTTTGCATCTTTCACATGAACAATATCAAAAGAACCTATCAAAAAATTTAAAAATATGTTCTGTTTATTGCTTCAGTGGAATCATGATATCAAATATAGTTTATGGTTTAAAAAACTTGTTTAATGAAGTAAAAATTTAAGGACTATAAGATCTAATGACACAGCAAACAAAATGATAAGTCATATCTTGTTTTCATACCGGCATGTCGTTCCCTATGTGTTATAATACCAACACGTCCCATGTTACGGCCACCAATGATCATAGCCAAATTTCCATTATCAAACTTGATAAAATCCTGAATTTTTCCTGTCTTGATGTCTACTCTGATGGTGTCATAACTAGCCAAAACAGGATCAGGGTAACGAATGGTACGACCATCGTGGGTAACACAATAAGGTATACCCTTAGCACCGACAGCAATTCTCTTAATACGACATAACTTGTACTGAGTGAAAAAAAAATTATAGTTTATTTCATTGCAATTGTTTCAATATATGAGCCATGAGCTCTTTGATATTTTACCAAAAATGACATTTCAGGAAAATTTTATGAATCAAAAGAGCAAGTGATTATTCCCTTGTTAGTTCATTTAATGCAGTTTTGACTTTGATTTTAAAATTTCAAGGAAACTCAACACCTTCACAAGCATACCTGATCAATAATCTAATGTATGAGTAATTTTACACATATTGGGCCACATGTAAAAAAATAGACATCAATTTCAACATAATTTAAAGAAAGATATTTTTATTGACAAGTATTTCACAGCCAATGGAAGTTGACAAAGGAGATTTTATGCATCTTCCTCTTGTTGTATATGTGAAATTTAAACTGTAATTCTGTTGTTATTTTTAGACTTAAGTGTTGGCAAATAATTAAGACATGGCTAACAAAGTATGGGATATATATTGTGTCTTGAAGTAAGTCTATCTGAGAACATATGTTGTTATCAATTTTCACTATCCTTTTAAAGGCAAATGTGGTACATCATATGTGTGACCCTGTGAACTTTGATACAACAAACTGAAAGTAATGAGAAATACAAAGAACAATGCATCCATTCATCCTAATCAAAACTGAAATAGACATATTATAACATGAATATGCAAGTAGTTTTGAAATTTTTACATGCATGCTCTATTTCAAAGAACTATCACTTGCATGTGAAGTACATTGTAGATATTACATCAAACTGTTTGCACATTAAATCAACTAAAATTTACCATCAAAATTAATACCTAAGGTTATTTTAAAAAATCCTACCTTTGCCTCGTCGCTATGAATTCTATGAGTTGTAAAGCGTCCTTTAACATCATAGAGAAGACGGAAATTCTCCCCAGTCTTTTCAATTGTGATTACATCTAAGAGAAAATTTCAAAAATATACATAAGAAATGAAATTAAGGCATTTAAAGCATATTGCATACCCATAAAACCAGCTGGAAATGTTAGATCTGTTCTGACTTTGCCATCAACCTGGATAAGTCGTTTCTTTAATATCTTTTTAGCCTCATCACCATTTAAGGCATACTTTAGACGATTTCTTAGAAATATAATCAGTGGTAGGCACTCTCGTAACTTGTGTGGTCCTGGTGATGGTCGTGGGGCCTGAAAAATGAGAATAGATGACATACCAATCAATAAATATCTAAGAGCCCATTCATACTAACACTTTAAATCAATTCCAAATGATTTGAGTCTGTATGAGGGCTAATGTGGACACTTGCAAGTGATGCAAAATGAATTCGATCCAAACTAACTAGGGCCCCTTGAGAACGTGGTCTCAAATTGGATTAGTTTAGTCTTCATGATAATGTGAACATGCAACACAAATAGAATCGGATCAATCACATGTTTTTAGCTTATTGACCAGACTTTTGTGAGGTCACACATGTCATGCATTTCTTTTTACTGTGTTTGCTTGCACCAATATTTTACAGTTTTACTTTTATGCAAAAAGTAATGCGATGCAATGTCTTGCATTCTTTTGAAAGTATTGCAGCATTTTTTTCATATTACCCTCAATCTTTCAGCTATTTTTTGGGTTCTTTTGCTTTTGGTATTCCCGTAAAAGTATGCCCATTGCAGTAATCTCCATCATTTGTATTTGTTAAATATTGTTATTATCAAATATTCAAAAATCGTTTAGGAAAGACGCAAAATTTAATGTCAATCATGTGAAGCAAATATAAACATTAATTTTACATAAAGCATAAGTTCTAAAGTATATACCCACATTACCCTATAAGTAGACGAAAATACCTGCTAATCCATATCTATCCTATCAAGTTTCTTATGATACTGTTATCAATCGAAGAATAATAAAGATAAAACTTTAACTGTAAACACTCGTGTTTTTCATTTCAAAACGAATCGAATTCGAATCAACTAATTCGATTAGCAAACGAATTAAGTGTAAATCGCCCCTAATACAGCTACCATGTTACTTCATCAAAATAACATTAAACTCTATTCGGTAAGAAAATACAATAAGATTGTTTAATAAGATTTTGAATTCTATAAATATCATGAAACAGGTTGTGTACATCACATCTACTTACAAAGGAGCCACTAAGTTTATCCAACATCCAATGACTTGGGGCATTTAGCCGCTTTAAATGCTTCTTTGGACCACGAGGCTGGACAATATAGGAATACACATATACATCACAAATTTATCCACCTTATCGGATCAAAATAAAACTCAGAACATATAAACAACAAGCCAGATTGTTAGGATATAAACCATTTCAACTCACCATTTTGGTTTGTTGTAAAGAAAAGAACGAAGTCTACCAAAATCCTTCCCAAGTTACAATCGGGCATAATGTGAAATGAAACTACAATACTGCATGGACAGCGGTATGTTTAAGCATGTAAAAAATGTGTAGTTGTCATTGCAAGTAATGGACAGTATTTTCGAAATTTCCGTAGTAAATACCAGCAAAATCGATATTTATATACCAATAAACTATTTTCACATCATAAGCATAACATATCAATTGAATATAAAATGAAAAAGTCAAAACACAAGTGATTAGCGACGTCGTAAAATTGAAAATTACGTTTGAGGGATCAAATATTTGGTTGTCCGTTGACAATAATTTATAACAACCTTCCTATAACATATCAAAATTATTATTCTCTTCTGCTTCATTTTTTGCGTTTGAAAATATCGTAAATCTGATTTTATTTGTACAGTTGTCGAAGCACTACATTAGTGATCTGTAATTTCGGAACCCATTTCAGCTGTGCGATTCTCGGAAAGGTAATTTAGATGCCGGCAAGCTTTCTGTCTTTTTGCCGTCGATTACAAAACCATATTCGGACAACCTTACGGTCCAGATTTACTTCAGCGGCAATCTGCGCGATATCCTCGCTTTTTGGTTTCTTTTTTAACATAAAATGTCGCTCAAGAACTTCTTTCATTGTAGCATCGAATGTCACTCTCTTTTTACGTTTTCGAATGCCACCATCAGTGACTTTTTGAGTAGCATCAACCAGCCACTGTTCAAGCAGTCTCTTTAGGACATTGGTCTTCTTCGAGCTAAGTTGTAGTCCTTCAAAGCGACAGATCGTAGTCTGACTGTACATGCTTCCATACCATGTACCAAGCGCAATACCAACTTCCTCTTGAGTGAAACCCAAGGCAATACGACGTTGCTTGAAGAAATTTACAAATGACTGCATATGTTCAATACCACAAGATGCAGGGGCTGTAGGAAATTGTGAATAAAGCTTTACATCCACTTCAGGAGATGATGGGTCAACCAACTCTTCAGTTTCACTTTTTTCCAAAGCATCAGGCATATTGATAATTTCTCTACTAGCTGGCAGTGTACCATCATGTGGTAAACCAGTAGATGTTGCTCCTGATGTTGTATTAACAAAGCCAATTTGATGTTCTCTAACATGTGATGTACCATCATTAGCATTAAAAACATTAGTTGTCCCTCCAGGAGTTGTAACATTTTGAGATGTGACAAGATTAGGTTCTACCTGGGCTGAAGATGTGCCTTCATTGGAGGTGGACAAGTTGTGAATGGTCAGTATGGAAGGCTCTTTAACAATTTCATGATCTTTGCTGGCAACTGTAACAAGATCGAGTAACTTGCTTTGTGGTAATACAGAATTACATACTGATGTAATTCCAGGCATTAATGTTGCTGTATTACAAGTGATGTTAATGACTGCAGTGGTTGCATTGACATCAAAGTTTACAGAAGAAGTGACAGCAGAATTCTTTTGTACTTCTTGTTGTTGAACAAAGTTCATAAGTAATTCCTTAGCAAGCAATTCTGATGATGAGCTCTCCGTACCTTGAGTATTTAGGGTATCAGGTGTTAGTGAAGGATTTGAGGAGACATTCATCTGGCTAGTATCCATTCTTTATTTCATACTATATCAAAAGACAATATTTCAAAATTATTAAAACTAATCTTTCTACCACTCCCCAAAACATCATATTTGTTTGCTTGCCAACCATGTACATTTAATGATGCAAATGAGCAATTGCAACATTTCCTTATTACTATGCAACATGTTACTTCGAAGGGCAAATGTGGTGACTGGTGAGCTCCGAATAGCAGAAGTCATCGCCTGCTAAGATTGCGCAAATTAAGTTAAACAAATAACTTACCGACAACTGATTACGCAAAATTTGTTTGAAACACAAATATAAAATCACAAACCTTCGATTGCAAATTGCTGTGAAAAATTATTTCTGCGCAATCGATCCACTAGATTTCAAATTGTATATTTAAGAGTACATCATGAATATTACGCGCTTGCAAGGAGCATTCAAGATCAGTGAGAACTGGACCTGGATAACAATAAACGCGCCTGCAATACTCTGTGCCAATGCGACAATACCGTGGCCCTATTTCATGTCATGCAAATAATGAATAACGATAGGCGTGTATAAGTCTCAACAACAGCGAACAAAATAAAAAATTGCGTTGAAAACGTAAAGAAATGTCTTTATTGTGCCATTATTTACTCATTTCAACGTTTACGCAATCCGGATGTTTACACTTAAAAATGTATGGTTTGAAGAACAACTTCTCGGCTGCTTACACTTGTTCATACTCATAACTCACTTTTCATTTTTTATCACAATTAAGATTACTTTTCATAAAGATTATCGGCAAATTTTGAGTTCCAAACACATATAATATTAACATTTACAAGAACAAACCAAGTAGAAGTTTGAGTAGAACAAGTCTCACAAAACCATATGCTTTGATCAAAAGACTAGGAACAACAAAGGCAGTAAAATATGAGCGATTGAAGTGTCCACGCTTACATTTATAATTCCCAAATAAAGCTCAAAAACACATTTCATAATTGAGTATCATGCTAACAATTCTGACAGAATGAATTTCAAGCAAACACAACAAAAACAAGCTACTCTTACGTAGCTACTAAGTTCGTACGTTGTCTTTTACGGGTACCGGTTGACTGCATTCAGCACAATTTAAAATCCGAAAGACAATTTCTCTTGAAACGATAATGGTTAAACTTACATTTAAATAAAAAGGGCAGATTGAATTAACAAAAGCCAACTACTGCCACCAATTGGACCATTTCAGAGTGCACTTTAGCGTCAAAGCGCTTCACAAGTCGTAGTTTCTTCTTCGTCATAATCAACGTCGCTATTTCCCTTGCCACTGATTTAACTCGTACCATAACTCGCCCATTTTCGGTGACATACTGAAGTAAAAACTAAGAAAAATTGCCATACGACCGACCTGTTAACCAAGGTTGTTTGACGAAAATGGAAATTACAATTATATCCTCTGGAATATTAAACGAGAACTCGAATTCAAATGAGGAAATTTGTTTCTATTTGCATACATCAAAGCTCCCAAATAAATTCAGTTTGTGTAATTACACATACGATGAATATTTTTATAAAAATAAAACACACATGTAAGTTGTGTTTTTAAGCGCTCGAAAGTTGCCAACACGAAAACATCTTTGATAGAATGTATAACAATTATGGCGCTTAGTCGCGATTGGAAGCAACGAAAACTGAACACGAAGAAGAAACAAGCAAAACAAAATAACGCAGAATTCATTTATTGTACCGAATAAACAGTTACAAATTAAAGGAATACAAGCCAAAGAAATGAAGAAAACAAATAAATTTGAAATTATCTTACTGCGTTTAAATATATGTACAAGTTGTCGTCTTTTCATTTACTTAAGACGTTGCCTTTTAATTCGCCAATGCATAATTCTATAGACACAAACTCCAAGTTACATAGCTCAACAATAAAAACAAGTCACAAGTAAAGGTTAACATTGTTCTGCATGAACTGTAATACATATTATTTACAAGATTTTAAGCTTCAGTTAAAGGCATAAAGTTCTGAAGACTACATTGAAATTGAATACTTTGCTGTATTAAAATGCTTCTCCCGACAAAATTAGAATGATGAAAGTTCGTTCTAATTCTAGTTAAAAGTGCCAATTTTTTCGCCACAATGGGATGGCTCTTTTGAACATAAGACTTCATAAAAAGTACAGCATATGTACGATTTTAAACAGTGTTTGGCACAGACATCTGATGATGCGCCATTATCGCACCTTGAGGCGAATGAAGGACACTGACTGCATCTTCGGGACGAACAACCGCCGATGTCATTCGTTTTTCTTTCTGCCTTCGATTGCAGAACCACACTCGAACAACCTCTTTATCCAATTGTAAATTCATAGCTAATTGTTGAATCTCGTTCGCATTTGGCTTTGACTGCTTACAAAAATGATTTTCCAATGCTCCCTTCACCTGAACATCGATACTCGTACGCTTCTTGCGTTTACGGCCAGTCGCTGCGATTTTATCTGTCGTTGTCGGAGCCCCAGTTGTGTTGTCAGCTTCTTGAAGCCATTGCTGTAGAAGAGGCTTCAATTTGCACATATTTTTGAAGCTTAGCTGAAGAGCTTCGAATCGACAAATGGTCGTTTGACTGAATACATTTCCAAACAATGTGCCCAAAGCCAAGCCAACATCGGCTTGAGTAAAACCAAGCTTAATACGTCGTTGTTTGAACATTTTCGCAAAACGTTCCAGGTCATCAGAAGTCGGTGTGTTGTCCAAAGACATTGGACTTTCTGAATCGGCTACCATTCCCTGAGGTAGGCCTGCTTGGGTGACAGGAACAACAGTTAGTTGAGCCGTTTGATCACGAATCTGAGGCGAACCAGGATGAGTGGGAAGTTGCAAAGTCGTTTGCTGTACATTGCCGTTCAACGTCGCAAAGTTTACATGAGGTGATAGGATTGATGGATTTATCTGAATTCGTGTGTGCTCTACCGGAGCCATAGGTGAATGAGTGATGGTAGTCCATCGTGCTGGATCAATAATAACATTTGCGCTATTTGCCAGGGCACGAGGATTTTGCTGCTGCAATGCTGAACTTGAAGTTATAATACTCCCATCTTCCCGAATGATAGGTTTCATATCGCCCGAAGTACTCGGTGGAACAGACGTTGGCCATCCAATTGAATTCCCTTGTTGATCCGTAACAACCCATTGCTGTGGAGTTATTAATGTTGTATTTGGCGTAGTAAGCGTAGTAAGATTAGGAGTTATTCTACTTTCAATCATTTGTGGAGAATGTGTTTGTGGACTGAGACTTTCGTAGGATTTACTCTCCTCACGTATGTATGTGATTGTTGTCGAAGGGCCCATGGATGTCGGTGGAGAGCTCATGCGAGTTTGATGTTCAGCAGCCGAGGATGTAATCACTGTTGTTGCATATGTATTAGGTGCATGACTAGCCGACGCCGCCATTTTCACTGTCTCTCAAGTGTTCTTTATTCAATGAGGTGAAATAAGCTGACGAGATGCGGTGCGAAACACAACGTGTTACACCGCGTGTGATGATTAAGACTTTTGATTGGCAAACGTCGCGTTGACTGACATCCTATTAAATGTTAATTTATCACTCGACACGCCCGCTCTTACACGATGATTGGTTAGGTCAACTCGTCAGCCAATCAAAATACACAACAAGACAAAGGGCGCCAAGGTTATGGAAATGACGTTACCATTCTCGCGTTTTCATTGGCCATTCCATTCAGCATTCATTTCCAACGCCAAAACTCATTACTCGGATTATATACGAACTTTGTGAGTCGTGCTATTGAAATGAAAACAAAACATTAACATTAAAATATGGAAAGCGTTAGTTCGCCCACTCATATGTTACAGCATTCAATTGACCGTAGTGTGGGAAGTAGGCATTTAAATAGCAGTTTATACGTTGACCACGGTAAATGGTAGTAAAATGTTTTAAAAGTGAAATACTTCTCGTCTATTTGAACAGTTTTACATAGTGTTTACACGGTGTTTCTTATTTCAACAAACTGGAGGTCAAAGGAAGTTAGGGATCTTAGGTAATTAGCATTCAACATCAAAACATAGGAATTAGGAAATTATAAACAGTAAACACACTTACAAGGTTCATACATATAGAGTGTTTCACTGTCACCTAAGTAGGCAATGTTGGTAGAAAAACCCATATAGTTGATGGGATTTATGTGGATTTCAAGCTCTGTTGAGCGTCAGCCCTTTGAAGTTGCCTATCCAACATGGCCGCTTGACGTCACATGAAAACACACCATAGGAAGTTATCTTAGATAAGTGAGAAGAGAAATCCATATTATCCATACAATACATTTTACATTTGAAGAAAATAAATGGCGATTTTTAAGAGAGAATGCATTTTTCGAATTGATTATTCATGGCACTGTCTTTAGACAACATGACCTACAGACTACTTTAATTCTATACAGACACACACAACACTTTAATTCTATACAGACACACACAACACTTTAATTCTATACAGACACACACAACACTTCAATTCTATACAGACACACACAACAACTTTAAAACTCAATTTCTGACAACAATATAATGCACCTTTGCCTTTGTAAGATTTTATCATATTGAAATGACACAATCCAGTTATGACAAAGAAAATGTGCGCTTTTCTCCAATGAAAACCGTTCAAAGAGCGAACGTCAGTCATCTCAACACTGACAACACATTTGTGCACATGTGTTGAGATTCTCCAGAGCAACGTGTTTCATAAGTTGGCAACTGAATGCCTTCTCTTACTACGAGTTAGAAAATCAACAATACCAAAAAGATTTATGTACAAACACAGCGTATCGAGTTGTGTATAGTAATGCTTATTTTGGCTGCTTGAAAAAAGGGCGCTAAGAAAGTTTAAAGAGCATATCGCTCAGGAAGTTCTCGGTGGCATGTACTTCTTATTGACACTTATGGAGATTTAAAGCGCTGAAATTTTATGCAAATTTGTCAACGACAGCTGATGACAGATTTTTTAAGCAGAACGATTAGCAGCGTTTATTCACAACGTGTCGCACGCCTTTCTTTCGTAAAATCAATTTCATAGTTTCCTATGCTAATGCATCAGGCCATCAACTTCTGTTTGTTCAGGACGGACTACCAAAGAATGAAAACAATAAGATTTCTTAAGCAAAACATTCTTGTTTCCTTCACTAAATTTCAACAGTGACATCAAAAGTAAGATTTGAATTCCGAATTAAATAGATAAAGGCATGGATCAAATTCAACAATGAAGAAACAAATTAATTTTAAATCGTCGCCATTTTTTGGCATGACCGGCAAGCAGCCCCTTGATAAACGATGGACCCCCATGCATGGTTGAAATAACGGCCCTGGAACGTGGTCATCTTTATTTGTTCTTCTACTTCAGTTTAAAAACTTATTCCCATTTCACAGTTTATATAAATGACACAAGTCCAGCAATGACATTTTCGGCAAATCGATAAACACACGAACAAAACGTCGGCATACTATTTCCAATATAACGTCTTTCACCGGCAACATTTAAGCGAATCTTGTCAGAAGGAATAGCGACAAGGGAAATATGAGTGTTTTAACGTTATGTGATGTATTAAAGATTTATCACGTTTTCAACGAGCTCTATACAGGCAACGTAAGTCAGAAATATATTAAATCTCAAACAACAACCTCGTCGACGGATGGACACAACGTATATCACACCTAAAACAAATTACTCGACTGGAGGACACTTCGCCAGTCGCACATGCCATGAGTTAACACAGATCATATCATTCAGGTTTCGGGGAAAAGTTCGGTTCTTAGAAGTAATGTCGACATCACATCAAAATAGTTGCAAATCGCAGCAAAAAATATTCTTTCCGCGTCTAAAATATTTTCAAGCGAAATTCCACCACGAGTTTTATATGAAACAAAGAAATAAAATCTCTTTATTTCGCTGTTCACACAATGTAGAGCAGCCGTTCAAGAGAAGATAGAAAGGAGTCCAACTGATTGGCGTTTTCCACCCCAAGTCGTGATAGGAAACGAAATTTGTCTAAAATCCTAAGCAGCTGATATTGACTAATCGCAAAATGCGTGCCCACCCAATCTTTGAAAATTCTGCAGTAAAATCTGTGGCATTATAAAGAAAACGAGAAAGCTATCTTACATGTTCGACTCCACAAGACTCCTTGCCGCATCCTCCACATTTTAAACGAGTTTAATAAACGCTCGAAAAGCTTTCCTACCAACGATACATGTGCTGTGCGTACATCAAGCGACAAAGTGAATTAAATTCAAATGACTCAATGATGTATCATATAAAAGAGAAGATACTTTGCAATTCACATTTGTTCGAGAAATTTGCATCTATACATATACATAGGCTTGAGTGTCCACAACCAGAACAATATTTTGTTTGGCTAACCGCGTTAAACGTTGTTATAACAAAGCAAGTGAATAATATTTACGAACTTTGGAAGACGAATTGAGCTTTTGTATGAAGGATAGCAACTGGACGAATGGTGGTCACGGACATAATGAAGTGGAAAAATAAAGTTTAGAAGAAGTTATCTAAGAATCTTCTAAAGATAAATTTTAGACTTCAAGCTTCAGGAATGAAGTTACTTTACCGTAGAGATGTTGGAGATGTGCTTTATTTTCACAATGTGCATGACTATAAACCTGATATAAAGCCTTAACATGTGTCAATACGTCGATAGTATAAATTCCACTCGTTGTTATAGTCGTCGTGCAAGGTATATCATGCAGAGATTGGTAAAATTTCAAAGAGTGGTGGTCAGGTGGATGACGCGATAAAAGAACTCTACAAAAATAACTTTCCGTAGCAATCACAAACACGAGAAGAGAATAGACGCGGTTCGATCAAACTATGAATGGCACATCGAGGGTTTTTAATTAATTTGTCTTCTGTTTTTATATCTTTCCCACAGTCCAAACATTGCAATTACAATTACACGCATATTCCTCATTTATTTATTCTTTCTCTTAAGCAGGATCTTACTTTGATTTTCGTATATATCCTTCCGGGATTGAATTTTAGCAAGTTGAAATGTATATAAATCCAGTTGCCTAGAACATGCAGCAAATCAAACTTTCAAAAGAATCTTCTAGCAAACACAAAATTTGACTTACAAGTTTTATTAAAATAACAAGATATATCATTCCAATGCACAGGAGCCTGTTAAAAAGTTTGCTGTAGTTGATGTGGTAAAACCTTACACACACACCTCTTGATGAAGAAATATAGTTTTAGGGGAGATTTTATTGAGGGGTGGCAGGGAGGGGGTGCACCCCTCGATGAGCTAAAATAATTTAATAGCTTATTAATGAAAGTGTTGTTCTACTAAGATATTTCCAAATAATGCAATCCTCCCTAAATGCGATCCTGTATTCACCTTTCATGTATAAGTAAATGGTAAACTGCATCATATGTACTTGTTCATGTGTACAATTGGATATATATGGCTTAGGTATTTTCTAAACATTAAAAGAGCTTTAGGTATATTTGCACTTTTAATATAAAGCCTTCCAATGTTATGATAGTCATTCTAAATGAAATAAATGAAAGAATACCAAGGGTGTGCTTAATTAATTCACTACTTTTGCTAAAACATCCTCTTTCAACTTTGGTCCTATATTTCTACTAAAATCAAACCATATTTAACAATAGAGGTTATTATTTTCTATGTATGAACATAAGAATTTATGTATTGCATTCTAGCTCACTTTGAGCAATCAAATGATACACAATTTCAGGAAACCATTTATGTTAGACAGGCACTAAGGGTTGTCAAAATTTCCCTTATTTCATACTTTGGTTCAAAGGTCAATGGTATATGAAAATCATGTTAGTATAGTCAAAAACGTGATTTGCATTTTCTGCGCATAGTTTCATTTATTATTTTTTGAGAAACATTACGAATACTTTACTTGGCTCGAGTTGCTTCTGACATATAAAATTGCTTTGATTTAAACAAGGGTAACTAAGGTCTAATATAATAATTGACTTTGTATAGCATAAACTTGCTTTGAATTAGGATTTCTTTAATTTAACCTACTACAAATTTCCAACAAAAAAAACACAAATACATTTCCATTTCAGGTGTGGAAAAATAGCCCAATCACGTTGTACTTCTGACTCTGTTTCTGCAAATAGGAAATATCTTACCTTTTTAAATGAATTTTCAAAAGCTCCGTCATTTCAGCAAAATTCTTCTAGCTTCTTTTTGTTATTTATTCACAAGATTCCTCGAAGAACTTTTTCTCTGAGCTATTTTCGCTCTTTCAAATTTTTTATGCCTCGAGGCGTCTCTTGACTCTTGTAGTTGCACGTGGTATAGATAAAACAGAGTAGCTGATCATGTGGTAGAAATTCTAATAGTTGATTGGTCAAAAAGAGTACCCAATTGGTAATCTCCTTTGTTTGCAAGGGGAAATCCTGAACAGGACGTTCTGTTTAAACAATTTCCAGGAAGAACACACTTACATAATTAATTCTGGCACGTATAGTTTAAAATTTTGTTTTTGCACAATAACAAAACACAACTTAATCAGAGAATGAATTCCTTTTTACTTCTTTTGAACGAAATCAGCCACGAATTGACAAATGAACAGCTTAGCAGCCTCATTCACATCTGCAACATTCCAGGAGGAATTCGAAGTCAAATGAACGATGGTCTAGCTCTATTTCGATACTTGATGACCCAAGACTGGATCAGTCCTGAAAGGATCGGAAATCTGCGCTACTTGATAAGAAAAATGCGACCTAAGCGAAGAGATTTGGTGAAACGCATCGACGATTATATAAGGAAGGAATTTCAAACGGACGACATTCATACAGTGCTCGGCGATTTCACCGAATCGTATGAACATATGACATTGCAACCATTAGACAGTAACACCCAAGCCAATGATGTTATATGCCATATAAATTGTGGTTGTGTTCAATGTGCGTGCAACTATATCCCAACTTGCTATACTTTCGTGATTGTCTTACTTATCCTTGGCATATTGATTACTGTTTTGTTTTGGTATGCGAAGGTTCCACAGGTAACTCACGTGATCGAAACAAACTCAAAGCTCAAGAGTGTTGGGAAATATATAGTCATCCTGGAAGTATTCCTACTTCTTCTAGTTATTGTGCTACGATATCGTTCAAAGATTTTTTCACTTAGAATATGTAGGTGTCACGACAAAAATGCACGCATCCAGGAAGACGAAACTCGAGCTTTTTACAGGCCAACTAGCTCTATTCGAGGTTTCTATGGACAAACCATTACAGTGAATCAGATAGTGCAATTTGCGTCTTGCATTCTACCTTTGGTGCAATGTCATTGACAATGGAAAATGAGGAAATCTCCTCACAGGATGCATGAGACATATTCATATTTTCCCTAACAACTTGGACATGCAACAATGCTATCCATTTCATTCTAATTAGTTTCCCAAGGTATCAAGAAAACATTTCCTCAGCTAGCTGAAAATGACCTTTTCTTTTCTGGGTTGATTCAATTTTAATTGGTCTGAATTAAAATTACTTATGATTATTGAGTAAGAATATACATGAATAGTCAATGTTAACACAGGTCTTTGAGATATTTTGTGAATTAGTTAAGTTTCAAGAACTTCTCCAGCTCTTCATTTTCAATGGCAGAATCAAACTGTTCATAGTTCTAAAAAAATTCATTGTAATGTACTGTGTAGAAAGCTTTCATATAGAATTAATTAAAAAATTGTAAAAAATTGTAGATTGCATGTGAGGAACTAAGATTTCAATTTAGTATGTAAGTAGAATTTTGAATGTTTGTGAAAGTTTATTATTGTTGATTTCAGTTAACTTATCAAATGGCGGTTGCCAAGTTACTTACTAATGTTGCCAGTTACATTTCCAAATATGGAATATTCGATATGAACTTGTCAAATTGAGTTGGCAAGTTGTGTACTTGAGTACTGAAGTTGTGAACTTGAGTACTGAAGTTGTGTATTTGAGTACTAAAGTTGTGAACTAAAGTTGCAAAGTACTGGCAAACGTGAAAGGTCTTTGTACCCTATAGACATTTGGCAATGAATCCGTTCAGTAAGCAAGGAAAAGCTTCACCAATAGAAGTAACAAATGAAATACTTGAAATGTGGTTAAATAACGAGCGTTTGACAAACATTTCGAAACAACTAAATCTACCGTCTAAGACTATATCAAATATAATAGATCTATGGGTAGACACTGGTTCTATTGCACCTCGCCAGAGCGAACGTGATGTTCGAACCATGCGTACAGATGATGTTATTGCATACACTGAATATCTAAAAATTAATAAACCATCTACTTAGACTAAAGAGATTCAGCAACACCTAGAAAATAACAAAGTTTGCCTTCCAGCAAACATACCTAGCAGGTCATCCATTAGTAGAATTTTGAATAAAGATCTTGGTTACTCTTACAAAATAATAAGTCAAATTCCTCGAGAGACAGAACAGCCGGATGTTATGGAGAAGTTAGAAGCTTACGTAGCAAATATTTCATTGATTGATTGCAACCGTATGCATTTGTTTGATGAGTCGCCTGTAGTTGTTACAAGTGGCAACAGACGTTGAGGGTACAGTATGCAGGGACTCCTGCATTTAAAATCCAACGATACTCTTCTAGTGCCACATTTAATGTAAATTTATTACATAATGTAAACGGCGTATCGCATTATAACACTCTTAGAGGGCCGTCAAACAGATTAAAATTGCTAAAGCTTTTCCTTGCTTACTGAACGGATTCATTGCCAAATGTCTACAGGGTACAAAGACCTTTCGCGTTTGCTAGTACTTCGCAACTTTAGTTCACAACTTCAGTACTCAAGTACACAACTTGTCAACTCAAGTTGACAAGTTCATATCAAATATTCCATATTTGGAAATGTAACTGGCAACATTAGAAAGTAACTTGGCAACCGCCATTTGAAAAGTTAACTGAAATCAACAATAAATGCACTCTAATGTCTTTAGTGCCGTAACTACAAAAGGAGTTTCGAGGGTACAACACAGTGTGCTAATTAATGGTGCGCAATGTGCAATTTGCACATCATTTTAGCTAAAATGAAAACAATTGCACATCAACTGCATGTCTTACTCGATATTATTCTTCTTTTAACAGAGAGTAATAATGCATAAAAGTTTTGACAAAACTGACAAGTTTGTAAATAAAAGGTGAATATACTTTTTAACAAAATATCAAAAATCAAGTTTTAGAACTTTTACATTTATAGCACATACCAACAAAATGATGAATTGCTTGTTTCTATGAATAAAGTTAGTATAACGTACATGGCTTACATACATGTACTTACCCCAAGATAGGTATCGCCCTTGAAAATTTGGGGAGGGAGAGTTCCCTCACCTGCACCCTCCCGCATCTTTTCCTTCGCACCTTCTTCTAAAGATATGTCCACTTTTTCAAACTCAATGTGCTTTCCAGAAAGGACCATATCAATTCTTTGCTGTTGTTTCTTAATCTAGGATAATTGAAATACATGAAATACAACTCAGTCTACATAATACTTGATAAATTGAAAGGCATACAACCAATCCGTTTTAAAATTTAAACAAACAACCAACGCATTCCTTCATTATCTTCTTAAAATGTCATTTAAACACGAACACGCCCACAATAAAGATTCGATATTTTCAACTCATGTTAGCGATACATTTATACCCTCAGGAAAACTGGCATCGCGCATTTCTATCTACATTTATTGAAAATGACGTTAGGTTGGTATGGGTTGTTAACGCATTGACAACGAAATATCAGTGTAAAAGAGAAGAAATTTCGATAATCTCACACAAACTTATACTTTTCGATCATTTTAAAGACATGCCTTATGTAGAATAAATTAGCAAAATTGTTGACAAACCTCTTTGCTGCTCGTTACAGAGGTAACATACACAATGATTTTACCGCTCATCTTTAATTTTGATTCAGAAATGTGATTTTTATTCAAGTATTTCTTTCATACATTTCAAGTTTGGCTTGCTGTCAAAACACTTGACTTGACAATATGCACGAGCCTGCGAAAGAACAAAGGAGTCAGCGGAAAATATTTCTTTGGGAATTACTTTATGTGACTCCCCCTGAAGAGTGACGAGTATCATTGTGTTGTTACAAAGGAACACACTTAATACCTTCTTCTTATGCAATTTTACCCATACTTATGATACTTAGCCATACGTTGGACACCTTAACAATGTTTAGCCATACTTAGACCACCTTAGCTATTCTTCAAAATAAAAATCAAGTATGCACTGTTGAGCCATGAGTTCCACCATGTTATCCACCAATGGGATCAGATTTGTCAATTTAAATTACTTTTAGTAATTTCTCCATTTTTTTGTACTTATTTGATAAAGTTTTGTTGTCAATCACTTAATGATGCAAGGTGATTTTTTCATTGAGTGATTGATTGATTTTTTGATTTTTTTTCATTGAGTGATTTTTTCACTTGAGGTGATTTTTTCATTTTTTCATAGAAAAGCACCAAAAAAACTGTTAATTTATAAAATTCGGAAATAAACAAGTTTGATTAAAAGATGGTGAGAAGAACAGAAACGTAACCAACCGCCAAGATAAATGACCAAAATCAAGGAGTTTCTTGCTAAGTAATACATGTTACGAGAAGTGCAGATAGAAGCAGATAAACAACACCAGCAAGGCACTTCCTAAAACTTTTTTCGACCCAGATTGGGTTCCAACCAAGAACTGGTTTCCTTGCAAATAAAGCAAAACTTTTACAACACAAACATGGAAAAATTAACAAATCATAAAAATGAGCATATAAATTATATACAATTAATTTATTAACATGGCTAATTACTTCAGGGTATCAATTTCCAATAATTATAAACGGGTCTGCTGAAATTTTAATTGAAAGCAGGTATCCCACATTAACTGGTTGGCAAACTCACTTTATCACAACATAAGCTAATCGCAAGATGTTGTGAAATGTCATTACTCTACTCCAAAATATTGGCATCCAAAGTTCAAAATGATGTTTTGACTGACTTCTGAAGTCAAAATCCTTAAATTTTGAAATTGATTCAAAATGTTTCTGACACCTAAACAAAGCAGTAAAGAAAATAGCCTCTAACGGATGAAGTTACAATATATGATTTTTAGGTCTTTAGATTAGTTAAATACTATATTAACCTTCGGGAGTTGCAAACAAATTTAGCAAGATGATATTTTTTGTTGAACATCATGCTCCTCCAGGACCTTGATTGCTTCAATAACAGTTGCTCCAGTATCTTAATGATAATAATAATAATAGAGAAATAATGTTTACAACTTCAACAGATATTATCATTGAATTGAATACAACTAGAAGACTACCTCTTTTCAAAATTTGAAGCCACTAATTCAACTAGCTTCAATTTTTTCACAGACAGCCAAAGAAAGTTTAGTTTAACAATAAGCTAAATGCCGGACTAAAATTAAAATTTCGCTTCATTCAAGTTGAAGTATGTTTACAGAAAGCAAGGCTTCAGTTGTGTATTTAGTTCAATTGTATATTCTTTAGTCTCAATGACAACTTACTCAATAATGGGTACATCAATAAAATTTGTCTTTTCTTAACATCAAATGGGAACTTTGCATAGTAAACCTGCAACAAGGTACTTCTCAATATCAATATATAGAAAATGATGATCAAAATTAGTTGTCAATGACCCATACCTTTGGTTTTGATGTACTTGTCTCCGATTGAATGAGAATTTTTCCAATGCGAATAGAACGACAGCAATCTCTGAGACCTTTTTCCATAGCCTCACCTGAAAATTTTAGTAGCATTTGTCGGACATAGAAAGACATGAAAGAAAAACATGTCAGACTGAGAGTTGGGAAAGGAAAAAAGATGAGTAAAGAGGAATCGGTGGCTGTGGGGTAATGGGTATGATGGGAATAGAAATGAAAAAATAGGAAAGTGAGGAAGACATACACACCACTTCTCATAATACTGACACCACAATTTCCTTTCTTGAATTGTAGACCATTATAAACACCTCCTAAACAAAATGAGAGTATAACGTATGTATCTATTATAATCACCACTATAACATAAATATCCATTATAATCACAACTATAACATAAATATCCATTGTAAACTTCACTATAACTAATATCCATTATAGTGACTAGTATATCATAAATAAAAATATTCATACATAATCAGCAGTGCTCAAAGTTCCCATACCTGTAGGAGTTGTCACGTTCAATTCTTCATAAGATAATTGATTAAGACCTTCTTCAACCACTAAACGTATCTAAAATGAAATTTTAAGTACAAAGATCCCATGATTGAATGAATGTGATGCAGTTTAATGCGTAAACTTCCACTAACCAAACGGTCTGCATAAAACACAAAATCAGCTCGATCAGTTTTTCTGTAAAATTAAGCAAGGAGAATGATAAAATTGTGAAGTAAATTGCCTTTTGGTGATTCGGTGAAGGAAACGCAACTTACGGATCACGCAATGTAGTTTGAAGTGCCCGAATTTGATCATTCATTCTTATTCTAATGAGCCTTGGTCCAAAATCTTCAAATTGAGGTATTAATTCAACAGAGCCATTAAGAGAAGAGCCTGTGCATCCAGCATACTTTTTCTTACGGATTTTTTTCCCAACTAAGTGGCCGTCACTGTCGATTTTCTTACAGTCACCATTCAATGTTGTATGGCCGTTGGCCGCCATATTCGTTAACCATGTGTGGAACTTGCGCAGTCGCGCGAGAGATCCTCGCATTAACAAACTACAATTTACTTTAATATACTTTCAACGAAAAAGAACACACTTCTTTACATTACATGGTTTTCATTGAAAATCTTTACAAACGATGATTGACCATCTTAAGAGTTCTACTAAAATTATTAGAAAAATAATTACAGATTATTCATACAACGGACATGATGGAAAACTACACAATAGATAAATACAACATCAGCTAAAATTCAACCCAAGAAATCAAACTACAAAATTTTATCATAAACTGCACTGAAAAAATAAGAAAAGATTCGTTACTAAAAGCACAGGTATCCGCAGTGCGATATGCTTAAAAAAAGTCCTCTATAGGAGCTGTCTCTGTTAAAATATTGCGTTTTGAATAACTTATGTTTTGTTAAGATGAAGTTTTCAATTCTCTTATTTAAGTCTTGGTTCCTTCAGCAACTAAACCATCTACATTACTTTGTTTTCATTTAGGTCGTTCAATTTAGTTATGACATTGTATTTATTTCGCCATTCAGAAAGGGATTCAGGAGTAACTTCGGATAACAACAATTCGTCAATTTCATCAATACTTTGCTCCTTGTCCTAAAAAGAAATTGTTTACAATAAGCGTGTTGTGAAAAAGTATCATGAAAGACTCCTTTGGACTAATGCTAAATTAAAGGTAAGCGTACCTTTAACGTTTGTTTTAAAATACGCAATTTTACAACTTTATCCATAATTTCTGACTTAGAGTTGGCGGATAACCTTCTTAACTTCAACTCAGGCGATACATCTGAACCGTCTAAGCCAATGTTTGCTTTTTAATAGAATCAGCAACTTCTTGAAAATCATCCTTACCTCCCTTATCGGATTTTGAGGAGTAGCTTGACTCTTTTATCTCTTCGTCCATTTTTATGGAAGTGTCTAATGACTTCGTGGAACTCTCGTTACTTGATTTAGTTATAATATCGGAATTCCCATTTACCAATATGTTTTTGTCTTTTGTATCTAAAAACACATCTTGACCAGCGTCTTCGCCATAGTTTTCTGCGATCTTTAGTATGTTTTGACCGTTGGTTTTTTCCTCCGCCTTACTTGGTTCAGGATCAACATTCTTTCCGTTAACGTTGGTACCTTCGTTCGAAACAATGGCAATGGATTGCCTTTTTAAACCAACGTGATCATCATCATCATCATGGTAGTCAAAACGGATTCCTGAAAAAAATTTTAAAACATTTTTTCACATGTTATCTAAATATTTTAGTTAGTGTAAAGGCTATTCTCCTTCTCTGTTATCAATCACTACCTAGACTGACAAGCGTTATCCTACTTCATTGTACCATTTACTTAATATTGTTACTATACCTGCGAGAACGGAGGAAGTTCTCGGTCTAACGTTTGATGTAGAGATCCTGAGAGACGATGAATCGCTCGTCTTACGTTCACGTTCAGTGGATTGGTTTATCTGTCCGAGCCCAGGCTCTCTGAATTTCCGCTCGCCTCGTGATGATATATTCAAGATATTGATCCAATTTTCCCTTTCCAATTCATTGTCTGCATAGAAAAAATAGCCCTTTCCTCCTTCCTTTTCGCACTTGAAACAACTAAAAAGTTAAGCAAACATAAAGGATGAAACAATTACCACTGAGCGTTTTCACTGACAGCCATGTTGGTAGAAAAACCCATGTAGTGGAAAGGTTTGTTGAATCTAATGCTCTCCTTAAAATTGGAGCTTTGAGGAAACCAACATACCAACATTTATCGTCAGTGTATGTAAACATAATGTGGTCAGGGCATATGAAATATGCAAAATCATTTCATCTTGTAAACCTTACACATCAACATGAACTAGAAAACTTCCATTGGATAAAAACAAAACTTTCTTTGTTGCAAGTAAAAAAATTGAATATTCTTCCCCATAGTCAGTTAATGCTTATGACAGGAAGAATAAGGATCTCTGGAGGTGACTATGGGATCACGCACATTTCTTGATGACCAATCTAAGGGATTTTTTCTTCTATCCAAACTGCTACCTAACATTCACTACAATACCATATCATATAAGTATGTGCGGGAGTTACTCCATCGACTTACAATGGTTTCTTCTGTTCAGGAGCAGGAGACATCTTGTATCCAGCTATCTGTATCATCCCAACAGCTTCTTTGTCAAATGCTGTTTTATAGTAGTATAGGTGATTGTCTTTTAACACACACCAGTGACGTCGCCATCTTGTTGGAGCCAATCCATGACCACCGCCTGAGCGAGTAAAAAAATAACATGATATAAATAAACAGTAACACTAACTCGAACGGTCATCTTGATAGTTGTTTCATGCATCGAGCCCTGATTACTACGATAGCACTCACTTTTCTTGGTCAACCATCCCTCTCTTTCAGCATCTCCAAGATCAATGCAAGATATTCGTTTGTTAGGTGCGCCATCTACTTGGCTCTTTTTCTCCCGTCGTCTAACACAATAAACCTCGACTTGCTTTGCACCTAAACAAATATATACTTGCTTGCATTACAGCTAACAAACTTTCGCCCGTAAGTCCAAACTTAATATTATATAACTGATAGCCACCCTGTATTCTTTTACATAAAGTAGCAGAATTCAGACTGATACGTAACGTAAACTAACTTGTTCCGCCAACAGTGACATTTTTCACGCTTCCAATTTTCATTTTTGGAAGATCGGGTCGCGTCGGTCTACTAGCATCTTTCTTTGCACTATCCTCTGAAAAATAATCAAAGACAAACATAGCAATTCATGTGAGAAAAAAGATCACGTATCATTTTGTTGGTTTCTCACCCTTTAGACCAGTTTCCACGTCATGAGACACCTGACGAATTTTTATCGTAGATTTGTCGGTGTTTTCTTCAACTGATGGCTAGAAATTGGCATATATTATCAGTTAGAAATTTCAAGGAAGTTATCACAAACAGCAACATGTAATCTTTTTTTACTTTGGATTTTGTCTCTGTCGTTTCCTTCTTGTTTTTAACATCTAACGCCACATTTGCAACAGCTTCGCCTACGGAGCAACCATCAAAATGTTTCTGTATTTTGTCACTTTAAAGTCCTTCAATGCTATTATTTTCAGGGTGTTTCATTATTTTGAATATAAATTTATTGTGTTGGAAAGTCCCCAAGATAAATATGCCAATTTAATAGCATTAATTACTTACCATGAACTTTTTTATCATCGCCATTCTTTACTATCTCTTTAACTTCAACAGCGTCTTCTTTCGCCTCACTCTTTAATCCTTCTTTATCCCCAGCTGTCAACGGAGCACCCTTGTCAACAGATGGCTTGCCCTCACTGACCTCTTCATTTTTGGAAACAACTGGAACATCTTCAACAACAGGCTTTTCGCCGTTTTTTTGTCCTTCAACAGACTCCGCTTGCTTTTTATCATTTTCTTTTCACTTTCCAGTTTTCTCACAAACTCTTGCGTTGTCACTGTCACTTCAGATTGCCCAGGTGACACACTTCCAGTTTCTTTCTCAACATTGACTTGTTGCTTTAATAGTCATAGCAATTATGAAATGAATCAACTTCATGCAAAAAAACTGAATTGTGATGCAAACTCACTTCCATATCAAGAGTTTTCACGTCATTTTCAGTTTGTTTTTCCACTTTCTCCTCGACATTATCTTCAATTATTGCTTCCACTTTGGATTTTTCTTCTGCAGCATTTTCATTTTCAATGGCCTGCATTTCCAAACTTGTTTCTTCCTTGATACCAGCCTCTTTAATCTCAACTCGAGAAGGACGTTCATTTGGGACCTTAATATGATCCATTACTACATTCATCTCACTCAAGGGGTGCCAGGTTTGTCTGGAAGTTTGTTCAAAGGTCCCTTAACAGGGGAGTTTCTTTAAGGTCAACGAAACTGAATCAGTTTTAGTTTTCATTAGACTGACAACATTCTTTTGTGGCCAAGCAATCTAGCAAAAAAACATCATTTCTATATACATAATGCTCAATACCACATTTGCAATAAATTTCAAGCTTTTTACCACACACTGTCCATTGACACTGACTATCTCATCACCACTTTTGATATTGCCATTTTTCCCAGCTGGTGACTACAAAAAAATGGCTTCAAAGCATGAAATGTCCTACAAAGGATACATTAAATTTCATCATAAACTTACATCTGTTGCCACAGAATTTACTGTATGTATAAGGTTGGATGTTGTGATCCCTATACCCTAAACATTCAACATTTATAGACAGAGTTCAATACTGGATTTGACTTTTTTCACTGAGTTTATTTTATATCATACCAATCCTTCGCCTTCTAAAACAAATTCTTCATCAACCAGTATCGGATGTTGCTTGAATACTTCATGTAAAGGTTCTTCATTTAGAAAGGTATCAAAGGACCTTTGAAGCTTGGTCAACTGACATGGAAGTAAATCATAAAACAGTTAAAATTGTGATTCTTAAATTGTAAACCAATTGCAACTAAAATGCTTACATTTTCCTTCAAATATTCTCGGTTTTTCAGTAAACTCTACAAAAAGCGAAATGATTTGTAATTAATAAGACAGTAATGTAATTAAAGAAAGGAAATATTCAAACAAGTCCAGGTAAAAGCTTCCATCACACCTCATCAGTCATATCACGAACTACTCGACAAATTGTGTCTTTAAAAGGCCAACATGCATTCATTTCTGAGAATGGAGATCTAAAAATAACAAGATGGAAACATGCTCTAGCAGGGATGCATTTACTGATAGGCTATGTGTGTGTAGGGGGAGGGGAGCCAATATCCAAGCCATTAAACAAAAACAGTTGTGACTTGTAGTAAATAAAGCGCACTTTCAAAAATATCTCCCAATGATGGTGTGAGATTATAGAAATATAACAAAAAAAGTCTGACATCGCATAGTAACACCTTTAAACTAGCCACCAAACTCTAATCAAAACTAAAGCACCACCCCCCATGAATTCATCCAAAAGCATTCTGTGCACAAGGCCTTCAAACAGGTGTTTTATTGATTGGTCAGCTGCTTCACACCTTAAAAGCCAAGACAAAAGCTTCTTTGCCAAATGATAAACACTAGCAGCCATTTTCATTGAGCTTTCACTAGTTCTTACATCCTGGTCACCCGCATTGGAACTTTCTTTCTCAAGTTGCTCTATCAGGCTCTTTGTTTCATTACTCACAATAATCACTTGACCATGAACTGTTTCACTTTGAAGACAAGACTCCTAAATAAGGTAGATGATAATGATGGTACCATTTATGGTTCCCATATTAACATAGCTCAATTTCCACACTTACAACTTCAACAAGACAATGAACTGCATCCAAAACAGCATTTTGATCAGCAGTGTTCTCTATCTGTGATTTCGAAACAAGAATTTTCAAACATTTAGGGATTTTTCAAACATTCAAAGGTATGAACTAACTAACATCAAGAAAAATTGTAAAACAAGTGATAATATTATACCGATAGTTCACTAAGGTATTCAACATTAATAGTGAGCAATGCCTTTCCATTAATCTCCTCTTCAATAAAACCTTCTGAGCTTGATTCAAACTGAGCTCCAAGACCTAAGGTAAAACAAAACACAGCAGAAATAAAAGAGAATAAAGAAAAGGAATCTTCTCGTTGACTTGACGATACTATTAAATGATAAACAATTCCATAGAACACAAAGCACATTAAATGAGCTCTTTGTATTTCGCTATTCATGCAAACGGGGCTTAATGTACCATACAAAGCACGAAATTACATAAATTTTTACGATAAACTGTTTTTACTTTCAAGCAGTTACGAACAATGCATAAACGCCGACAATAAAATTTGTGGAATTTCTTTCAGTGGTCTAGATGTTTCGCGAAAGGACAACACAAAACGACAGCCAATATTGCCATCATAATTTAATACCATAAGAGAGGATAATATCAACTTTAAGCTTTCCTATGTAAAACCGTATTATCCGAATCAACGGGGAACAAATTGCTAAAAGAATTTCGATTAATTTAGTAAGAACTTTGCACTCTCGAGGACGATTTCGTCCATAACTATGAAAAAATTTCCGAAGTACCAAATCAATAAATTTCGAGGTTTCACGTGTTGCTGTTATGAAGGATTACGTGTGACTTGGCAAACTTTAACAAATATTGATAATTCCTAGGACAGTTTGCAAGAGAATTTATTCGCTTAATTAAAAAGTTTGAGACCACAAAAGAAAGACAGGTGGTCGTTTGATTAAGCACAGTCAACCACGTCCTTAATATTCATCTAAAACATGTCGTAATTCTTAATGTAAAGTCGACGAGTTTAAAAATTTATCACGCACTTGTTATACCTTTGTGTACGTCAGAAATATGAATGGTAAATTGCTTTACCGAGTTAGAGGCGACAACGGGAGTTTAATTAACACATAAAACATGTATTAACGACTGTGAACAAGCTGCAAAATCGAACGTATTCTCAAAGATTCAAGAAATTAAATAAAAGAACCTTCACCATATTTTATCCGTACATATTTAATTTCGTGCCTTCCATCACGAGAAGAAAATTACTAGTAGTCCTTCGTTGTTCATCTTTAGGCAAATACATTCATTAACCCTTACCTTGTATCCAACGAGCAACATCATTAGGAGTCCAACTATCGATATTTAGAGAAGCCATTCAGCAATATTGCAACAACAACAAATTCCTCACGACCATCAACTATTTGTCATGCACTTTGTAATTTCTCCGTCACCTCTCTCGCTCGCATTTCCGGAGACTGGGCCACGTACTTAAGTAACTTCCGGTACCAGAGCCAATTTGGGCAATTGTACAACTTGAAAATTAATATATTACAAAAACACATTTCATAACGATTCAAAAATTTTTTATCTGTTTTAATGTCAACAAATGTTTCGAAAATGTTCAGTAAAAAGGAGGAGGATAGGTGGAGAGGGAGTGATAGTAGGGAGGGTAGGGGTGTGGTAAGATAAGGAATAGGAGTGTGTAGGGTAGGGCCAGTAGGGCATTGAGGGGTAGGGGAAGTTAGATAGGGAGTAAGGGTTAGTGGTATAAGATTCAGGTGAGTAATAGTTAAGAGAAATGATAGAGTAAGGGAGCAAAAGGCAAAAAGGAGGAATTTTTGAGGAAAAGAACTTACTTCAACATTTTCAAAATTCACTTTGGAATAAAGTTCTTCAATCACCATTCTGAATCACAGTTCTCAATTATGAAAGTCAACTCTAGTGTAATATTACAAGCACCTCATAGTTTAAAACTTCAATAAATGCCTCATTTTAAAGTACTAAATCCTTCCTTGCATGGCTCTATCCAAACAACTCCAATACCCAGCTCTCCAATTATTTCAATATATCAAAGTCAGTCAAGGTACAAGTACAAGGTATCATTGAACAAAGGAACAAAACATTGCCTGCTCTACAAAGAGTTCCATAAACAAAATTTGCCATATAAACTAATGACCATTAAATGCACATAAGCAATTTGCACTTTGAAAATCTGCTAAGTTGACAAAAGTAAAACAACAGGTGCATGGTCGCTTCCCATGACATCATCACGGATGAAACTATGAGCTACATTTGGTAGAAAGTCTTTGGATACAACAAAGTAGTCCAATCGCCTACAAATTCATGAGGTTAGCATGTATAATTGCTTGCAAACGATATTTCATGAATTCATGGAAACTTACCAACCAACATTCTTGACACGAGCATTTCCTCGATATGACCAAAAACTATACTGATTTGTTCTTTCTGGATAAAAATGTCGATATGTATCAACAAAATCCTCATCTAATAATTTTGTGAAATTATCTCTCTCGTCTTTCGTAAATCCAGCATTTTTTGTATTTGTTTTTGGATTGGTTAAATCTAAAGAAAAATTGTGTCATTGTAAAAGTTAGTAAACATGTAACAAGTGAGAAGCCTTCACAAGTAAGTGAAGCCTCCACACAATCCATATCTTGATCTATGCACCTATCTCATTGTGAGCAACATTCAGATCTCCACAGAGAACTACATGTTTTTCCTCTTTCAATTTAGTAAGATAACTTCTAAATGCTTCATCCCATGTTTTGCGGTAATCCAATCTGTCAAATAACTCAATGTAAATCAAATCAAATCAAAACATAACATCTCAACTAATCATAAACATATTAGCATCATCAAATTTTGTCACCTTTTTAATGCCTGCCCTGAATTGGGTACATCTAACAAAATTTATGAAGTCATTTTGGTAAGCCAATAAAAGAAAAAGTGAATTCATAATTTAATAGAACTTACACGATGTAACAAGAAAAAACTTCTCGTACTCAGCCGTAATCACTCGTCCCTCTTTATCATGTTCAGGTACTCCTAACAAGCAATAAGTATAATAAATTAACACAAATAAACAAACACTAAAAGACAATGACACAAACATGAAAGGAGGAGAGAAAAAAAAATTAGTTTTCTGCACCTTTTCCTCATCATAAATTCACATTATAAGTCATTGCACAGTCTCACCTATTCCATAAGTAACATTTTTGGGTTTGGTTTTTGAAAGAAGTCTATGAATATATAGCAAATTTTACTAAAAATTAAAATCAAGTGAGGATGAGGTGAAAATGTCACAAAGCAAAGACTAACCCCACCCCACTGTATCCTTTGATATCCCCAGTTGACCAATAGCAAAAATAATCAGGAAAACTTGCTTCCTATAGTTGATGTTAGAGATATTGAATGCCATTGATATGTTGAAAACACACAAGCATGAAGGTACCTTTGGTAGACTAGAAGCATCACATTTTGTTTCCTGCAAACAAAATATGTCAGGTTCTTCTTTCCTGACATACTTTATAGAATCTGCTTTCTATAAAATAGGTCGACATAATAAAGTTGATGGTTTTGTGCTTACAAAACAATGACCTCAAAATGTTTAAGAGCTTAAAATATTATGACATTTAAACAGCATACCTGGATCCAGGCTTTCAAGCCATTTACATTCCACGATGAAATTTTTAAATTCCATGACCTGTTTAAGATATGTAAACTTAACACGCAAGTTCATTTTAAAAAAATTTCATGTGTTAAATTGTACAGATAATATTGACAACTTCAATTTTGCACATTGCCTGCATGATCATCTATGTTGCCAACTCTCCATAAACAATATTATCTATTATTTAATCAAACTGTCTATACATACTTATCAACATCAGGTAATTCATAAGATTCATTTGAAGAAGATACCTCTCCCTAACATCACATGATGTAAAATTATAATTAGAGGGTGCACAAAAGCCACACCCAACCCAACCTACCCCTCAAAGTTGACATATGCTCCTACCTCTGACTTGCCATCTTGTTTTTTAAAATCAATTTTAAGCTGTTTCTTAGCGGAATCACCATTTTCAGTTTCTTCATTTGGTCTCTTGGAGGGGCATTAAGATAATGGTAAAAACACATGCATTTAAAAATTCACGGTCACTTTGACCCTTTAATAATATAAACGCGACAGACATTGAGATATGTTAAAATGACATTTTAATTGCAAACCTTTTTGCCTCGTGGCATACTTCACAAACCACCAACTGGGAAAAAGTTGAAACTTCAAAGTAACTGATGAGTATTCATAAGCCACAGCAAACGACTGACGACACTTACATTTGAAAATTGAAACCCGGAATTTACCTGCATACTGCGCAACCTAACAATTGTCGGGACCATTTGGGACCAACGAACTGTAATTTATAACTGGAGCGCTAACTCTAACAACACTGTTGTCACTTGAAACGTTAAATAATTTCGTTGAAAACCATCAGGAACTAAAAAACATCCGCATATTTAGAGATGAATACAATAAAATGGGAAAGGAGAACTAAGGGAGAAAAAGCAGAGGAATATCTGATGTGACCAAGGTGTAATATGTGTTGAATGTGGACATTATGACTTAACACAAGGGCTTCATAGAACATAGATAATTGAGCGAGGTAGAGCAATCCACAGCTAGGCAGTGAAAAAAATCAACATTCAATGGTATTGTTATGCTAAAGAAAAGCAAATGGCAAGTCAGCAATGATGAATAATGGCAACGATGGTAACGTCATCAGTGATGGTGACTAACAAGATGATGACGCTATTTGCGTCACGTCACGTGATGATGATGGAAAGTCATTGCATCAAACCAATAAAAATAGTCTGGCAATGGAAAAAAAGGAGAAAACATTCATTCTTCCTTGTGTATTTCAATATCTAACTATTTATATACATGATATCAATTGTACCACTGATGTATACTGTATATCCATCGATGTATATACAAGATACCCTGGGAAACATTGTGTCCAACGATGTATACACAAGATACACTGGGAAACATTGTGTCCAACGATGTATACACAAGATACCCCGGGAAACATTGTGTCCAACGATATATATACAAGATACACTGGGAAACATTGTGTCCAACGATGTATATACAAGATACCCTGGGAAACATTGTGTCCAACGATATATATACAAGATACACTGGGAAACATTGTGTCCAACGATGTATATACAAGATACACTGGGAAACATTGTGTCCAACGATATATATACAAGATACACTGGGAAACATTGTGTCCAACGATATATAAACAAGATACACTGGGAAACATTGTGTCCAACGATGTATACACAAGATACCCTGGGAAACATTGTGTCCAACGATGTATATACAAGATACCCTGGGAAACATTGTGTCCAACGATGTATATACAAGATACACTGGGAAACATTGTGTCCAACGATGTATATACAAGATACACTGGGAAACATTGTGTCCAACGATGTATATACAAGATACACTGGGAAACATTGTGTCCAACGATGTATATACAAGATACCCTGGGAAACATTGTGTCCAATGATGTATATACAAGATACCCGGGAAACATTGTGTCCAACGATGTATATACAAGATACCCTGGGAAACATTGTGTCCAACGATGTATATACAAGATACCCTGGGAAACATTGTGTCCAACGATGTATATACAAGATACCCTGGGAAACATTGTCCAACGATGTATATACAAGATACCCAGGGAAACATTGTGTCCAACGATGTATATACAAGATACCAAGTGCGTATTGTATACAACGATGTATACACTGTTTACAAGTGCAAGATGGTATCCAGCAATGTTCATACAAGATACAAAACTCAACTTTGTTTCAAACGAGATACACTAAAGACTCCAAATGTACCAGTGTGTCCAACGATATATATTTACAACATACCAAAGCGCACCATTTTGTACAATGGTGTACATACAAGACACTTAATGTACCGTTGTTTTCATTTTAAAAATGAACAGCTTCACCATAATCAAAATCTTTAAAGTCGTCTGACACTGGAGAAATAGTTCGATCTGATGTATGCGGTTCATCCATCTACAGAAATAAAAACAATTTGTAACAAGTAAAGAGATAAAAACAGAAATGGGAAAGTCATGACGATGACGTGTTTTGAAACTCTAGACAAAGGTGATTACTAAACTCTGTTTTAAATTTGAGTTAACATAACAAAAAACTCCTTATACTTCACCATCTTTCCCTGAGCTCAAATCTATTCCTGAAACAAATATTATACATTACCTTGCTTCTATCACTTTTAAAGCTTTCCAATGATTGAATTTCTTGATCGATTTCCTCTGGAATGCTCGAGTTATCTTCATTACTATGTGTGCTGTACAAACATTTACATTACAGAGAACAGCGTTGATTGAGACATACATTACATAGAACAAACATTTATAAAATAAAGAACAACGTTGATTGAGACATACATCACACAGAACAAACACTTACAAGAAAACGAACAACGTTGATTGAGACATAGATCACATAGAACATACATTTACAAAAAGAAGAACAACGTTGATTGAGACATAGATCACATAGAACAAACATTTACAAAAAGAAGAACAACGTTGATTGAGACATACATCACATAGAAAACAAACATTTACAAAAAGTAGAACAACGTTGATTGAGACATAGATCACATAGAACAAACATTTACAAAATAAAGAACAACGTTGATTGAGACATACATCACATAGAACAAACATTTACAAAAAGAAGAACAACGTTGATTGAGACATACATCACATAGAACAAACATTTACAAAAAGAAGAACAACGTTGATTGAGACATACATCACATAGAACAAACATTTACAAAAAGAAGAACAACGTTGATTGAGACATACATCACATAGAACAAACATTTACAAAAAGAAGAACAACGTTGATTGAGACATAGATCACATAGAACATATATTTACAAAAAGAAGAACAACGTTGATTTAGACATACATCACATAGAAAACAAACATTTACAAAAAGAAGAACAACGTTGATAAAGACATAACATTACATAGAACAAACATTTACAAAAAGAAGAACAACGTTGATTGAGACATACATCACATAGAACAAACATTTACAAAAAGAAGAACAACGTTGATTGAGACATACATCACATAGAACAAACATTTACAAAAAGAAGAACAGCGTTGATAAAGACATAACATTACATAGAACAAACATTTACAAAAAGAAGAACAACGTTGATTGAGACATACATAACATAGAACAAACATTTACAAGAAGAAGAACAACGTTGATAAAGACATAACATCACATAGAACAAACATTTACAATATGGAGAACAACTTTGATATAAAAAGTCTCACCAACTTGGGCCAAGTTTGTGTTCATGTCCAGTTCGATTGCATGAAAGATGAAAATTTATTTACCTTGTGTGAAAGTCTTCAGCGTAACTGTCGTTATTTTCACCTTCACCTTGGTCGCTGGATTTATCCTTGGCAGGTAAACCTATCACAATGAATGACAATGAATGACACAAACATGCATGAAGCTGCAACCATACCAAGGCTTTGTTTTCAATCATTGATCTAATCATCAACTAGATGCTCACCGAACCCAAGTTCGTGGATCTTACGATCAATATCTTCAAGTTCTTTAAGATCAGCGGAATTACTTGACATGTCCCGTACATCATGTAAGCCTGCTCAAGAAAATAAACATCAAAGAAAATCTGCAAAACTATGCAAAGTAGTTCATGTAAATGAGATACAATTTTTGATAAATTTTGACCTGAAGTCAACGATTGTTTCTTCAGTTTAGGTAAGCTAGTTTTGCCGTCGTGGAGCCAGGATTCTTCAAATGATGCAGCAGCATTTAAATCTTCATCTTTTTACATACGTACAACAAAACAATACACAACCAATTTTTTTTTTTATTTTCAACTGACGGCTGAAAGAAATCAAAACTTACCAAAGAAATCAAAACTTACCGAAGAAAACTCCTTGCTTTCTTCTAAACAAAAGATATCAGCATATAATAAACAACATTTCAAAAGTAGAAAAATTACCAAGTGTCTAAAAAATGCTCACTCATTTTGATGTAAATCTTTTGATGATTTTTGTGGCTGTGAATTTGTGAACTCTGCAAGAATGTCGTCGTCATTTAAGCTCACACTTAAATCTGAGATTCTGTTGAAAAAATAATTCAACACAGTTACAACCATGGTATACTTCTTGATTTTCCTCATACTTTAATAACATTAGGAAAAAACTTACATTATCTTCACTTTGTAATATTCCACAACTTAAATACACAATTGATTCCCAAGAATTCATTTCTACTCTGCTACATTTACACTACGCTATCAATCCCTATATAAATCACATCATTACCCAGTTTTGTTCCCAATGGACTTCCTATCCTCTCCGTGAGACCTCTCGCTTGCATCTTTTGAGCTCTTTGTGTTTAAAGTCTCTGTCATTTTCTTTATATCCTTTACTCTCTGTGGTATACGACTTACTCTTGAACTGTTGTTCTGAAAATGAAGTAATGAAGTAAATAAGCAAATATATTTTGAGTTCCCCTTTTTGAAATAAAACCTTCTCAAGTTGTATTAAGATAAGCGAGAGAATTTAAAATACGTAACTTAATATATTACTTACTTTTCCACTTGATGAAACTGATCTTGGTGACATATCTGGACTGTTTATATGACTATTTTTGGCTACATCCTGGCAAAGTAAACATCATGGATCTTTAAAAATTTAAGTTTTATTTTAGACCCTACATCTTTAAAGACTACCTCAGCAACAGATGTCAAATTAGGCTTTGCCATTGCAACATTTGCTCTATCCTCTAACAAGAAGGATATAATTGGCTTTGATTCATTAACAGTTTCTTGGAAATCAAGTTCCTCAACTAAACTGTCTCTTCCTTTATACTGGTTCCCCTAAGACAAGAATATCTGGAGTCAGGTTATCCAAACATACATGAAAACTATCATTTACTATAGAGGCAACTCACAAAATTTGACTCTGGATCAAATACAGCAAGTGTGTAGTCCAAATTGAAAAATTCCAAGAATTCCCGCACCAGACCAGTTATTAACTTGCCTGTAAAATACAGGTTATTTATCATCTAGCGCTTAGATAGGAATAATTCTAATTTAAATAAGGGAAATCAGAAATTTTCACAAAATTATTTTGTAAAAATGAAGGTTTGGTTGTTTTGTGGATTGTTCCAATCAAGTCTAGTTTTACAGTTTAGTCTTCCGTGCACATACACCTTTACTTAAATTTGTTGAATCAGAACAACCATTCCACAATTGAACAGTTGCTACAGCAGTTCTTATGGTTTAAAATATATTTGTTGAGATATTCTTCAGTGTTAAAGTTTTCGAGTTTAATACATAAAATGATACATGTCTTGCTTTTATACTTTAAAAACGCACCTTCCTTTGTAGTCATAAAATTCTTCAGTTTTTCATTGAAATACTGTGGACGATTCTACATTGAAAGTACAGTATCTCACATTAAACAAGACATATAGACAACTTGCCTTGTTAACATTTTGCTGACAGGCAGATTTGGTCGAATGGTTTTGAATAGCACTAGCAACAATGGTCAACCTCTCTTGGGATTAATCTGCTTGCCAGCTAAACGTAAACACGGTAAGTCATCTATAGGAGAACTTGAGAGTTGAGAAGAAACATCACGTATTTATTGCCATTACCGAATACTAAACACTGACCATATCATTTTTATCAAGCTCATCTAACACCATAAACACATTGGCTCTAAGCTCTGCCTAAAATTCAAAAATATTAAGCAACAATAAATCACGGTTCAAACCATCCAGTATCTCCATAAAGAGTAAAGTGGTCTTTTTTCTTCTCAATTGAGTTCAAAATACCTTAATTTTACCAAGGATTCCTTTGCTTTCTAACGCATGTGCGACTAGATCTCTTAAGTCTGCATCCTCTTCGAAGGAACCGTTCATTTTGAGGAAGAAAAGTAACAAGTAAGTGCCGAAATCATAACAAACTTCTCGAACAAATCTTTATTCGCGCTCGTTCTCTTCTACACTATTTTCCATCACTTAAACGCAGTTCGAGACGAGAAGCTGTATCTCACGAAAAAATGATACATTTATATTTTAATTATAAGTTGGATTGATTATTTTCAAAAACCTCTACGATAAAATACATATTTCCCGGCATCAAATGAAAGGAAATTTTAATGCTGTGTACTTGATATAAAACAGGAAAAAAGATAATTCAATTTCATCTTCTTAACAACTTGTGCTTATACGAATGAGTCTTCAGCCGTTCTTTAGTTTATATAAAATTAAAAGTATAATCATTATCATTGCTTTCCACGTCTATATTTACAAAGAAATCGTCATCAATGGAATTTTGGGAGTTGGAGTCCAGGTTTTCTATATGAACAGGAAAAAAACAAAAAACCTTTGTCAAGATTTGAATCAAAGAAAGCACGAAGAAAGATTGAAGCATGGTTAACTTACCAGAAGTTGGAACGAGAATATTCTTTAGATCTTCAAGTCTCCTTTCAGGAAAAACATCTTTTTCATGGGATGATAACTTCAAAAGTTCTCCAACGTCAGGATCATCTCCAATGGCCAAAACAAGAATACGAACACCTTTCTTGATGAGTTTTTTTACAAGATTCTCGGTCGTTAAAGTTCTGTTAGAGATTCCTATTTCTGGCTGCTTTCCATCTGTCATCACCACAAGAAGCTGAAAATATACGGACCGTTTTATTCTATCAAGTCAGTGATATGTACACTAACTTAAGCCTGAACTAAGGATAGCGTATGTCAATGCAGGTAGTGATGAATGAAAAAAAGAGAAGGAAAACAGTCTTTAGTCTTTACATTACCTACAATATAAACTACGATAATGTGTGTCAGTGTAGATAGTCATGAATGAACAACAGAGAACAAGAACAGTTTTTACACTAACTAAAATATAAACTAAGATAACGTGTGTCAGTGTAGGTAGTGATGAATGACAACAGCGAAAAAGAACAGTCTTTTTGCTACATAAAATATAAATTAAGATAACATGGGTCAGTGTAGGTAGTGATAAATGAACAACAGAGAGTGAGAAAAGTCTTTACACTACATAAATCAGTGTAGGTAGAGATGAATGAGCAACAGAGAACGAAAACAGTCTTTACACTACATAAAATATAAACTAAGGTAACGTGTGTCAGAGTAACAAAATGACAACTTACTTTTTTAGAATGGTGTCTTGATCCAAGTTGTGAAGTGAAAAAAAGTTCTTCGGCGACCAGTAACGCTAAAGGAATCCTTGAACGATTTACCTCTAAAGGTTGAAATGCGCTTGGTCCTTCTATAGCGTCGATGCGATGAAAAATTTCCGCTTTCGTACGAGGAACCTTCAGATAGGTTTCAGAGTGCGCATAATCAGAGAATCTGATAATTCCGACGTTGTCACAATTCGACAATTCAAACTTGTTCAAAATTTCTTTAGCGTACGCCTTGATCTTTCTGAAACCAATGGGTCCTATACTTTCTGAACCATCCAAAATGAAACCAATATCCAGCTTTCTATCACATTTTGGTTCTATTTAATATAAAATATAGAAAGAGAAGACTATAGTGAAGATTTTAGAAAAGACTATAGTAAGGGAAGACTATAAGGAACACTATTAAATAAAAGACAATCAGAACGACCACGAAGAAGACAACAGAGAAAGCTATGGGAAGACTGTATATAAGACTATATAGAGAAAATTACGAGGAAGAGTTTATAGGCACGACTTTGGAAAAAATCGTAGGGAAGTCTATAGTGAGGACAAAAAAGACTTTGTATAAGATTACAGAGAAAACTATAAAGTCTATAGAGATTATAATGAGAAAGACAATAGAGACTATGGTACCTGGAAGGCCGCTGCTTGTATCTAGGTCGGTGCCTACAATGAAAAAATAGAAACTATAAAGCACCAAAATATCGCTAGTTAGGGAAAGAAGTGTATGGTAAAAAAAACAACGTTGAATACTTAGGTAGTCCCTTCAAACTGTAAGAAGAAAATGAGAGTAGGTTTGATGACAGCAAAGCTAAAATGAATACTAACCGCTGCCATAGTTACCACTGCCGTCATCATCGTCATTGTTCTGACTTTTAAGCCATGTGCTGAAATCTATAACACACAATTATGAACATTTCATTACGATTTAAAATTGGCGAATTCCTCGAAGGACTTTCCGAATTACTGTATTTGTAAAAGCATTACATTATAGAATTGGTAATGCTCTAATTTGATTGGCTACATTGGCGTAGCCAGGCTGCAAGTTTGGTCGTGCAATGCAAATTCTGAACACTATCATTATGGATTTCTTTAGAAATCTATTGCATTCGCAGTATAAGTGATCACAGAAAAATTAACATAGCACAAAGAAACTTTCGGGCAGGCTACACCTCTCTGGTCGTCCACTATTCTATGTGTATATTTATGTTCATTTTACCAGTCTTTTCGCTATCGCCACCACTGCCATCGCCACTTGATACTTCGCGACGTCCTGTCTCCGTGAAAAATTCACCTACATACAAGCGATGATATTTAGTAAAGCAAGCAACTAGACTGCCTTACCCGCTGTACCTCTCCAGTCCCAAATGATCGTGCGTCAAGATTTTGACCAATCAGATAATAGAAAGGAAACTTGTTAAAGACCGAACCGAAGTCCATTTTGTTGTACTTAATAGATTTTATCTTTCGTTATTCGTTAAAAAAATGATTCGAAACTTTGTAATTTTGTTTGTTTTGAGAGAGCAAAACCTTTGATAAATAAATTTGAAAGAGATATTTTGAATTTTGATTGATAAGGGAGATTTCTAATTAACAACTCGTTCCACTCCTTTTTCTGTGTTTTTTGATCACCTGGTAACGATTTGTAAATATAAATAGTTCATTTTGAACCTATCGAATGTTTAAAACAATCAGAAGAATCTGTTTAAACATTCAACCAGTTTTTACGACCCAATTTACGAAATGTTTTTCTTTATTTCCCGTCTGTATAGAGTTGTAATCATCTACCTGTATTTTTGGATTTACACTGGACAAAACTTAGAACAATGAAAACGACTGTGAACTTGTGAAGCATTTTTGTAACTTTCGGCGAGATCTAGAAAAATTGAAACGAGAATCATACGTCAGGAAATCTTTCACAACGTCAGTTAGAAATAAATTCACCATAATCCATAAACTACCAAACTTTACGATGTATGTAGAAAAGTATATGCTATACACGGCTAGAGACATGAAATTGGTGGCAGTAGGGGATAAAACAGACATTCTTTCTGGTCAAAATAGTAACTAGATATTTATTATTTTTCCGAGGCTAATAATAATTTCCTATGGTAGGCTGCTTAGCGTTCATTTGGAACATTAATACAGGAATTTTTTGATGGCTTAATGGATAAATAAAGTTAAAACGAAAATCCGGCAAATAACAAACATCAACATTTGATATTTTCGTATTACGCAACGCCAAATATGAAAGCAACAGTTTACGCTTATCAAAATAGTCCATTAATGTAAATAATGCGAAAAACAGCCAAATTAGGAGAGGGAAAAACTAGGAATTATTGATAAACGGTAATATAAATCCAGCTTATCAACTTCTAAGTCGGTGATTTATCTATAAACAAAATACGCTGCATACCACGATGTTCCAAATACGTAAATCTAAATAAGGCAAGCAGTCGCGCACAATTTAAACACCATCAATGGAAAATGTGACGATAATTTACACCCACACAAACACCTACATGTTTGAGCCTATTTTAACTGAACAACGAGCTAAGCTTTTCTGAAGGATTATCTTTTTGTCACATTTACAGGATCAAGAAAATGTTGAACACGCTTCGAAAACGTTACAGTTTAAACTAGATTTAAAAACTGAATTTCTCGTAACTAGTTTGTTCGGTCAAACCCACACAAACAGTGCAATAATAAAAAAACCTTCATTCATAAAATGCTTTCTGTTTATGTAGTACTTCCCATTGCTTGATGCATTTCAATATTTGCTTAGTTTGTTTGAATATGGTAAACATCATTAAACCATGTTTTTGCAACAAATTTTGTAACCAAAGCCTCGTTCTGAAACAGTTGTCCGAGTCGTTTCAGTCCTTTCTAGAACGCCAGCCGACAGGTCCCAGCACTATCCTAAAACGACTCGGACGCCAACGATAGAATGAAAACCAGCCTTAAATAAAGCAACAGCTTTATCAAACAATCCATGCTTAGTGACACTTTTAAAAACATTGCTCAGGACAACCACAGGGCAGACTTAAACAGACAGAACAACGTCATGCGTGTAGTAGTAGAAATGAACATCTGTTGACCATATGGATCCAATGACATAATTGCACACAAACAAATATAATTGCTTTCGATGTAAAATATCTGAAAGTATTTTTTTATGGAGCGGGGTCTGGCGGACTGATTACAGTTTAATGAATTTTAACTTGATTATGACGAAAACGTGAGACTGACGTCAACAATGATAACAAAATTTTCATTTTTTTGAACGTACGAGAATTAAATATTTAATAGATTTTCTTTGACACAACACACACCAAATTCATCAACAAAATTCTAAGTGCAGTTAAATAATACGTCACTTCTAGAATCTCTTATCAGTCACATGTCACTCCGGGTTTGGTCAACTGTCCTTATCTTCATTGGTGAATGGTTGCCACTTGAGAATGTAATAAGATTGAATACCTTGTGTGTTCTTAATGGGTTCTACCAAACCGCAATAAATGATAATCGATGATAAAATCAGGATTTTCCATATCAGGTTTCGCACATCGCCATCAAGATTTGACAGAAGTCGCTAAAAGCAACTAAAATATCTCAAGTGGATTTCGTTTAATGATTTTGATTACCGAACGAGCCAAACATGGCACGGTTTAATGAAAGACGAGCGAATAAGTACACAGTAACTACACTGTTGAACTAAAAACGACCGTCGATGTAGAGAAATCAGATAAAAGAAAACAGAAAAAACGAGTTCGTATGGTGGTGAAGTGATAATCTAATTTGATGGTGGTAATTTCTTACATACACATGCGCACCACCTCCGAGGCAGAAGTTTTCGGCAATCGGGCATCGCAGACAATAAAATGTTTGTACATTATCAATCTCTTCCTTAATTTAAGCAGAAACCAATAAAACTTATGATGGACACTAAAAACGAGAAAATTCCTTACGCAAGAGTCGCTCACCTTGCACAACTATGTAAAACCTAAAGCTATTATCATATAAAAATCCTTATATAATTTACAGGAAATTTATTAGAAGTTGATTTGTAATGAAAAACACGGACCCCTAGTGTAAACGAGATGTCAAAACAAATTTCAACGCCTTTTGATAAACTTCGGCACGCTTTGAAAGAACTAGAGGCGACAAGTTGTTACTGCCTTGAAAATTTCGTAACTCTCCTTGCATTGTTCCGTGCATTTCTTTTCGAAGTGAAAAATACTTTCCCGCACGTAAAAGGAGAGAAATGCAGTTCCAAAACAAACCACAGTAACTTCGGAACGTTAGCCGGTGGAACGTTAAAAAGATTCAAGTTTTTCAAAGAAACCTGTTCATTCTCTATAATTGTCAAACTATCAATTGAGCAAACTAAAACGAAAGTGAAACGCAAAGATGAATTCAATAATGAACAACACCACGGGCGGGTGTTCCATAATGCGCGCGATATGCAAATTAACTTTAAATGTCCCTTCTCATTCTCATTGAAAAAGTACAATCGGTCGAAAGATAAAAACATGAATATTTGCATCGAATGCCGTATCATATCTAAAATTGAGTTGTTCACAGAAAGTTCCATTTTCATATCATGATTTAAAACACACTCACCAACAAACAAACACACCTCGCAGAGTCAACCAAGTAGCAAGACTTTTTGTTCCAACGTACGGAATCCCTTTAACGGCGAGAAATATTTCGTCAGCCTATAGAAACAGTCAAGAGTTTGAGGCGTGAATATGGTAGCGAATTATACGATGTCCTTTCAACGTTCCTCTCTACCTGGCGACAATGATCTGGAATGGAGCATCAGAAGAGTGCATCTGTGTGTGTCTGATACTGACCTGTCGACCTTATCAAACCGGATGGATGAACCGCGAAGGAAAACAAGCAATTTATGAGTGGCATAAAGTTGTCAACATCGACATGCCGAATGAAAATGGCCGTACAGTTCATGTTTCATTTATTGCCATTTAAATCTGATGATGGAGAAAGAAAGCAAGCCATTGTAGATAAAAGGTAATAATAAAAGGATGCCTCATCACCCCCGCACGTAAGGTATTCATTGTGTAAGGAAGGGGGGAGAGGAGAAAAAAACTAAAACATTTTACTATATCGAGCCCTCTCCCCACTTCGCCTCACCGACTTTGAAAGACAAGTCCCACTGAAATAAAAAAATTCCCCGCGGTTCTTCAAAGGTCGACAACAAAATATGCTGTAGGGTGAAATTAAAACAAAATGTACATGTAGGTGAATGTGAAACATATCTCAAGATAACGTTATCAAAAAATCTAGTAAAACCGTTAGGTAGAATTTTAATTTGTGAACATGTACATATACTATATGCTGATTTTGTTTTTTTATTAACGCTACGTTGCCAACAGCTATTAACAACGCTGAATGATTTCATAAATTTCCGTCTACCTAAAATCACTAAAGCTTACTTTGAATGTAATGATAGCCAGACAATTCCTCCCTCCCATTCAAAATGAACGTTTTTCCGCTTTCCTTTCTCAGGTATTCTCATTGAAAAACACAGTCTCAACGACCTTTTGAAGTCAACCGACCGCCGGTCTAAATGTTACCCCCATCAAAAAAGCCCCAAGTTAATCACTTTCATCTTCTTCCTCGTCCCACTCACTCTCCCCACTCTCATCATCCTTATCTTCGTCGTCGTCCGTGTCAAAGTCCCATTGCTTCGTTTCCACTTCTTTGCTTCGTGAACCTCAATCTAAAATAGCAATTAGAATTAAAAACGAGCAATTTTTAATAAGAATTCCGCGCTTATCAATGTTTCATCACAACATGGTAAAACTATTACTAATTATCTTTGATAATATAAATATATATCATGTTTGCAAGACCACGGCGAGCTTTATCATATTCTATCGAGATCTTTATCACTGCTGCCATAGTTTTATATTACGTCTATATCATACGTCAACGTCTCTTACTTCAATCAATGAATAAGCAGACTTACTTATAGATTTATGTCATAATGATAACCCTTAAACTATAATCCCATTGTCAACAACAATAATCCAATCATCTTCAGCCAAACAAGGCACTAAAACTCCGACTGATGATAGTAATAAATGGATTATATTACTTCAGTGCGCAAGCATTCCCCTATGTTATGTAAATCTCGCGTACATTGCAAGGCTCTTAACATACAGTAATATTCAAACACGACGTAATTATTCTCGCCGGTCAAGCAAAGTTTCTCCTCAGACTGCCACAAGTTCCTCCCCCCCGTTCGCAAATTTCCTCCTCCTCATCCTCCCCCGGTCATGCACACGGCAAGGTTTACCTTAAATAGCTTAGATACATCAACATCCATGTATGAATCTGATCGAACAACGGCCGTGTACGAGTAATGACCACATTTTTCAGGGGCTTGGAATTGCAGTTTTACCTAATAAAATATAAGACGAAAGCTCTTTACCACAACAAAATTTTCGATCCTACAACCGTCTTAATGAAGCAAAAAATGTCTACAACATGTTTTTCATGTAGAAATTGATTTGATGAAGTATAAATAATATTATTTTCCAATTGAACGATTGTATTCAACTTTACATGACGTACTTCACTACTTACAGCTGTTTACAGCACAACACGCGTGACCTTAGTCGAGAAATTTGTCATAATTAACTTACTGTTTCAACGTCCTTTAAATTGACAACTTGTGTAGGTGCAGTGGTGATTTCTTGTTTCTTTCTGTCACACACATAAACCCACCAACATTCCTGCTTATCCTATGAAGACACAGAGATTTGAATAAAAGATTCTTCTGTGACTCTGTCAAACACATAAGCTCATAAACATTCCTGCTTATCCTATCAAAAAACAGAAATGTACATAAAAGATACTTCTGTCATACACATTAGACCTTCAACAGGTGAAATGCTACTTGTGGTAATAATATAATTCGGTAACGATGTTTGCTTACTAAAAGAAGTTACTGTGCTTGTTATAAAGATTATATCATCTCAATAACCATCTAAAATTTATTTCAAAGAAACCGTTGTAAATTTTAAAACAATATACAAAGAAGCAGATTTCGAAAAATAAAGCCATCTTGAAAAGTAAGGTTTCAAACAAAAGACGTAAATTAAGGGTGAATTTTTAAAGAGTAAAAACGTCTTTATTTTTAGGAATCTGCTTCTTTGTACATATTTTTAACTAAAATTATTACGTAAATACGCTCAACTTTTTTCCTCTGCCAACATTCTTACTGTTACAAGCGATCTCACCTCAGGAAAATACGGAGCGTGTACTTCGTGACTTGTACGAGATCTAGCGTCCAGGACTTTTTCCATTTTCTCCACACCTTCCTGCATCCGCTGCCATTCATCATCGTCGTCCACATCGACGTCACTACACCAAAACATAGAAGGAATATCACAGTGGTTAGAGATATGTTCACAAATAAAGCATAATTATTAAAATTTCAAATTATTTTAGTTTGTGAACATTCATGTTCGAAGAAAACATCATTCATATTAAACTGTCACTCATTGAGTCATTTCAAATATAATTTTTTCATTTCAAATATAATTTTTTCATAACAAAACTTCACTAAAACAGCAACATACCTATGAGCACTATCACCCAAGACACTCTCGTCCTCATTACTTTGATTATCGATATCAGAATCATCGATATCGTCACGAACATCGTCAATATCCGCCTTATTATCATCTTTGTTGTTCTTTCGTCGACGAACTACGTTATCAGGTGCTTTCTCCTTGACGAAATTTTCTTCTCTTTTCACATTTTCTTCCTCTTTGTTCTAACAAAAAACAACGTATTAACATAAGAAATATCCAACAAGAAGACACAATGTCTGACTCTGACCTCTCCTCCCAACTCAATAAACAAAGACAATAATAATATTTTAAAAATACCTGTGTTGTTTCTTCTTTCTTTACAATCTGTTTGACAGGTTTTTTCTTTGTCTGTTGTTTTACAGGTTTTGCTTTTTTCGCTTTCCTCTTTGTCTTTTGCCACACTTTAGGTTTAGTTGCCGTCTAAACATACGACGAAATTAATCAAGCTTATAGTTTAATGCAATAAAACACGTGACCAATCCAACAAGACACGTGAACAATGCAACAAAACACGTGAACAATAAAATGGACATGTGAGTGAAACAAAAAATGAAGAAAGTACTGATCATAAAACAACCTTGATGATTTCAATTCCATCTTCAACATGCTCAGTATTTTCCTCTGGTTCTTCTGGTTTCTCGTTATCTGTCTCTTCATCCTTACAACAAACGTCCTAGAGGAAAGAGGAGTTCTCTCAAGACACACATATCCATAGTTTGTTGAGATATAAAAAAAAACTTGTAGAGTTTCGACACTATGATTGCCAGCGTCGTCATCTTATATTTAACACAACAAAAATAGTTACATAAATAGCTCATACCTTGAGCGTTTTTCTTATTAATTCAACCTCAACCGTAACAACAGCACCAGCAGTTATAACACCTTCATCTTCATCGTCCATAACTACAACAAAAAAAAGAAATGTTTATATACATTTGTCACCTGACACCTGAACAAGAAGAGGAAATTTATGTTGGATAAACATTAACCAGGGTTTCACAAACAATAAAAATTGCTCTACTTAAGTTTCAATACCATGCATTGTTTTTTTTTGCATTTAAGAACAAGTGATGAAAAGAATACGCATGCGTACAAGCGTTCATTGCTCGAGATTTCACTAGTGAACAATTAAGTACGTATCAGCACCTGTGTTCATTGCTAGAGAAACCACTAGCGACTAAGAGGTACGCATGCGTACTAGTGTTCAATGCTACAGACGCTACCATAACAAGAATGCGTGCGTATCAGCAAAAACATATAAAAGTTTACAGTACTACATTAATCATACCACGAGGAACGACGTTTATTTCGAGATGAGGGATCATTTCTGCTACTGTAATGACATCTTCGTATTGCTCATCATACAGAAATCGCAGCATATCCCTATCAACATAAGACGAGCCTATGTAATGTCGATCAGTAATAGATATACCGTTCCTGTTACTAAGGATATCTTAACAATATTTAAAAGGGGAAGGCAATGACAAGCCAGTAGCTTCAATAGAGGGAATCAAAATCATTCCAAGCAAAAATATGTACCTCCTATCCTTTTTCTTCATCCTGAGAAATTCTCCTATATTTTTGGCATTTCGCTGAAATTGTAATAGAAACATTTGCATTGAGAGTTCAAAACAACATGGACAAAAATAACTGCGTATTTCAACGAGATAAGAATTTTAAAACAACATAGTTATTTTACTAACTATATAAGAGATAAACATATATTTGGTCTTGTGTGATGAGAAGAGAGAACATCTGGAAGGAAGACTAGAAGAGTGGAGAAGAATATTAGAAGATGTTGGCTTGAAAGTTAGTAGAGCCAAGACGGAGTATCTTCCACCGAGTACATAGAAACATCAAGCTAAGAGAATATGCTGGACCCGGAAATACAGATCTACCAAAGTGCGAGACATTTAATACGGGACCACCATCCATCAGGATGGCGGTTGCAAGACCGAGGTTGAACTACGGATTAGCCGGGCATGGAATAAATGGAGAGTTAATCGAGTGCTCTGTGATAAGAAGATGCCGAAGAAACTGAAGATCCTCATCTACAAAACGGTGATACGCCCAGTGCTTCTGTATGGGAATGAAACTTGGCCTGTTACAGACTACCTAGCAGAAGATCAGTGTATGCGAGATGAGAATGATACGCTATTGTCTGGAGTCAGCCTGGAGGAGCACAGAACAAATGAAAGCATAAGAGACGAAGGAATGTCATGAGTATACTGAAATTGATGAGAAGAAAAAGACTGCAGTGGTTCGGACATGTGTGCCGGCGTGAAGAAGATGTAGACATTCGGAGATTATGAGATGTAAATGGAGGGAGACGGAAACGAGGACGCCCAAAGCATCGGTGGAAGGATACCATCAGGAGAGACATGCAGCTATGTGGTGTCAAAGAAGAGGATACCCAGGACAGAGCAGCCTGGAGAAGTCTCATAGAACTGGGTCTCCGGCAAAGACCCGCTACCCGAGCAGGAGAAAGCGGAGAAAGGTGACCAAAGGTGACCATAAGAGATAAACATAATTGAAACAAGGAGATTCCCGAAATAGAAACAAATCGATGATGAAACAAAATAAGGAAAAACAAAATAAGGAAATCAAAATAAGGAAAAACAAAATAAGGAAAAACAAAATAAGGAAAAACAAAACAAGGAACATAATAGAAACATAATTCACAATCACATGGTAATCAGCCTGCATCACATACTGTATATATTCTATATATTAATATGTATAGTCTGCGATGTAGGCTAATGGTTCATTTACTGGTGCATTACGTAAAAGTCACGTGTTTACACACAGATCAGTAGATCAATTCACTTTCATGTTCACCTTTTTTGAAGCAAAATATCTCAAATGTTCAGGTAAAATATGCGGCAATTGAAGTAAGGATGAAGTGTGATGTGTCGCTTGTACCACCATCTGACTGAATTTCATCACATTTTCGAACGTCTCCAGATGAGGAGCCTTGACACCTGATGGAGATATTAAAAATAAACTTACTTTACAATTGCTAAAGCACTTAAAAAGTATGTACATATCGGGACTTTGGTAATCAATAGTGAACACTTGTGATCTCATTATTTGTTACGTGCGTATGATAAAAAATGTCACAGCATAAAAATTGAACAGTCAGATCATATCGCCGTGCAAAATAGATTTCTATATTTGATCAGTTACTGGCTGTAGTTAGCCATTTCATCGTTCCTATTGGTTAGAAATTGCAATCGACTGGTTGCCATTAAGTTAATGAAATTCGTGAGACAAAAAAATCAACGAAATGGCGCCTAAACTGTGATGTCTGTGGCGAAGCAAGCCTAATCTTTTACACCTGCAATTCAGATTTTTTCAAAAAAATTACTATTCATTTCTTTAGAAAATTAATTCTATTCATTGTCTTACCAGTGATTGAACAAAAAAATATTTATATTACAGGAGTAAAAAACGGAGTGGCCTCTTAACTGTGATGATGTTTTCTTGTTGCAAATGAAACAGCTCAACAAAATGATTGCCACAAATATGTCTTTCAACAGAAGCCGTAAACTACAAGTCCACATTCGTAACGATTCTTTACAATAATTTCAACAAGCAAATCAAAGCCGGATGAAATTTATGTTTATAACTTAACATTACAGCTCACAGTGAACTGTTCACTTGTCTACGCATGCGTGTTACCTGGGTCAGCCATATGATAGTAGAATAGTTGCGAGACACAACTGATCATTTCTTGTATTAATAACGGAGACTTCCTTAAGATCAAATCAAGATCTAAAGATAAACCCAGGAATATAGGCAAGATGATCTTACACCAACGATCGGATCAGGATTAATGTCTAACCTTTTTGTAAAGTATTTTCGGGAAGATTAAGACGATCAAAATGAGAAAGTATAAGGGCACGTGCTTTCACGCTGAACGGATAACCAAATGGTGGCTCTTTGGATGTCTCGTTCACATTTTTTAATTCGTTTAGTAACTAAAATGAAAATAGTCCATTCATTAGGCTAGATCTGGTTCCTCTGGTAAAGAAGAGAGTTCAAGTGTGATGGCCTAAAGATAGATGTAGTGTGCTCTGGTAAAGAAGAGAGTTCTGGTGTGATGGCCTAATGGCAGATGTAGTGTGCTCTGCTAAAATAGGGAGTTCTAGTGTGATGGCCCAATGGCAGATGTAGTGTGCTCTGGTAAAGGAAGGGTTCTAGTGTGATGGCCTAAATGTAGATGAAGTATGCTCTGGTAAAGGTTGGAATTCTTATGTGATGGCTTAATGGTACGTAGGATGCAGTATGCTCTCCTACTCTTGTACAGGATGGCGTTCTACCATGATGGCCTAACAAAACATGTAGTCAGCGGTGTATCCTGCGGGCTGTGTACGCAAACATGGCGATCCCGTGTAAATTTCATCACTCTCTTGTTACGGAGAGAAATATAGGATGTTTGGAGAGGTTATTTACTTTGGGTATTTCCTCGTTATCACTCGGTCTCTCTTGTACTTCTTGATTACATTTCTTCTCAAACTCCATGGACGCAGAGAATATCATAATAACTCCTAAAAAAATGAACATTTACTCAGTAATGGATCACTTCAAAATCAACAACGATTTTTTAATATCGCACATATATATATCATACTTTTAACAGGCATCCAATGAGTTTTGGCAAAGAAATGGAAAAAAATTCTTGTGGTATCCATTAACACTTGATCATTGCCATATTTTATGGAGCGATACCACCAAGTTCCCTGAAAAATCAACTGCAACATTTACACAAAAATTTTTAATTCATGGCACGTTAAGATGTTCATCATACCACAGCAACAGGGAGGACAATCATAAAGGCGAATATATAAATACCAAGGACCTACAATAAATGAAAAAAATGCATTACCATGATGTCTAGATGAAAGATGTAATCTGCATAAATCATATTACATGCTATTGCTATGGAACTTACAAAAAGAGAATTTTCTTCACTGACAATCCACGATGGCAAAGCAATGCCAAATGTGGTAGCTAAAGGGAAAAATGGAGGTGGGATTCCATATTAACTCATGATTCAACATCAACATTAACGAAAACAATAAGCTTTACAACTGTACAACACATGCAAGACCTGACTTATTTTGTTTTTTTATAAACATAGACAAACAGGCTCTGATCTCAGTACCTTGAGGTCCATCTGGATTACCATGTTCTTCCCAATTCTTACGTGATTCCTCATTTGTCAACCTGTAGAAAAATACATTTATGAACAACATGTCATGAAGTACCTCTGAGAAATTTAGTCACAAACAACACTTGTACTGTGGCAACATAAGCATGATCAAGCTACCATGTATCAATCAAACTTACGCCTCGTAAGCTTTAGCAATCCTCATAAATTTTGTCTCATCTCCTCCTTCTTTGTCAGGATGATATATCAAACTGAGTTTACGATATTGACGTTTGATCTCTGATGCACTTGCTCCCTGTTATTACAATTATTAGAAATGACATTTATTATACAGGGTTGACACAATATCGATTCTGATGCACTTGCTCCCTGATATTACAATTATTTGAAATGACATTTATTACACAGGGTTGATACAATCTTGATTGTGATAGGGTAAGAGCTTATAGATAATTCCCAATATTTTGCCACCTACAGAATATGGAAAATTATTTGTAGGTGATGCAATTGTTAATGTGAAAATTGTAAAGAAAAAAGTATAATGGCTAAATCTTGGTTAAGATTTGCAAGCATTTTACACACTGTTTAAGCTCAAATTATTGAGAATAAAGACATAAAAAAAAAACACTGAAAGGGTTACACTGTCAGTCATGAATATTTTCATGAGTATTTAAGGGGAAAAGACAAAACTAAACCACAAAAATTGTTGAATGTCAAAGCATGGAAAACTACCATACAATAAAGTTTGAAAGCTTTTGCATTTATAAGTCTATAATGAAACACTTACTGAATTCAGATTTTGCATGATATTGAGAATTATTCAGATGTCAGTCAATGTTATCAACCTCAGCTTTGCTTTGACAGACAACATTGACCTGGGTCAGAATAATTCTTGATATCATGCTCAACTTCATTCAATAATTGGCAACTATCAACTAGTCCAAACTAGATTGATAATATACTGTCTAGAAGCACAATAGGTGGTGGTTTGGAAATTTTGTCTATTTAGTCCTGCTGTGAAAATTCTTCAGTGTTCACGAACTGTGTAAACAATAGATTTCCAAATAATGCTCCAAGATTTACATAGCAAAACTAAAACTTGCTACCTACTTGCTAGCAGTATAAGAAGCTTTATTTTCTAGCAGGGATAATATGAAGATTTTTGTCCGATGAGGAATGATTTCAAAACAATGAAAAGTCACCTTGTCTATCTCCAAAACTGCAAATGGATCATATTCAACAAAATCTCTCTCAAACTGAGAAACATGATATACTCCATATAAGAGAACAATCCATAGAACAACAACTGTAATACGACTGAAAATAAAGTAGTAAAATTACATAAGTGCTAATAAGAGGTAAAAAATAAGGAGTTCCACAATTATCAAAAATATTGACAGTTTTGACAAAGATCTAGTTGCGCACTACTTTTTTAGTACTACTTTTATGGTAGTAAGACATTGAACTTTAACATGAAAATTTCATTTATGCACAAATCGCATTAAAGAAAAGCATTTTCAAGCACACTACGCTACGAAAATGAACCAAAAGAACCATCGTGAATTTACTTAAATCCAACAGCAAGTACCAGAATTCTTGCATATATCAGTATATGACTACCTTGCTATTCGTAGAATAGTGATTTTTGGCTTCTGCTTTGATTTACGAAGACGTTTTTCGTTGCATTTGTCACACTGACACACTCTTGATTTTTCCTTCTTTTCTTCGCCTGCACGCGTAAAAAATAGAAGCAGACGCAGCCATTTTAGCTAAGCAGGTCAAGGAATATGAGAGTAAGTAAATCATTAACAACGCTGGAGTTAATGTTAGCATCATTTAATATAATTTAATCAAAAAATAAAACATCAATGCCAGTGGCAAACTTTGAGTACACAAAAAAAAACACAGTACGTTTACATTTAAATAGCTCAAAATAACAGTTGGTTCAAAGAAAAATTCATAAACCTGAATTAGAACTGAGAGACCATGCAAAGTATGTCAACGGTAGTAATATCAAGCCAGAAAAACATAAAATAAAATAATAAAACGTCGTTCCCTTTTCATCATATTCAAATTGAGCACCAGCCATGTTGTTTTGCTGACATGTCACGGTCAGAAGACTGGTGCGAAAAGAATTGAAAATTTTCTGATATAACAAATTTCTTTGTGTTCTCTCTTTATGAAATTTTTACACGGATGCATTTTAATCTCCTAAAGTTTATTATGTTTATATTGGCGTGCGATATTTATTGTTTTTATGAACGTGTGTCTAGTGCAGTTACTAGTACCACTGTACATACTTATTTCATTATTTGTTATACATTAATTGTTTCGTTTCCCATATGAGCTGAAGTGCTGAACTTGGAACGTTGTACTTTAACCGTTACCAAGTGCAATAAACAAAGACAAAGATGTCAATATTTTTCAAAGATCTGTCCTTCTGAAACACCATCAGCTTATTCATTATTTCATTTCTCTTCATTTTAAGTTCATATTTTATCGTTTAATTCATCTCTTCATTGTCTGACATTTCATTCGTCAGTTCTTCTTTCATCATGTTCACTTCATCTTCCATCATTTTATTCATTGGCTTATCTTTCAACAATTTGATTTCGTCTTTCATCATCTTTAGTTCCATTCGCAAGACATCATTGTTTTCGTGCTGTTTTATATCGTTGTTGCGTTTAGTTGAGATAAAGTTAGACTCCAAATACGATGACCTAAAGATAGGACTTTTTTGTTGGGCTTTTCCCACTATAGGGTCCATATTTTTGTAGCCACCACAACGAAGTAACAAATGCTAAATCACATACTGCATATGCCGTTTTTAAAACTAGAATACTTTTCCACAATGCATGTCTTGTAGCCATATAGTTTTAACAGAAACGAATGAAAAACACACAATTTCAATGAACTAGTAACACTTTGAACAAGATGACTACTTTATATTTTAATGAATAATGTCACCACTACTTGACTTAAACGCCGGGAGTTGTTCTCTCTATTGATCTTTGAGAGTTATCTACACTGACACACGTTACCATAGTTTATTATTTAAGAAGTATAAAATCTGTTTTTGTTCTCTTTTATTCATACATCACTACCTACACTAACATACGTTATCTTAGTTTATATTTTATGTAGTGTAAAGACTGTTCTCATTCTCTGTTGTTCATACATCACTAACTACACTGACAAACGTTATCTTAGTTTTTATTTATGTAGTGTTAAGACTGTTCTCATTCTTTGTTTTTTTTTTTCATCACTACCTACACTGACACACGTTACCTTAGTTTATAAAAAGCTGAACAAGGTCATGTAGGTAGTATTATTGTGAATGCAATCAATAAGTGTAATATTTGGTTAATTCATATCAATAATGTTTTTATCTGTTAATTTACTATCATAAATTTTAGTTGTCGATTCTTGAAAATAATGTTAAAAAAATCTTCTTGTATTTAGCTTAGTTATTAAATTTTGCAATATGTAAAATATTTTTTCTATTAAATTCTACAGACTCACGGTAAAAAAGACTTTGATTTGTCGAACTTCTGTCTTGATCTCATCACTGGTGTCTTGAATGGTATGATTCATTATAGTGATTGACACGAGCACAAGAAAAAGAAAAAAATATAATCAATCGTAATGGTTTAAATCTATCGTCTTCAGAGTTGGTATTCTCCAAGAAAGTTTCTTTAAAATCAAGCAAAGGCTGTTGCAAACGCAACCAAGAATTGCAAAAATTGAATTGAACCCAGTGCTTCGGGAGTTATACCCGAAGGCCAAGATATGAAAAAAAACGTGAATATTCATTATAGCTATTGCTAACAAATGACTTCGCTTGGCCCCAAATGTGAACACTGTTTTTTTTTCAAAAACGAAAGAAAATGAGAGGGAAAACCAGCGAGTCCAGTAAAAAACCCTCCGACAAAAGAAAATATCGAAAAGTGAGAAAAACCTCCCTAAATTTTATGTCGTTTTTTTTCATATTTTTTTGTTGTTTTCATTGATCCCGATGATCTACTTTAACATGCAGTGTAGCAGTCGTATAAGTCATATAACAAAAATATTCAGTACGTATGACCTAGCAAACCATTCACCTGCCAATAACAATATAAATTATGAAATGACCTAAGTGACGTCATGACGAAATTATAAAATTTTTTTGAAGCTCATCTGATTTCATTTAATTCAAAATTCTTAAGCATCGCTTCATTTGGATGATCATCAATAGCTGGCCTTCACTCGTATGTTTTGTCAGAAAATTTAACTATTGTAAAAATCAAGTTTTACCGAGAATTTTAACGATTTAAAATGAAAAGCATTATATAAAGCATATTCAAGGTTGCATTGTGAATCTTTCAGTAGCTATATAGACACTTGTTTCCGTTTTATGGTGTTGACTTGGTCGCTCATACTGTCCAGTTAAAAGGCCTACAGATATAGATACTCTATAAAAAAAACGTGAGAAATGTTAGTATAGCGAATGACCAAGAAGGGAAATTAAATACATTGAGAAGAACGAAACTTTAATACCTGATTTCCAAGTGTTTTTCTGGTCAGACTGACACCGATGACTTTATGTCTCTCGCTTTTCTTTCACCGCGCAGTCTTTCGCTTTTCTTTCACTGCGCAGTCTCTCGCTTTTCTTTCACGGCGCAGTCTCTCGCTTTTCTTTCACTGCGCAGTCTTTCGCTTTTCTTTCACTGCGCAGGTTCTCGCTTTTCTTTCACTGCGCAGTCTCTCGCTTTTCTTTCACTGCGCAGTCTCTCACTTTTCTTTCACTGCGCAGTTTTTATGTTTATATCCAATATCCTCGAAATTTATTTTAACATTTTTTATATCAGAAATTCAAAGACCTTGCTTGAATTGCTTGAAACTATCGTGTTGCTCTTTTTTATATTTTAAACGTAAACTATTCGGCATGTAAAAACCAAAATGTAGCGAGTGAAAGCCAGCTATTTTCTCAAAGCAAATGGCCTTTTTTATTCACCAACAAAAATTGACGGACATATTACTTTGGTGGGGTTTTTTTATGATTAATGTTCAAACTATAAAAATAGACCACCGGGATCCAATTTAACTATCTCATGCAATTACTCATACACGTTAAGTTTAACACTTATCTACTCAACTTACAAACCACAAGACGTGGATCGTGTTTTTCCACTCGCTCGTTTTCCATCTTCGTAGAAATCAAGTACAGTCCGGTTTTATAATCCAGTGTGAATTTTCGTACATTTACTTGTCCCGTTATATGCGATGTCCATCTAATATCTTTATACCTTTTCATACACCAAGTACCTGAAATCATTAACCAATAAAGGAGCTACAGTTTACAGATACCATTTTCTGAACACGTTTCCCACCTCATATTTCAAGTCAGATTGATAAGGTAAGATATAGGAATGAAGAAAATGGCTTTGCTTGTGATCATATGTTTCGTTACTGAAATAGAACAGGATGGTCTTAAATAAACAATAACCTTTGCAAAGGGATAATTAATGGCAGATTTCAAACACACCTAAATGCAACCCTTTGCGGTACATTTTTCTTGCTAATTTTCCCATTTGTCTCACGTGTGAAGTAAGAACAGGAATAAATGCTTTCTTCTGAAGAAAATTTTTTAATTTATTAACGAAGAAGGTGTTAGTCCTGGTGAAATCAGTTTTACACGTCACGCTCGCGTCTCTTACTTTCAATTGATAATTTTTCTTTGCAATAAAGTTTTTTACATGATTGAATAAAAAATTCCTTGGACGATAGTTATCTTTAAAATACAACCAATGTCTTCTTGAACATGCAGTAATTGTTTTCTTCACAAAATATAATGTACTCACATGGTAACTTCCAGCGATTAGAAACCAGTATTCATTCATTCATTGGCAGGAAAAGGCATCACTTCAATACCCCAGTTATATCATCACTCAAAGAATGCTTATAGTGCAAAGTTGATCTTCTGTGAATATCAACTGACCACCTTTAGGTGGGCGCATATAACAATGGGGCCCATCATCATTATATGCACAAACAACTGACATCAACAGAGAATCCAAACTACAGATAAACATTCTTGGTCATGAATCACCATGACACATGAATAATGACAAACTAGTAAGAGTGATTGAAGTGAATGACACAACTCTATGCATGTGGGATACAATATAAGGAAATAAGAAACATATGTCAACGAGATTTCATGATGAACACTTCTGCATCAAAGTTTGAGTAAAATCTTAATTGTTGAGAATGAATTAAAGTAAAAGATAATAGCTTTAACATCACAAATGTTTTCCGTACGATTGATCTATTGCAAGAGTATTTAGCTACTTTTCACTGGAGCACATAACCTTTTAGGCTTTACAAATAGTAGAAAATGCGAATGACGTCCACATTTGCAAATGCGACACAATAAGCACATTTTCTCTCACGTGGAACTTTGTAATTGACATACATTAACCAGTATTTTGTCGATTTACGCAAGTCCAAGAACTTCTTCAACACTTCTGCACAAAATGGTTCTTCAGCTTTTAAAGAAGAGGCACGAATTGCTTCGATCAATAAGTTTGAACAACAAGAATTTGTAAACGATTAATGGCTTAAGTCCGTGGAATTATACAAAGTTGTGAACAATGACAATAGCTGAAGTTCTTTTAAGCATTTTATATTAACGCTTTCAACATTACGAATCTTGCACCAGCTGTATCTGATCTTTCCATACTTTCCATACTTATTTTTCAAGTTTACGGGCAGAATTGACCACTCTCTCTACAACGATAAAGGGACCAATGTTGCCTTGAAGTAAAAATACACGTTAACATTTCTTTGATTGACGTCATGACTAAAATTTTTTCATTGTGATTGGCTCTTTAGGATCATGTCACCCTTTCACAGAAAAAACAAGTAATCCTTCAATGCATTTGAATATAAATATTTGTTGAAATCTTATGTCGTTACGCCAGGTGACGATGCATGATGTGGTAGGTTAAGATTTATGAGACAATAATGAATTTAGTTATTACACTTTTAAACTGTTCAAATATTTGTTGAGTCATTTACTCATGCATATAATTTAAAGGAATGATTAAAAAACAATTTTGAGATTGATTAACTACGACAATCAGGAATGATTTAATACAACAATGAAATTACATGTCTTATTTAAACACCAAGTTTTTTTCATGAGCTACCATTTTTAATAATGTTTTATAAGCATGCTTGATATGAATTAGATAATTCTTTACTCGCATGGAACCATTCCCTTGGGATTTATAGCACAATAATAACGCGAACAAAATATTCTTTTCTATCAGATCACCAACATGGCTAACTTGTGTGTCGTAAAAATTTGTTTGTGAAGCTTCAAGTTAGTAGAATGAAACTTAACAAACTTGCAACACGTTGTTTACATGCTTCCAGAAACATGTTATCCTGTGCTGTAAACAATTTACCTACGAAGCAGGCTGCAGAAAGCTGATATCGCCTGTGCAAAGAAATCTGTTGAAAGTTTCGGAATTTTCACAAAATGTTTTGAAGGTTTACGTTTGCCAAGTAAAATTAACATTGGTTTAGAATGATCAGATTCCCGATTTAACACAAGACGGAGAAAGATTTACTTCTATCTCATGCATTGACAATGTAACTGTCGAACAAGGGGATCATTGGCTAGGTAAACTTCCCCGCAAAGTAGTTTGGTTTCACTTTAACTTTAGAAAAGAAAACATCCTGCCATGAAACTTTTCCAAGAAGCAAGCTCATGCGATTTTCTTAGGCAACAAGTATAAAACAAGCCGTACAAGTTCTAATAGTGATAAGACATTTATCATGTATAGTCTAAACGTCCCTCATGAAACAAAAGTTTAAAAGTGGACAATGTTGATCCCCGACTAAAAGTGATTAGCACTCATAATATATTATTCTACTACAAAAGTCCTATCTTTCACTGTTTTAAGTTCCTTTTCATCGCTTGATTCATCTCTTCATCTTTCTTCATTTTATCTACTTGTTCATCTTTCTTTTTTATTTCTTCTTTCATCATTTCAAGCTCATATTTCATCATTTTATTCAACTCTTCATTCTTCATCAATTTATGCATCTGTTTGCGTTTTATTTTAAGTCCCTCTTTCATCATTTCAACTTCTTCTCTCATCATTTTAACTTCTTCCCTCATCATTTTATTCATCTCATTATCTTTTATCATTTTTTTATATGTTCGTTTTTCTTTTCAAGTTCCTCTTTTACAATTTCAAGTTCCCTTTGCAAGACATCAAAGTTCTAATGCTTTTTTGTGCCAACTTTGCTTTGATTTGAGATAAAGTCAACTCCATAAAAAACTCCCAAATCTTATCACCTAGAGATTGGTTATTTTATTTTGCCTTTCCATAATGGTTTTACAATGTTGGCACTACCCCCAACATAAAATTTTACCAAATTTCATTTTGTGCACCTTTCTTTCTAAGTTTATTATCCTTTGTGCCTAATGAAAAAAAAACTGCTGTGCACCAGCATATGTTAGAGGCCTTTTCTTTCCCTTTTTTGAAATAGTTCCTGTTTTCTGCTGTTCATTCATCACTACCTGCACTGACGCACGTTATCTTAGTTTATATTTTAGATAGAGTAGAGACTGTTCTCGTTCTCTGTTGTTCATTCATCCCTACCTTTACTGACACACGATATCTTAGTTAATATTTCGAGTAGAGTAAAGACTGTTGTTGTTCTCGGTTGCTCAGTCTTTATCACCAGATTTGGCACATTTTAGTTTAGTTTTTATTTTAGGTACGGTGGAGACTGTTGTGGTTTTCTATTTTTCATTCATCACGATCTACACTAACACTAAACACCGTTCTTGTTCTATGCTGTCATTCCCAAACAACCTCTCTGAATCAAACTATTTTGAGCTTTATCACTGTTCTTGTTCTATGCCGTCATTCCCAACTAACCTCTCTGAATCAAACTATTTTGAGCTTTACCACTGTTCTTGTTCTATGTTGTCATTCTGAACTAACCTCTCTGGATCAAACAATTTGTGCCTTACTTGATTAGAAGACTATTCTCACTGATCAATAAAAGTTTGAGGACTCACGGTTCGAACGATTTTTTTTTCTTCATTTTTTTCTTGAACTCGTCACTGGTGTCTTCAATGGCAAACGCAAGCAATAGATTCATTATGATGACTGACACGAACACAAGAAACAGGACAAATAAAATGAATCACAGCATATCAAATGCATCGTACTCAGGATTGGTATTGTGAAGGAACGTCTGTTTGAAATCAAACACACCCATCATCATCACAGCTGCTGTTAAAATGGCGTGAACAAAGTTTTCAAATCCATCTCCATCGTTCATAATCACCGCAAAGGCTGTAGCAAACGTGACCAAGAAGAATATTAACACGCTCATTACCTGTGGAGTAAAGATTTACGTAGATAAGTATTTTTCATTGTGAAGTTAAAATATAATTTATCTAATGTTAAACAATTCTTAAAACAATTTTAAACATGATAATATGAATCCTCGAATTTCAATCACCATGAAAGCTAATTATAAATTTCACTACACCGAGCCAGTCACTTTTGTTGCAATGGGATACTAAAAATTCTTACACTTTTTGATTTCATAGATGTGGTGGATGTATTGCGGGAATTATACATTTTTTTATACTATATCATTAAGATTGATAATGAATTTGTTATGGGTATAGTATCTAAGAACTGAAAAATTTGTGATTACAACATCAAAACATTGCTTAAATAATTTTGCAACTATGGTATAAACACAAAAGTTTGAGTAAAATGTTAATGATGTAAATGCTGCACAACGTAACTACCATTCTTCTCATCATAAGAACAATCATACTGTACAATGAAAATTGTGTAAAATACATAACCAGATACAACCAAGCACAGAATAGTGCTATAGAACAGGCCATCCATTGCAAACCTGTCTTTACAATGTTGATATGTAGAGAACACATTTCAAATAATTGATGTCGTCCACAAAATACTTGATATTGTAAACTACTAACAACAGTAGTGAACAAAAATCATTTTAGAAGAATGTAATAAAAAAATGATGATTTACAATCACTTAAAAAAAGAACTGATTGAGAAAATTTTTTCTTTCATTCGAACAGAAAGATAAGCAAAGAATATGAGAATAGTGCAAAGTTTTCTGTCATAGTGTTGAGATTAATAGAAGAGCTTGAAACACAAAATTATGGCAGACGCATTTCCATTGCAGTGAACTCAAAACACCTAGATCAATCAATTTGACGTCTTTCACGCGACGGCTAAAAATAAGCTATAACTTACAGGAAGTCCGAAAATTGCACCAAGCACTCACGAATGTATCAAATGAAATTTAACCTATCTTTGTTATCAAATGAAGACAGTCTGCAGAAACATTAAACTGACGAAACCAATGTTTTTTAAAACATACTTGAAAAAGTTCCTTTATGCAGCCATATCCCCCAAATGCAAAACAAACAATAATAGCCAGTCTTACAAAAGTGGAGGCGCCCTTGATTGCTAAAAATTTGAAGTCAATAAAATTTGAATACAATATTCCATCAAAAATTATACACATTTGTTGTTTTACCTTTGTATGATAGTATTTCCTCAGAAATAAAAACGCCGAATGTCCTGTTATGAATGAGATGTGTCCTGACAATGAATGTACTTCCTTGCGAGTCTTAAATGTATACTGTTAACTTTATGGGTGCAGATTATTCTTGGATTGCAACTAACCTCCATGGATTTAACACACAATGTGGCTCAACGTACGACGGCTGGTTTCTACAATATCATTGATAAAATATTCAAAGCCAACAACAATATAAAAACGATCCTATTTCGGTACTCTCTTCATGATGAGAATAACTATCATGTAAATCGCAAACTGATAAAAATCTATCCGGCATACGTAAATCTACTAAAACAGTAAAAGTTAACAAAATACATACATTATTAAAAACTCATTTTATGAAAAAGTTTTAACATAAAGCTTTGAACTATCAATTTAAATTACTATAATATACTTATATTTTGTTAAAATGTGCACTTTTCTATTTAAGGTAAAATGTGCTCTATCTATTCTATTCCTTTACTAACATTCACACTTTCTTTTAATTTCAAATCATCTTCTTCACTAACCACCTCCCAAAGTTTTAATTGATAATTTTGAAAAGGATAAGAATTACAATAAAACAATTTTTGTTTCAGAAACAGTTTCACAGCTAAACGAGCAAGCAACAATGTACAACAAGGTACCAATGATGTACAATGAAAAAACAATGATGTGCAATTAGAAAGAAACGATATACAACGACAAGGGAACTATGTACAATTAGAAAACAATGATGTACAATTAAAAAGAAACGATGTACAATTAGAAAAAAACGATGTGCAATTACAATGAAAGGATACACAACTAGAAAAAAGCGATGTACAATGACAAAGGAACGATGTACAATTAGAAAAAGACGAAATCAACGATGTACAAGATGAAAAAACGATGTATAATTAAAGAGAAACGATGTAACATAATTGCTGACCTTTACGAGAATTTGTATGCAACTCGTTTACCGGTAGCAATATCATCTGCTTTTCGGTACAATAACCTGACGATCAACATGGCATATGTGCCAAATCCTCAATCCGGGACGACGATCTGTAATTTGAGACTTCCCTGAAATGGAAATTTCGACTTAGCTCTGACTTCCTGGATCAAAAAGTAATAATCTTCGTGATATGCTTGGAGTGTTTAGAAGGTTTACTTTTAAAGGTAGTGAAGGGAGGAAAACATTTCCTAATTTCAATATCTACTATGAAAATTACCATACTTTATCTCTGGTCAAATGTCAATTTGGCATAAATCGACAAATATTCATGGCGGAGATTGAATTTTTATATTTTGAAAGAACAAATAATATGAGATGAAAAACAACACTAAACATACTCTTATTATGCATTATTTCAAAGTGATTAATGTTGTTTTGCTGACATATAGGACTGGTTATATTTCGCCTACTTACCTACTTTCCTCGTTTCTTCCACGCAAAACACGTTTTCAGCCGTATTTTGCCGTCTTGAATGCTTTTCTTGTCAAGTTTTGAATGCATCCAACGATTCTTAAACATTTTCATGGTCATTGATGACAAAATAAGATTTCATCCCAGTTTTGCTAAATGAATAAATAGACATTTTCATAGGCGTACGGGCACATATTTTTAGGGGGAGCTGGACTAAATTTGCCCGAATTATATGACGTCATATGACGTATGACGTCATAGATATTCTTATGTTGTCTCTGGCCATCTCAATTAATAAGCTAAAATCATTACAATTTGCTAAGAGGATGCTACGAAAGTAACTACATTTTATTTGATATTTGAAATTTTGTCATATATAACACTAGACGCAGAAGAAATTTAGTTAGTTAAATGTGCGACGATCTAAGACTAAAAGAAATAAGATTTACGATTACGTCGCTGTCCAAAATGTTAATTATCTTTTCCATGTCGTTCTTTAAAGTACTATTTGCATAGGCTCTTTCCACATTGATTAGGGCAATGCTGTTTAACCGTTTTGACCAATTGTACTTCGAAGATAGGTTTTAAGCGACGAAGAGCGCTAAAGATCTTTCTGCTGAGCAGGATGTTGCCGGGATCGCGGCCAGAATCGAAAATACTTTGTAAGCCACAGGCAGGACTTCATGAACACCATTTTCGAACATTCTCTTAACAATTTTGGCAGCGTTTTCTCTCTCAGCACAAGGGAAATCAACGTCAATATTCTCAAAGACATTTTTCTCGCTACTAAGAAGCTCACTGTCGATACCATAGAAGTGTGATACCAACTCAACATTCGCCGTGGTTGGAGACCTGTTGAACACAATATCTGCAAGTGCCAATAGGACCTCTTGATCACTACCTTCAAATCTTGATTTCATCTCCGCCACAATCTTGTCAATGCTTAGGTAGTAGCATGTGATACGATAGTAATCTTTTCTGTTCGATTTTCCACTTCTGCATTTACTTCAGCCATTTCACCGACGAGCTTGGAGCCGCCGTGACGGCTGTTGGAATCTTGGTACTTTTGCATCTTTGAAATTGAATTCTGTACCTTCAATTTGCTCCTTAATTTTGTGTGCTATGATTTCAGCCCGTGACCATAACAGTTCGAAATTTTCGAGGGAACGACATCCAATTAATGTCTTAATCACGCCATCAACACTCTTCTTTGCTGTGGCGACATCCATTTGCTTTCCTTGTAGGTACCTGCTCAAACCATCGGTGTTAGATAAAATAACCTTTAATACCATCAAACCAAAAACGAACCGAAAGTCGCAAATCGAGTTAAGTAGCGAATTGCTGTCATTGTAGGTCTTCGGATCGCGATCTTTTGAGAGTGTAAGGAGAACCTCGATGATCTTAGGTAATTGGTTTACTACTGCTTTTACAGCTGCCCAACGACAAGACCATCTAGTAGCACTCTGCGATTTAATAGTCAGTGTAATATCTTCGTCCTCATCTTCGACCTTGATGTCATTGAAGATGGAGTGGCGTTTGGGACTTCCTTCCAAGAAATTATGGAGACTCTGGATCACACCTAAAGCTTTCTGAAGTGGCTCAATTGTAGTCATCGTATCTTGTAGCGCCAAGTTAAGCCGATGCCCATGGCAGTGAACATAGATGCTAAGAGGTGAGCACTCCTTCATGCGTGCAGCAAGTCCTTTGCGAGGGCCACTCATATTTGCAGCGCCATCAAAGCATTCTGCGACAATGTTTTCCAATGTCAACTCTAGCCTGCCAATGGCTGTCTTTAACAGCTCATACAATACTTCTCCTTCCGTAGATTTGGTTGAATAGAAACCAGTGAATGTCTCTTTGGTTTCGCCATTGAAAACATATCTGAGGAAAGAGATAATTGCTCTGTTCGACTGATGTCTGCCGTTTCATCGACAACTATTCCGTAGTAGTCGCTACTTCTTGCTTCTTCTGCTATCCTCTCAAGCATGACACTTGCTACTATTTCCAGTAGTTCATTTTGAATAGCAGGGGATGTCCACTGAGCATGTGTCTGCAGCTGGCTTTGAAGTTTAGATTTCAGCCAAGGCAAATCGTTGCATCTTATGCAAAGTAACTCGAGAAAGTTTCCTCTATTTATATCAGATATCTCCCATATATCACCCCGAATCTCTTCATGACCTCTAATTGCAACATTTTGTTGTGCAGTGTACATCAAAGATTGTATGATTACTTTTAAGTATTGTCTGTTAATAGCAACCTGGTCCTGGTGTGCACTATTCAGCTGTTGTAGTACGGAGGTTTTCTTTCTTTCCATTGCTTTAAACTGGAGCCATCTTGTCATGGATCTGACGTGGTTCTCACTCTTGCCATGTTTTGCCAGCTTTGACGACTTCTTCCAATTTGTAAGCACAAATGAAGTATTCTTCCCAAATTCTTTACAGGCAAAACAAACGCATGCATCTTTATCCACTTCGTAACTAATCCATGGATATTTCTTGTACCATTCAGGCTGAAATCGTCGCACAAATGTTTCACTGCCGAATTTTCGTGCAGGATATTCACCTAATATAGGCTGTTTTGGGGCGTGCAAGGTGGAAATCTCTTCTTCATTCATACTGTTAAGGAAACCTTTCTAGTCTGTTCATTTAGAACAGATGCTGTTGAATCTAAATCTTGTATTGCTGTTGTGTCTAGAGTGTTAGACGTCGTCGTTGATTCTGGTGTTGCAACGCGTTGTATATTTTGATTTAAGTTAAATTCTTCGATGAACAGTGCGTCACTGGAAGTAAGATTTTCATTATCCGTGACCGTATTCAATTCTTTATTTTCTCTGAACTGCGTCAGTGGATTTAATTCATCAACATCAATAAACGTTCTCATTGGTTCCGTTTGGTCTTCGCTTATGGGCTCCTTCAAATTAATCTCAGGTAGATTTTCCTCAAAAGACCCAGTGGCTGCTAAATCTTTACTAGCACTCGATTCTGTTTCCTGTAAGGTTAGGTTATCATCCTTGGTTGTCATGTTACTTTTTACAAAGAAACCACTGATCTTTGACTGCGATAAATCCGATGAATCCATCACTCGATGACACTTAACTTTTTCATTATTGTGAACTCGTCGAAAGTGGACCTCCTTATAATCACTGTCAATTTCCTTGCTGCATTCCTCGCACCAAACGCGATGTCGATACGGTCGTTTACGAGACGCCATATGTACGCTTTATTAGAGCTTGGCTACTAAATGTTTTCCCCTTGTGGATAATAGTTTCCTTGAACAACAATCATAGAGTGAATGGCACTAATCTAATCAATGGAATGGACAGTGCCTCTCCATACGAAGCCTAATTTTCATGCAAAAATTAAAAATCACTTTTGGGGATCGCAGCGATTGTTAATCTATATATTAATGTATAACGGATAGCGTGTGGGGAGACGATTTTTCGCAATTTCAAGACATTTCAAGACTTTTACTGACCTCAGCCCTTTTTTATAAATGGAGAACGTTATGTGGATAAATTTAATACCAAAAGCTTTGCTCTGATTGAAAATATCGGCGTTCGTGTTCGTTTAAAAGTTGTAAACACCGAATATATTCGTCGCAATATCGCTAGTAAATAGACCGATTTCTCGTGACGTAATTTGTTTATATTATAATGGGGCGGATGTAAAATTCTCCTATTATGTCTCAAGAAAAATTTTGCACCCAATCACTTTACGCGATTTTTTATTTTACCTCCTGAAATTTAAGTAATTTAAACAATTTAAAAACCATCCATTAAAAGACCGTTCACGCTCAAGAACCGAAGCAGTTTATGATCTAGAAATGATGTAGATTAATATTGAAAATTTAAAAACTGTAGTAAGTATCTTGCCAGAATATCATGTAAATGCTTGCCCGAATACACAAATTCTCGAGAAATTGGGGGGGCTGCAGCCCCCCCAGCCCACCCCCCCCCGTACGCCTATGGACATTTTGCAAACAGACATTCTCGGTCGGATTTGCCGCCATTCCGAAGTGTCATCGCTTCTCTGCTCGCAATAAATAACATTCCTCGGTATTTAACCTTGAGTGTAGTAATGCATTTTTCAGTAAAAGCTTTCATATTACAAAGCCTGCACCAACACTAGTTCATCTTTCCATGTAACTTGTATGCTTCGTCAGTAAACGGACGAAATTTAACTTTCTTTCTACAACGTTAAAGCCATTACAATTTTCCGTTGAAGTGAAAACACACTAATTTAAATATGTTAACATTTATTTAATTGACGTCACGACTGAAATTTTTATTGTGATTTGCACCTTAGGAGCATGTCATCTTTCACAGATACAATAAGTAATCCTTCAATGCATTTGAATTAAAAAAATTCCATTAAAATCTTCAGACTTATTTGGGTTTTAATGTCATTATTATTAAAAGTAACGATGATTTTGCGTGGCAATTTTTTTCCAAATCTCACTAGAAACTATGTTGCTGTTGATTATTAATAATATACATGAAAAAATTTCTTAATCCTGTTGATTTTTAACTTCAATGTACGTATGCATTTCAGCCGGCAAGTTATTAATACCAATTTGCACTGGTATTTACTACAAATTTCCCTGCTCTAAACCATTAAGAATTGAGAAATTTTTCATGTATGAATAATACACGTGCATGAGTACTTATGTTTAGAAATTATGAACTGCTATTATTTTATATCTGTTGTCCTCCTCATTTCGGCTGCAGATCATCAGAATTCATTTGAATGTATCGCCTCTTCAATTCCTCGAAAAAAGGGCGAGAATCTTTCTCAGTTGGTTCATTCTCTTTCTTCTTCTGTAAAGACTCCTGGCTCTCTTTACAATCTAGTGAAACAATTGCAACAGTTCATTCAATTATAACAGTGACGTAGCCAGCCTCAATCATTGGGTAAGAGCTCGTAGACGCATACCTGACTCGTGTTACTAACCGTAATAAGTTATTGACTGATTACAATTAATTTTGAAGCGATAATTTACCGTATGTGTCAATATGTGACATAAAATGACTTATAAGCAAGTTACGGTACTTAATTCCGCACACTACAATATTCTTAAAGTATCCGCTATTGCATTAGCTTTATATCGTGATGTTCGTGTGAAAACATGGAATTAAGTATTTATACATGACAACAAATTAAAAATCAAAATGGAAGGAAAATTTTTTTTGGGAAAATTAAGATATCTTTAGTAATAAAGCAATTTTACCTTGAAACTGCGCGCAAGCAGATTGTTATATTTTGTTCAAGCATATACTTGCCTGATTTACAGTTTTCCCTTCGCAATTTTTCAACAAATTCAATCCACTTCGACATGTTATCGTTCTTTCCAATGGTTTCGAAAACCTCGTCAACTGAATCGGACGAAAAATCAGGTCCATAAAATATAATTTCCCAAAACTTATGAGAGAGGCCGTGCTTCTTGTTGGGTTTTTCTTCTATATGCTTTACGGACGTTTTTGTTTGTTTAAAACAAGTTTTTATCCAAGGTATGTACTTTTTTCTTTCGATATCGATAATCATTTTCGCCTGAATTGATCAAAAAAGAAATACGATATTTTCAGTACGTGTGTAGAAAACTGTCCACTTTTTAATTTATATTTTAGGTATTGTAAAGACTGTTCTCGTTCTCTGTTGTTCATTCATCACTACATACACTGACACACGTTATCTTAGTTTATACTTTAGGTAGTGTAAAGACTGTTCTTGTTCTCTGTTGTTCATTCATTACTACCTAAACTGACACAAGTTATCTTAGTTTTATATTTTAGATAGTGTAAAGACTGTTCTTGTTCTCTGTTGTTCATTCATCACTACCTACACTGACACACGTTATCGTATTTCATATTTTAGATACAGGGCGGATCTAGAGTATGTCAAATCCGTCGCGCGACTGATATTTGAAATTCAAAAATTACCTATTCATATTAATTAAAAATTCATAAATTATTCTTACTTTATTATCGCATTTACTTCGTGATAAAAATCCAGCTTTATTTATTATTGAAAACTAATGACTAATGCAATGATATCTCGTTGGTATTCAGATCAGTTGAATTTTAATTGACCTGGAATAACCGACTGATAAGCGGGGTGGCTTGCTTGGTTCGACTGATAAAGGAGTCTATGAACGCCAAAAACGCTTATTTCATTGGTCAATAGCCAGATCAGTGGACGATTTGGAATAATCTCGACCGATAAGCTAGGTGGCCGCACCTATAAGGGAGTCCACTTGCTATCGTGTAATTGGTTTGTTTAAATTTTTGTCTTACTGTGATTGGTTTGACCGATTTCGATTGATAGCCAACTGAACTAACATAGTCAAGCTCACTGTCTGAATTGAATGTTTGATCGTTTCATAGTAATTTGCAAAAGCATGATAGAAACTAAACTACAATCAGATGGAATTTATGGAAATCTTTTACAAATTCATATATTGACATAAATGCTGCTTTCCAAACTGTGAATTTTTTCAAGAGTGTGAAAAATTTATGGATGAATTGTAAATGCTTGGCAAAGACGATCTCGCGAGCGACATTTCAGTCATTGATGTTCAAAAGCAAGCCAACATTGTTTTGAATTTTATCAGCAGAAATTTACATCCAAAATCGTAAGTAAAGGACAAGTGAAGTGTATGCATGAATGCAATATATCAAAGTCAATTTATGCGAGTGTGTGATGCGATTTATGTCAATATGACGTATGGTAAGCAGATTGATGCTTCTAAAATTGTTGTTGCCGAAGGACTTTTAGCTATGATTTCTTTAATGCTTGGGGAATCGTGGCCGTTATATGGCAGCGAAATCCTACATTCCTGCAAATATATTTCAATGGACAAAAAATTTGTAGCCATAAGGCGCCATACTATTATTTACATTATCATAAACAAATCTTTGGGGCTTTTCAGTTTATGATCATTGATCATTCAATCATTGGACAGTTATACTACATATTGTTTAAGATTTGAGAAAACTGACATTGATTACATGAGAAGCTGTTTACTATAACCTGTGATTCTGATCCATGAAGCTTTTTATTTTAACAATTTGGTTACATTCTGTTTGTATTTGATAATACAATGCTACTAGTGATTGCTATATAGCACACCTTGCATATACTTACAGAAGATAATAGTCTAGTGAAATGCCTATTAAACATTTATGGCATTAAGCTGTCCTTAACTGCAAATTTTCACTCTGATAATTTTTGCTTAATCTTTGGCAGAAAAAAATTTTGAGTTTTTTCTCAAAAGGTGAATTTGCTGGCACTGATGTGGAGATGGGTAAAGGGTTACAATAAACTTGCATGGTTTGAAGTCTGAGCTTTTCTCTATCTATGAACTGTCACTTATAGTAGCAAATTTCTAACTTAACTCATTACATAGAGGTTTGAATGGGGGTCTCTAGGGGGGTCTATGCCTGACAACTTGGTAGAAATTTTAAAGACTATATCTGTTTTATAGTAATAGCATTATTGTAAAATAAATTTACGTTCCTAGACATGCTAATGAGCCATATATTTGGCATGATAATGAGCCTAAATATTTGGTAAAACATTCAAGTATTGTTCACTTTATTTTTTTTTTTGAAAAAAACGTAAGCAAAATGTATTCTTTTTACGCAAAAACGATGCCCACAAAATACATTTTGTATTGCTCTAAGACGCTGAAAATGGCATTTTCAAGGCTCTGAAATTCAAAATTTCTCAGGGGAGAATGCCTCAGACCCGCCCAGGTGCGGAGCGCCTCCGACGTTTTATGACTGATGTTTGAAAAATCCTAGATCCGCCCCTGTAATTAGATAGTGTAAAGACTGTTCTCGTTCGCTGTTGTTCATTAATCACTACCTACACTCACACTACAAATTATAATGATCTCATTTGACATCAACATATCAATATACTTACAGTTTGAATATGTTTCTGCAGCTTAGCATCTTGCATAATTCTACTGGTATCACCAATCGCAAGCGCGAGCAGAAGGTTCATGACAATGATTGGCATGATGATGATAAATAAACAAACAAGACACAATTGTAGCGGGAAAAATGTGTTGAAATGACCGCGGTCTCCAAGAAACGTGTCTTGAAAATTAATTTCTCCCAATGTCATCATTGCTCCAGTTAGCAGAGAATAACCAAAGTTCTTGAACACCTCCCTGTCATTCATGATGGACGTAAAAGCTGCTGCAAAAGCGACCATGAAACATATGAAAACCAGTATAACCTGAATAATAAAAGTTGGTGCGTTCAAACATTGGATATAGGAGACGTTATGGGTCGTAAAGATCGATCATGTTTGGCATCTTGCATGATTTTATGGATAAATTGAATTCAAACAGATTTGGGAGAAATAAGAGGAAGACATGATACATGTCTGCATATAGGTATGGAGAATACAAGAAGGATATGAACAGTAAACAATGTACATGACGAATGATACTTAATACATGATTACTAAGTATCATTCGTCATGTACATTGTTTACTGTTCAAAAAGATAAGTTCAGAAAACTTATCTTTTTAACATAACTAAAATGGTAAATTTGTCATCATCTTATATCACACAAAATGGTTTTTAATCACAAATTCATGATTCAGATAGACGAACCTTCATTGTTGTGACGAAGATTTCCCACATCATTTGAATAATGATACCGTAAGAGGCAAACCTTCTTAGATACATGGCTAAATTTATCCAAGCACAGAACAACGCTAAAGAACAAGCTTTCCATTGTAAACTTGTCTTTGCAGCGATATTTTCATGACTTGGTACAGCAAAGATGATTGTCGTTGTGTAGAGAAGCCATTCCAAATAGTTGACTGGATCCAAAAAATAATTCTTTAGAGCCTGTATCTCCACGTCAACCACTATCTGCATATTTGAAAAAAATCTGTAAAATCATAAAGTTCAATTGCCACAGAGATATGATAATGTTGACCATTGTATCATGAAGTAATACCAATAAAAAATAATGTTGAAACAAAACAAGAACATAATGCCAAAAAAAAATAAAAATAACTAAGACATATTTTACCAATGCCGTCTTTGGTACATACAATTGAATAAATCTGGTTATTTACACAGTGCTGCATTTACACAGTGCTGCATTGATCCTACAGGGCCTGTACCCAAAGGCACAAAAACTTTTGGAGACCCAAAATTCTTTGGGCCCAAAAGGGCACTTGCAGGAACATTTACAGTCAAAAAATACAGTAATTTTTTTATAGCATATATATACAGATGGCAAATTACAGCACAGGCTGCACTCTAGAGGATGAACTATTTGCAAGTATAAGACAGAGTTCAATACTGACCTGAATTATTTCATTCAAACTTTCAATGCCAGTAAAAACAAGACAACAAACCATCGCTGCCTTAACATTTATCTTTGCTTCTGGTAATTCTATGCAGAAATATTTAAATTCAGGTAGCAAAAATATAATACTTAGCAATTTTGAATATGTCCAATTCAAAAATGTTTGTAAAGTACACAATGTTGTAATCTATATTCAATACCTGTGCTTTTTACTGATGGATTGTATGAAGGAATATTAGTTGCATACACGTTCAGAGAAATAAGAAATGCGATGTAGACAATGATGCTTAATGTAGACACCTTCCATCCAAGTTCTTTCCACTTTTCTTTAAGGAATTTGCAGCAGACAGGATGACGTAAACATTTGTAGCTTTTAAAAAGTACCATCGTTTCGATAGCGGTCAACGGCTTGAATTTTTTAGTTCCTTTACTTGTCTCTGTCAGAGAAAAACAAAAAACACCCAAATTATTTTGTAATGTTATGTACAATTAATTTTATACGTATTGTGCGTATAATACCTGAGTGATTCTTTTGTAAGCACTTAAAGTCGTATTCGACTTTATAATCATCACTTTCTGGGTGATTTGTAGGTGTCATGCTTTTACACAAAACTTGATATGCCACCTCTGACATTTTTTTCGAAATCAAAATGGCCATTGTTACTTGTGGACCATACATTGTTTTCTCTATTATCTAAAGAGCAAAACCATTATTCAGGTAGTCGTACACTTTACAGAAGTTTTGCTTAAATTTTATGAAAATTTCTTTACTTCATGCATGACGCGTCATTGATAAAGTGGTAGACGCTATAATACAAAACTTAAGTTTCAACGTTTCTAACATTGTGCTGAGCACGAGGCCAAAAATTGCTAGAATTTCCCTTGAAGGATGGGCATACGTCTAAAATTGACAAATAATACTGAAAAAAAATAACTGAAAAAATGTAAAAATGTGTTTTTTAAATAGTTCATTAATGCTCAATGCACCAATTGGATTTCTTAGCAAGTGGTCTTTAGTAGACAAAAAAATAAAATTCGTAGGAACCTCATCCCATCTATCATGACACACCATCGCAATAGCATTATCTTTATCGCCATTTAAAATGGCATGATCCAAGCAGCCAAATAATTCTTTATCTTTCGTAATGTCTGCTTTTTCATCCAATAAATATTTCACCACATCTATTTTGCCATGTGAAGCAGCTTCGAGCAATGCTGTTCGTTCTTTGACGTTCTTGCAATTGATCATGGAAGGTTCATGCTCCACCAATAATTTAACAATGTCGAGATGTCCGTGCTGCGCTGCGATATGAAGAGGAGTAGACTTATCTTTGTCGCTATAAAGTAAGGCAAAACATTTGGCTTAAATTAGCCTTTCGCTTTTTTTTCTTCTTTTCCTAGTGATCTTGACAGAAATGAAAAAAACGTATTTACGTTAACATGTTTGCTCCGTTATTAAGTAGACATTTGACGACCTCGGAGCTATTTTCTTTTGCTGCTGCATGAAGCGGGGTTTCCCTCATATGATCGACCTTATTGATCAAAGCTGGTTCATGGACGAGGATTAATTTAACCACATCAGAGTTCTGAGAATGAACAGCGTAATATAATGGTGTCTGATATCTCTTTGTGAAGACATTCGGATTAGCGCCATGTTCCAGCAGAATTCTTACACTCTACAAAGAACGTGGTATTTAAAGCTTACTGTTTTGCTTAACCGAGCTTGAAAGAAAATGAACTCAATTGCCTCAAGAAGTCCGTTACAAGCTGCGTCATGAATGGGAGTACAACCACTACCTTCTCTTTTTGCATTTATCAATGAAAGGATACGATCGTTTTTCTAAAACGTTTTGAGAAAATATACGTTTAAAGCTTCTCTATCCATCTCTATAATCTAATAGCTTACATATAGTAAAATTTTTAATATTTTAGGATAAGCGACTGCATAGTGAAGAACTGTTCTGTTTCCATTGCTGCCATCGAGGATGCTAAAATCAGCCTTCAGACACAGCAGTTCCTCGACGACCTGCTGATAACCACGTTCTGTAGCGAGGACTAAAGCAGACTGAGAATTTTCTGTCTTTTCATTTACAAAATCCGTGTTCATTGATCCAATGTACCTAACAAGACTGTTTTGATTTTTGATTACAGCTCTAAAATGAAAAAAAGATAATACAAACAATAAATAATACATGTTGTTAAAGATATCATAAAATGAAAGGTATTTATCCTTTAAGGGGCAAATTTATCAAAAGTTAGTTTACATTTTCTTTATTGATTGATGCTGGTCTGCTACAGACCAATAAAGAGTTAATTTAATAAGCTTGCATGTGCTCAAAACACTAATTATAAGGCTAAAGAAGAACAATTTCCATCTTTCAAACAGATAACTATACAAATCACTTACTGATGTAGTGGAGTAAATCCCTGTTTATCCTTTCTCTTCATTTGCAGAGCAACTATATCTTTTGTCTTCGACACTAATTGTGACAAAATATTCTCCATTCCCTTTTTACAAATATCATGAATCAAATAGCTATCATTGATTTCTTCTTGTAAACAGTCTCGGCCGATATCGTCGTCATGTTCAAGAAAAACTTTTACTGTACTTTCATCTCCACTGTTCACAGCAGCATGAAGTACTTTGCGTAGGTCATTCACATTGTATTTTCCTGAAACCAAAATATAGCCATCATATAAGAAAGGAAGTCTGAGCAAAGGATCAATCTCAACAATACCAACGACAATATAAGCATGTAAGTGGTTATGAATGAACAACAAGAAAGAGATTAGTCTTCACACAACATAAAATATAAAATGCGCAAACTCAGTGTCAGTGTTGGTAATTATGAACAACAGAGAAAGAGGACAATTTGTAAAACTACCCATAACTTAAGACAACATGTGTCAGTGAAGATGCATGGTCATAAATGAACAACAGAAAACAAGAAGAGTCATAACACTATCTAAAATATAAACTATGTTAACGTGTGCCAAAGTAGGTAGTGATGAATGAAGAACAGAAAACGAGAACAGTCATAAGACTCATAACACTATCAAAAATATAAACTAAGTTAACGTGTGCCCGCATATAGTAGACAGAGACGATTGAGTAGTAAAGAAGCTTAAATAATTGTGTATTGTGTATTTTTTGTAATAATATAACCACTTAAAAATAATGAAAACGATGTATAATGCTGTAAAAATCCATTCACCTTGTTTTAGAAAAAGGTCGAGCATTTTAGCATGGCCCTTAGAAGCAGCAATGTACAATGGTGATCGTTCTGTGGTGTCAATCCGTGTTATCTTTCCATCGTGTTCCAACAACACCTTTGCGATCTCGAGATGGTTGAACTTTGCGGCAAAATGAAGTGGTGATCGACCATTTTCACTTTCGACATGATTTACAAGACGAGCAATTAATTTATTTTTCAACAACATACGAAGAATACCTACACGATGAAGCAACATGCTAATTGAAAACCTGTTAGTTGATTAAGTCACATGCAGATATACCAAAAACACATAAAAAAGGTTTTGCTTTCAAAAATCTTCAAAAAGCCGAAACAAAGCCCACGCACACTTTACTCACAAACCTCACCTTCGTCACCCATTCTCGTGGCTACATGAAGAACACTTTCTCCATTATAAGCTATTATGCACTGGTGGTCCTTAACGTAGTCTAACAAGCACGAAAGACAATTAAGACTTCGTGACTCCAAGGCATAAAATATACTTGGTTGCTCCCTTTCATCATGAGTCGAGAGTAATTTTTGAACTAAAAACAACGTCTAAACGTTTAGCAAAAATAGAAAGAAACTGAATTATCGTTAATAAATCACTAACTTTTCTTGTCACTGGTGATTATAGGTCTCAATATATCTATGATCGTTTGTTTGTCATCGTAAATTGCCGCAAGTTTCAATTGTTCAACATCATTCATCCAGTTATTTCTTTCTCCATCTTGAATGTCTTTGAATGTCAATGACATCAACGGGAAACTAAATAAATCTTCCTCCACAGTCCCCTCCACGCTATCCTTCGTATCGGAATTTTGTGGAATCAACTTTTCCATTCTAGAAAAAAATATAGTATTGACTTGCGAGAACCTGAAGACAAAAGCATGAATAACAAAGGGCCTTAAATTGTTCTTAAAAGATAAACTGCAACAAATTTTTTGAACTGTTTTTATATGTTATTTCCATACACGTCATCAGTCATGTGTTCATACATTCATAAATCCACTTTGAGGTTAGTAGTAATTACAATATCGAAAAAATACATTCTTTCTGCTCACATTTTCCTCACTCGAGCACTGTGAACAGAGGGTGAGATAATCATACGTAGAAATACCGAATTCGACTAAAATACAACTATACGAGTACGATGCGTTATGTTTCTTGTTATATTCGCCCAACAGAAGTATGATTTTTGTGATCACCAGCGTAGCTTATTCCAGTATAATATTCTTATTATTTTTAGTTGTCTATCATCAATTTTTATTCACGATACAATGAAGCGATTTCGGTTTTGATTGCTCAACTACCTGCAAATCGTTCTTGATATCTGTAACTGTAAATATGACGTCGTGTTTACAAATAATTCCTGGTATTTGTAAGCATGACGTCTTATCTACACATAATACTTTCTATAATTGTTGACGCGAAAAATCCATTAGCTAAAAGTGAAGTTTCAACGGTTTCTATCTACGATATCCAAAAGCTTTTTAGGACAAAATTAAGGTCGTATAAAACACAAAAAAGGCGATAAAGCTGGATTTGAAAATACTTACAACATATTTAAAAGAAAAGAACTTGTATACACCCTCTGACAAGAATAAATTGGCGGATGTTGTAAAAATGTTTTTAAAAATTTTTGTAAAAATCGAGCTGTTTCAATAATATTTCTTTCAGTTAAGGTGAATAATAAAAGCGCAAACTAAACATTTTTGTATAAATTGAAAATCACAGTGTTTATGATACATCCAGCTCATAGGAGATCACCAGACAGACAAACAGCAACAATCGAAATTTTTCAAAAAGGTCGGGAGAAGAAACAGTCCGAGTCACGTCACGTAAATGAAAACGTCCTCCATATATGGTGTTCCTAACACAATCATAACTTAGAAAACATTAAGAAAATATGGCGGCAGTTCCACAGTACATAATAATTTATACATGAACGACTTCTTTGTTTATAACATATGTTATGTATATTTGTTTTATGTGGATGACGCATAGTTGCATTTGCTAAGTATTACAGCATTTGAAAATAAATGATAGTGTGCTTATAAAGTAAAATTTCTGAACTGAGACAGATATTTATTGTCTGCACTGATTTTCATAATATCTACTATTTTTATACAGCCGTATATTCACACATGCGTACGATTAGGCACTTGCATAAACTTGTATATAAAAATTGTTCACATTGGTTTCGATCAAGATAAGTTGCAATCTATAACTATGACAAATGATAAAAATTAATGCCCAACATAAAGTTTTAATTAGAGAAATAGAAACAGATCAAAAATTGTAAAATTGAATTTATTGTGACGTTTCGTCTTTACTCAAATTCCTCATTGTTATTGAAAATTTGCTCATTGCATGGCTCTTGTTATTGAAAACTTGCTCTTGACTGGAATCTAAAGAGCTTGGCATATCCAGAGATGTTTCAGAAAATGTTTCTGTTCCTGAACTAAATGTACCTTCGTCATGATTGGGAAGATCCTCTTTGGTCTTATATAAATACTTCCTTGACCGGAAAGGCTTAAAAACTCGAGCAGAAGTGAATTGAACACCTCCTGCCAGTTTTGGAGTGACAATTTGACCATAGCAAGATTTGACAAAGTCAATATCAATACTATTTTCTTCTAAGAAAGGAAACCATTCATGTATTTTGTTTTTCAGTTCAGACTCTTCCCAAGACTTGTCAATTGGGCATCCATGTACTACAAACCTCTATTTTCAAGCTGACATCTTGTTTGATGAGTTGGTACTGATTGAGATGTGGAAGATGGAAGTAGGACAAGATTTTTGTGAACAATACAATGTTTCTTTATCTTTTTTGATGGTGGTCTTTATATTTTCTTTGAAGAAGTAGTTGATGAAAGTGTTGGAAATGACCGTCAAAGAGCCGCAGGTACATCTGCACTGCTTCTTTGACCACGTGTTATTGCAATATTATTTGTGTTTGAATTTGGGCAGTTTGAAATGGATTGACTCAGTCTGTTGGACGGAAGACTTGGTCGATTTAGGGGTAGAGAAGTTATGGACAAAGAATTTTCTCCAATATTTCCCCCATCTTCCTGAGTCAAAGTTGCCTGAGAATTTGATGCTATCAGACGGCGTTCAATTCTCAAAGTATTTCTATCATCGAAATTATCCGTGCCTCCTGAGCAAGATTTAATAAAGCAGCCCGAAATTTTCCAGTATTTTCAGCCATGTAGTGAGAGTTTATTTTCATTGAATTATTAAGTTTAAAGTCGAGAAAGCACGATGTTGAAAGCAAACATATTGTCAATATGGCGGCGTCAAAATCAAAACAATACACTTCTCTAAAAACCTGGGACCTGGGCACTAATATATGCGGGCTGCTTACGAAAGGGGCTTTTGATGTAGGTCATAAAATTAAATTCATATAAAATCCAGAGTAGGATCGCAAAGCATTATGCAACACGATGTAATAAGTTCGCCATACCGTATATGAAATTTCTCACAGACGATATAAAATTGAATAAGAAAAATACGATGATTGTCATGTTATAAAAAGGATTGGAATGCTGCATGCAACTTCGGAATTGGCTATAAATTTTGACGATACGGTGCGAGAAGTTTCGAAGGTATATGAAAAGTTTAGAATGTCCTACAGCAAGTTTCGAACATATTTTATAGATTTATCTCGAAGTATATAAAGTTTGCCCTGAATATTTTTAGTATGTTATGTTGTATTGTAAGTTTAGAATAAAGTCCAATTTGGCGCCTCATAAAATCACAGCATAGCTTTAAAAGTATCTACGCACAACTTTTTCAGGATGCGCGTCAGTCGTTACGACAAATTCAACTTAGACAATCATAATTCAGAAAACATGTCGAAAAGCACGAGGCCGTTGTGAAACAAGTTAATCTACTCAAGGAGAAAATTGTGCAGCCATAAAGTAAATACAATGTCCAAATTTTCATAAATATTTGTCAGCTACGTTGATTTTGATTTTCAGACGAGCAAATTTTTTTGACAAATTTTTATGTGGCAAATGTCATTTGCCCGTCTGTATGAGAATTTTTATAAAGTTTTTTTTTGACAAATGCATTTGTTTAAAAGCTAGCATGTCAGCTTCTGAACAAATGCATTTGTCATAGAAAATTTGAGAACATGACTGATTTTGTTCGTCTGTAAGGTCTACAAAGATAATATGACAAATAAACCAAATGTGATACGTTGATACGTACAAACGATCAAAGAAAATTCGCCACATAAAAATTTGTCGCAAAGATTTTATTGCCCGTACATACGGGCATGCGAGTATTCGTCACAGTAAATTTGTTCGTATGTAAGGAGCTTTAAATTAGATCATAGGTACATACATACTCAACAGGGTAGATAAAGTCTTACACACCTGAATTAAGAGAAATCGTCCAGATCAGTTTTACACCACGAGATGTTTGCAAGCTATAAGAAACAAAAGATTCAGTTTGGTCGAGTTTTATGTTGATCGCATCAATAAAAACAACCTTTATAAACACTCAGTCACGTACGTAGTACAGTCAATAATTTTAGGTGATCTACAATAGAGCTAATTTTTCCAATGCTTTCTGCACAAGTGAAATAAATTCGTCAACTTCTGAAAGAAAGTTTTAACGAACATAGACGCTGTTTGATTCAAAACAAACCAGTGACAGCAATATTTATATGAAAATAAGAGGCAGTATAAATAGACTGCAGACATGTAAATAAGTGAAAACTTCCTTTTACTTAGTTAAAAGTTCCTTAGTAAAAAGTTCCTTTTACTTAGTTTAACTTCCCTTTACTTAGTTTAACTTCCTTTTACTTAGTTTAACTTCCTTTTACTTAGTTTAATTTCCTTTTACTTAGTCTTAATACTTGAATTGACGGTTTTGTGGAGTTCACGAGCAAACTCAAGGAGATGTAAGTAGCCTATCAACTTTCGTGGGAATGGAGTATTCCGCAGTGGACGGGATCTTGTAAATGTGTAACAAGGAGAGAGAAAATCGGCATTAAGATTTCGGGCTTTATACGAAAAGCTGTTCATAAGAACATAATTGCAGTTGTTACAATAAATTTGCAATAGCATCGTAAAGTAAATTTGTTAAATATGGTCAGGTTAATAGCGAAAAAATAAACACCAATGTATGATACAGACTTTTATATGTAAGAAAATAAGAGGCAGTATAAATAGACTGCAGACATGTAAATAAGTAAAAACTTCTTTTTACTTACCTTCCATAAGAACTGCAAGCCCACGCAAAAAATTATCTTGTGACGTATACACCGTTTTCTTTTTGTTTGGGTTTCATTACTTGCACCATTTACCTTGTAGCGTTCATTAAAATTTCTTTATGCATAACTCCTTTGAAAACAATAAAGATGTCTTTTTCATAGCATGTATAGTCTTAATACTTGAGTTGACGGTTTTGTGGAGTTCACGAACAAACGCAAGGAGATGTAAGTAGCCTATCAATTTTCGTGGGAATAAATTCGTAGGGTGAAATAAATTCGTCAACTTCTGAAAGAAAGTTTTAACGAACATAGACGCTGTTTGATTCAAAACAAACTAGTGACAGCAATATTTATATGAAAATAAGAGGCAGTATAAATAGACTGCAGACATGTAAATAAGTAAAAACTTCCTTTTACTTAGTTAAAAGTTCCTTAGTAAAAAGTTCCTTTTACTTAGTTTAACTTCCTTTTACTTAGTCTTAATACTTGAATTGACGGTTTTGTGGAGTTCACGAGCAAACGCAAGGAGATATAAGTAGCTTATCAACTTTCGTGGGAATGGAGTATTCCGCAGTGGACGGGATCTTGTAAATGTGTAACAAGGAGAGAGAAAATCGGCATTAAGATTTCGGGCTTTACACGAAAAGCTGTTCATAAGAACATAATTGCAGTTGTTACAATAAATTTGCAATAGCATCGTAAAGTAAATTTGTTAAATATGGTCAGGTTAATAGCGAAAAAATGAACACCAATGTATGATACAGACTTTTATATGTAAGAAAATAAGAGGCAGTATAAATAGACTGCAGACATGTAAATAAGTAAAAACTTCCTTTTACTTACCTTCCATAAGAACTGCAAGCCCACGCAAAAAATTATCTTGTGACGTATACACCGTTTTCTTTTTGTTTGGGTTTCATTACTTGGACCTATTACCTTGTACCGTTCATTAAAACTTCTTTATGCATAACTCCATTGACAACAATAAAGATGTCTTTTTCATAGCATGTATAATCTTAACACTTGAATTGAGGGTTTTGTGGAGTTCACGAGCAAACGCAAAGAGATGTAAGTAGCCTGTCAACTTTCGTGGGAATAAATTCGTCAAGTGAAATAAATTCGTCAACTTCTGAAAGAAAGTTTTAACGAACATAGACGCTGTTTGATTCAAAACAAACTAGTGACAGCAATATTTAAATGAAAATAAGAGGCAGTATAAATAGACTGCAGACATGTAAATAAGTGAAAACTTCCTTTTACTTAGTTAAAAGTTCCTTAGTAAAAAGTTCCTTTTACTTAGTTTAACTTCCTTTTACTTAGTTTAACTTCCTTTTACTTAGTCTTAATACTTGAATTGACGGTTTTGTAGAGTTCACGAGCAAACGCAAGGAGATGTAAGTAGCCTATCAACTTTCGTGGGAATGGAGTAGACCGCAGTGGACGGTATTTTGTAAATGTGTAACAAGGAGAGAGAAAATCGGCATTAAGATTTCGGGCTTTACACGAAAAGCTGTTCATAAGAACATAATTGCAGCTTTTACATTAAACAAAGACGAGGTTCGTTTGTCGGGAGATTATCAATCTCAGGTGTACTGGTTGAACTTTGACAGGCTTGAATCCACATTATCAATCCACGACAAAACCATGAAATTGAGAACCCCCAAAAAATGGCATTGACGTTATTTTATTGACATACGAAGCAGGACTATTTCACCTACCTTCTTTCCAAAACACTTGTCTTCAGGCATTTTTTGCCGTCTTGTATGCCTTTTTTGTCGACTTTTAAAAGCATTCGCCGATGCGTCAACATTTTCATAACCATTGATGACAAAATAAGATTACATCCAGTCTCGTTAAATAAATAAATGAATAGATATTTTGCACACAGACATTCTGTAAAAACTCTAATTTGCCGCCATTGCAGGCCCTATTGCAAAGTGTCGTCGCTTCTCTGTTCGATAAATTACACTCCTCGTTCTTCGTATGTATCTTGATTGTAGTATCACCGAGCAATACATTGTAGCTCAGTCCCAATTGAAAAATTGAAAAGACTAACGGCATCTGTAAAAAAAAACCTCTCATGGCATATTTAGGAATTAGGAGGGAATTTCTAAATGTCTCAAGTCTAAAATTAACGTGTACGTCACGCGTGATCTTCGAGAGAGACATATATCTAGGAAGGTTTTCTTCTCTTGCCTTCAAAATTATTACATTAAATTCTTTTAAAAAGGTTTTTTTGGTGCAAAATATACTTTTCCTAAAACTTTCATTGCTTAGTTTCATATGCATTTTATTTCTTACTAGTTATAAACGTTAAATATTGCTACAATTTTAGTTGTTTTACATTAGCAAGAAAGCAAACACATAAGATTTCATCAGCAGTCAAATACAGCATGAGCATCCTTGAATAAAACATATTGTAATATCGTAGATCGGGATTTAGATAGTGCAGTCATAAAACACAATTAGTAAAATTATTGAACTCAATTTCCGAACTGATACAATTGTTTACCGTCTACATAGATTTTGTTAACATTTTTTACTTTATATCATCATATGTAAATGCACATGAACGACAAAGCGTAATTAAAGTCTTACGCTCCCGTTTGAATAAGAATCGTGTACATTTTTTCAAAGTAAGATAAGTTCGCTACCTATAACAAAAGAAAAAAAGATGCATTTTGGTTCAGTGTTGGCAGTTTTAAAGTAAATCAATGATTTATTACCTTTACAAACACACAGCCCCATGCACAGTCAATAATTACCACATTCAATTTTTTTGGCAAGTTTATGCCAAATCGCACGAGAAACTATGATGAAACTATTGATTATTAATAATATACATGAAAATATTTCTTAATTCTGTTGATTTTTAACTTCAGCGTATGTATTTCAGCCGGCAAGTTATTAATACAAATCTACACTGGTATTTACTAAAAATAGCCCTGCTCTAAACCATTCAGTATTGAGAAATTTTTCATGTATGAATAATACACGTGAGTACTTATGTTTAGAAATTACGAATTGCTATTATTTCATATCTGTTATCCTCCTAATTTCGGCATCAGATCTTCTGAATTCACACGACTGTATCGCCTCTTCGATTCCCAGAAAAAACGGCGAGAATCTTTTGGTTGGTTCATTCTCTTTGTTCTTCAGTAAAGACTCCTGGCTCTCTTTACAATCCAGTTAAACAATTCCAACAGTTCATTTAATTATAACAGTGACGTAGCCAGCCTCTATCATTGGGTGAGATTTTGTAGACGCATACCTGACTCATGTTGCTAACCGTTTACAATTAATTTCGAAGAGTACAATGCAGCGATAATTTACCGCGTGTGTGTGTATGTGTCACTATGTGACATAATATGACATATAAACAAGGTACGATACTTGTAATACTAATAATTTGCTTATCTATCGATAAAGAAGAATATAGCAAGGTTTTCTGTTCAAGGAACAAGTTCTTCTTTCAAGATGTTTCTTTATATAAATAAAAACGCTAAATATACAATTGTATGAAACTATAATGACATTCTCACTTGTCACTATTGTAACTTCATATTCTTCCCTTCATTCGACAACTCCCCCAAGCTACAATTAAAATTATGACCAGAAGTTACTATCGCAAGGGGAAACGATAGCCAAACACTTCTATAGGCATAGCTGAGTGGTTTCGTGTTCAAGCTATAGATTGCAATTTAGCTTGGATTTACTAATTTTCTTCAAGACAGGTCTGGTGGTGGTGAATGTAAATGGTCGTGATATGAATGATAGATCGAAGTCAGACATTTTGTACATGTGTGTGCCTTTAACTTTTAACATTGTGTTGGCAAGGTTTATTTCAATAAACTTTGGGCTGTTTTACAAGTCATGTAATTTCTTGTTCAAAAATACGAAACATGAATCTCTGCTAAAAAAATTGCTTGAGTATATACGAAATTCACATTTAATTCACCAGTGATTGTGTGTGGTAATCAGTTTCTCAGTAAATACTGAAAATAGACAAGTTTTTTATTTCAATAACCACCCTTAAAAGCAAACCTTCCAAACACTCTAATTAAGCACATCAGAAAGAATACTTCTTTTGATTAGAGCTATGTGACTATGTCGATAATACTATTTCAGGGCAAGTGTGTCAAAATTTGGCGACTGACTTTTATCGTGGATGGTGGATTTGGCAGGTATACCATGTGGATCATCATGGTTATTTCCAGGTTTGTAGAGGATATTTGCGGGTAATGGGATTATAGTTATGATTGTATGCATAACTGTGACTTTTTCATAAAGGACCATAAGTTTTTTTAAATGTATGCCATTGCATTTATTAAACGCAGTGTTTTGCGAGATGTACCCAAAGGCCAAGAAATGAAAAAGGAAACTGAATATTCCTGAAAGCTGAAATAAATAATGTTATGACAAATTTGCTTCG